CCCGTCTAGATGCCGCCTCAGCCCCAAAACGCAAGAAGAAGGTTCGGATAGATCCCAATGTTAAGTTCGCACAGATTAAAGAGATCAAAGTAGCGCAAGAGGCTGTACGGCTTCTGGAGGCAAATACTATACTAGAACAGAGTATTCCCGTGGCTGAAACTATACCAGACGCTCCCCAAGATGCTGTACAATAGTCCTATGGTTTGAATTTTCAATATAATTACGTGGTGGTAGAGATGTCACGGTTTTCATGATGGTGGCTAAGATGGTGATACTGGCCAAGTAGGTGGTTGGCCAACAGGCAGGGGTTCGAACTTAATTCCTAATAATTACCACTTCATCTCTTCCTTTGACTTCGCTGCATGGGATGAAATTGAATGAATGATAAAGCTGAGATCTCGATCGTATGAAACTCTTAGTACAGTTACGCCCTTTTTACACATTCGATTTGCCTGTGAATTCCTCTTGACGTTAACACATCGGCCCCGTTGGATTGAGGGTACTCTACGGTATCAAACTTAATCATCGTATGGACCTCCAACCAGGAATGCCGGATTTTCAAATCCTACTAATGGAAAATGGATGAATATCTATCTCTTTAGCAAAGGGCTGGTTAGTGTTTGCTATAGGATCCCCAGCTAGAGTCCGAGTTTGTTGTGCTCCAGATCCTCTAGGACTTCAAATAATTGCTCTACGGTTCCATTCTCAGGAATATAATAACATAAGTAGGAATATGTGAGATTACAGGAATAGGAAGAACTTGGTGCCTACCACATGCATTACATACTATATCTTATTTGATTATCGACTCTCAATCATGCCCCTTTCTCACATTTCTCTTTTCTTATCTCTCAATCTTCTGCTCGGGGGCAACATTCACCTCTTCACTCAACTATGCCTTTTCCACTTCTTTGTTTACTTTCATATTACCATAATAACAACATCCTTTCTGCACCCTCTGTGCATGCTCGCTTCTTTACCTCAGCTCCGCTTCCGTTTTGGCGTGCTACTCTATATACCGTTACCTTTTGGATGTTCTCTAGCATGTGAACCAACCTATATTTACACGTTCCTTCCTTCAGAATAACAAATTTTGTCTCCAAACCCCATTGAAGCTAAGAATGGCGTTTAACAGACCCGGATGCAGCCTTTGCGGGTATGGTATCGTCGACGAGAAAGGTGGTAGACCAGGGTCGACTACAGCTCGTGCGGTATGCATAAACGGAGACGAGTGGGATAATGCCCATTTATCCGGAATAGGGACTGTGGACGAGCTCAGTGGCGCCATTTTACCGAGGAATCCTTGGGATCGAGCGAGAACTACAGATGACATAGACTTCGACTCGATCCTCTACTCAGGAATGAAACCCGAATTTATCGACAACGGTGAAGGAGGTACCAATCTAGAATCACCGAGAGTTGGCCAAAAGAGCTGGGATACTTGTTCCATGCTTGTTGCTGGACGACTCTGGAAATTATTTATTCATCCTATCACAAGTCAATGTCCGGACCTTCTTGTGGATTTTCAGTTCGTTTCCTGTTGAGCTTCGGGCTATAAATTGGGAGCATGACTATGGAAAGGCATACGCACAGGTAAATCCCACTAGGATGCCCTGGGGATGTCTCATCAAATTTCGCCTCCCACCCAGGGCCGGGTCGGGACCTTCGAGCACCGAATGGCTCACCCCTCTTTTCCTCAATTCGACGGAGTCAGACCATAGCTCGGAGTTTCCTGTCTCAAGTAGGGGTGGTGTCAGCGAAAAGGATCCGTTTTCACGCCTCGCTTATGAGCTCAAGGAATAAGTGGTCATGCAAATCCCCACTTCCGATGTACGAGGACTCCGATTTGCCTCGAAGGCAATGGCAGCTGTACCACGTTCCGGGCGCTCTGGAAGTCTCGATTTGCTCATGGCCATGAATTTGATTTTCTCATTGACCTGAGCATGCTTCGTTCGGAAACCCAACCTCCAGAGCGGTTCATCCAGATTGGAGGTTTATCTACACGAATATGAAGGCTATAGGCGGACGTCAAACCCCGGCATAGTTTGTTAGCCTTCGGCAATGGGACATGTGGATTATTCGACCTCTAGCACATGTTATCGTTCAATTGGCCGGCCTTAAACCACAAGGACAACCGCCGCGAACATATTGGGGACTGACCGTTAAAGATGTCGAGAATGTCGTAGAGCAAGTCGGCGCCTTAATTGAAGGGCAAGCGGCCTTCTTTAGGAGGCGAATCTTCCTCAGACCGAGTCATATTGCCTGAGTCAATGCCTTCGTCCTGCCACACCACAACACGAGATTCATTACCTGCCTAAGGTTCTACTATACAGACGACGAGTCGGTCGATCTGGGCTACATCATCCCCAGAAGTCAGGTATCGTTCAACCTCAACCCGTGTGGGACAAGCCAGAAGAACACACTCCGTGGCTTTACCGTTGCGAAGGGCGCTCAAGGAAATTTGTGCTCAAACCAATCCTTCGAAACCTTCACACTATTTCACACTGGGCTGGAAATCCGACTGGCTTGGAGCAACAGTGGTTGGAGTGGGACGAAACGAATCAGCTACCGCTATCGGCTCAATTCTATGTAACCTGGGTGATACCTACATCACAGCATAGACTATCGGTGTATTTAGGGGCTACGAATGATCTCTTTGGCCATTCCTTCCGAGCTGGCGATTTCTTGAGCTGATCTCTGATCGGCCACATGGACAATGTTACTACCACTACCCCTTTCGCAGGGGAGTTAAAACGTAGAGAACTTGATGGAACTTGATGTGGTCTCAACATCTTGCCTAGAAGGCAACACGGGACAAAAATCAATTTCTTTGGGAAGAATACAGAACAGCGGTGTTACGTGGCTACGTGCTGTACTGCTAGGGCTTCGAACATCTCCTACATGGAATGGTGGTCGAGACTCATCCGCGCCCGTGGAAGTCCTCTACTTGCGATGGGATTCCTAACTGCAGTTCGCAGTATATCATGTTTGATGGTTAGACGCGCTTGGCCGGGAAATAGTTCAACGATATTGAACGTGAGCAATACAAAATGAACTAGGGACCGTCCCTAAGACCCCCCGTTAAGGCGTTTCCGGGCCATGAAAAGACCAAATTGACTCATAGGATGTATCTCCGGATTTAGCATGTTCGCCTGAGCGACTCCTCAAAAGTGTATGCTGCAAAGCCAACTGACCGACCAGTCAACCCTCCACGCAGGTCCCCAGACGACATGTCAGACGTTGGGTGAGCGCCACCAATTAATGACCGGAATCGATGACTAGACCGAACCAAGCGTGCAGTAAGCCTATACAATTGCAAGGACGATCGGTTCCCCAGATATCAAAGGCGACGTTTCCGGTGAGACAAACTGCCCCCCAGGCATAGATGTCGGCGCTCTCCGCTTCAAACGAATGGCAGGGCAGCGAATGACGTTCTTGCAACAGCGTGGGAGGGACACGACCTTGTCTTCTTGCTCAACCGAGGGGAGAACACACCCGCAAGCCGGATGCATCGTAGACGATCGAATACATATAGGAATTATGAATTTCAGACCCTGGCCTACCCAAAGCCTTGTGCAACGCTGCCCGGGGATGCGGATCCGCCTTTGAAAATGTAGCAATATTTTAACATCACACCTTGAGGAAACCGAAATGCTCCCCAGAGCTTGTCGCACTGCATTTGGGCGCAACGTGGTATGATTAGAGGCTTTGTTGGCCGCCTGCTGGGGCACGAGAAAAGCTGAATGAAGCCCATTCGCAGGCCACTACATACTGAACGGGTTTACTGGGAGGTTGACGCGTCAACGGAATTGGGACTCCGCGTTGGATCGACTTGTGTACAGGTCGGACGTTATAGGATAGGTCGGACCAAGGGACTTGGAAGAAGGAATATCCATCGAACATCCTCGGATCTCAGAAGGTTGGTGATGAGGTGCAGCTGACGGCATGTTAAAAAGCGATTCCACATGGCCGAAGAACGGGAGGCTGACTGGCCACCACCTGCCTGCCTGGAGATGGATGAATTCACAGCATGGAAGACCGCGTGGGTTGATCAAGTATGCCTTGTCCTAATGGATGTGTTTCCAATGACAAACCGACCATCCGGGCTTCGGATCCATCCTCTACACGTGGGCGTTGAAGCAATTTCGGTTCATGAATCTCGTTTCCGAATATGACCGCCCTGAACTTGAATAGCGCCCAGGGCGGGTTCCAGAAGACTATTCGCAAGGAGAGTGGGGGTTCTTAGGGTTTTATCGGTTTAACCACTTTGCATAGCCTCCCGGTGAGCGGCCTACCTGCCACTCCGGCATCTGAAGTCGATCTACAACACGAGGATCCCGCTACGATGTGCTAAAGCCTAAAGGAAACGGCCAAAGTCCCGACGGCTGGCTTATCAGAGGGGACAAGTGGATGGATTGGAAATCTTGAATGTGGTTTACCTATTCAAACGACGAATGAGGCCGCGGCCTGTAGGAAGGCATCGAGAATGGATGTGCTGCCTTTCTTGCCCGGCGCCCTGAACGATCCTCAGCCTTGTAGGATGGTGACGCGAGCTCGAGGTATATCATCCTCTGTGCTGCCATCCATTTTCGGTCCGGGTTTGTTCTAAGGTTTACTTCTCTCATATACTCAAGGTGTCTTCATATTACTTTTCGCTCAGCCTACGCTATTCATTTCATCATATTACTTCAAGCTTTATCTGTCCTACATTCCTCTTTCAGATCAGCCTAGTACTCACTTCGGTGGTATCCCCGTTCCCGCTCCACCTCTTCTTGTCTTCCGTAGAGTGTTTTGAAAGCCTCTTGTCAAGTACGTGGTTAGCTTTGGAGCATTGTGGTAGTCGTTGACATGTTAAGCTCCGAGCCTCGAATGGACTACTATGGCGTTTGGCTAGACGAAACCATAAGCCCTTTTGGGCCGAGTCCTTCCTTAACCGCAATATCCGATGGTGGTACAGGACTGAACGATGGAGACATGCCTCTTGAGGCCCTGTTCGAGTACAGCCTCGATCCCAACGACGGGGGAAACTTCACAGGCGATGGCCCACTCATGTATCGCAATGAGACCCCTCCCGAATCCATTGCCGGGTCCTTTTTCTCGCAGGATCTGGAGTTTCCCCGTCTTGACACGGCGGCCCATTCGAAACCGATTGACATCCCCATGTCAGCACCTAACGGGCAGATCATGGTGCCCAAACACTGGGGGTCGGCAAAGGTGGACGCGGAGCTTCAGAAGTTCCCGACTTGGGATCCGGAATATCAACCAGGGGAAAACTTCTTCGACCAGGAGACGGAACTAGACAACTTGTCGGTAGTAGAACGACCGGCTACCGATTCTGTGAATGTACAATTTCAGTACGCACAAGAGCAGTTCGACATTCCACAATCGGCCCATCTTTCGGGCAACTTCAGTTTGTTGACGAGCTTGTTCCAGCACGGCCAGCCGATTCCGATAGCACCGCCCAAGGCGGCTCCGGCACCGCCCGTCTTGAACACACTACCCAAGCCTGTCAACTTGCTCGCTCGGAAGGGCAGTGAGAAGGGAAAGTACGCCGAGAAATCAAGGGTGACCAAACAGAGGTCCCGAGCAAGCAGCTTCAACGGTTCCAACGGCAACAATGTTACAAGCAACAACTTCATGTTGTATGGGCATATGGAAGGCAGTGAGCACCTCCGGTTTATTGAGGGCTCCAATATGAAGAAACCCAAGGGCCGAAAGAATGCGTTGACCCCCGATCAGCGCCGTGATGCTGCCCTGGTACGTGAAATGGGAGCCTGCCAGTCATGCAAAGACAGAAAATGCAAGGTAGGCTGAACTAGAAGCTCTCCCTTTGCTTCTCGTACTGACAGACGGCTCCAAGTGCGACCAAACCGTTCCTTGTCAAGCCTGCATACGCCATTACAAGACGCAGCTGATCTATAAACCATGCCGTGGGTTTATGTTGAACAGCCTTGTGGCCACCTTGATCTGCGCCGAGACATTCCCAACAAGTCGGTCGTTGGATCGATTCCTTGGGAAAGACCAATACTGGGTCTGCAAAGAACAACAGCGTATGCGGTTCAGTTTCGGGTTCGGTGAATCCTTCACACGCAACGTCAGAATCGTGGTACCACGCAATCGGAGCCAGCTCAACCATGAGCACGTGGTCTATCCATGGCCGCCGAAGAAGGATGGCACGGCGACGAAGACGCACGTCAATCACAAGGTCCTTCCAGTCGTCCTCGCGAGGACGGATGACCTTTTTGAAATGCTCGATCGGTACTTGGAGAGGCTCGTGGAGGACCCGGAGAACTTCCGGAGCTTCCCCGTGTATGCCTCGCAACTCGGCGTCCTTCGGCAGATTTATATGTTCAAGCGACGGTCCCAGAGGGTAAGTGGAGCAGTAAGTATTCCATTGCAGCAGGGACTGACAAGCGAATAAGCCCGAAGCCGATATGCTCAAGCAAGCCCTCAAGGCGCTCGTCCTGGTCCACACTGCTGGCAACATCAAAGTGGATGTTGAAGACCCAGGGGTCAAGCCGATCATGGCGATGCATAGGGTCACAGATACCACACGTGTCATGCCATGCTTTGTCCGGGGTCAGCTCGGCGTGGTCATGCCTCAGCTTGCAAAGCGCTTGATGGATACCACGCTCAAGAAAATGGAGCCGCATCTCTACAGCCGGGACTGCGAGGAATGGCCCCTTGTTCTTGCAACGTTCATGGTGCTTCTGATGACAATCGAGAGCATTCAGTACCATGCGGCTAAGGAAGCGTACCACGCGCTCTTTGATCGCATTTCCGCCGATCCCGGGGCCCCAGCCTTCAGTGCGCATACTGGACCGCACAGCAGCAAGATCGATGACAAAACCGCGGTCTGCCTTTTGGAGCAATACAGCAAATGCTTCCAAAAGTGCCACAAGAAGCTGACCATGACCGCACCGAAGACCCTGGCTTCTCCGTCTTCAGTCGGATCCAGAGCTGACCAAGAAGCATGTGATCGGTTCATTGACGACCTGCGAAGCACGATTGAGCGGTGCAACCCGTACCTAGAGCAACGCTGTGAGTTGAAGGTGGACAGGGCCGACAATATGTCCTTTTTCTTTGATCGTTTGGTGGCGAAGCTGTTGCTTCTCAAGTTCTAAAGGCTGAAGACTCTGAGCGGGCTGGGCGGTTGTATTTTGGACTTTTCCTGGCGCCGGCAGCTCCTTTGTTTCTACGGAATGTATAACACGGGCTTTTTCTCGAGGTAGTTGTGGGTTTGCTATAAGTCATTGTGTATTATCAGGTAGTGTTTGAGTATGGGGTATTTGCGTTGACAGTCTGATGGCCTCGACGAATTGCGGTTTTAAGCACGGCGTTGGGGAATAATTTCGGTCGTGCTTAGTTTCTTTGGCTGTACATATTAGCTTGAGCTGCCATATATCAATATCCAATTATCGGTTCCGTCTTCTTGCTGGGCGACTTTGCTCATAAAAAGACATGCAGCTTATGACGAGTCACCCAAGAGCGTATCGACTCTTTCCTGGAATGCGTCGATCATGACACTTGCAACTTTTGGTATTACCGGCAGCGACATTGCCGTGTACAGAGGGTTGTTGAACGCGAACTCAATGCTCAATGTCACCAGCGTCCGATCCATCCCTCTTTGTGATGACCTGACAATGCCTTCTTTCAACCCTTGAGTGACTTCCGACCGATTCTGCAGAGCCTCCACTGTCCACCTGGTTGATAATAGCCGGAATATCGAGTTCCCATTCGTCTCATCTGCATCGTGCCCATCCTTAAGATGATGCGCAATCTCCTCCGGTTTTAGTCTGCTCTGTGACATTCCGGCCACCGCCTCGACAACCGATCCCGGAGCACAATATACCCGGCTGGTGAAGCTCTCTTCCACCGCACCCCATCCTACCACGAGAGTCGCTTCGGACGGCCACTGCTTTCCAGAGATCGCGTCGGGGGCAGACAAGCGCGTCACGACGGAGGATTTGCAGTAAGGCACGAACTTAGAGTAGCGAGAGACATCGGCTACTATGTTATAGATATCGTTCGGAGGATAAGGCAGTGTACGGGACTCATGGACGCGTTGAGGCGGTGGAGCGAAGGCGGAGTTGAGGAATGTTCGGTGACAAGGCGGTTTGGTGAGGAAAGCCGCCAATTGTAAGGACGGACGGGAAAGAGGGATCGGAAAGGATCGACATGATGGCATTGCTCTCTAGCCACCCCCTATGGGCGTGAAACCCTTCGAAAGGATACGAAGAAAGAATATTGGTCCTGGCAGCAATTATTGTCAACTGGATAAAGTCCAGAACGAACCAGACAACTTGATATTCCTTCTCACCCTTGCAAGTTGCAACCCTAGGACCCACATATTGATAAATTTCTTATCGATAAGCCGACAGTTTTGGATTTCCACTTCTTCAAGATTTCACGATCGTCCCATAACCCGTTGTTCATAACACCCTGCTTACAGATATTACGAGATGGACGAGATTAGAGAGGGCGAAATGGCTGAAGCCCAATCGGCTACGCAGAAACGCCAGCAGCTTTCCAAGGGCATGGAACACCTCCGCAGCGTTGTCACCGTCGACGACCTCGCCGAGTCAGCCCCAAACACCGTTGCCGAGACCGATAAAGCATCGACAGCTTTTGAACCGGTCCGGGTACTGCCTCATCGCTCTCACGACCCCGGAAACAATCTCAAGCGCAGCGATCCCTTCCAATTCGGGTCACGATACCTCGAGCAAGGGGACAACATCTTCGAGTTTAATGCCTGGGACCACGTAGAGACGGACGATGCGTATAAAGAGTTTATGGAATCACAATATGCGAAGCAGCGGGAGTCGCCTGTTTCAGAGGCGGATAAAAGTACTTGATACCGCGACAGCGATGTCGATGGAGGTATACCTCCACATCGTGTATGATTCCAGACTGACATGATGGTAGTCAAGTACAATTCCGCGCCGGAGACGTGGTGGGATAAGTTCTACGCTGTAAACACGTCCAATTTCTTCAAGAACCGAAACTGGTTGTTCCAGGAGTTTCCGGTGCTTAAGGAAGTTACTCAACCGACTGCGGGTGAGAAGGTGCTGCTCGAAGTGGGAGCAGGAGCAGGAAATACGGCCTATCCGATATTGGCAAATAACGAAAATCCGACCCTGAGAATCCACGCGTGCGATTTCTCCAAGAAAGCTGTGGAAGTGATTCGAAGCAACGAGGCGTACGATGGCAAGATGGTTCGAGCCGACGTCTGGGACGTTGCCGGTACTGGCGACGCGTCCTTACCGCCTGGCATTGAAGCGGGGACCGTGGATGTAATTCTAATGATTTTCATCTTCAGCGCGTTGTCTCCAGACCAGTGGGCGCAGGCGGTTCGAAATATATGGACGTTGCTGAAGCCTGGCGGCGAGGTCTTCTTCCGGGATTATGGCCGTGGGGACCTAGCCCAGGTGAGGTTCAGGAAGGGGCGGTATATGGGGGAGAATTTCTACGTGAGAGGAGACGGGACGAGGGTCTATTTCATGGCTAAGGAGGAGCTGGAGAGTATCTGGAGCGGTGATGAAGAGTTTTGGAGTCAGAACAGGCAAAACTGGAGGAAAAGTCAGGCATGTCAAGAGGATGACGGTGAAAAGGACATTAGCACAGAGCACGGGGAAGAAGCAAAAGAGAGGTCGGAGAAGAAAGATCAGGAGACAATGGAGGCAATGCCTAAATTTGATGTGCTTGAGGTCGGTGTCGACAATCGGATGCTGGTCAATCGGCAGCGAAAGCTCAAAATGTTCCGCTGTTGGCTTCAAGCACGCTTTCGCAAACCGAAAGAATGATGACACCTATTTTCTCGGATTTGGGCAACCGCTCATGGCTCAATCAACCTTATGTCTACAATTGTCCATATTGCGGTGACAATATGGCCTGACATACTCTCCGTTTATTGCATTGCTGCATCATCATGCCTCATCAAAGATCGGGAAATGGCCACGGAACAAGAGCAACTTTGCCATTCATTCTCTACTGGCGTTAAACTGGATAGTCTCGGCTTCGAGAGTATCCGAATCGATCAGCACGATTGTCCCAGTCTCGGAGAACTTGGGAACCGCGATCAAGCGCACGGACTGGCCAGCCTCCCCTTCGATCACTGTCGTATCGAACTCCGGTTGGTTACCGACGAAGAAGACGTGTGGGCAGTCGTTGATGATAAATGGATCGTCGTCTTGGAATGGAAAAGACCCTGCGAGAGGTTAGAGCTGGAAGGGCAATTGAAACCACCCAGAAAACTTACATAACGTATCAGGCGCAGTCGGGACATTCACACGCCACCGCAAGATGTGTTCCATCATCTGGACCCGGTCTTCAGTGCTGACATACTTGTATATGTCGTCGATTGGTTGCCCGCCATTGCCGAGGAATCGCCAACCGTCAATGTCTCCTTCCCAGGGGTTGGTGACAGCATCTAGCCAACCGGCTTGAGGGTCCTTGTCGATCGGGAGCTTCGAATATGCGCGGCCTTTCGGATATAGCGCAGGATGAAGTGGCTGCTGTGGGAGGGATACATTCACCGGATCACTGGCTCCAGGAAGGACGGTGATGGGTAGTGAAGGCAACAAGGTGGAAAGGAAGGAGTCGAGGTTCTCGGTAGGGGCGGCATTGTACGCAGTTGCATCATAGCCGTACGTTTTTGACGTCGTTTTTCGGATTGCTACTTGTTCTCGTGAGGGTATTGTCGAGGAATTCGCTAGAGTATCGCCAGCAATAATGAGCCGCGAGATTTTCGTTGCCTCCGTCTGCTCTTCGTCGCCTAGCGACTCGCCGAGGAGATATTCTGTCAGGAGATCGAGCCGCAATTGGGAAAGAGAATCGTCCCCGATCCCTAGTCCGCTCACCACGGCAATCTTTCCACAATTTGGTCTATTTTTCTTGATTTTGCCTTCGTCAATATCGTCACGCTCCCATCGTTGCGGCTGGCGGGGAAGGTCGGCAATCCTCGTGTCAAGGACTTCGAATTCGCCATCTGCATTCTCAGTACCAAGCGCTGCAACGATGCATCCTGTGACTAGCAGCTCTGATTGTAGCCAAGATCCGGTGAGACGCAGCCGGCCGGACTCGTCTTCCACCATGACCCTTGTTCCATCGTCGTCTTTGATATACTTGTGTCGCAATGGTGGCGCTGCAATCCAGTGCTATGAATAGTCAGACCAGAACTGATTAGCTTCCCACAACGTACTGGTCCTTACCTCTTTTGATATATCATCAAGAACATTGGGTTTCAGTGGCATTTCCATATAGATCGTGCCAGTTACCCAACACAGCTCACCTTGACGGACATCTAGGACTCGCTCAACTCCACGTGCACGTATCCCTCCGACCTATGTATCCATTAGCCCTATGTTCTCTCGGCGAGAAATATCGCAATGAGAGGAACACAATAAGACCAACCTCGAAGTCATGCCATGATTCGGTAGCGATCTTATCGACGACTGGCTTCAATTTCGCTAACCGCAGGAAGTACAGATCCGCATACTGTTGTTGATAGTGTTTTTGTTCGCCTCTTGGTAGATCGAAGGTATGGAGGGGGTTGTAGAAGGATTTCTGGCGGGTTCGCTCTGGTGGTGTGGTTGATCTGCGCCCAGTTAGTATCTGATAGTATCTGATTGCAATGCATAAAGAAATGCTAGGACCTACGAAGGAGCCTGTAATAGAGGATTGGCCATTGTGTTTAAACTCACTGAAGGTTATAAAACATTTGGGGTTGAAATCTTATATTCCCGTGTATCTGTAGCCTGAACGTGATAACGTGATATGTAAAGCGTAGCGAAGGTGTTGAACTTTTGAGTCGCGATACTCTAACTCTCGCAGTCGCGCCTTGACGCGTTCCTGCCCATTGGCGATTCATGTGGTCAGCATACCAGGGCTGTCATTGGCCCCTTCTACTGGGAATTCCCCCCTAATTCAGCGGCTCTTACTCGTGGGTTCCCAGTCAAACGCTAGAGAGCGCCACATGTCGGAGCCACACCTGGCCAGCCAGGGTCTACGTGTACTGTGGACTGCCCAGAACGACTTGACGTCATCAGTGGATTTAATTTGTATTCGCAGAGTGACACAGACCCAGAATGCCATCACGGTGCAAATAACGATCCCAACTTCCAAGGAAAGATCCGATGGAACTTGGAAGACATCAGGATAAATTCGTAAGGAAGCATCTTTGATCTTACACGTACACCGGAGTCCGGAATGGATTAAGTCGAACTACTGTCCTTGCCTTTTTCACGATAGCTCTCGTGTGCGTATTTGTTTGAAGAATTTCCATATCCGCAATGGCGGACGGTGAGGAGGATACACGACATACCCAACGAAATTACCTGGGCCCCTATACACCGAAGAATCCAATTCCAACTATCCAACACTATCAAGAAGTAAAGCAACAGCGCCGTAAAAATGCGCAGTTATCAAGAGACGATACCGGTGCCGGTGCATCGGAAGATCTTCAGGAAGAAAATCAAGATCCTACCTACGACCTAGGCAGGGAAGAGCTGGATGGCCCGTATAAGAGTCGAAATCTGAATATTGTAAATGCTTCGGCATCTTCTCAGGGCAGCAAAGAAGAGCGTGACGCAAACGGAGTGGACAAGGAACAAAATGGAGGGCTGGATCGAGTCAAAGAAGGGCAGGGAGAGGAGAGTCGGCCCCAGGGGGAGTCCGAGACTATGGAAGACACATCTGAGATGATACTGGGGGCTCAAGATCCCAAACAAAGGAGAAAAGCAATGAAGAAGCGAAGAGATGAGGGCGCAGAGCGGCAGGTGACAGACCCTGTCACCCATCTTCCAGTCCAAGTTCACGATTTTACTGGCAAGGATCTGAAGAGCACACCGCGGAATAACGAAGTGCTAAATCTGAAGCATGAGTCGACGACGAGCTTGAGCGGGTTAGACGAGGATCGATTGGAAGACGACAGGAGGGTTGCCCAGGATGGCGTCATGCAAATGCTCAAGCTATTTCCGCCTCCACAGTTCGATCAGGCAAAAGAAAACTTTGCAAGGCAGAGCCGAAATTTGTTCATCTGGGTATCGACTGGAGTTGCTCTGGTGACTCTTTGTCTCTTCCTTGTGGCAACACTATTTAATGTGTCCGAACCGTTTGGTCGGACTTCATGGAAAGGCGTTGCCATTAGGACCATCCTCTCGACGGTGCTGATTGCAATCCCTGCTGTCGGGTCCATTTTCTTCTTAAGCGGGGTCCTCGAGAGGAAAGCAAGGGGCATTTGGGACTCTGAAGTATGGGAAGCAGAAAGGCAGGAAGGCAAAATGATTGCGAATTCCATGAAAATTCCCGAATCTGCGCAATGGCTGAACTCCTTGATTGCGTCGGTCTGGCCCCTAATCAATCCAGACCTCTTCACGAGCCTGGCGGACCGCTTGGAGGATGTCATGCAAGCCAGTTTGCCAAAGACGGTGCGGATGGTGAGCGTTGAAGATCTAGGGCAAGGAAGCGAGTCGATCCGAATCCTTGGCGTTCGATGGCTGCCGTCTGGAGCGGCAACCGAATCCGTCACATCGGAAGGCAAGGTCCAATCCTCGGAGGAATCTAAAGAAGAGCATGGCAAGGAAGCAGAGGACCAAGGAGCAGAGACCATGGAGGCTGAAGAAGGGGACTTCATCAATCTGGAGCTGGGCTTCTCTTATCGTGCCCGGGCAGAATGGAAGGGTTTGAAGAATCGATCAAAGCAGGCGCATCTTTATCTTGCCTTTTATCTACCCGGAAACATCAAGTTTCGTACGTACTCTCTTCCGGTATGCGGACTATTGCTAACCAGTCTCCAGCCGTTTGGGTGGAATTACGAGGGATTGTTGGTATCATGCGAGTCCGACTTCAGCTGACCCCTGATCCCCCGTTCTTTTCTTTGGCGACGATAACATTCCTGGGTCAACCGAAAGTGGATCTTTCATGTGTTCCGTTGATGAAGAAAGGATTGAACATCATGGACCTTCCCCTGATATCAAACTTCGTCCAGAGCGCCGTCGATGCTGCGACCGCGGAGTACGTGGCACCCAAAAGCCTTACCTTGGACCTGAAAGACATGATCGTCGGAGATGATTTTAAGAAAGACACCAGTGCACGCGGCGTAATGGTTATACGGATCATTCGAGCCTTCGATTTCAAGCAAGGCGACGCCGGTTTTGGCCCATTCAAGGAAGGTAGCTCTGATGCCTACATCAGTGTCGGTTGGGCCAAATTTGGAAAACCGTTGTGGTCCACAAGAGTCATTCAGACTGACATGGAACCATGGTGGGATGAGACCGCATACGTCCTGGTTACCCCAGAGGAACTGAACGTAAATGAAAGCTTGAGGATCCAGCTGTGGGACTCAGATCGCTTGACTGCGGACGACGACCTTGGGCGCATCGAGCTGGATCTTAAGACGCTCATGCGCGACCACCAAACCAGTGGCAAGATGTGCGATAGAAGCGACGGTTTTAGAGCATTGAAGAAAGGCCATAGCATGCCTGGAAAATTGGAATGGAGTATTGGCTATTACTCCAAAACAAGGCTTCTCGACTCTCAGATTGCCCAGCAGGACGATGATACCGATATCAAGTCTATGAAACAGCTAGAAGAGAAGGTGGAAGCAGAAAGCAAGGGAAAGCTTCAAGAAGCGAAGAGAAATGAGAAGAGCGAATTTGAGCAGCAAAAGGCACAGGACATGAAGGCAATGCAAGACGATATGATCGGCAATGTCCCCCCCCCAGAAGAGTACCCAAGTGGAATTCTCTCGATCCAAATCCATCAAATCACCAATCTCGAACTTGAGGCGACAAACAAAAATCAGACGGCAGCGAAAGAGTCCCGAAGCGACGAAACGGAGGAGGGCGATGACTTACCTAGCGGCTATTGTACCATCATCCTCAACCATTCGAAGATCTTCCGGACTCGAACGAAGCCGAAGAATTCGAAGCCATTCTTCAACGCCGGATGCGAGCGATTTATCCGCAATTGGAAGACGACCGAACTCCACGTGTCTGTACGCGACTCTCGAGTGCACGAGGATGACGCGCTTATGGGAGTGGTATACCTGCCGCTCGCCCATATTCTCAAACGACGGTCCCAGGTCAGTGAGTTCTTCCCTCTTGCCGGAGGGGTTGGATTTGGTCGGATACGGATTTCTCTCGTCTTTCGATCTGTCCAATTGCAATCACCACGACAAATGCTCGGGTGGGACTATGTGACCTGCGATATCTCATCAGGGGTCAAAGTCATTGACGGCTGCGAAGGGTTGGAGAACTGCAAGATCAAGTTCAGGACAAACGCTGGGAAAGGCAAAATGAAACCGTCGGGCCAAGTTGAAGACAAGCATTCATGGGAGACAAGAAAGAAAAGCCCGATAATGCTCGCTGTAAGGAAACGGTACTCCACGGCCTTACTGATCAAATTCCAACTTTCCTCCACCTTCGCCGACAAGACGCCTGCTTTTGCCGTCTTGTGGCTTAAGGATGTAGCGGATGAAGAGGATCAATCGTTCCAACTTAGCGTCTGGAAAGGGGATGTTGAGAGAGCGATAAAATGCTCCATGCCAGAATACGGGCAAAGAGTCGGGACGATCGAGATGCACATGAAGCTTTGGAGCGGCCTGAGCGGTTGTCACGCTGGACTCGCAAGCAACAACCCGAACCTTGAGGACATCATGGAAGTCCTGGACTGTACCAATGCCAGCGATGACGTCTCCGACACTGGTCCCGAACTTGATGCAAATGATAGCAGCGATTCGGATTCGGATTCCGAAGGTGACGAAGAATCGCTGTCAAACTCCGGAAGCAGGGGCCCGATTAGGGAAGCCAAAGAGTACAGGAATAATGCGAAGGACCTACACCGGAAGCATAAAGGAATGATGCAGTGGAAGGTAAGTTCATCTCCGGATCTTCTATCAACCAGATTCGGCCTCGACTAACTATTCCAGGGGCCTCGAACACTCCAATGGCTGAAGCACAAAGCCGAACACGGAGGACAAAGAGTAGAGGGACTGTTCAAGCATCATGACCGGAATTCTGGTTTCGAGACTGAGGTTTGACGTTTTGGTTACACCGGATGCTGTCAGCCAGCAAGGCTTCTTCGCCATCCAACCAGAGCTTGAAGGTCTCGGAATGTACTCTGTACCTGAACAGGTGTCATTTGCATCATGTTGCGAGGATAACAGCGTGGCATGTAATTGCAGAGCCGCAATTCCACTACCACAGGAGAGCCGGAAGGGGAGGTGTCCGATGATTTGACCGGAGTGGACAGTAATCCTCGACCCTTCGGGTCGGATGCTCGCCGGACTAGAGCTACATGATATTCATGAGGGTGCCTGCAGGGCAACTTCACGAGACAGCCTAAATCGAAAGAGCCAATCTGTAGTCCATATGGGGGTCTCAGTTGGGGGTTGGCGTGATGTAGGGTGATGTAGGAGTCCCGAAGCCAGCTGCTGCCAGTTCACTTCAGTGACCGGAAAGAGATATACTGTCCAGAGCTTAATCTGCTGCGGCGTGTATTCTGTTGTAGTCAAGCCGCCTTGGTCAGAACACCGCCCGATGATAGTTTAACGGCGGAGCGTCGATGATGCTTATATTGATTCCAATCAACAGCGACCTTCTCGCCTTCAAATATCAATGCGTTACCGTTGGATTTCGAGGTTTATATGAAGAAATGGCGGGGATCCCAGCACCCACTTCTGCACAGCCTTGCTGATCTCCCGACCCAGTCTGTTGGCTAAGATCGCACAAGGCCGCGGCCTACTACGTACGGACAACAGATCCGCAATCTGCAGTCTGAGAATTAGCGTTCTTGTCTAAACCAAAGTCTGGTCAAGCCTGTCAAAGCGTGGTTGGGCGGTGGCTGAGCTGGGCGTTGGAGAGCGGGGACAGGGCTTCTTCTCCAGTTCAGGGATTTCCTAGCTGATTCCCAATTCGTCTCCGGTCAATTCAATAAGTGCTCACCGGCCACACGGCGGGATGACTGACCACCCGATCGTTCCAGTGGGTTTTTTCCTTCTCGCAAACAGTTTCAACTTTCAAATGAACGATTCTTGATCCGTGATGCAAGCGGTCGATTGTAGCGCGTCTTGGCGATCCCGGTGATCTTGGTTCTACGTCCTCTTATTGCTTGCACCTTCCGCCCTCTTGTCTCATTCTCGCTGCCTTGCTCCGCCCTCGAAACAGGATACCGAGAAAGTCATCGAGGCAACTGTGATAGTATTATTGATGCCCATCTGTCCCTCTCACCGAAGCCCAGATTTCGTCACTTTGAGAGTGCCACGAAGTCGTTCTTTTGGACCGCGAGATGACGGCTTTTTGCGACGCGACCCGAGAGAGTATTGGGGCATTTGCACGACTTTCACCGGCGTTTAATACCATCGGGGAATTTGAAGAACAGAATGACCAATTTTATGGTTTCCCGACCGAATCGGGTTTCTCTGCAGTTGGAGTCTCCCCGAGTGTATGGTCAACTGAGGTGGATCTAGACTATATTGGATCCGCATCGCTGAACATCGACATCAATCTCAACTCGCAAGATTCAGACCTGTCGGTCTCTCCTTCAACGGTGCCGCTTATGAACCATAATCCGCCGATGATTCTGCAAGCAAGGTCAATACAAGGTCCCAATGGCTTCCCGCATCAGCGGATGACGCAGCGGGAGAGCACGAGGGACCGATATACTGGGGATTTTACACAGCGGGCGTCGCGATCCACACAAAGTAATACTCGAAGTTTATTTATTAGAGGATCATTAGAACTAACTATCTAATAGCAAGCCAGTCGACCTATGCGCCATTCCAATCTTCTACACCAGCTGTCCGGACGCCATTCGGATCGAGCGTTGATGCCTTTCAACATGACGCTCAATTCAGCGCTGTAAGCTATGACACGCGGCCACGAGGGGCATCTTTTAGTTTTGAAGAAGAGCCATGGTCCCCTGAGATACCACAGCATCGGCCATCTGATGCTCCCCAGCCAGATTTCAATCTTTTTGGACCCCCTTCAGACAATACTCCGGAACGGGTGCTCGGCTCCTTTGGTGAGGCGCATAGCTATATCCAATCTCATACCGGATCCTTCCCATCGGATAGCCCCATCAGCCCTGGCTTCATGTCGTCAAGACAACTTTCAACTTCATCTTTTGACCGGGGAGATCAGGCTCCGATACGGATATCAAGCCAAGGCCTTATCACTGACACGACGCTATGTGTGCCAGGGTCCAGTGTTGTGCGGCACCCTCTATCAGAATATTCGGATAGGATATCCATAGAAGGAGCGCTTTCTTCTGGGGCCCCATCGGACCCGGATTGGTGTTTGATACACCACATGTCAGAGTCGTCTGGAAGCCCATTACCAACTGAAAAGGAAGAGCCGGCAAGTCCGCACTCCTCCTCTTCAGAATTTAAAACGAGCACTGTCTTTGTCAACCAATTTCAAACCGAGGCTATTCCAGCTGTGAAACAAGAAGCCACGCCAAAAGGTCCTGCTCGTCGGACGAGCAAGCGGCCCGGCGGACGGGCTCGCGGAACCCATTTGACACAGGACAAGGCGGAAAAAGTCAAAGAGCTCCGAGACATCGGATCCTGCTGGCTATGTGCGATCCAAAGAGACGAATGCACCCCGGGGAGCCCCTGTGACCGATGCTACAAGCGTGCCCTGCGCCCGCAAGCAGACTTGATATTGGGATGTGACCGGACAAAGCTCCCTGATCTCAAGGACTATTTCATCCCGGATGTAATCACGTCGATGCATGATACGAATACGTTGAAGAATTTCGTGAATCGACATATCCGCCGCTTCACCGGGAATACCATACGGATCAAGTTTACGTTTATCTACGGCTTGCCTGGCCTAGACCATGATGTTGTGGAGTTTGAACCGAAGACGAATGAGCTGCTGCGACAGTTTCAGTACATAATCGACCCGGCTACGGGCCGGCAGGATCGAGTGGAAAAGGCATCGCCTCCGCTTGGGATCACGAAATTTGATAACGAGGACACGAAGATATGGGAAAAGTATCTGAATGATCTGGTGGAGCACCATCTGGATGGCTTTGCGGAAATATGTTTTGAGGATGAGCCTAATGATTTCCAATTCCGACTGCTGAAGCTAATGTGCAATTTGAAGCCCGAGGATAAGAACGAGGTATGTCTCAACGCTCCTATCTCGTGCCGCTTACTGACGAGTCACAGAAACTGCTCCTTCGAGAGATGTTCCGATTGCTCATGGTCACTTACATCATGGGACATACCGTGACCATCCCCGACGCATCACGCGAGCAATATCTCTCCAAGCTCAAGAATTTCCGGAGCGCCCCGTACGGCCGCGACTGCTCTCCCCGCATGGCCAACCGGCAATTCAAATATTTTTTCCTCACACTGCACAAGGAGATCATGAACTCGGTCCTCCGCAAACTGCAGTTCCTCATCCGTAGCAGCAAAGGGTGCACCAAATGGACGTCCGCCTTCTGTACGATCCTGGGGCTCGCCATGGTCCTGGAAGATCAGCAGCGGACGATCCACCTAGTCACTGATACGGATTTTGCGCAAGGCAAGATCACCGCGGAGCGAGCGGCCCGGCAAGCGGAGGATACGTGTCGCGTGATCGACGACCAGTTCCTGTTCCTGGCGAGTCTCTTCCGATGGAAATATAACCGACAATTCAACCCGCTTCGGGATGGGGTGGATAAGAAGAACGAGAAGATATTTGGGCCGCGAGCGATGCTGTTCATCAACGAGGTCGACAATTTGGTGCGCGAGAAATGTGAGTGCTTGCCTTGCGTGATCCGGCTTCCATGGAACGTTTATTGACGAGATTGGCAGCCGAGTATCTTCGTGCCCGAGAGCACATCAATATCTCAACGGAGAATCAGGAGAAGTACACGTCCCGACTCGTGTCTCGATTCCTGCTCTCTTTCTTTGGACCAGAGTCGCCATCGTCACGATAGTGCTTATACACGCTGGATTTTCAAACTTACGTCCTTGGATCCTAGACAGGATCACGAATTACGGCCCTTGACATGACATAACAGATGTTTTCAAATACGGATGACTTTGTAATACCCGGATGACTTTGTATTTTGGTATCTCATGTATATGCTACCATAGTTTAGCATTCCGGTTAGCTTTCATTTGAATATCGCCTCTACAGGGCGACTATTGCACCCATCTGATTGCATCTATGCGAAATGCTGCGTTCGCCTGCTCATTGGGACACTGGATGGCGTGATCCGACATCCTTTCCGTCGATCTTCAATATAACCACTTCCTCGATCTCCCGGCTACGCGACTCCAAACGTAACCCGAATCCAAAGGCTACACCCTCTACACCCCACCACTAGTTCCCCCGTACTCCTCCCCTCCACCAACGCCCCTTCCAGCTCCCCTTCCGTAACCACGAACCCCTCCTCCTCTCCACACCGACACGCCCACGACCACCGCTCCCGCGCCTCGTCAAACGCCATCTCCTCCAAATCTACCGTCTCCAACCCATCGTCATCCCGCCCCGTCCCGCTCGGCAGCGTGCCGTCGGGCGTCGTCACCGCGCCATTCCGTCGGAGGAGCAGGTCGCGGTCGTATACGCGCCGGGATTCCGGGTCGGCGAGGGTGGCGTAGGCGTGTTTGATCTCGTCGATCGTCGGCGGCGGCGCGGCAGATTTGCTCAGGGAGAAGCCATGCTCGGGTTCTGGGAGGCGGACGGCAAGCTCACTGTCTCGGAGTGCTTTATCGGGGTGGAATCGTAGGAGGGTGCGGTGGTAGGCGGTCTTGAGGGTCGCGGGTGATGGTGGGCCGTCGCCGGAGGGGGTTGGGAGGGAGAGGATTTCGTAGTGGTTCATGCGACTTGGTGTAAGCGAGGGAGAGACATACAGGGATTGAGCCAGGCCTCCTCGCAATGCCTCATCGATTCGAGGGTGAATTATCCATGTTGGAAAGTTAAAAGAAAGAGTATGTTCTAACGGAGTGGGTGGAAAACCGGCATCATATTCCGGGTTGCTCCGTATATTTCATACTTTGGCCGGGCCCGTGATCGGCATCCAAACTCGACAATCGACACATCGTCATCATAGCTTGTTTTCAAGTGCTCACTTTCACGTAACATCGATCAAGTTGCCGTGTATTTCCAATCGAGAATATGGCTTCGTCAACGATCCCCCGGTTTCTGCTCCCAAGAATTTCTTGGAAAACACCCGGCGCAGTCGGAAGAAGAGCAAGGGAATCCGTCTCGCAATGTCGCGGTCTACATATCGCAACTCGATCTCCGGCCGGTTATATATACGCTCAACGAAAGGTTGCATTCTCGAATGGCGACGCTCCCAAGTCGAGGTCCGAAGCGACGAGGCAGGCAGGTTTGGCCTCCGCCATTCAACGCCGGACGTTCGCCAGCACCGCTCGGAGACAGCGAGACCACCATTTCGACACGCTGAAGTTCGTTCAGCGGCTGAAGGAGGAAGGATTCACGGAAGAGCAAGCCGTAGCGATGATGAAGATCCTCGGCGATGTTATTGAGGAGAGGTACGATCCTGTCCCGCACTCTATCACTCTACTTCGTTCCAACTAACGAATCCTATCTCTATAGCATCCAAAACCTCACCCGCACCATGGTCCTCCGCGAAGACCAGGAAAAAACCACCTACACCCAAAAAGTCGACTTCGCGAAACTCCGCTCGGAGCTGCTGACTGCCGATTCCACCGAGTCGTCCCTGACGCGCGGGTCACACGACCGCCTGACCAACGAGATCGCCAAGCTGAACTCGCGGCTACGCGACGAGATCCAGCGGACGCAGGCGTCGGTGCGGCTGGACCTGAACCTCGAGAAGGGGCGCATCCGTGAGGAGGCGAACGTGCAGGAGATGAAGCTCAAGGAGACGGAGACGCGGATCGAGCAGGAATCGGCAGTGCTGACTGAGCGGTTGGAGGCGGTTAAGTTTTCGACGTTGCAGTGGCTGATGTGAGTAATTTGAACACTTTCGGCGTAGTTGCGGCAATTATGCCTTGCATTGCGGCTACTTTCAACGGAGATGGCCAGGCATACTAACTGGATTTGCTTGTAGGGGCGTCGCAACGGGTACGGCAGCGTTGATTCTTGGTGCTTGGAGACTGCTCATGTGAGATGGATGACGAGCAAGATGGCGATGAACCGTTAGTTTCAACGAGGCTAAGTTGGACCAATAGCTTCCTGGATCTACTATTGTTCGGGCAAACCATAGCGCACCGATGTGAAATGATGTTCGATCTGATCTGAGACCCACAGCGGTTGTTTAATGTTGTTTCGACATGTGACCTTGGTGTTGTTGTGATCGAAAAGTTGGCCATGGTCTCTCAGCCTCCCAGACCATCAAGAGAGGCCGGAACAGGCTTCATCTGCTGTGCTGGACGTGGGTTGCTGCAGTTACATGGGTACCTTCAATTTCTTCGCAGCCAGTGGGAATCCGAGATGGAGGGGGCGACCACTGAATTGTAGACATGTGCAGATGGATATGTACTAGCGAAATACCTGCCCACGATGACCGGTCCCAGGAGGGCGAAGCACTCTGGTAATTTTCCCGCATATTTGGCGGATAATACAGTAACGCCGGTGTCTACGCCACTCTGGTATGGGGCCGGCCATGACGTTCTAGAGGGTTCGGAGATGAGTTGGACACATGCCGCCCTTTGCATCAACCTGATTCAGTGCGATAACGCGTCTCCGTATATTTCACTTGTCACTTGTCAGGATGATTTAAAGGCACCGTATCCTAGTCACGCAATCCAAAGTAACACGACTACACGGGGGCAGTAGCGCAACTAATGGACAGTAGGAGTAACAGTGTACTGGAATTGTGTGGAGTGAGCTGGTACGATGGTTGTAGATGTTGCCATGTTGGGGGTCGGGGGAGTGAGAAGAAGGGCGGAATAATCACGATCATCAGTATGGTTGTTTGGCTAGGGGTAAGGGTAACACACCATCCATTCCATTGATGACTACATATCTCATATAGGCTGTGAGGGAGAAATGGTTGAATCCTGCTGAGTGAAACGGTGTATCATGTATGAGTTGTTTCCAAGTCTCTCCTCCCAACCGTCCAAGTCTCCCACTCCGAGTCAAGTGTCAACCCCGTGACCGACTGCGACTTCCGTCTGAGGGGCATTCCCAACACAGACTAGCGTGACTTCACCGTAGAGCGCAGTCGCAACCCAGCGCTGCTCCTGCCCTCTCGCATTTCCCTCCACCACCTCCACCACCTCCACCACCGCAGCCAGACCTTCTTAGTTCTTTTCCATCAACAACCTCCCACTTCCCCCACACAATCCCCATCTGACACCACTCAACCCGTTCCATTTTCTTCGTTGACCATTCCACGACCCAACTACTACTCTCCTCCACATCATCTCCACGATGACTTCTGAAGTGAGTACTCTCCTACCTATACCCTCCAGTGCTTGCGCTCGCGCCCGTGTCTGCTACATCATACCCCTCTAATCGTTCCGTGTATTGTTGATAACCGTTTCCTGGTCGCTAACATGCCTTTCTGCATCGCAGCGCGAGAAGTACGTGATCTTGACTCCGAGTATTCCTCAACTATGGTGGATTGACCGTATCCAACAGCAAAACCTTCCTTGCCCGGCTGTGCGAGCAGGCTGAGCGTTACGATGGTGTGTCCACTCCCTCCACACCTCCACATCCTCTCCGCCAACGATGAAACATGTTACTGACTCGCAGCAACGTAGAGATGGTCACGTACATGAAGGTAAGCTGGGAGCGACGATGACTGTTTACGAGCAAATTTTGACTGACTCTCGCCATAGGAAGTTGCCAAGGTACGCCTTCCCGATCCAGTTTGAGGCGCCTGCAGCCGCGCGATTACATGAAGATGCGGTCCCATGTAGATTACATCCCATCTAACACCACCTTGCTCACAGCTCGGCGGCGAACTCACCGTCGATGAGCGTAACCTCCTGTCCGTGGCCTACAAGAACGTCGTGGGCACCCGCCGCGCCTCGTGGCGCATCATCTCCTCCATCGAGCAGAAGGAGGAATCCAAGGGCTCGGATAAGCACGTCTCAACCATCCGCGATTATCGTCAGAAGATCGAGACCGAGCTTGAGAAGGTCTGCCAGGATGTGCTGGACGTCTTGGACGAGAGCCTGATCCCCAAGGCTGAATCTGGCGAGTCCAAGGTGTTCTACCACAAGATGTAAGTTCTCCCGAACCTGACATTATCTGGTTGAAAATGCAGCTTCAATGAGGTCCTGGCCGTACGGTTGTTGTTAGAGTTCTAACTCATGAATTACAGGAAGGGTGACTACCATCGCTACCTTGCCGAGTTCGCTTCTGGAGACAAGCGCAAGAACGCTGCTACTGCCGCGCATGATGCCTACAAGGTGAGACGAAGCAAATTCGTTGCCGCCTGAGCTCCAACTAACAGGGACTTTAGAACGCTACCGATGTTGCTCAAACGGAGCTCACCCCTACCCATCCAATCCGCCTGGGTCTGGCGCTCAACTTCTCCGTGTTCTACTACGAGATCTTGAACTCCCCTGACCGAGCTTGTCATCTCGCCAAGCAAGCTTTCGATGACGCCATCGCTGAGCTTGACTCGCTTTCTGAGGAGTCGTACCGGGATAGCACTCTCATCATGCAGTTGCTCCGGGACAACCTCACCCTGTGGACGTCATCGGACGGCAACGAGCCTGAGGCGGCCGCGGAGACGAAGGCCGAGCCGGCCAAGGAAGAGACCAAGGCAGAGGAGCCAGCGCCTGCACCGGAGCCCGCGAAGGAGGAGCAGCCCGCTGCTGCGGCTTAAACGGTCTTCTTTTGCGTCGTCCCAGTCCATCGATCGCGTGAGACACGTTTCAAAGATGTTTCATCTCCTCCCACCTCGCCCTCTCTTCGATCGCAGATGATAAAACGGATATCATAGACGCAGGCACACCTGCCGGTGTTCTGAGGTAGCTGGACTCTAACGCATCGGAGAGCGGAGATAGACAATAACACGAGACTCATGGAGAACGTAGCCTTCGCAGTCGAGGGTCTCTTGGCACCGGCACAGGCACAGTTCGGCGTCGTCACTCATGTTTGGCACGGCTATTCTACAGGTCATTCTGGCAGCTGATATCAATCTCGTTGACCCTTGCGTTTTCCCTTTCCTTTTATCCAACATCCCCTTCCTGAAATATCCAGTCTCGACCATCATGTTATGCTTCCCCCCGATCACAGCACCCCTTTCCCTCTCTTTTCGTCGTGCTGCGCAAGCTCCGTTCAAAATTGGTTTCCCTTACACGTAGCGATAGGTGATGGATAGTCCTCTAAACGAGGTTATCCGGGCATGATATCAAAATCAGAAGTATTCTATGGATGTCTGTCTCCGCTGTGATTGAGATGGCGACATGAATGCCGAGGACGTTGATAGTGTCACCTTCGATTGCCAATATTCCTTCCAAGTGCCCCCCATGATCCATGCAGGTATTGTATTTGCAAGCGATTTTGGTCCATCTGAGCGTTTTCTGGTAGAAACATCAGATGTGGTACGTAGCCTTCCGTGGCTGAAGCGGACCCAGCCGTGTGACGGTTTCCCAGCCCGGCGCTTGCAGAGTGAAACTCACCCCGTCACCACGCATGTCCAAAGCGAGCGCATGTCTCGCGATGGGCCGTATCCACCTTGCATCCGAGCGAGCCTATCTAGATCATAGAAATGTAAGGAATCGCTAGACGACCAGGAATCGGATGACGTGGATGGACAACCGTGAGAAGTGGGAAATGTGCGATACCGTCCACGTCGCGGTGATTGGCGCACGCGGGGCATCGGGGAACTTTCTAAGCGCGCTGTTGTCCCCCCCCTCCACTCTTCCCTGGTGGCCCATGATGTGGCCAGCCCCTTGGCGAATTGACGATGAGGACAGGCTTGGGATACTTGTACTCTTCGGGCTGGACGGGCGGCTAACTTACTGTTTATTCGTCGCCGGGGCTGGGTGGGACGTGAGAGACTTGGATTTGGACGCTTGAGGCTCCTTGTCAAGGACCACATCGCCGCCCAAGCACCTGATACTATTAGGTATTGATCACGGCCATCATTTCTCGAATCTCAATCTGTCGCTGTAATTATACCTACTCAGCCCATCCCTCTTTTAGTTGGGGTTTCGAGTTTGATCTTAACTTCTTGACTTGATTCCTTCTTACTCTAAACATTGTATCCGTCTATAACTCCACCTGGAAGCTTGGGTTCACCCGCACTCCACTTCCCCGCCGAGTCCATCTCGGTCAGGGCATATTGACTTGGTGCGCTTGCATCACCGCAACCGGAACCCCACGACCACTCCCAAGCGACGATGGACTCCAACGGCCGCCGTCACGGCCGGCCTGAAGAGGAACTGTTCTTCAAAAAACCCACCGACGAACCCGACACTCCCACCGTCGGTCCGTTGCGCATCAACAAAGCCAGCTCTCCAGAAGCCACCAGCAGCGGGAGCGGGAGCGCCGCAGACGTGGTCCCAGGCCATCCAGCGTTCTCCTTCCCCGCCCCTCCCACCGCGTCGAACCCGCTACCATATCCCGACGATCGACCCCCCCAGGCTGCCGGCGGCCGCTACACCCCCCTCTCCGAGCGCGACCGCACCTCGAAGAACTCGACTCCGGAGAGCGGCCGACCAAGGGAAGACAGCACGTCTCAAGGGTCTCCCCGCGCGCGATTCAGCGCAAACGATCCGAATCGCCCGACCCTGTCGGGATACGCGCATGCGCCCACCGGGTTTGACGGGCGGACGACCTCGCCGCAGAGCTCCTCGCTCTCGGAGCGCCGGCAGAACGTCCCCCGGCCGCTCCCCGAATCGCCGGGCCCAGATGCGCCGGATAAAGAGGGCCTGTTCCAGCGACCGCCGCAGAGGGGGCCCGCTGCAGTAGCTGCAGCTGCCCCGCAGGATGGGGGGCGGAGACCATCGCAGGCGGAACTGAACCCGTACCCGGAGTATCATCAGCAGTACTGGCCTCCCCCCAACTCGGGAGGGCCAGACGGGAGTAAGAGCAGTGCCGGGGGGGGAGAACTGAGGATTCCCAACCCCGCGGGTATTAATCGATTGAGCTCGACGGCGTCGACGTCGACGACGCGAGCGCAGCGAGGGTCTCCGCCGCCGCCGGAGACTCCAGCGGCGGAGACCATGCCCGGGGGCGGGATTGAAGCGCGATTCGCTGCCGCTGGGGTGGCGGGAACGGGGACGTTGACCAACATGCAAGCGCAGAATCTGGCGGCGGCGCAACGGGCGCAGCCGTATCAAGGACTGCGGCCGAGGACAGAGAGCGCGGCTGCACAACAGCACCAGCAACAGCCGGCAAGAAGACCGTGGACGCCTACTGAGGATCCGGGGAGCCAGCCGCATGGTCCTCCTACTGTCTATCATGGAAATTCCGAAGTGACAACATCGCCACCGCATGGGGCGGCAGGACAGATGTCCCCCCCAGGTACTGCTGCCGCTCCGGGACGTCTCCCTGCCGAACATCCGATCGAGCATGATATGTCGCGGCTCAACATCACTGAGGAACCACCGCCAGCATATTCAACTTTGCAAGGGGCCCCTCAAGGGGGTCCTGGCGGCGTGACGGCTCGGGGATATCCGAACGAAAAGCACCCAGGAGCAGCCGGAGCTGCTGTGGGTGGCGCTGCGGTCGGCGCTGCGGTCGGCGCTGGCGTCGCAGGAGCCGCTCTGAGCCAACCTACGGCGACGACCGCTCCGATTCCCGCGGCGGGAGGCACCATGCCTGCAGCGGGACATCAAACGCATCCCGCGTTCGCAAACGATCCACGGCAGCAAACCGGATCTCCTCAAGCAGGACCATCGGGGACCCAGCAACCGGCGGTGAACACCTCGCCAGCCCCTGGGCAGGCACCGCCAGCGTCGCCACCTCCACTCCCGGAAGGCTGGATCGCGCATCTGGATCCTAACTCGGGACAGTATTATTATATCCACCTGACGACCCAGTCGACCCAGTGGGAGTTCCCGAAAGGACCGACACCCTTGAATCTGAACGAGCCGCTGTCTCCAACGGGGACGTTTGTCAATCCGCTGGCATCTCCCACGGTGGCTTCGTTCGGAAAACCGCTCGCGTCGCCTGGATTGCCAATCGCCCAGAGTGCAACGTACCACGACGGCATGGTTGGCGTTGCTGGACTCGCGAGCCCGACCGCCGCAGGGTTTACCGGGCCTCCACCCTCCGCGGGTGTGGATGTCTACAAGGTCCAGCCCACCAACGGCGTCTACTTCGGACCCTACCTCCGCTACACGAACATGGACATCGAGCGTGGCCTGTGGCTCGGCTCCATCCTCCTCGTCACCGACGCACCGCAACCCCCAACCATCCACATCCACCAGAGCACCGACCTCTCCACGAATCCGCGCCAGTTGAAGTCCAACCCTATCTACAGCCACCAGCGCTGGATGTTCTACCGCTACGACATCGACCTGAAAATGGAAGACGAAGGCAGCGTCAAGTGGACCTACGCCATCACCTCGCACCTCGGCTGCACGCGGTACGAATTCCTCGTGGCCGGCCGCTACGAGACCGCCTGGCGCTTCATCGCGCACTCTGGCAACGACTTTGCGCTGAACGTCTCGGCGAACGAGAGGACGCGCCTCGGAGGCGTGGGCTTCATGTGGAAGGACATCCTACAGAAGCACATCGAGTGCAACGGGTTCCATGCGCAGCTGGGGCTGGGTGACCAGATCTATGCGGATCGCATGTGGAAGGAGCTCCCGCTGCTGCGGCAGTGGACGGCGATGAGCGGGAGGGAGAATCGGAAGAACGCGCCGTGGACGGCGAGGCATGAGGAGGATGTAACGCACGCGTACTTCCATTACTATACGAGCCACTTCGATCAGCCGCATTTGCGGGAGGCGTTTGCGCAGATCCCGCATGTGCTGACATTGGATGATCATGACATGTAAGTTCCCGTCGATGGAAACGACCAGGCAAGTTGCTCACCCGAAACCAGATTCGACGGCTTCGGCTCTTATCCCGAATACATGCAGTTCTCCAACATGTTCAAAAACATCGGCCGCGTCGGCGTCGAGATGTACCTTCTCTTCCAACACCACACCACCCTGGAAATCCTGCGCAACGTTTCCAACGATATGGACCTCTTCACCATCACCGGTACCGGCTGGCATTTCCTCAAGTACCTTGGCCCGGCTGTTGTCGTTGTCGGACCAGACACACGCTCGGAACGGAACCCGCACCAAGTCATGGCCGGCCCGACGTACCAAGGCCTCTTCCCCAAAGTGGCCCTGCTCCCACCCAGCGTGCAGCACTGCATCTGGATGGTCCCTGTACCGCTCGTGTATCCACGGCTGGAGAGCATGGAGCATCTCGCGCAGACGGTGGCGACGGGAAAGAAGGTCGCGACTGGGACGTTTAATATGCTTGGAAAGGTGACTAGTAGTGTGGCGGGTGTCGTGGGTGCGAAGGGGGTGGTCGGCGAGGGGTTCAATAGCGTGAAGAAGGCGGTTGGCAAGAGTGGGCTGATGAGCGGCATTTTGAGTCCATTTGGGGAGCTGGGCGTTTCGGATGAGTTGAGAGATTCGTGGATGCATGAGAGCAAGGTGGGTTATCCCGCCAATAGCTGGGTTGCATTGTGCTAATCTATGTGGCTTTAGGACTTGGAGCGGACTTATCTGATTCGGACGCTGCAAGGGATCGCGCACAATAAATCTTTGCGTATGACGTTCTTCTCAGGAGGTAAGCATTCGATCACCCCTAACTCCACAGCTTTTATGCTAACCAAACTCCAGACGTCAATTGCTGCGGTGCCGGTCTCGTCCACGACCCGTCCCACCCCCAGGACCACAAAACCATGTACCAAATAATCTCCTCAGCCGTCGGCAACGCCCCGCCCAGCCCCTACGTCCTCCGCCTCCTGCACAACAACCGGCCTCTCTACGTCCCCGCGAACGGCCACCGCTCCACCCACCAGCCGTCTGACACCAAAGAGGACATGATGGAGATCTTCTCCACCGATGTGAACGGCACCGCCCGGGAGATGAAGAAGCTGATGGCGCGGCGGAACTACGTCGCGTGCGTGGCGTACGATCCCGAGATCGTCGAGAGCCAGTTTGGGCAGGCGACGCCAGGGAAGGGGAGCGGGCGGATGAATTTGGCGGTGGACTTCTTGGTGCAGAACGAGGGGGTGTACGGGCAGCCGATGAAGTATGGGCCAGTGATTATTCCCAGCTTGGAGTATGGGAGATGATGAGGTGATGACCTGGGAATATACATTGAATGCGTAGGATATGGCATTGACTTTCGGCGACTTGCCTTGTTTTCAGCGAGCGGTTGGTGATAAGCGAATTGAAATCATTGGAATTACAAGGAGCCAGCTGCACCAGATGCGTCGCATGATAACCAGCTAGATGACCTGTGGTGCCCGTATGAGAGATGTACCGTACTCGCGGTCCGACAACCCGGTGAGACCGACTTTCTGCACTATATCATCATACACCGTAACGGAGTCCACTTGTCTTCCGGCCGAGCTGACAAGCATTCCATCGTAGCCTTCGCATAAGCCACGCCCATCCGATGCCCTAACTGCTCCTCCGCCGTCACCTGAAAGATCCCCTGGATCCGCTTCGGAGCCAGCCGCTTCAAGTCCCGATTCGGTCTCGCTTCAGCCAGGATATCAGCCAACGGCCTCCACAACACGACCTCGAGCAGTACCAAACCCAGCGCGTAAACGTCGTGCGCCTTGCTGAACCAGGTGGTGGGAGAGCCCTGGCGGGCGGGATGTTGGTAAATGTTCTTGGACCAGACTTCGTCGAAGCCGGTGTATTCCGTTGCATCGGCTTCCAGCCGGGCATACTCGAACCCGACCAGGTATGGGGATTCGAAGTCGATCTCCCCTCCCAGGGATTCAAAGAAGACAATGTTGCTGCTTCGGATCGACTTATGTAGCCAGGATACGGCGTGGAGATACCAAACAGTCTTTGCCAGGCGTTCGGCCAGCCTGAACCTCGTTTCTAATGACGGTGCATGCTTGGGTTCAGTGGCTTCAAGAGCAGACCGCAAGGAGAAAAAGGAGGCGGAGGATGTATTCTCTGGGAAGTCGAATACAAAAGCGTGGCGCTCTTTTCCATTGACGTAACTTCATTCTATGAGCCCGCGGAACGGCAGCGTCTTGAGATCTGGATCGGACGAAGCCGCGAGTAGGTTTGCCAACTGGTTCACGGCGGTCATGTTTTTCTCCAGTCCCAGATCCCCATACTCTTTATATTCTGCGAGTACATTCTCTGCTCTCCCAGGACCTGCGGTTAGCGTTACTAGAGCCAGTGACTCGTCACCACGCTGCGTGAATGACTGAAGCCCAAAATCTTTCAGCTCGAACCCCGATATATCCACATTTGGTTGCAAGGTAATCCTCTTTAGAGACATGAACGGCGCCAGACCAAAGGCCTTCCCCGCAGGTTCCTTTGTCTCCTTGAGCAACGCCTCAGATACAGCGGGTGGGTATCCATTTGCTACATGTATGATCTGATCCATCATACATCCCAGACTAATTTCTTTCAGCTTACCGTTCCAACATTTGAAGGACACCAAGATGCTCTCGAACTTCCGCCTTGTATGTAAAGCCCATTTTAAACCAGTAGAGGTGTTGGTCCACCAGCTGGCGCCTCCTTTTTGAGTCCATTCTTCGGTTGTGATCAGGGTGTTGCGTTTGCGGGGAGTCGAGTTCCAAGGGAAACCCAATCAGATAAGGGGCCGCTTGGTCGTCGTTGAATAAGGCAGAGTGTTTCGGTATCCGCGCCTCTGGTTCGTCAGCTGAAGCTTACTCATCCTCAGTTTTGAGGGCGCTCCCAATGAGCAAGTCCTTTGCAGCGAGGGCTTGGTAATCACTGAATAGACGGTGGAGCTGCTGAAGATCATATTCGATCAATTCGAGCCAATGCTATTACAGTGAACGTGAGTTCATGTCGTTGAATGTCATACTGTGGGGCCCCTCACCTTTGTCAAGACTCCCAAACTCCGAGTTGGCCAGGAAACGCTGACCAAAATCCCTCAAAAATAACACCTCGTGATGGAAATCGATGCACAGCTTGAGTTTCTCTGGTACGGCATTATTTGCTGGTTCGATGACTTTGTAGATTGTGGGAGACAGAAGGAAGACTGCTTTGAACACCGTTACGGCCGCGAAGGCCAAGCTGAGGGGTTCCATTCTCAAATCGTCCCCGACTGTTGAAGGTCCGGTCATGGACTGTGAAGTCACGGCCAGAGAGTCTCATCGGAAATGGACAGAATATCTCATATTCATTGTGTATACATGACTCTGACCATGTGTTCCAGGCGAGTTATAATTGATACTTGTGCCTTATCACTTCCACCCTTTCTCACCCCCCATTCTCCATCCACCGCCTGTTGGTTGTCATGCAACCCAGGATAGGATTATGGATTGCAGGTCTAGAAGGGCTTGGTGAGTATAATCTATTGGTTCTTACTTCGATGGATGGCAAAAAGCCACCAATTTACAACTCATCAGTACAACCCAGGGGCTTCAGCATGGGTTGGCGCTCAGTTGCAGAAATGGTGCAGCTTGAGGCTCAAGGCTGTGCCAGAGGGCCAGAACATCATATCCTTTTATCATTATCGAAAGGTTTATCGTATCATAAAGATACGGTGCCTAGCTACTACTTGCTAATTGTCTCGTCGGCGTTTCATCTTGCCATCATCCTGTTTATACATGTCTTGACTGTATTGTTGAGTCTCGTCTTCAGCCTTTTAACATGGCTTCCCCTACTCCAACTTTTTTTAAGTGGTATCGTTTGAGCGTGGAAAGTCTCCCTAGAGTTTGCCTTGATGTGATCAACGATGGAACGGCTCCTCAGAATGGCAAGCTGCAGATGGCACCAGTCGGCAATTACACCGGCCAGCATTGGCAGTTTATTCCATCTCCTGGAGGGTCCTTTGCACTACTGACTTTATATACAGGCACTGACATGTTTCTTCGGAACGACAATCGCATTCCTCATCTCGGCCTCGACCACATCGATGATAGATGGCGATTGGAGCACCTCCCTTCCCTGGGAGCGGAAGAGATTACGCGGTTCAGACTGTACTCGGAAATTGGGGCCCCTTCGAAGCTCTATTTTGGACCAGAGAGTGATCGCACCTGGTTCAATGGACAGAGACTCCATCTTCGGTCATCTCAAGCCCGCCATGCTACTGTCTGGATTCTTTCGGAGATAAGACCCATCTGGGAGCCGGAGTTCCTCATTTCACCATTAATATCCCCAGAGTCAACTGGTGACTGGACAAATGTCCGTACTTCGGAGGGAAGTCGAAAGGATGGGCAGGCCAACATGGTTACAGATGATGTAGACCACTTGGTGGTGTTAATACAGCGGCTAACTGCTCGCAAAGCACCTCCTGGCTCGTAAGTTTTACGATTTCCTTATTCCGGATCTTTTATTTGACTCTTGAAAGGACATATAAACTTAGTCCATCGGGAAATGCGCTAATATATCTCGATATTCGTAGGTTGGACTGGCAAAGTGCGACGGCGGCATCAACGTCCTTACCTTCGGATTCTCACCTTCTAGAGTTCTCTTCCTGGTCACGAACGAGCGGTACGGTAAACAATCTTACCCTCAGGACATACCTAGGGTTGATGAACCCCTCAACGACAACCATCCTGGATGTCTCCGCGGGCTTTCGCTCCCCAGAGATCTCGAGAAATATTGCCGACTCCAATCCAGCCAGTTCCGGGGGTTCACCCGCAATTGCCTACAGCGAGAGTACTCCCAGCTACACCAACCTTTACACTCTTGTGTCTCAAAGAAATGACACTTCAGGGCTGATCTACATCTTTATCATCCGTCCTGGGACTATATTTACGAAACGGGGCATGGTGACCTCCCATCCTCACAAATGGATTTGCCAAATTGAGGGCGACCTCACAAGTTTCAGCATCAGCTCTTTCGGGTTACGACGGATTGGCCAGGGCGATAATATACCGCAAAACTATATTTGGAGTGACAAAGGTGTGGATGCTCAATTCAGAAACCGCGAGAACCTACCTAACCAACATATCGCGTATCTTGGACATGGTCTACGTACCAAGATCTGGTCCTACTTTGGATGTCTGGCGAACGGCCTTATGCATATGCACGCGAATGGTATCCGACATCGAGACATAAAACCTCGCAATATCCTTGCCACATTGATGGGCCTTTATATGCCGACTTTGGTAATAATTTCCTTCAGATAGGTCGAACATTTCGCTAACGGTATCAGGCATTACCAGAGAATTTTCGGACGCGTTGGGAAGCACCACTTCCGGTCCTACGACAAAGACGTATGAATATTGCGCCCCGGAAGTAGCTGATGGCACAGAACGAGGCCGCAGTGCCGACATCTTTCTCGCTCGGATGCGTATTTCTTGAACTACTGACCGTTGTCACCGGCTTCTCCACATACCAAGAGTGTAGAACACGCCGAAACAAAGGGCCCGACTCATCATACCATGCGAATATGGAAAACACAGGGAAGTGGATGAATGACATTTACAACCAAGGGCTCGAAACTGCCGAAGAACCTGGTGAAAGTGGGATCAGCTAGTTGTCATTGCTGATCCGTTCAATGATGCACCCACAGCGAGAGAAGCGGCCTTCGGCGTCAATGGTCTGGAAGTTCATTCGAGAGACAAACTTCTTACCTCTTGGGAAAGCGGACAGAGGGCACTTATTAGGACCTTGCTGTCTTCAATATCCGGTCATTCGTTTGGAATCGCAAGAGAAGGATGGGGAACAGAGCTAGAAAACGAATCTAATCAAAATAGCATACATAATTTGGAACAGGAGTACCTATACTTTCTTGTCAGGCTCGAGTTGACGCCTCGATAACATGTTTCAGTCCTTCCGTGGCTGGATCAGGTCTTATATTGGCCGTTGCCCGTTGGAGGTTCTTTCTCACTTAGAAATGCCAAATTTTGGTCAGACACAATCAGATTGTTCGCTCGAGCAGTCTACCGTGTAAGTAAGGCATACTTGTGGTCATATGAAAATATGGATTGGAGAGTGGATTTAAAAGGTGGTAACTACTGATGTTGACTGACCGGGCAGATTTTTCTTCCACAATAGAGCCGAAGCATAGCAAGATAGGGCCACGTATGAAAATAGAAACGCTTCCAAATCTTACCTGATAATTGATACCCTCTAACCCTTTTATTTGTCAACAAAATGACTAATATCAGCGATCATGACCAACCTTCCCTTGGTATGTACAAGCCATCAGTGATACTGACGAAGGCCTCACAACATGCTCAATGGCGCTCCTAAGACTTTGACGTCGGGGTTACGTTGCCTCTTGCCCGAGACAGGTCGTACTTCCGACCCTCTTCCGATTCACAATCAATCAAATATCCGACTCTACGGAGCCGCAAAGCCGCATCCGGTCAGGAGTTCACCCAGACCAGGCAGCAAATGCATATCATCACTGACGCAACCCCGGAACCGGGGTGGCGAATGGTCGGATTCTGCCTCGCAAGGCTGAGGGCGGTGTTGGTATTCTGACACATCACCCCGCACGGGATTCGCGTCGTGGGAAAGAACTTAAATTGTCCTCCGCCTGCTCGGTCAATTGATCAGGTCGGTCGGGATGTCCTTCGGGTTTTAGGCTTCCATATAGACGTGAAACGTGGTGGAACGGGAGGACTGGTCGAGGATATCCGGTTTCAACTTTTGTTTGCAGCTTCGGATTTCGGACACGGTGTTCTTAGCCTATCATTAGCCATCGTGTTGACTCTATGGTATATTTCTCATTGATTAGCAATTAATGGCTACCACCGGTGAGTTCGACGGAAAGGGATAGGAATAGACTGCCTCCCGTTGATCGATGGTGTAACGACCGTGATACGGCAGCTTTCACGGTCGGAATGACGGGAAGTATATGGTAACGCCTAGGAAATCGTCATAGAAGTCAGGATGCCTTTTCGACTGGTTTCTAATGGAGTTCGAGATGAGGGGGTGATGGCAGTTTTCGTCCCGAGCGGCTTCAGACTAGTTATGTCCGGTCGGTTTGGATCAGGATTTGCCGGAAATTCACATGGCACAACTGCTAATTATTGCGAATTGTAATGCATCAAGTTTACAGGCTGCACGGAACCGTATCAGCGAGGGAGCGGGCCGCCAACCGCTCGCATATGAGCCAGATTTGATCCCACCACTGGCAGACCACGACCAGAGGCATGGCGATAGATGACTGGTAGCGATGGGATTATGAACCGTGATACAGCGTCTGAAGCGTCCCAGCAGCAGGGTCATGGAGCCGATTTGGCAACCATAAACCTGGGAACATTGGATTCTAGTCGTTGTTGACCGGAAGGTTGAAAATGCCGGGGTTAGGTGGAATACGAGGATCGAGAGAAGCGTTGGATTGGTGGCAATGCTCGGTGTGCGACGTCTCAAGGTCATTGTTTGATGATAACCGAAATGCTGGCTTCGGACACTGCTCCTCTCGATCTGGTGGACATCCTTTTGTTGAACGGTAAAAGTTTGATTTCTGTCTCGTGAAAAATCTGTCGTGACATGTTCCCAGCGTCCCAACAGAAGGAAATTGGGGAAGATGAAGCGGCGAGAATGGAAATATTGAGGACTGGACCGACAAAGCCCCGCGGATCGTCATGCGTCTTAACTCCTAGTACGGATGGAAATAAATACTTCCCCGGTCATTCGATTGGTTTGCCGCCAGACCATCAATCCAAACACGTTCTGGTTTCTTGTTGCATAACTTGCATTAGCAATGCCTCCTCATTCGCCCACCACCATCCCTGACCCCCTCTCCTCCACACAATACTCATGCACACCATCATTCTTTTATGTCGTCTCACAACATGTGGATGCCTCCGGCCTTCCAGACCGGTCACTTGACGATCCCTCTAAGCCCAAACTGGTGACCAGAGAAACAGTTAGTAGAGACCGACGGACCGTCCATTGCTGTTCAGCCGTGGCCGGATGGGGGTGCCCGGTAAGATATACTAAGACGATGGACCGCAACGGCTACGGCATTTCCAACATGGCATTCCCATGTGGTCGATCTTCACATATCTAAAAGACTAGTCCTTGAATCGAAGTTCTGTAGTTCCTCCCAGTTTCTTCCACATCTCTCCACTCCAGAGTTTTGGCTTCATATCATGTCGTTTTAATAATTTTCTTTTTCTTCGTACGATCTTTTACCACCCTCTCTTCGTAATGGAGAACCGCGAATCCATCCTGCAGATGGTGCGGTGGGGCACCCGTTTGTCCCTCGCCTTGTTCTCCGTGAGCGGTGCCTCCGGCGATCTCAACCGCCTCGCGAAGAAAGTCAATAAGTTTTCCCTCGTTCTGCGTCAGGTTGGGTCACGATTTCAGGAAGAGAGCATTTCGTCTCCCCAATCTGCGAGAGCCGTCACCCACATCCTACACCAAGCACAAGGGGTGTTCGGCGAGATCGAGACAATAGTGCCCCAAGCGGCGGAATATGTCAGGGATACGAGCACGTCGTGGACATCAGTGAAGGTGGGGACAACATGGCAGTGGGACGAGGCGGCCGAGGACAAAGCGCATTATCTGCTGGAACATCTCGAGGCGTTGGCGTTGACACTTCAAGTGATGCTGCAGACGTTCTATACAGTCAAGATTACAGTGTGGGCAAGGTAAGCTTAGGGACGTCAAAATATAGAATTAATGCTAAATCGGTGCGGTACAGACAACAGACTACTCAAAACGCACGAGACGCTGTATCTACAGAACGACTACAGCTTCAGAGCTTGATCATCGAACAGCAGCTCTGCATATTGAATACACACCAACTCCACCTCGACTATCGTTTAGATAATGTTCCCTCTCGTTCCCAGGTGTTGACGGTACTCGAGGAACGGCAACCATGCCCCCAACATCTCGTCTCTTACCAGGAGGAATCCTTGGTCGCCATCGACGTAGATAATACGGAATCCCAGCGGTTAGAAGTTGTTCGCAAGGTGGCAGGTTCGTACATCGACGAACTTCTGAGACGATGGACAAGACTAGAAGAAATTGAGCAGGACATCCGTCAAGAGGAGTTTCAGACTCGAGCACAACAAGAGCGTGAGATGCAAACCGTATCGAGGAGAGCTTCGCAGCAACCAAGCGTTGAGGAAGATGATGAGGAGCACAACCTCAAGCATCCGGTCCCCAAAAACTGTGCCCCTGGCCCTCTCCTGACACCTATGAGCGAGACTCACTACGCGAAGGCTGGTACGACTCCAATCTCCATACCCGGATCCAAGGATCGTGTTGACAATGGCATCCCATCAGGCTTCAACCAGTTCACAAGGCCCAACTTCTTCCCCCCGTCCCCGGCTCAATCTGCTCATTCGGGATGTATACCAACATCCCCCCGCCCCAGCATCGCCGAGTCTGTGCGATCGGCTCCGATCATTGAAGAGTCGGAAGGCATGGGAATTCCATGGACGCTGAAGATCCACAAGCACCGCTGGGACTACAACGACAACATCATAGTCGACTCGAACTCACAGCTGCAGCCGTCCCAGTCCCCGGCTGATAAATCGGGAATCACGGAAATCCACCAGAGTTGGGTCCGTCCCGAAGCGATGGAAGAGGTCGACTATGAGTTCGTTAAGGTCACCAAGGAAATCATCGAAAATGGGCGTACCAAATTCGAACCGTGTTTTCAAATCCAAAAGCGCCTATCCTTCGATGAAGTCGAGAACTTGGTCACCCGGAGTGCAGAGATCTTCAGCAAAACTCACCCGTCCACTCCGCCATCCCCAGATCTCCCTCCAACCCGGACCGATCCTCCGCCCCTTGACCGCGCTATGTCTCTGCCTATTTCCGCCCTTGTACACTCCGTCCCAACGCTCCAACAGTCCCAGCATATCTATCCACTCCCTTCTCCCTCCGACTCTCGCACCCAGTACGACCCCCGCCGCCCTCGCCGCCTAAGCACCAACACCATGCCACCCCCGACCCTACAACCACCACCCCCAACCATCCCCCACCAACGCTACGCCCCCTTCTCCCCCCATTCCCCTCAATTCCCCCTTCCCCCTCCCCACCACCTCCGCTCCAGCGACTCCGACCTCTCCGACTCCGACCACTCCCGCCACCTCCACGAGCGCTCCTACCGCGAACACCGCCAGCGCAGTCGCGCGCGCCGCGACTCCGGGACCTCGCGCTCGGGCACAGCGTTGGTCTACAGTGAGCCGGGGGCGGGGAACCGGAAGGCGCGGGGAGAGGGCGGGCGGAGGAGCGGTAGCGTGAGTGGTGGGGGGAAGAAGGGGGGGAATGGGCTTGGGTTGGGTGTGGCGAATCGGGGGATGTTTAAGGGGTTGATGGCGGGGTCGGGTGTTGCTGCGTTGGTGGATGGGTTGGCGGAGGGGTTGGGGGGGCTTTGATAGGGGGATTTCATTTGTTTGATTTTTGGGGGGTTTTTGGACCGGGGCGATTTTGGGTGGGTGGATTGATATAATGATATCCCGGGCCATGGTTGGCTGGTTAGGGTGGTAACTTGTACTTTGTCTGTGTTCTAGATGTCTTGCTACTATGTCTTCAGGGGAGAGTTGGATAACGCTCGTTATGGTTTCTTAAACAGCTTCGATGATTAACATTCTATCGCATGTCATAATACCCGAACTATATATTTTTCACTATTCTCTCCTATGAAATACGCCCTTGAATCTTGAAGCGCACTTCGCGGCTACGTCGAACGCAATAACGGACCTCCAAGTGTTCTCCATGTCGATCTCGCCAAAAGCGAATACGACTCCTCCGTTGCCTCGCTCACATCTTCCTCGGACCGGGCGAAACGATCGTCCTCTTCTTCTCCCCATCCCTGAGCGGGTTTCTTCACCCCCCTCTTTTGCTTGTTGCCGACTGGCCCACTAACCGGTCAAACCCCATCCGTCGAGATCCTTCCCTCCGCATCACTCCTATCTCCTCCCATATTACTCTATCCATTCTTGAAGCGTCCGGCACTTGCCTCTGCTATCTATCCTTGTGCAGTATTCGGACCCTTTTCGAATTCGTTTGCCTTTAGGCGCGGAGAATTAGAGAGGGTAGGTATCAGTGACGATCAGTTGCCTGGCTGGCACCACAGCAATCGAAACTACATGGAGCTGACCGTGATCATCCCGGCCCAGCGGCTCATTCAGTGGGTCGAGTGTGACCGGTTGCACATCAGTGGCGAATGCCTGGTGTTGTGGAACTGATTCGGAGTAGGTGAAATTCATGGTCCTGAAGTATATCTCCAGGGCTTCAAAACTCCTAATCGCCACCTTCTCTTTGTCTCATGCTACCTCTCTATCGACACCGGATGGCTGTTGTACGTTCCAGTTAGCTAGACAGGTTAATCATCTCCGTTTACGTAGGGCAGGTGTTAGGGGCGAAGCACTATCAACTTCGCCCATCAGGGCGCATTTTGTTTGTGCATTCCAGTATTAAAATGTGTGGAACATGGACTACCAGTCCCCCGGGGTCGTCAACGAGCACAGCATCAACAACCCTGTTGTTAACATTTGTTAATTGGAGACGGCACTTATTCGTTTTCGACGTCCAGAATCAATGCGGAGGCAAGTGAACCGATCAACGTTGACTCAGTGTGTCTTGATGCTAACTGAATTCGGTTTGTAGTACATTGAACTGCCATAATAAATTCCATTCGGACTAAGACTCGCGCTACAATTCCCATTGAAAAAGCGCCTGCAACCTCAATATTGCGGAGTCCTAGTTCCTGTGGCCGAGTTATTCTTTGGTACTTGCTTTTCCAGGGACGAATTTGTTGCACGATGGCCAGTGGAAGGAAGGTAGGTGGACTTAAGACGAGACACCGCGTCCATAGTCGAAGCCGTATTACCTCCCTGAGGATGGCAGAGTTTCGTCCTCGAGCAGGGGATATCCGGAGGCGACGGTTGAGCAGTGACGGTCGTAGGATAACTCGGTGTGCGGGTCTCCGTCTGATCCCAAGTACATTTAACACATTGTTCAGGGGAAGCAGAGGAATCCTCCCGTTCAGTCTCCTTTGATGGTCATCTAGATTTTCCCCGAGCGCTCTTGATCATCAGGAGTGTGATTCATTGGTTCCTCGAATCGGAATATCCCAGGCACTCCCGAATCGAATGAACCGCGCCTATACCGTCGTAGCTCGTAATGCCATGGTAGGGCCACTTTCGCCTCCAGAGTTGATCCGTGTTCGCCTTCTCGTCGGCTTTGACATTATTGTCAAAATGTCCGGGAGTTGTCCGCGCGCATCGAGAGCGGAACCCCAATTCTCCAAATTGCACAAACTCTTACATTCGCACTCCCTCAAGAGCCCGGTGCCTCCGGCAGACGTTCAATTACGTACTTGCCCCGTGCAACACTCATGATGGGCACACCGGGAATTTTCCGAATCCGGCGCTTGAGGTCTCGATCGTTCGTAGCGACGATGTAGACACGCTGCTTGAGACAGCGGTCGATGATGCAGTCATCGGCGTAGGTGCCCTTGTGATCGCACTGGACGCGCTCCCAGCGCTCGTCGCGGGCGATGCGGAGGGCGATGCGGTACTTGGTGCCCAGTTTCTCGAGTTCGGCCATGACGCAGCTGGTGATGATAGGGTGGCAGGTGGCGTAGAGGCAGTTCATCATGGTGGGGAGGAGTTCGAGCTTCTTTTGGACGGTGTGGGAGAGGAAATTGGTGTCGACCAGAACTTGGTAGGGGGGTTGGAGGGCCTCATTGTGTTGGAAGAAGAGGGCGGACGGAACTTGTGGGCTGAAGTAGAGATTAGCTTTATTCGGAGACTTTGGGGAGAGGGCTTACATTTCACGAGTAACCTCCCCATGAACGGTTTGGAGCTTTTTCTGGTGCTCTTCTTCAGCCTTCATCTTGTTCTTCTTACTGGAATCTGGAGATTAGCGTGTGCTGAGAGTGATTTCGGTGGTTGTGGACATACAGCCTCTCATCTCGTTGGCCAATGAGGCGCTTGACCTGAGCGAACTTCCTTGTCTTCTTTTGGACCCCCATTGTAGGATATGTGAGGTTTGAGTGAGCGATATGGGAAGGCAAAGTTTCATGAAGTGGAAATCGCAAAGATTTTGGGAGGGGAAGGAATGATAGACAGGCATCAAGGCAGGAACATACAGGGTAAATATACGCCTAACCGTATATGGACTAGCATGACTTGGCGTATATTAACAATGAAGACATATTGTTGAATACAAATTGTTGAATTCATGCCTGAGGCAAATAAGGCATAACCCCCTTGTCCTGCATCGCCCCGTACAACCGCAGCACTGCAAGAGAAATGCAACAAATCCACCCAGTGCAACCAACTTCGGTTCAACCAAACCTTCCATCTCCCTACTCTCCAATCCCTTTAAACCCTCGTTTCCAACTTTGGCTTCCCCCCTGGCCCTGAACCACCGCTCACTGCACCTCGAGTCTCACACGTCCCTATTCCTGCGTCGACTACGACCACCCGCCCAAGCATCCTCCCGATTCCCTTCCATTCCCTTCCGATTCCCGTCCGTATACTGTCTGCTCGTGCTGACGTGCGCTGCTTCCCCTTGCATCACCCGACCGACGCTGTCACGACATCGTCAATTAACGCGGCCGCTAGATCGGTCTCCATCACCGCTCGGCGACTATCGTGAACATCGTGAACTGGTCGTAGGGTGGGCTAGGAAGGAGAAGGAGACATAGTGGCTTTTGGGAGACATTTCGCCTTTTTCCTGGGTCTGGGAGTGGCTTTCCATCGTTAAATCGTCTGATTCCTCCCATTCCTTCCGATCGTTGACGTCGCACTCGTTCTATTGAGGCGCAGCTTATTGGATACTTGTCCTTGAATCACCTTGGACGAGGAACTTCATATTCCTTGACACTTATCCTTCCCATCGACCGACTTCACGGATCACACAACACATCCCTCCACCGACACAATGAGAATACAAACCCGTGGAGCCTCGAGGCTCTATGCCCCGTTGGCTCTCGTACCTCTGCTGGCCCAGCACGCCTATGCTCAGCTCGATCTCCCGGACTTGGGACAGCTCAGCGACATCGAAAATCTACCAACTTCGACGAAAGCCGAAGAGACGAAATCCGAAGCCACATCCAAAGAGACCACCAAAGAAACCACCAAAGAAACCTCCACCGCCAAAACCTCAAGTAAGGACGACGACGAGACCAGCACCGGTTCGGCCGCGTCCGCCTCCTCCGCCCCCTCCATCACCGATGCCCCCTCGCTCTCCACCACCTCCAACTCCGCCTTCAAACTCACCGGCCTCCCCACCATCGCCGGCGCCGGCATCCCCACCATGATCGTTCCCAACACCGCCCAAGCGCCCTTCATGCAGAAGTCCAACCTCCCCGAAGGCACCGTCTTCATCGTCGTGGCCGCCATTCTCGGCTTCCTCGCCTTCTGCGTCCTCGTCTGGCGCGCCAGCATCGCCTGGTCCCTCAAACAATCTGTCCGCCGCGCCGCCATGGCCCAGACCCTCCCCGACAGTAAAGCCCTCCTCGCCCCCGGCGGCGCCCCCAACGCCCCCGGGTCCCGAGGCCGCGTCTACCCCCACGGCACCGCCAACAACATGAGCTCCTCCCTCTCCCTCGAGAAGCTCTCCAACGCCGGCAAGGGCACCAGCCTCATGAAAGACAATCCCAAGCGCAAATCCACCGGCCCCGCCCCCGGCCCCTCCACCTCCCTCTTCTTCTCCCCTACCGCCGGCGCCGGAATCCACACCTCCACCTCCCCCGTCCCCGGTATCTCCCCCTCCGCCACCCGCACCCCTTCCGCCTACCTCCCCGCGGGGTACTACCCCACCGGCACCGGTCTCCCCGCCGGCGGCGCCAACAGCACTACTCTCGGCGCCGTCCCCGGCGCCCCTATGGGCGGCTCGCTGCTGAACATGGGCCCGTCCGCGCAGGGCTATCAGCGTGCGCGCAGCCTCGGGACCGACGAGCCGGGGAGCCCACAGCTGCCGCCGTCGCGCGGGTACGATCGAGGGAGCGTGTATGATCGGAGCAGCATCGTTGGGACAGTGAACGGTGGAGGAGTAGGAGGGGCGGGGGTCGGGCAGGGAGGAGGGCCGCTGTATAGTCAGCCGAGTACGAGTACGTTGAACTTGGGGGCGCCGAGGGATCCCAACCAGCGGGTGCCGAGTGCGTATTTGGAGGATATCTTCAATCGGCAGGATGGGAGGGATAGGTTTTGAGGAAGGGGTTGAGCGAGGAGGATGAGCGAGGAGGATGAGAGAGGGGGATGAGCGAGGGGATGAATGACGCCGTGGCTGGTCGATTGAAGGAGTAGACTGAATTTGGGGGATGAAGCATTAATGAAGCGGAAGCGGGTTGGTATGACGAGGAGGCGGGATCCGACGAATAGGCGGCGGTACGAGCGAGCTTTTTCATGTAATTACCGATGCGTGCGTGCGGTTGGTTAGAGGCAGGAGCGCAAGGCCACCGGTTTTCGAATAGGGGATACAGGTACTGCATGTCGGGGTATGACAGTTGGGCGGACGGTAATTTCAGCTATTATCCAGACGTTTTTGCTCCTCCTTTCGCTCTCATCTTGCTTTTTCCCCGTCTTCGAGTGCGTCGAACCGTTGAGAACGGTCTCGCCTCCCGTGTGCGACGGTCGTAGCCGGTGGCGAGGCGGTTCGTGCGGAGCTAGCGAGGCGGCGATGTCGAGGACTTCAGGGAAGGGGATTGGAGGAGCGGACAGGCAATTTTGAGGACCGTTGAGGCGGGAGTGGGGTTTCGCCCGCAGTGGCAGATTGTGGCGGGAGCGTGGAGATATATGGTTCGCCTGGGGCGGCAGTGCCTTGAGCGCGGTGACACCAACGCTTCACGGTGCGACGATCACGAGAACCACGACAGCATGTCGAGCGTTCTGAAGGGCCATTGAATAGTGTGGATTTCTGATCGCGTATCATTGACCCCTCATAATGGATACACGGAGTAACTAGTGCTATTTCATCCATGGCATAAACGTTGCGCTGCTGTCCTTATCACTGTCACGTAATGGACCAGCTTTCGGATCCCGTACCGACGATCTCGTACATTCTGCATCCTCCGCCGCCCATATTCAGTAGAAAAGCGTTCTTCATAATCAAACACACTCGAAATGAAAGGGTCGTGGAGCACTCAACCCGACCGGGGAGTGCTCTTCGTGTGCAAACATCCTCGTCCCACTCGTCATACAATCCATCTTTCGCAACCCCATCCGATCCGTGATGCGGATGACACGCAAGTCCAATTTTCGGACATGTCCCTGATTTGACCGTGTTCCCTCCTGAACCGGGAAAATCGAGCCAGTGGAACGCCTTGAACACCGCGACAGTTGACATACAGTCATGTCTCTTATGGCGTGAAGACCCGGCCCTTCGCGGTGACCCTTGAAACTTCGTCAAATATAAATACACTACTGCGGAAGAGCAAGTAAGAGCCCATGGCCGTGGAACAACAGCTGGGGGTTCCGTTCGCCATGATCAGGCTTGACCGACTCAGTCCATGTAAAAGTCCCCCTTCAGGATCCGCTCTTGCGTAGAATCGAGCGTCCGGGGCTTGGCCACCTCTTTCGGAGGTTCCATGACGGCCACGCTCTTGGCCCGTTGATGAGGAGGGACGGTAGACGGCGCAGCGGGGCCGGACGCGGTGGAGATAGAGGATCGCTCGGCTCGTGTGCGGAGATTGTCGGCGAAGTTGAAGCCCTCACCTGCGCGGCGCACGAGCCCGTTAGCATGAGTTGATTAGCAGAATGGAGTGACGAAGGAGATAGGGGGAGTGGGGAGTCGACGACACGGGGGACGACGAGTGAGGCGTGTAGAAGGAGAAAGGGGGGATAGACGCGGGAAGGGAACCTCGGCGGCCAGAGGCAGAAGACGAACCTCGACCTTTGGCAGCCGGGGGAGACACGGTCTTGCTGGCGCCGGTGCTGCTGGTGCTGCTGATACTGCTCTCGGTGTGCTTGCTGCTGCTGACGGTGGCGTTATTGGAGATGGAATCTCTACCATTGACTGCACCCGCAGATCCCCGCGTCTCGCGCATCGCCCGCGCCCCGAAGCTCATCCGCCGCCCGAACGGGGTGCTCGGCACGCTGGCGGACGCGGCGGTAGCGTCGGCGTCCTCGAACGGGCTCTCGTCCACGGTGCTGCTGTTGGCGCTGGACAGGCTCTCGCCGCGGGAGCGCATGTTCGAGAACGGGGAGGACCCGGTGGGAGAGCCGGAGAGGCCGACGGTGGTAAGGGACAGGCGACGGCGTTGCTGGGCCTGGGCGGCGGCGGAGATGGGGCCTGGATATGCGGAGGTCCCGGTGGTGGAGCTGGAGGGGTTGCGATTGATCAATTCGGCCCATTGACCAGCGATGCTAGAGCGTCGACGGCCGATGGGTGGCTCGGACGGGGGAGTGTGCTTGTCGGACATGATTCTGGGGAGATTCGGGGATAGCAAACGGAGGTGGGTGGTTCGTTCCAGGAAATGACGCGGGGTCGGAAAAATAAGAGACAAAGAACCAGGGTTGGATGGAGTGGCAATAATCACCAACAGAAACGATGGTTAGGGCTTGATGGAGATTGGGAAGAGTCGAAGGGATGGAATTGCGAGCTGAAGGAGATGGACGGGTGCTTGGGGAGAGACGTGGTGGAATGACGTATCGAAGGCAGATTAATACGGAAATGGATTTCGATTCAAAGTCGCGTGGCAGCCCCAAAGACCTCCCGCCCATGCACCGGATCTTTCATCAACGGACAATAGGAGAGTGGGACGGTAGAAGACGAAACGGAAGCAAATTGCAAGAATATAAGAATAAGAATTCAGGTGGATGAGCGACGTTTATGAGGAGTTGCACGTGTAATATCTGGAATATGGGGGATTTCTGGGGATCGTTGATCCGTGTGGAGTAGAACAGGACACGGGAGCTGGCGAGGAGGAAGGAGCGCATGGATGACGGCGGACGGGAGGGGGGAAGGAGCAATCGAACGAATGGGAGGTGGCCAGCCAGAGTTGGAGGGGAGACGGTGGCCGGGTGCCGAAGCTTAGGTGGTCTTGGCTGGCCCAGGCCCAGGGTTCAGTCTGGGGGAGAACGGCGATGGGAGGACATATTTGGATGACCGCATGGCATGAGATGATGAGAGGCATGAGAGGCAAGGCGTCCCGAGGTGCTGATGCCTGGAAGCCGCACGACAAATAGAACATTGATCATCATTCATTATTCATTATTCATTATTCATAGACCATCACAAACGGTATTGGGCATCACATATTGAACATGGCGGCACCAGACAGAGTAGCCAGAGTCCGCTTTGCATCTGCCGCCTCTCCTAGTTAATTCCCATGGATTTCTTCACGTCGACGGTATCTAGGTTACCCCAGTTCATATCCCAGACAACCAATCCCTGATGAGAAAGCGATATGACTCTCGTAAGGAATTGAAACGGTCGGCGATCATCACTCCTCCACGAATGCCGCCCTACCTCCAGCATTCTCTCTGCACGGCTATCAATCCCCGTCCAAGAGTACATGATACTGGGTAGATACTTGCATTAACTTGCCAGCTTCCCGCATTTCCCTTCTCATACTTACATTCGCCATGCTCTAGAGCTCTATCGAATCCCTATCGACATGCAGCAATCATCATCAATCATCAATTCAATCCACCGCGTACCCCCAGGACATCATTCGAATCTCGAACCCTTGCCAATATCAAAGCAATATATTCCCCTCTTATTGGCCCAACATCCCCTTCACCTATCTATGTGTTAATGTGCTCTCTTTGTCCCCATATCCACCCCTCAACCCCCGATCTCCCCGACCCGACGTACAATCGTTCGCCTGTGTCTTCTTTGTGTAGCGCATCAAAGAACCAGACGTGGACAACGCAACACGCATCATCGCTTCCCCGCACTTTGACCCTCCCGCCCTATCGGCCTCCGTCCCATTCAGTTGGTTGCTTTGCGTTTCCATCCCGCCTGCGATCAGTGCTGAGAAAAGGTCGAGGATCCGGTGGTCGAGCTCCCAGCTCCCAGCTCCCCCGCATATCGCGTACGACGGCATACGTGGTCGTGGCGATCACCATAGCCTATCAACCTCCGATGGGTTAGGGTCGGATCTATTGATCTCATTCTAGAGCGTGGTTCTCTGCAGGCAACCGTTATTTGCTACCAATTCACCGCAGATATAGATCGCCTGAGAATGGTCCATGGTGCCGTGAGGGCCGTATCTTGAGGTTCGGGACATGCCGTAGAACCATGACGCAGCATCTTGATATCGTAGATTGGCGGAGAGAACCCATGACTTCGGTGGGTGGGACAAAGAACGTGCAGGAAGGAGGGTCCGTTATCCCGCGACTTCCATTTCTAGGGTGTCACGGTAGGACGACTGATCCGACTGACCAAACGGGTCCTCCATTCGGTTGATGGTTTTCTTCATCTCGTCGTGAGGATCACCAAGTCTTCCCTCGCCATGGAAGTCGCTTCTTCATCCAGGATCTCTCGAAGATAGTCGGCTATTATCGTTTCACGCATGTGATCTATGTGGATTGCGGACTACGTTGTACTGTGGAAATTGCTGCAGATAGGAGAAAAGCCAATCCCAAATAACTCCATTGACTCCGGACTATTCAGAAGACCACCGCGATTAGACCAAATATAGCCCTGTCCCAATTCGCACGAGAAAGTAAATTGCACGAGAAAGAGAACTAAGCACAATGTACGGGGCAAGGCATCCCCAATTAAGCCGAAGATCCCGCCAACTCCCAATTATAGAACGTTACTGCTCCTCCGCTCTCCGAGCCATGACCCCTAGCTTCTGCACGAATGGTTCCGGGGCCAGCAGCCGCGACGCCCGCTCCTGCAGCGCTCTAAGCTGGCGATGAAACGGCGCCAGCAGTTCGTCCGGGACGATATCCAGCGCCTGCAGCACGAACAACTCCTCCTCATCCCGCCCGCCATGCCGAACCAACGTCTCGTACAAGTTGCTCACTGTCGGCGCATCGATCGCCGCCCCGGCTCGATACCACCCCAATCGCTCATACGCCGGCCGCGCCCACGCCATGACCTTGTCCAGGATCTCGAGCAGCGTCCCGATCCCGCGATACGCCGCCGCCGTCGGCTCACTGTGCTGGATCCGCTCGCTGTCGTCCGAGTCCGACTCATCGTCCATGAACATGTCCTGGTGGGCGTCCGCGAGCTTCTCCAGCCACCGCCCGATGAACTCGACGATCTGATCGAGGTCCTCCGCGCACGTGCGCACGCTGTGCACCGGGATCGGCCCGCGCGGACCGTACGTGATGTACCGCTCCAGCGCGTCGAAGGCCTGCGCGACGCGGGCGTGCGCTAACTCGAACGCCACCGCGGCACAATCGGCCACGGGGAACATCTCGAGGAGGTCGTGGAAGAAGGGCGGGTCGCGCGCCGCCTGCTCGATCATTCTGTCGAAGAAGCGGGAAGTCGTGAGCCGCGTCTGGCTTTCCATGGATCGTAGGTATTTGTCGCCCAGGGTGCCGAAGAGGTCGAAGACGGAGAGCCGGTCGTTGGCCTGCGCGCGACGCATGGTGAAGCCGGTGCATTCTTGGATGGACTTCGGGAGGTCTTCGATTCCGATTTCGTCGCGAATCATCTCGTAGGGGGAGATCTCAACGGTCCGCGCGCGAGCTCCACGGGTGATTTTGATCCGGGTGCAACGAGGATTGATTTCGATTGTTGGCGCCTTAATGCCTTTCTTGCGGCACCACGCAATTGCAAGTTGATCGACGAACCAAAAGATGTGCTGGCGATACGTGTCAGAATGAGCAGGTACAGCACACGGACCCGGTCATACCTGGCAGGCGATATCCCCTTCCTGCGGCCCACCAGGGGCTCGCTCGGGGTCGGTGCAGCTACAGGTGAGACGTCGATCATCATACGCCTTGATGGTGGTCCGACCACTGAATTCGTACGAGTACAGGGACAGGTCTTCGTCGTTGGGTTGCTGTGTCAGGTACAGTTCCTTCTTATGCTCAACCACGGCTTCCATCCGAGCATCCATTCGGTCTTTCATCGCCGGGAACTTGTACGTGAAACGATAACCATCTCCTCTCAAGTTGTCCTCCTCACGAACAAACGACAGACTGCTCCGAGTATGATGGAACACACCCTCCATATCTTCCTCCTCTTCCTGCTCCAGATTGAGATTTTGAAAATCTGCTGTGGGGGAGATAGGGGAATTCATGAGGCGAATGGAGAAAGCAACTGACTTCAACAAGACGATAAGATCAGGACCGAACAAACCCTCCGAAGGCTTTTATGTCTGCCTACCTTAGATACTTCGCCGTATACGAACGACAGACGGTGAGCACGCCTCTTGACTTGGGGCAATGACTTATTGGGCCGCATGATGCTGTGCGACTGGCGAAATTCAAATCCACATGAAGAAGACGCATTCACATCCGTATCCATACTGCTGGGTCGAATGTTAATTGATCATGCTCGCATTGACGGGATCAATTTCAACGGGTGCCCACGCAGCACCAGCAAGGTGGAGGTAAGCCGACAAGGCGTGACTGTGACGTCTGATAGTGTGCCAACCCTCTCCACATGTCAGTGGTCACTCCCCAACCCAGGGTCGAGGGGATTGTCTCGTCCCAATGCGGCAGTCAACGGCTCCAACGCCCACCGCATATCGAGCACGACCTGCAGCTCCGGGAGGGCAAAGCGAACTTGTCCGAGCGAACGGCACGACGATGAGCGACGGCGAGAACGATTCTCTAGCGGAAAAGCGTGGGTTGGCTCCGTGGTGTCATGCTACTCGGTCAAGGCTCACCTCCATTCTGTCCGACGCGGCGTAGCAACTAGCGATGAGCCACGGGGCAAAGGCCCGGATCGGAACGCTTGAGGCACCCGCACCACCATTGCCGCACCAAGCGTAGGGAGAGCGGGGAGGGGTGTTGGATTCTTTATTTTGGGGCGTTCCATTGGTCGCAGGCGAGATAGCGGGAAGAAAAACCAACGGAACAGTTGCGAATCATTGGGAGCCGGAGTTTTAGGTTTAGTTAAATAATTAAGAGGTGCGATGTGTGGAGATTATTGAAGATGAAGAGAGATGTTCGAGAACGAGACACAGAAACTGTTGCATAGAGGTACAAGGGCCCCCTCCCGGCAGTCGGCGAGCACAGACGATACAAGCCACATTTGGGGGGGCAACGACGCCAACGACGCCACCAACGCCCCCTAACCGCAACGAACCAATCTTGAATCATCTCCTTCGACCGAAATTCACGAGACTGACTTCATATGCGTCATGCCGCCAATCTATGTTGACCATTGAATTCCAAAATCAAATAATGCTTTTTGATCCTTCTCCAGAATGAACTACTGCCATGATGCAGGAAATAAGCAAATCAATACCTTATGCACTAGCCCGTTAGTCTTGTAGGGCTCATGCAGACGCCAGACAGACATCCACGTCCAGTCCTACTTAAACAACGTCCCACACTGGACCATCACCACCATCCAATAAAGTCCGAATTCGAGCACACGTCAATATACAGTACATAATTTTGAAGAGTATTTGAAAAAAAAATATGAGCTGAGATGACTCTTGGAATCATTCCATCATTTGCATACCAGACAGGAGTCCTCCCAAAGCCCATGTAACCGCCGGGGGGTTTGCCTTCACCAAAACCGTGCCTCTCCTAAGCGCCTAGTCATGCTTCCCAAACTTTTTCGACAACTCCCCTTCCTATCGCCCACCTCCAATGCAAATGTCCATGATCTAATGGCTGCCTATCATAGCGAACATCCCTACCCGCGTCTCCAATCGAGAGAGAGAAAATAAGACAAAAAACAGGGGACGAAGTTGGTTACGCCTCCCAAGGCCGGCTTGAGGGGCACAGCGGTGCCATGAGATCCACCGTTGGCTCCCGTTGCCGTTCCCCTGGGCGAGGGAGCAATGAAATACAGGTGGACGAACCGAAGGAGATGGACTAATTAAGAGGAACGCAAAATCCACCCAAATCCCTGGCAAAAACGCCGACCTTTCCCACTGATTCACTGAAATGTCCCCGTATACGGAACATGGCAACCGGGACCGCACACGTTCGACGGCAACGCCTAATATCCTTTCTGCAGCTACCACGCCCCGAGCACGTCTCCGCAAGGATGTGGCATCGAAAAGTGGAAGAGACGTCACCCGATCCGAAATGAATGCCGGATGGGGTTCGCCTATGCATTTATGCATCCCACCATCCACGCCCGTGGCTCTCCAGCGGGAAATAAAGACTACAACCTTGCCGAAGCATGTGTTCATCGTTCACAAAGACCCGCACTGCTAGAACCCCAATCGGAAAAGGAACGCACCGCACCGGAATTTGTCATTCATGGGACTCTCTTCGATGCCGGGGGCCGCGGAAGATGGGGCGGTCGTCGATGGGTGTACGGAGCATATCGCCATGCAGGAAGCCCTCGTCCCCATGCGAATCTCTCGCTGAGCTGGAGCCCCATCCGGTTCATCCTTCGGACATGCCATGTCAGTTCAACCTTCTCCGTCCGGTTCGCAATCTTCAAGACTCACTGGGCGCTCGGTGGGTGGCTTACTGAGAGCTGCTGCCCGCCTGCGGCGTCCCGGCCATCGGCGCGGCCGTGTCTTGCGATCCGGCTTGCGACAACTTTTCCCGTTCCACGCCCGTCTGGATGACGTGTTGCATGGAGATACCACCCCACGGCAGGCCTTCGAGGTTACTGGGTTGGTCGAGTTCCGAGGACTCAGGCGCGCTGTAGGAGGCGCCGGCGCGCTCCTGATTCTGTTTATCACGCTCCATTTCGTCTCTCGCTTCTTTTGCCCGTTGACCTGTCCGACATCAGGAAGTGTTTCTTGTATTGCATGCTTGAGAGGGCATGAACGTACGGAATCTCCTCTGGGCCATCTTGTTCTGCTCCCTCCTTCTTTCGGCGGCATCGTTGACCTTCTGCGAAGAGTCTGTGCTTGATGCTTCTGACACTGCCATTCCCGCCGATCTCTCTTCTTTTTGGGGTTGATCTGAAGACATGAAGATCCACTGAAATCTATTAGTGAGCTTGTCGGAGTCGCATATATGAGATAAGATGAGACGAAGCGAAGTTCATGCATTGAAAGAACCTGGATTTTCAGGGAACAGGAAAAGTCGCATACGATGAGTCTTTTAGAAGCATATTTCACTGACTGCTTCTCCTTCTGCCTGCGCCTGCGCAGCAGAGTGACTAAAATGTTTGAAATGAATGACTGGTCTGAACGCTGAGCTGAGTGCAGAACGGATGTGGCCCATGGAGGAGAAGGCAGCAGTGTCAGCCTATGTGCCGGACGAAATATGGAATTAAAGATCGATTTGGCCACGGGAAAGATCATTTGATACGTCCTCTTCGACGAAGAACTAGAAACCTGAGGGTTGGGTTCTGGAGAGGAGGAGTTAGAAAAAATATGCCGTCGAGAGAACCGTTGCAGACGCCTTACGGCTGGGATTCCCGGATCGACCACTCACATCGGCAATCGCGACGATTAAACATTCCCGGTCTACAAAACCAACACTTTAACGGACCTCATTGGTTGTCGCATGGTTCTTCGCTAACCTTGGGTCCCGTCAGTCACTGCAAGTGGAATGATGGTAGGATGACAGGCTAGGCTGCAGATTCCCCTACGTAGCTGCATCCTGTACCTGTCCCAGGGCGATGGGCAGGTCGGAGAGGACGGTCGGAAACTAGCATAAACTTTTTGATTATCGGGCCTTCCGTTTGCATGCTTCGTTGGAGAGGAGCATATCTTTCGCCATGTTCCACGGTACAGAACGGACGCAAGCAACGAAGTCGTATCCTGGGCATACATTTAGGTTCAAGGGAAGGCATGGATAGAGTCAAACGTGGTAAACCCGAGAACAGAGAGCTTCGGGCCCAGCCATAGCACATGAACACCGAACAGTCAACCGTTACGCGTTCAAAGGCTGAAATTCGAACGGCTGGACAAGGGCCAATCCGAGCGGACGGGAAACCGTCGCGCAGCGGCGTCCAATGGGCGCGCGGAAAATGGGTGTCCAAGATTTGGAACATCGTAGGATAAAGCAAGGGTCGCCAGCTAATTGGATACTGAGTGATTTGCTGCCTGATATTGGCGTCACTGGCGGGAGGAACCTGATGCAGGATCCAGGAGAGGAGTGAGCACGATGGAGAATCGGGAAGACCAGTTCGGAGCTTCGAGGATCCTCCCCACCCCTGGGGCTGAAGGCTGAAGGCTGTATCTGATGCAGGATCAGCCACTTGGGCGTCATCGACGTCCTCGGTGTTGGAGAGAGAACACAAGATAGTAATCACGGAGTAAGCTTCGACCGGCTGCAGGGGGTGGAGATCATAGGGCTTGTAATATGGTCGGTAGTTTGGAAACCATCTCTTTTCTTAATCTGCAGCTGAAACTCATATTCTGGCCGATCTTGGTACAACGCATATGCACGCCCTCGTCCGGTCAGTTTTTTAAGGTGCGTCCTAGCGGGCATAGCGAGAATGCCCAGAAGGCTGGTGGGTCCCGAATGGACGGACTAGTAGATGAGTTCCACAGCCGAGAATTGCAGCAGGAAGTGTGACTGGAGTCGAGGCATTGCTTCATGGTTACCAATTAGTCCTGGCTTGGTCCACGGGGGAAGCGTCGTGAAGTGGTGGATATGGTGGTGTTCTCAAAGAGTGAAGGGAATCAAGGGATGAGGTTGGAGGTCGGTGAAGCCGTAAATGCGATATTGAAGGCCAGCCAATCATGTCGCCCTGACCGGTCAATTGGAAACAACCCTGTACCAGTCTTCAAACTTAAAGTATTCTGTAAAGTTCACTAATAAAGATCACTTTACTCTCTTGCTCCGAATCTCCTCCATTCATGTCGCTAGCCAACGTCCGGAAGGCCTGTTTAGTACCGGAAGATAGTCACTTTACCATTTCGTACGGCTGGTGGCTTGAATAACTGCAATCCACGTCTTGGTCGCTCACCGTCTTCACGAGAAGCCACGGGAGAGAGCACAGCCTCAACGCCCTCCGCAGTGTGCACTGTCAGTCTGTCACCCATCAGAGACCAGTGGCGGCACCAAAATTGAGGCTGTGCATCTGCCTCGCGAAGTGCCGAATTCACAGTTGATGTGGCTTGGTTCGTGCAAAACTTTCCCGAAATGCCGAGAGCAGTCATGGGATGGGTCTGGACTCTGGAAGCTCCAGCAGTTCAAGCGTCGACGAGGTCCGAGACATATGGCATATCGCGTGTATTCCCACACCACAGGAAAAGAGCTGCTGGAATGGGCAATTATCCCATTGATGGTCATCAAACATATCATATCACACACTAACTCTGGCTGAACGGTTGATCACAGGAGTCAGGAGAGTATGTCATGCTTGTCTGAAGAGTTTGTCGACAACTCAACGCTAAAGAACTTCAATTTACATTACTACAGCCTATAGCCTGCTGCTGTTACCCAAGAACGATTGGGCGAGATTGATCTGGTCGACCGCCTCCCGGACCATCTCGTCGACAATCTGTCCCGCGGGCTTGATGTCTCCGATGATACCGGCGACTTGTCCCATTAGGAACGGCGGATCGACCTCTTTGCCTTTCTCCATATCATGCTCGAGCGGCGTCACTCCTGAATCGCACAGCCGCTTGATCTCCTCCGGCTGGGCCTCCCACTCCTTGATATAGTCGTTCGCTCGCACCCGCAGCGGTCGCCCGCTGATGACCAGCGTCCGGATGGTGTCGACGAAATCGGCCGACACCACGTTCTCCTTGTGCATCTGCGAGCAGCCGGCCTCCTTGCTGGCCACGAACCTCGTTCCCACCCACACCCCCTCGGCGCCCTGCATCAAGCTGCTCGCCAGACTCCGTCCATCGCGGATCCCTCCCGCGGCAACCACCGTAGCGGGCTTGCCGGTCAGCGGGCTCGTGTACGTCTTCGCGATGTCAACGACCGCGGGGATGAGGATGCTGTTCGCGATGTCGCCAGTATGTCCGCCGCCCTCGCCGCCCTGCGCACAGACGACGTCGACACCGGCATCCAGCGCCTTGACGGCGTGCTTGGGGTGGCCGACCATGTTCATGACTAGGATTCCGGCCTCGTGGAGCCGATCGATGACGCGCTTCGGGGGGACGCCGACAGCGCTGACGAACAGCTTGGCGCCGTTCTTGATCGTGACCTCGATAAGGTCATCGAGCTGGCCGTGGGTGTAGTCGTGGTTCGTCTTGCGCGCGCTGCCGCCCACCTGCGGGAGGGCCAGGTCGACACCAAACGGTAACGACTTGTCGGTCAGGTTCGCCTTGAGCTCGTCGATGATCTCCTGCAGTTGGTCCGGAGTGTAGCCCAAGCCGCCGATGACGCCCAGGCCGCCGGCGTTGGATACGGCGGCAGCGAGGGGACCGCCGGAGGTCCTAGCCATACCGGCCAGGATGATGGGGTATTTGATGCCCAGGAGCTTGCATAGCGGAGTTTGGAGTGTAGGGGCCATGGTGATTTGACTTCACGTAGATCGGTTGCTATCGGCGAATCCGCGGTTGTATTCCGTTTCGCAGGGATGATCTGGTCAGGTTCGGACGATGGGATGAAAACGAGATATTGTGATACTTTTGGGATTGCGTTTTGATTGAAGCATGGCAAGTCCGAAGACTTGTCGTTCTATTTAGTTCACCAGATCGGCATGGGCGGTTGTGGGAAATGGCCGAGGTCTTCGGATGGTGATGAATGGTGGGCGGGAGCCTCGTGATCGCTGGCTTTCGGGTGTTCGTCCCCCAGCAACGGAAACGGGTAACCATATTACCCCACATATTCCCTACCGCACTACCACAAGGTCTTGAATCTGGAGGCTTGACCACAAGCCGTCGGTCGTCCGGCCATCACGGTGCCGCTGAGGGGTTGAAGCATGTGCTTCCAACCTAGGAGGTCGAATTAAATAGGTGATTATCATCTGGTGCATTTTGATTTTTGATATATCGGCCAATAGCATTTGGGCATGGAAAATGCAAATTCCACATCTTCAGTAATTGGTGTATCGATTGGCACCATATTGGTGAGACAATGTTAGCAAAGGCTCTGCGTTACGGTTTGCGATTTGCATTTCGCCCTCATTGTGCCGCATGGATTTCAGTATGTTCAATGAGAGTCCATCCTGCAAATATCTGCGCATCCTACCTACCTTCTGTGATCCTGTATGGCATGACCTGTACGGTGGGATTAAAAAGCGCCATAGGCTTCCAGGAACCCGATGCGGAGCTTGTCAGTAGAGGTGATAAATCATGGATGAACAGTACAATGATGTGTAATTCCATATGCTATGCTAAGACATGCTCGAAGACCAGCGTTCTTAATGCTTGACTCCATTGGTCTTCATCCTACCATTGGGACCACCTGGGGTCGTTCCTGTCGACGGAGTCGGCAGGACAGGCTTGGCTGGAATCGCGGGTTCTTCCTCGGTGTCGTCGTCGTACTCACCTTCGCTCAGCGCGTCGTCCTCCTCGTAGTCGTACTCGCTCTCCGTCCCATCCTCGTCCTCATCCTCATCGTCGTCGTCCTCATCTTCGTCGTCGTCGTCCTCTTCCTCGGTGGTGTCGTGCACGGGGATCTGCCCACGTCCCTGGGCCTGCATACCCCTGCAGAGCTTCTCTAAGTTGTCGTTCTTCTTGCGAAACAAGTCGAGCTCTTGTTGCAGCCGAGTTCGCTCTTCCGCCATCTCGAGGATGTTGCGGTTCGTCGCTTCTTGCTTGCGCGTCAAAGCATGGTTTTCCTTCTCCAGCCGTTTAGTCTTTTTCGACATATCTTCCATTTCCTTCCGGAACGTTAAGAAAAGATCGTTCGAGCTGTTGAGCGTGTCTTCCACCTACTTAGCTGTTAGCACAGGTGTCGTCCGAGTCGAATTATACATACCTGTTTGAACTTCTCGACGTAAATATTCAGCTGGCTTCGGAGCTCCGTCTCGGTTTGCGAGAACGTTGATACCTGACGCGTAAGCTGGTGAGACTTGCTGGATTCCACCTCTTGAGCCTTCCGTTGCTGCTCCAGTCGTGCCATCTGATACTGCAGCTCCAACTCCTTGGTACGTAGCAGGGAGATGAACTGCAGTTCACGGAGTTCATATTGCTCAACGAATGACTTGAACTTCTGTCGGAAGCTGTTTTGAAAAAAAGTATTAGCCGTGGTCTCCAATTGGGAATGTTTGTCCTACTCTGGATCCTCAGTAGTGACTTCGGCATCTTGGCCGCCATGCTCGTCCTTCTTGCATACTTCATCCACTTCGGAGATCATTCGGTCGAGTCGCTGATGGAGTTCGGTGCGATGGTTTGCTTCGATGCCTTGAAGTCTATCCACCATCAACTAACACCAAGTTAGACGACGAACTTCGGCAAATCGGCCGCGAGTCCTGGGAAGCGTACCTTGAGGCGCTTGTTCTCCGTCACATTCTCCCGCGACATCTTCGCAAACTTGTCCTTGAGGGTGTTTGCCTTGGTCAGATCACTCCTAGCAGTATCTCGCTCTTTCTGCAGCAGGTCCGCCCGCTTCTTGGACTTCTGGTGCTCGCGCTCGAGTCGCTTCATGTCGCCGAGGAGTTGCACATATTTGTCTCGTACCGTATCGAGTCGCGAAGAGGAGGTCTCGATATTGGCGAGGAGGTGAGAGAGCTCTCGGTTTGCCTTGCGGACTTCCCGGTCTATTTCAATCCAGTCAATATTTTCCTGGACAACCTCATGGTTATACCCTGAAATCGCGGCATAGGTGGCGCCGTCAAAGTCGCCCGGAATTGATCGCGACATGGTAATATACAACTCTCGAGATGGAACCAAAAGCCAAGCCAGAGTACAGTTGTAGTTGCAGCAGTGCGAGTGAAGAAAGAGATTGTGGCTCGCTTTGCGACGGCTGCCGGCAAGTCGCAAAACAAGGGAAACGGAAATGAAAACGAATAAACATATCACGCACCTATCTCGGCATCTTGATCCTTTTCCCCTGCGGTTTCCAACTCCAGCTGGGCAATTTTGGCGGCTATTTGTTTCGATGCATCGATCGGATCCGGGTTTCCCTTCACTGCAGTCTTTGCCTTCGCTGGCACCGCTCCTGCGGATGCTTGCGAGGGCGGCATTGTACTGGCTAATTCCCACTATGTTTCCAAGCGTGTTTTACTGTTCCCGGCCGTGGGTACATCAAGAAAATCCTCAACGGTGGTATTCTTCTGATGAGAAGTCGGCGAGCCGCTCATCGACAAAGGAGGAGTGTAGGGTCCAGATCGTCGCAATAGGAGTATGTAACTTCCAAGAATCGTTCTATATGATGTCTGTACAATGTCAGTAACACGTGAAAGTCTAACAATGTTTCTCGAGGGATGGACACGGCACCGGATGCAGAAGTGACTCGGAGTGGAAGGCAGTATTTGGGGGACAGTTACCGGTGAATACCGAGACAATCCAGATCTTGATAGTAAGGAGGCGGCTGAGGGGGGCTATTTGTAATTCAAAAAGATATAGACAGGTATCAAGAGCGGAGGGTTGTAAACGGGATCAGAATCTAAGCGTGCTGGTGTGTTGTGCAAAGTTGGGAATGAAGTCAAGAGTCCAGTGCTTGGTTTCTACACCATATTTCATTACGTGTATCGATGGTATGGCATTGCCCACTCAGTGATCGAGGATACGTCAAATTGAGGTTGCACTAGCTATTTTGGGATAGACAGTACCAGTATATCGGTTCACAGTTCACATCACTGCCTGGGTCTTCATGACAGAATTGCTGTTCTTTGACTTCCAGAGCACTAAAATGGTGATATTCCGTAACCCGGCTCTATACTTATTTATTATGCATTGACTTGGAGCATTTCTAAGCCTCGCATAGCATTCTATATTGACATCTTGCCTTCGGTACTGGTTCCGTAGCTATGGAAATTAGATTTAAGCTAGTCTGTACTACTGCGTAGTACGTCCTGTAATGTCAGCCAATAGCTTAGTCATCACAATCACTGTACCGCACTAAACTATTCTTATCATAACTACATCGTCTCAGACGCGCGGGTATCACGGTAGAGCGGCACGTAATGGCGCCGATGGGTCTCGATGGATCGGTTTTTATTTGCCAGCCATCCATGATGTTACAACATGAAGACATGGACACAACTTCTTTCTTTGTGTTGTAGTGTCCTCATCTTTCCCAGACAGATGGCTATGCTACGTGTGAGCCGCTCATCTTTATGGGCTGCTCGTCAATCCGGCCCCTTCCTTCGTTCGCCAGCACGGTCGCGACATATCCGCTCCTTTGCCTCTGTGACCGACCTCAACACACTCCCCAAGCCCGGAGAGAAGCTACATGGCTTCACATTGCAGCGGACCAAACATCTGCCCGAGTTAGAGCTCACCGCTCTTCAGCTTCAGCATGACAAGACAGGGGCGGAGTATTTGCACATCGCAAGAGATGATGCCAACAATGTTTTCTCCATCGGCTTCAAGACCAATCCTCCAGACCGGACGGGCGTGCCACATATCCTCGAACACACGACGTTGTGTGGTAGCAAAAAGTATGCTTTCACCATCCTACCCGCAACTCAGTACTAATATTTCTCAGATACCCCGTCCGCGATCCATTCTTTAAGATGCTTCCTCGCTCCCTCTCAAATTTCATGAACGCCTTCACCTCTTCCGACCACACGACATACCCCTTCGCTACCACGAACGCGCAAGACTTCCGAAATCTCATGTCCGTATATTTAGACGCCACTCTGAACCCGCTACTCAAAACACAAGACTTCCACCAGGAAGGGTGGCGCATTGGACCCGAGAATCCCCTTGCGGAGGTCGAAGGCGGCTCTGAATCCGCCAAAAGTCCTTTGGTGTTTAAAGGTGTGGTGTACAATGAGATGAAAGGTCAAATGTCCGATTCAGGCTACCTCTATTATATCCGCTTCCATGAGCAGCTGTACCCGTCATTGAACAACTCTGGAGGCGATCCTCAGGCGATTACCGATCTAACATATGAGCAACTCCGGAATTTCCATGCGGATCACTACCATCCAAGCAACGCGAAAGTGTTCACATATGGCGACATGCCAGTGACAGACCATCTCCCAGGCATTGGCCAGTTTCTGGATTCGTTTGACAAGATTGCAGTCGATCACAATATTAAGCACCCTATTTCGCTCGATAGCCCCAAGGAAGTGACGATCAAAGGACCAATCGAGACTCTTGTCCCACTGGACCGGCAATACAAGACATCTATTACTTGGCTCATGGGGGACACTTCCGACGTTGTGGAAAACTTCTCCTTGAGTATTCTCTCTTCGCTGTTGATGGATGGTTATGGCTCGCCACTATATCAGTCTCTGATCGAAAGTGGCTTGGGTCTCGACTTCTCTCCAAATACAGGATACAGTGCGTCAACTAGGAGGGGCGTATTCTCCGTCGGTGTGACCGGTGTTCGGAAAGAAGACACTCCAAAGGTCAAGGAGACCATCCAAAAAGTGTTTGCGGACAGTCAAGCGAACGGTTTCAACGACGTGAAGGTGCAAGGCATCTTACACCAGTTGGAACTTGGACTTAAACATAAGACGGCGCACTTCGGCATGGGACTGGTACAGCGCTTGAAGCCATCGTGGTTCAACGGAATTGATCCATTCGACGCTTTGGCCTGGACGGAGGTGGTCGATGCTTTCAAGCAGAGATATGAAGCAGGCGGTTATTTTGAAAGCCTGATTGAGAAATATCTTGTCAATGAGCGGACTTTCACCTTCACTATGGAACCCTCGGAGTCGTATGCCCTGGATCTCCAGGCAGAAGAGCAGGAAAGGCTATCGACCAAGATCGCCGAGGCGTCTAAGGATGTCTCCTCCGCAGACGAGGCATATGCACGATTGGCCGAGCGTGAGCTTGAGCTCGTTCGTGTTCAAGAAGAAGCAAGAAACCAGGATCTAAGCTGTCTGCCCTCCGTTCACGTAAAAGACATTCCAAGGCAAAAGGAGCGCAATCCGGTCTCGGACTCGAACGTGGAGAATGTCCGAGTGCAGTGGCGGCAGGCTCCCACCAATGGCCTGACTTATTTCCGTGCCATCAATGTCCTCGAGGGTCTTCCATCGGAGCTCAGATCCATGCTTCCACTGTTCTCGGATGCAATCCTTCGGCTGGGGACGAAGAAATTGACCATGGAACAGCTGGAAGAGCAGATCAAGCTCTATACCGGAGGAATCAATTTTGGCTACCATTCAACCACGTCCCCGCACAACCTTTCGCACTTTGAAGAGGGCTTCAGCGTCTCGGGGATTGCCTTTGACCGAAACATTCCCACCATGTACGAGCTGATCCGTACTTTGATCACCGAGACCAACTTCGACGGACCCGAAGCCGAATCCAAAATTCGCGAGCTGTTGCAAACGGCCTCCAGCGGCGCAATGGATGCCATCGCCAGCTCCGGGCACGCGTATGCTCGGAGATACGCTTTGGCGGGATTGAGCCCGGCGGGCCAAATCCGAGAAGAAACGTCCGGTCTGGCACAGGTGCAGCTGCTGACCGCTTTGTCCATGCGCAACGCGTCCGAAGGTCTGAATGATGTGGTCGACAAACTCAAGCAAATCCAAGCCTTCGCGCTTTCGAAAACACAGGGCTTGCGTTTATCGATCAACTGCGGCCCCGAAAGCGTCCAGGCGAACGAAAAGGCATTGCAGCGATTCATGAGCGGCATGTCATCCCCCGCAGCCAGTTTCGATCAGGTACAGCCCTGGAGCCCGCAAGAAGCGACGAAGATTTTCTTCCCGCTACCATATCAGGTTCACTATGCTGGCTACGCTGTTCCCTCCGTGCCGTACGTGGATCCATCCGGCGCATCGCTTCAAATACTCGCGCAGCTGCTTACCCACAAGCACCTCCATCACGAAATCCGAGAGAAGGGCGGTGCGTATGGAGGCGGTGCGTTCTCGCAGGGCCTGGAAGGAGGCTTCGGCTACTACAGCTACCGTGACCCGAACCCGCTGAACACCATCAAAATCATGGAGGAGGCGGGTGTCTGGGCCCGAGACCGCACCTGGACCGAGCGAGACATCGAGGAAGCCAAGCTCAGCGTTTTCCAGTCCCTTGATGCGCCGAAGAGCGTCAGCCAAGAGGGCATGACCCGCTTCGTGTCAGGCATCGACGATGGGATGGCGCAGAAGCGACGGGAACAGCTCCTCGATGTCACGCCTCAGGACGTTACGGACGCCGCGGACCGTTTCTTGATCCAAGGAGCGAAGCACGGCAGATATGCGTTGCTAGGGCCCAACCGAGACTGGATCACCGAGACAGCTGGTTGGAAGTTCGAGAAGCTCGAACTCAATCAGCTGGACTCCGCTTAATTATTGGCGCCTTTCATGTCGCGGCTCAATGCGTTTCATTCACTCTACTCTATCTTTAGGGAAGGCCGAGAGCCTCTGTACAATATTGTCTGGGCGGATTGTGCATATGACGGAGTTGGGATACCCTGTAAACAATCTGCCGAATACTAGACGCGTCCTTTCGACTCCTCTTTACTCTATGACCAACTTACCGTGTGTAGGGCATCTTATACATGCTCCTAGAACCGAATCTACGTCTGTAGCCTGCTTCCACAGTTTATAGATCACGAGTTAGGCATTAATGCTGAGCGCAAGATCAATTACTTCAACTCTGACTCAACTATATGGATGGAGACCTGTTCACGTAGATTATGCTAGTAATTGAGGACATAAATGAATGCGACGCTTACCATTCCAGCAGCTTTTGAGCGGAACCTGATGCCCCATACAAAGGTCGAGTATTGATTGTTCCTTTGGGATATGTAAAATAATAGGCACTGAGTATCAGACCTAGCTCTGGCCTCTGGTCAAGGTCAATGTGAGATATACTGCTAGTGGGTCTTAAAAGGGGCTTAACATGGACAACAATGAAAAGGGCATGAACCTTTAGATGTGATTCAAGACCTGTACGTAGGAATATATATTTCGTTATCTGAATGCATCTATCGTATAAACATCGTATCCAGCATCATTGCATCCCAATCATGTGTATTCCTATCCATCTGCGCCGATTGGTAATGCTAAATCTAAATGCTACCTATATTCTCTTAGGCCACTAATTGGATTATAGCAAGAATCCAAAAAGAAATCAAGAACACCATGCCAACATCAATACCTGAATGCAACAATACCGGCCCGGTCAGGGTCAACTTTCGCCAAACAGGCCGGCGGGGCCGACTGCAAAGCCAGCGCGCCGTTGACCACGAGACTGACCGCCCGCGACAACACCTCAATGTATCGTTTTTGGACCGGAGCGCTCAGTCGATGTTGGTCCACGATCGTATCCAACCATTCACAGACCTGTTCATGGTGCATTTCCGGAACGTACCCCCTCCCCTGGCCTCCGCGGATTTGCGCCAACGTCCACGGACTCCACGCGCAGATGGGCGCCGTCGGGTTCGCCGGGAGGACCAGCGAGGGGATTCCGGAGAAGAGATGGAAGACGATGGTGCCGCAGCCGGGACGGCGGGAGCTCGACCACATGTTCCCGCGGAAGGGGGAAATGGCGGTGAACAGGAGGAGGATGCGGTTACCGCCCGTATCGTTCTTGGGGTCGGGGTCGCAGAAGGGGAGGACAGTGAGGGATTCGGAAAGGAGTTTATGGGCGAGAGCATAGTCGCCTGGTCACTGTCAGCGGCCGTGACGGGGCCATCGGATGCGAATCTTACCGGCCAAGAACGGTCCAAAGCACTGCGCCATAGCGAAGTCGTTCTTACGAGGCACCAAGGGCGTCCGAGCACTGGCGAAAAGATACGGACAAAACCAGCCCTTCTCGCATGCTTTCTCGTCCCTCGTGGGAGTGACACCACCGAATCGGATATCTGCGTCGACGCCCATCAGCTTATGCTTGATGCCCACTTGCAAGCTCTTCACATCTGTTGTGGCCAGCATCTTTTCTTCTTCGGGCAGTAGCTTCTCTAGGATGCCTTTGTCGATCGCCTGCTCCACGATCTGAAATACCCCGTATTTCAAAACCGTGCTGCCGACGATAGTACCAGTACCCATACTGACCACCTCGGAGACAAACGCATCAGCCCCAAAGGCGCTACTTACCCCGGTGTTCACGCCCTCCAGCAGGGGGGCTCCAACGAACGCAAACGTGGTGAATAGAATCGCATCACGGTAGCGAACGTTCGGCAGGGTGACTGGATTGTTATCGCCCCAAGGCGACAGTGCTAAAGGCATTTTCACCGCCGATGTGGCCGTCTGGACCGATGCCCGGGCGACGCGGCCGAAGAGGGTGTCGCCCATGAAGCGCTTGACTTTGCCGGATTTCTGGTCATCTTTCAGCGTCGGAGTGAAACCTTGCGGAGTGTTGTTCAGGGGTTGCATGGGAGGGGGCGCAAAATGTAGCTGTCGTGGCTGGGGCGGTTGTCCATACTGCTGTTGTTGCGGCTGGCTGTACTGCGGCTGCGGCTGCGGCTGCGGCTGTTCCTGTGGTTGGGCAAACTGCTGCTGGAGTTGAAGGAGTTGCTCTGGAGGCATGTTCTGTAGCATTTGCTGGATCTTTTCCACCTTCTCGGGCGGATGGCCAGCGGTATGCGGGTTGTTCGGATCTGGGGTATAGGCGGGTGTGGGAAGCGGTGTGGGATAGGCATGGACTTGAACTGTCATCAAACCGCTCGGTTGTTGGAATGAAGCATCTAAGGCTGGAGTGGGCAATGGAGCGGGTCCAGGTTGGTGCTGTGGGACTGAAACCGGTTGACCTGTCGGATACTGCTGCTGCGGCACCGCTCCTGGATGATGTACTGGAGGTGCTGGTTGTGTTTGAGGAGGGGTTAAGGAGGGAGGAGGCATCGTCGACGAGCCGTTTGGTGTCGGTGCTGGATGGTTCGCCGCATATTGAATTGGCGGTTGATTCGGGTTATACATGGTCAAACTTCACTCTCCTTGCTCTTTCAATTCTGGTCCGATGAGACTGTAAGGAGATCACGCTTAGTCGGGGTCCAACGAGGGTTGGCCAACTGTTTGGGTCAGTGTATCACAAAGCAGACCCTATCAGTAGCAGACAAAAGAAGATAAAAAAAACAGAAACGACTGCAATTGTCCACGAGACTCTAACTTCAAATGAAAATCAACGAGATTGATATTGCCTTTGTTCCGGACGACTGACAGACCGGTCCAGACCCGCAGCCTTGTTTTCAGCCGCCTTGTGTCGCACCAATTCATCAACAGAGGGAGGATATCGCAAAAGAGGCGCTCGATAGCGCGTTCCTGTGTACCTGAGGAATCCTATCCGAACTAGACTTGGCGCAGAAATCTATATTCGGCATTTCGGGATATGTCACCCTGGTTCAGTAATTTTCACGGTTGAGGGGATTTGATGTTGGTGGAGAGAGAACCAGACCGTGCAAGGCTGGAGGTCTGGGAGACAACCAACAGGGGAAGATTGGCAGTCTGGCACCGTCAGTGCGGCGGTACGGGTCGCTCCGTTCGGTCCCATAATGCATTATAATTGATCATTTATAAATTGATAATTACAGGAGAGTGTCAGTGAAGTCAGTAATAAGGTACAAGAAGGTGCAGGTTCCATAATACTGTTGTACGGTACTCCGAAGATACTAGGGAGGTAGGGTTCCTGATGACCTGGAGAAGGTAGGGGATACCTAATTAATTATTCAAGTACTTAAACATGGGCCTGGTCCGGCGACCCGTTTGGCAGCATCATTCAGCATTAATTATGTTTCTGCCCGATCCACGGAATGCCTCACCTCAAGTCCCTTATTCGTTTTGCAAGCTTCCAATCGTACTTCGGAGAGGTTCGAATAGTCCCAATCACCTGATAAAATGCAAATGGCCAAACTTACATAGGTACTTGTATACTTGCAAGTTATCATGCCATCTTCACATGAATGGCCATTCACTGGTCGAATCGACGGGAGTTAGATAGTGAGATTGCATGTATTTCTAAGTCTCTAGGTTGGTCCAGACCTTACTCCGGGAAATGTACAGACTTATGCATGACTGATGCTCGCTTCGAACATTGCCACGGCCAAGCGAGATAGCGTGGGGAGTGGGGAGAAGTAACATAATGGGAACACAGAAGAGATGGATATAAGTACACCCACTCCCCTCACCCTTTCCTGCAACTGAGAGACATCAAGGGCCGCTAGAATCCGTCCTACAGACATCTCTTTGCTCTTAAGTCTATCACCCCTCGATCTCCAACCTCGCCGAAATGGCTCTCACCCAAGCCCAAGCCCAAGCCCAAGCCCAAACGGGCCAAACCCAACCCGCCATTGGCTACGCCTTCCCCTCTCCCGCCCAGAAAATCGAAAGCAATCGACTAGACGTGCAGCACCGGCTCCTTGTCCTCACCGCCAATGACCAGCTCCACCGCGCCCCCTTAGACCCCACCTCCGTCCGCAACGCGCTCGACATCGCCACCGGCACCGGCATCTGGGCCACCGAATTCGCCCGGGAGTTCCCCGCCGCTAATACCGTCGGCTTCGACATTACATCGCACCCGCAGCACAGCGCCGCTGATATCCCTTCGAACTGCACCTTCGAGGTCGCCGACATGCGCAACGATGCTACGTGGAGCGGCGAGCCGGACGCGAACGCTGCGTGGACGATGCCGAAGAGCGTGCCGTACGATTACGTCCACGGGCGCATGCTGATGGCCGTGGTGCAGGACTGGCCGAAACTCATGGCGCGATGCTATGAGAAGATGGCGCCGGGCGCGTGGATTGAGTTCCAGGATCTGAACCTACCCATGAGCACGCCGGACCCGGAGTGCACCGCGGAGTCGTCCCCGATGTTCACCTGGGCGATGCTGTTCCATGAGACGTTTCTAAAGATCGGGTATGATTTCGGTGCGGCGGCCCAGCATGCGCAGCGGCTGAGGGACGCGGGGTTCGTCGATGTGCAGGAATTCGATGGGAAGTGGACGGTCGCGGGCCCGGTGCCGGACTCGGATCGGGAGAGGCAGATGCACGAGATGGCGGTAAGTGTGGTGATCGATGGCGTGGCTGGGTTCACTAGAAAGGCGTTTAAGGAGGTGCTCGGTTGGACGGATGAGCAGGTCGATGAGGTCGTTGCTGCGGTTCAACATGAGTCGCGGAATGGGAAGTACAGGATCATCGCGAACTTTAAATATGTCTTCGGGCGGAAGCCTCTATAAACCCATACTACATTGACGGTAATTGACCAGTTATTCGGAGACAATGGGGCTCAAGGTTAACTTTAATAGAACAATCATGATTATGACACAATTTAATTGTGACCGGAGCCGGAACTCCTTATGCTAAATGTTTAAACGCGCTCATGAAAACAAGGACGTCAAAAATGCAATATGCTGTGTAACCATATGCTGTGTAACCATATGAATCAATCAGAGCATGTTGCCACACTGGCGTTCGAAGCACCTTCAACATGTCGTGTAATCATCCCGCGCCATCAGAACATATCCCCGTGGAGGATTCCCTTCAACACCGCTTGGCCAGCTCCATCACAGCATCCTTCGACCTCCTTATATCCCACACAACATACAACCCTTCGCTCATCGTTTGCGCTGCCAAGCCCTTCAAATGCCTTGCCTCTGCCTGTCCTGCTTGGAGTAATCGTAGTCCTGGTCGGGGTCAAAAATCCTTTCCCCCCGGTGATGGAGATGAGCGAAAGCATGTCCAGGGAAGAGACGACATCGCCAAACTCGGTTGCCGAGAGGGGCGCAAGAATGTTCGACGACCGGCAAAGAGCGCTGTATGTGGAATACAGGGATGCGACAGTTGGGGCACCTCCATTCGTCCCGTTTCGATGTTTGCTCGGTGTATGAGGAGCCCGTGGCATGGTTACAGCTGCACGACCATGTCTTGAAGGGGTCCCTATGACGGTTTCGACGCTCGCTGGTGCAGCTGCATTTGGTCCCACCGAGTCTTCCTTATTCATGCGGTCGATTGCTGCCAATGAGCACAGAACCGCTTTCTGCTGCAGATTGAGTGACCGCAGACGTGAAGATGCGCCATTGCTAAAAGCCGCAGCCGTCACACGAGCAATATGGGCTATGGTCGCTCGGGGCGCTGATTCGGCAGTGAGATCAGAGAGAGAGGACTTTTGCTGAGAATATGCTGGCTTCCTGGCCGATTTTGAAGGAGAATAAGGGGAAGACAAGTTCATGTTATCCACGAGGGGTAGACGAGACGGTGATTTGACCGGTGACACAATAGACATTTCTCTTGATGCCAGGTCAAATTTCTTTGTTCGAGTCTCTGTTTCGACTAGATCCACAGCACGTCGAGCTAGATCGAAAGCTCGGCGCAAATCTCCGGTTTGTGATGCAACCTTTTTCGCGAGGAACATGATGGCCGTCGGGTGGATGAGCGGGACATGGGAACTATTTCCTCCATCCGGCATCAGAGTCTTCAACTTTGCTGTGAGGATAGCGCTGAGTTGCTTCTCGGAATAGGGCATGAAGGGAAGCAGTTGAGGTTTCAGAGCACGGGACTTGAGCCTCGGGAGGAATCGATCAGTGAAGTCCAGAGCATTTGCAATTCCTATGAGGATCAAGTTTGAGGTCTTCTGGAGAGACCACTCGAAGAGGGTGTGCACGAAATCCTGGTCCACATCGACAAGGTGATCGATCTCATCGAGTACCACCAAGTGGACAGTTTTCCGCTTGTGGAAAAGCTTCTTCGTCTCTTGAAGCTCCGAGCCAGTGAGAACATCTGGATTGATCTCAAACTTTTCGAAGATGCGACCGATAATATCTTTTGAAGTTTTCGCTCCCACGCAGTTGATGGTTGCAGACTTGATGGATTCGTCGAGATGTAAATCTTGAAACACTTCGGTGACAAGAGCGCTTTTTCCGGTTCCAGGCGGTCCCGAGATGTACAAGCTGCCCGGCATTTTCTCCGAGGTATGCGACGCGATGAAATCTTGCAACTCCTGGCGTTCGTGGTCACGTCCCACGAGTCTTCCGGGCTGTATGCTTCGCGCAAATAATAGCCGGGCCTTGTTATAAATGTTCGGAGCGGTTGTCCGCGGAGTCGTAGGAGTGCCATGTGTTCTTGGTGTCAGTGGCTTTCCAACAACGGTGACGCGGTGTCGAGGTGTGATGGGATCGGTCGCAAATGCGTCCTTATGTCGGTTTGTTGTCGGGGTAGCGAAAGTGGATTGAGGATCAAGAACGGAGTCGGCTTTGCGAGGGCTGACATTTCCGTCCTTTGCCGGGGAGTTGATGGATATTCTTGTTTCCGGAGCACCATGTTTGCTAGGAACGGTTTCCTCGCCTCTCGATCTCTTCCGAGTCCTGAGCTTCCACTTCTCATCGGGCTCCTGGTGACCTTGGTCATTGGACTTGACGAAAGGGTTTTCGTTCTCGTCATTGTCCTGGATAACAAATTGTTTAGCACGCTTCGACCGTGTCAGGCGACCAGTATCTTGAAGACCAGCATCTTAGAGAAGTCAGCTAATTGATATTGGTAGAAATCTTGGAACTTGTGTTGTCTTACCTTTGGAAGTCGGAGTAGAGCGAGATCTCTTTCCTAGAACGGAAGAAGCCATCGCTATTATCGTGTGAAGTGGTTGCTGAAGGTGGAAGCTGCGATGGGCGATGCAGATTACAGTGTAGTGTACAGTTCGAAGTTGGGAAGTTGCGGATGGTGGGTGAGGCAAGAGGTTAGAGGTAAGTGGTTCAAGTCAATTTGCAACTGGAAAGAGGCAGGGAAACGCGTCGCGGTACGCGCTTGCCGGCCGAGGGTGCGATTGAACGCGTCGCCCCACTTTAAGGGTCATCACGTTAAGCGTCACAGGACCACCTCCATCTCCAAAGCTTCAGTAGAGTCCAAATCTTCAAGACTGATGATAGGTACAACATCCTCCAGATCCGAAACCCCTTGAATTCTAGCCTTCTTGAAGAAGTTTGTAACTTTCTCCTCGATTCTCCAATTTTGGCTTGGGTGGTGCTAGTTGTTGGTCCAGCTAATGGAATGTTGCAGGGTCCTGACAAATCCGCCCTGCATCCAATCCATGAATGCTCCGGGACCATGGCACTCTCTCCCGTAGTACCAGACACCAAACCTCAACTCTGCTTAATGATGTGACAATGGCCGTGGCTTGAAGTCCGGAGCGGGGGAGCGGCGCTTGGGGGAGGGCTTCAATATGGATGTTTCCTTCTAGTTTGCTTTCGCACTCAACCCGCACCTTCGCTTGTTCTTAGTCAATAGAACTCTCATTGATCTTCTTGACACATGAACCAATTCCTGGCTCGTCCTGATATATCCGAAATGAACGTATGAGTCGGAATTTTGGCAATTGTCTCACTGCCAGGACATCTCCCAAGCGACCTTCCCCTATTATAGTACCGCCTCGAACCTAGTCTATTCCACGTCTGCACTGTCGTTCTTTCGTTTATATTATGTTACATTTTCTTTCCTATAGCCTTTGCGATGTCGCACTTGCATGTTCTCCTTACGGGAGGGACTGGGTTCGTCGGTACGGCGATCCTGAAGGCCCTCGATGAGTATCATCCGGAGTACAGGGTCTCTGTTCTAGACTTCATCTCGGAGTCGCGATGGGCTCGACCGAATACCGCATTCGATATTCAATACTACCAGGCAGATATCACCAATAGACATCAGGTCTCTGAAGCGATACACGCTTGCAAGCCAACCATCGTCATTCATACAGCCGGCATGGTCACGAAGAACAACAGCCGGTACCGTGACCCGAACCCGGAAATTGTCTTCAGGATCAACGTTGAAGGGACCAGAAATGTGTTGGATGCGGCGAAGAGTTCGGGAGCGACTTCATTCGTCTATACTAGTAGCGTGACAATTGTCACGGACGATCAAGATCACGACTATCCGAACGTGAACGAGACGGTTCCCACCGGATTCGCGCTGTGTACTTATGGGCAATCAAAAGTCTGTATCTTCCGCCTTTTCTTGCCGATAGTGTCCGTATGCTGAATAGGGTACAGCTGGCGGCCGAAAAGGTGGTCCTCGCCGCCAATAGCCCCGAATTCGCAACCTGCGCCCTTCGTCCCTCGACGTTGATGGGCCCCGGCGACACCAATCTCGTCCCTACCATCCAGCGATGCATCGCCGAGTTCGAGACCCCATTCATCATCGGGTCGGGTCTCAACCTCTATGACTTCACGTACGTCGGGAATGTCGCGGATGCGCACGTTCTGGCGGCTGAGAACCTCACACGACCCCATGCCGACGATCGAACAGCGGCGGGGGAGGCCATATTCATAACCAATGGCCAACCCGTGCCATTTCGATCATTCTGTTTGGCGGTCTGGGCCGAATGGGGGCACGCCCCTCCGTTTGAGATCCACGTTCCTAAGAGGGTTGCTTGGACTGCAGGTTATCTAGCAGAATGGTGGACGTGGATAAGGGGAACAGAAGCGACTCTGTGTAGAGGGAGCGTCAAGGACTACTGTCAGACAGCATATGCTGATATCAGCAAGTCACGACGGATACTGGGGTATGAGCCTCGTGTTGGATTACCGGAAGGTATCAAGATCAGCTGTGCGGTAAGAACTCTCTGTTCATGAACTTTGCGATAATGCTCACAAGGATTAGGATCTTAAAAGACGAATGGAGGAAAACAAGTTATCCTAGAACCTAGCAAATCAATTGTTCTTGTTCAATTATGCCGAGGGCACATCTTCAACTAACGGATGTGACCGCTCAGTTTCTTTCTACCAGTATCCCGCCTCAGCGCCCGCGCTTTACCAACCGAGATGGGCTTGACGACTGTTCCTCGACCCATCTCGCCGAGATGTAGCACCTCATTTCATCCCTTGCTGGGGTCAAATTGCGTTGTGGTCTTCCCCTTCATGAGTTACGGAACGGGAGTTAGTGGCTGGTAGTGCTGGTTCCGTCGAACTTTGGGAACTGTTAGGGTAATGGTCTGGGTTCTTGAAGGACCTGTCACATTTTGGGTACATACAGAAGATGAGATTGGCAGCAAATTCCCCTTTCAGCAGCGAGGCGAGCGTGAGATCCGTTACACAGTTGATGCATCATGTTGGCTGCTGAGATGGCTCGGAGGAACTGAATGGAATTCGAAAGACCCTATCCTGCGCATGAAAAGGCAATGTTCATCAGATTCGTGCGAAAACTTGATAATGCAAGTTTCGGTCGAGTATGGTAAAGGCCCGATTATAGCGAGGTAAATTCGATTATAGAATGTCATTCAAGAATGATATCGAGGAGCGACAAATCAAGCCGATACTCACACCAGCTCTGATGTCTTACTACATGCATGCAAAAATACCCGTTGGTTGGATTAAGCTAATCAATAAAGATGCTCAGACTGGGTAGGGGTGGGCTCGAATCATATTAAGGGGTAGGATTAAGGAGTTATCACGGAACCAGTGCGTTGGGCTTTTCAAAATACACTGTACTAAGCAGGTCTGATTCCTATTGAATCAATACGAGTTTACTGTTGGAAATAGAAGCGTGGCATTCAATTAACCTTTGCGAATCGTTTAAAGTAAGTGTGTAGACGTGGCAAGGGAGTTTGAGTCCTGCGTCTACCTATCGCTCGCCGAAGAATCCAGGAGAAATGGAACGACAAATGCTGCTGGTACAGGCGATGTTTCGAAATCCTCTTAACTTGCTCCGGGAAGTCACGAAACCCTATGATCCAGGCCGCTGGCAGCCGAAACACACCTGCGACTCCGAGTGGAATGCGCAACGAGACCCTGCTACGGAAGTGAAGGGGTGGAAATGGATTATAAAATAGCGTCTCAGGGCGTCTCAGGGCGTCTCAAACCAAGTACAGGGCGAACGCATCACAAGAGCAGCGATAACCATTTTTGTCCAGCGGGAAACGGGGGGAAGAAACAAAAAGCAGTGGTATATCTCAACGAAAAGTGGAGGGTTCGGCGAAGAAAGGAATGGGAATACGCTAAACCAAGAAGCCAATAAAGCAGAATGCAAGCGGACCTCTCCAAATGCCCAATGAACAGCAAAAGATAGACAGGTAGATGTCCGGGTTTCATGCCCCTCAGATCGTCATCCGTATCTCGTAAATCGTTGAACTCGTCGCCCGGCCATGTTTCCTTCTCGTCTACCACCTCCACCGCCGCACATCGATCCCGTCTCCGGAACATCGACCGCTCTACGGGTCCTTCTTCGCACTTCGCCTCGTGCTCTGCACCCTCCCCGGCCCCGCCGCCCAACGCATCAACCCCGACGCCACCGGCTTCTTCTTTTTCTTCGCCGGCGCCGCCGCCGCCATGGCAGCCGCCGCGGTCGGAGGCATCATCGGATGCGGGGGGATCGGAGCACCCGGGTGCATGGGCGGTCCGGGCGGCGGCGGCGGCATCATTGGCATCCCGGGCGGCGGCGGCGGGAAGCCCATGGGGGGCGGGCCGACGGGAGGGAAGGGCATCTTGGACTTTGACTTGCTGCCCTTCTTGCCCTTCGAGCCGGGGATGGTGGGCATGCCAAGGGGCAGGGGGGGGAGCATGCCGGGGGGAAATGGATGATGCGCGGCAAGCTCTTTTTCTTTCTTTTTCGGGTCCTCCATCGGCCATAGCTTCATGGTGATCTCCCAGTCCGGCTTGATCATGGTCTCCCAGACTTGGGGGAGGATGATGACGCCGTCCGGACCAAGGAGGTCGTAGTGGCCTTCATGGACGTGCGGGCCGATGACGTCGACGTGGAGGAAGGCTTGCTTGATGAGGTCTTCCATGCCCTGGATGTGATGTTAGCCACTGGTGTTGCATGTAAAAATGTTGATTAAGGAAACGTACTCTCCATGTCTTGCAAATGGACCAGGGAAACTGGAACTTCCGGCCGACCGCATCCTTAAATCGGATTGGTGACTCTTTCGGTTTCATCTTCTTGAGCTCTTCATCGGCCGCCTTTTGGGCGGCCTCGGCCTTCTCCTTGGCCTCTTTCGCCGCCGCCATTTCCTTGTTGTGCGCTTCCTTCGCTTCGTCCTCTTTCTTTTTGAACTCGTCCTCGGCCTTCTTGTGTGCCGCTAGTGCGACCTTTTTGAATTCTTCATTCTTTTCGGCCACCGCTCTGGCGGCCGCTTCCTTGGCCGCCTGGGCCTTCGCTGCGGCTTCATACTGCTCGTGTCGCTTCAGCATCGCCTCCTCGCGTTTGGCGGCTTCGTCCTTCTGTGCGAACAGCAGCTCCTCGAGCTTTCGGAGTTTGTCCAGCTCGGCTTGCTTCTTGGCATCTTCCGCTTGCTTCTTCGCCGCCACCTGTTTCGCTTCCTCCAGTTGAAGCTGCCGCTGCAGCAGCTCTCTGATTTCTTCGAATCGCGGATCTTTAAGGGCCTCTGCGGGCGCCGATGGGGGCCGCTGAGGCGCTGGTTGTGGGGGAGGCGGTTCGGGGGTGACGGCGTGGGCAGAGGCTGGGGTCGGGGCGCCTGCTGGAGGAGGGGGAGGCTGTGGGGGAGCAGGCGGGGGACTTCCGCCCGGTGGAGGGTACATAGGATAGCCCGGCGGCATATATGGTGGATATTGTGGATAGTAGTTATTTGGGCTGTATGCCATCATGTCCATGGCGCCAGGGTGTGGCATTGAATATCGAGGATTTCTTCTCGATTGCTCCCTGAAATAGCCATCCGGGGGCGGTGGGGGTTGTCGACCACCAAAGGCGTTGGGTCGGCCTGGATCCGGATCGAACGGGTTTGGATAACCGTATGGATCGGGACCTCGAGGGTAAGGAACTAAGGAGTCGGGTAGGTGTGGAGGAGGGTGAAACGGTGCACCGTAGGGGCCAGACGCCATACTTGGAGCATATGGTGCGGTATTATGCGGGACATGTGACCACTGCGGACTCGGATGAGGTGGATGCTGAGGTGGCCGGCCAAAGTGGCCGGGGAAGTCGTCCTCGTAATCCAGGCTGTCGGGAATGGAGGTTTGCCTGGATCTCGGCACCTCCTGATACTCCCGGCGACGACGAGGCGCTCGACCTTGCGCGGAACGGTTTCGCGACCGTGGTGGTGGATCGTCTACGGGGATCTGACGCGACGCTGAACGACGTGGTCGTGGAACGTGCGCTGGATGGCGGGTAGGCGCTCGTGGTCGGGATGCTGAGTCGGATGGCTCGATATCGTCCTCTGCGTAACCAACGTTCTCCCACTCCTCGTCGTCGTCCACTTCCTCGTCCTCCTCTTCGTCGTCCTCCGCTGAGGCTGAGCTGGTGTATGCTCCTCGAGAAACGTCGACTCCCGATGAGATGTCCTCGTCGGAGATAAGGTCGTGCGTTCGTTCGGAGTCGGTGGAGTTACTGAGCGTGATATTCTTCCTATACATACGAATCGCGGAAAGAAGTCAGCCAGACTGCGCGAAATCATGAGGCTGTTTGAGATGGATGCGGAATAAATTTGGACGCGGAGACAGACTGCAAGCAGCAACGGAAGAAACAGTCAGCTACTCACGGCATGGACGCAGTAATGTACAGTACTGTCTATCTCGCTAGCACTACCCCTCCTTCCAGAGAAAAGGGCGGCGAGCGCGATAGATCCAAACGCGCAGGGACAACAAAGAGATTGTTTGGGGAGCAGGAATCCTGGGGGAGCCCAAACCTGGAACTTGGCGGCCGCGTGATCCAGGGAATGTCGACGAGACGAATCCCAGAACCGTGGTTTGCTGGCGCGTGAAACGATCGGATCGGCCTGTGGATGCCCAATGGCGGCAGAATCACAGAGACAGCGGCGTAGGTGGGATGGAGAGAAAAGATCGGGTCAAGAGTATCGGAGAGCTTGGTGTATGCTGTGGCGGCAAGGAGTTGATTTGGTTGAGTGGGATCTCCAGGGAGAAAAAGAGGAGGGAGGACTCAAGGGGGAGGGGGGGGAGGGGTCCAAATGTGTGGGGGATGAAAACGTGAGAGTTGCTGGCAGCTTTGTGACCGTGTCAGAGACTTAAACACACTGTAACTCTGTAGCACTGGTACGTAGATTCCAAACTGGTTCCAAACAAGAAGCGAGGGTTAAGCAAGGCTGATCTGGAAGTCTGGTCGAGTGGTCGGTTACAAATAGATTCGTCTCCGAATCAATGGCCGTGACGAAAGGGTCTGGGCGTGGGCAGAGCCAACAACGTCTAGACCACCTCAGATTGCGGGTGCAGTATGTATTTAAGGTGCCGAGGCCAGAATTGGGCCAGAATTGGGCCAGAATTGGGCCAGAATTGGGATGGGATAGAAGGATTCCGGTGCAAAGGGACCTGTCGTCTGTAGGCAAGGGACGGAACAAGATGAAGGTGGAATTGTAGTGTGCTACTTTTTTTCGAATGCTTGCTTGTTGGAGGGTTGAAACTTGGAGCGAAAGAGGGATGGCTTGATGATCAATCGTCACGGCTCAGCAAACAGCGACTTTTGCCGAAACCAGGTCAACAATCTTTTCTTTTAGTTCCGTTCCGGTCGGCCCAAAAAAAGTCGTTTCGAAAATCTCGGTGTGAGGGATGATGCGGGCAGAGGGACGGAGGGACTGAGGGGCTGTAGGGTTTAGACTGGACGTCAAAAGTCAAAACACGTCTAGGCTGTCGTGGTCGCTAGACTGCTTCGGTGATAGACCGCGATGGAGCTGCAGAGTCCAAGTCGAGCGCTTCGATGCGTCGCGCATTGGATGGGCTGCACGGAGTCCTCAGGAGTACAAGGACGATGCTGACTCTTTGACAGGTGTGTCCTGGTGGATGGGGCTGTCTGATGATATGATAGGTAGTGTATTTTTGAACAATAATAGGTATTTACCACGGTATGGCGGGGTTGAGATTGGCGTACAAGATAATATAGTAAATACGGACAGTCGACACAGAATGAGCTCGAATGTTTACGTCTCTCCGAGGTCTCGAGATCAAGATACGAGAAATGCTAGTGAGTTGTGACACGATCATCAATCGACTCGTACGACTAGACTGCTTTGCTTCCATGCATTTGTACCGCGGGGATACGTCCAGCACGTTTTTAAACCGGATGCCACTATCATCCTGATATTTTGACGCGCTGTTCGATCTCTTTCGCCGGCACTGTTGTCTCACTTCATTCTTTCGCCTGCGGCCCAATGTCGTCGGTCCTCTGCATTGGGTGAGTCAAGCAAAGCGACAACACCCCCAACATGAAGCTGGCCACCTCCGCGACGTCATGGTCCAGAACGCCCCAACGTGCAGCAATTCCATCGATGCAGCTATCGTGGGATTGGTGCGCGAGGGAGCGGACCCATGGTTGGGCTCCAGTCGGCGTGACGGCGTCGTTGACCGGAGTCTGACGCTGCGATTCCCATTTCGAGGGCGCCAGCTTGGACGGCGGCCAACACGTGTCGTGCGTTCGCTGCCCAATCTGGACTTGGTCGTGCCTAGCTACGACGGTGGCGTCCTCCTCGCGGATATTGGCCGTGGAGTTCTTCTGGACTTGGGTGTGCGGCGAGTTTGTCAACCGCCCTTCGTTGCTCGAGTGGTGGTACAAAATGACGAGTGACACGGTAATCTCAGCCTAGTAATCTCAGCCTAGTATATGAGATTGTCACACATATACGTAAAAATTGGAAGTGGATGCTGGAAAAAAAGTGTCGAAGGTAGGTCTGTACGACATGTCCAAGTAGAACACCTTCCGGTCATCGCAAATATTTGACTTCATAGACACATGAGGAGGTGAGTCCCACGCGACGCAGTATGTAGACTCATATAAACAGATGTCCGAGGACAGTCAAAGAGCCAAAACGACCAACGGGGTATCGCATGCGCCTATCAACATTACTCCATCCCAAATATAAACACCTCGCCGATCACGTTACCCGCCGTACTCACGACCCACAGCACAATCAGGAACGTCCCGACCCATCGATCCATCTTCCACCCTCGCAACGGCACGATGATTAGTAGCCCCACCAAAATCACCACCAACGCCGCCCCCGAAACGATCAGCGATCGGCTCACGTCCAACTTGTACGGCTTGAACCGGATCGACTGATCCGGGTGCTTCTCGTGCGTGTGACTCGCCCGTCCGATCGTCATGTACCCGCCGCTGAGGCCGATACCGAGTAAGATATTGAGCATCGGCCCGCCGAAGCACGCGCTGAGCGCCATGACTGGGTAGCCGAGGCGCGCCACGGTGATGTTGGCAACCAGATCGCCGAGCGAGTTGCCGACGGCGAAAATAGTCAGACCGAGGATGGCGTCGGAGATGTTGAAGATGACGCCGACGGTCTTGAGGACGCCGACGACCTCGCCGGCGATGGTGCTAATCCACGACACGCTGACGATGAAGCCGACAGCGCAGAGCGCTTTCCGCCATTTGGGAGGGCGGGAGGGGGTGGTGGTTTTGAGGATGAAGAGGAGGAGGACGAGGGAGATGAGGAGGGCGATGAGGCTGGGTCGGAGGAGGGCGGCGGGGGTGCCGTCCATGTTGGCCCAGACGATCAGCACCACGAAGAAGGGCGCGGTGAAGATTTGGATGATCACGAGCCAGCGGTCCCATACCTCTTCTTCTACCGCGGCGAGAATGGGCGACGGCATTTCCATCGGGGAGTCGAGCAAGCGGCTCTCAGATGGTGAAAGAAAAGCGTTCTGTGGATGGAATGCGCGTTCATGATAATGTTGCTGAGAGGCGGCCAGTTCAGCAGGCGCCTGGAAGGGGCGGTAACTCCCGGCACGGTCTCTATGTGCAGCAACCGACTGCCTTTCCGCATTGAGCGGTGACAGTGCACCAGGTGTGACATCATCACGGTATGCCGCTGTGCTCTTCCTTGCCCACTCACCGTCGGTGGTCCGCCTGGACAGTGCCGGGAGGCTGTGCTCGCGAAAATCATCGTCCTCTACAATCTTATCGTTCTCAACGACGGGGAGAGTGATGGTCAGCAGGAAGACGCTCGGTGCAGCGATAATCCCGAGCACTCGTTCCCATATATTCTTGTCCCCCCACGAGTACAGGGTCGGGAAAAGCGTCGAGAAAAGCTCGGTCGGTGAAGGCAAAACGGTGTAGGGCCACCATGACAGTGGCTTCAGCTGAGCCGCCAACGCCATGTCGGGCACATGGGAGAAGTAATCGCTGGATATACTCGGTGGGGGAAGGCGAATACTGGGTGCCCTCGACGACGAGGCCGAGGCTGCATTGTCGGTATAAGGAGGAAATGTAGTAGCAGGCGATGATCCGGACTCGCCAGTTGGTATCACAAGTTTCGGCGACGGTTTCGAGTGCGTGGCACCGTAACTCTGGTGTTGCTCTGCATGGTTCCCGCTTGGTGCAACTCGTGGGGGGCCAAGGGAAGCGTCTGGTGGCATGAGGAAGTCGGTGGATTTCGGTCGAGGAGGGCTAGCATGAGCATCTGCCTTCAAGGACGTGGCCGGAGACACGGAAACCGATGGAGAAGGTGGAGCGGCGGTTGACGATCGCCTTGACGAACTAGCCTGGCTCTCTGGGACCCGATTGAAGGCATCATGTGGACTTAGGAAATCGAGATTCGCTCCATGACGGGGGATAGCATCTGTAGACATATCTTCCGCGTCGTTGGTCGACACCGCTCTTGGCCTGGCACTGGGCGCCATCCTCGAATTGCCACCAGAGTCTGCATGAAGAGAATGTACACTCCTTGCCGCCGGATCCGAAATGAATGAGAGTTGGTCCTGCTGCGTCCCCAAATTTAAGGTCGGGTCGTCGGAATATCGTCGAAGGTTGATGGGTAGGTTCATGATATTTCGTGACTTTTGCAAGCTGCTCAACACTGCCCGGAACTCCAACGCACCCACCAAGCTTGGTCGTATCGGATTTTGCCCCGTCGGTCGTCTCCCCGTATTCGGGCGGATCAGACGCATGTTGCTGCTCAGTCTTCCCAGAACCCGTTCTCGGGCTTCTTCGTCATCTTCGTCCAACGTCCCGGGTTCGTGATCGGCCTCTAATGAGGGGAAGTCCTCAGCCATGTGTCGTGGCGTTTGTTCGGTTCCCGTGTCGCCTTCGTCCTCGTCACGATAGGGTTCAATCGGTTCCACATCTCCGTTGGCATCGACCGAGGCATATTGCCCTCTTGCGGCGACATCCCTGATCCTCTGTTTCTTTCGTCGACCCAACCACCAATGCCATGTCACGACGAATGCCACATAAAATATGTAAAATCCGACCATGACGCCGCATTCCCACAAATACAACCTGCCATCCCACAAGAAGACCAAGCTAAAGCTTGCCGAGACCAGGAAAAAACACACATCGCGTATAAAGCTCTTCCTGTTCACCCGAAACGGCCGGACCAGGGCCATGGACCCCGCCACCATCGCGGTAATGAAGCCCGCCGCGCCGAACAGTTCGCCGACCGCCAAACTTCCGCTATTGGTACTCATGGCCGCGAACGTCGAGAAGACATCGGGACTTCCGTTCCCAAAGGCCAGGAGGGTCACCCCCGCCAAGCTCTCGCTCATGCCTAAGATGCTCGATATGGTGCTCAGATTGACGCAGAAGAAGTCGCTGGCGGCGATGCCAATAGTGCTGAAGAGCAAGCCGAGCCATAGTACGATTATGGTTATCGCCAAGGGTTTGGCTTGGGGCAGGCGACAGTAGTAGAGTTGCAGGTAGGAGAACAGGCCGGCTTCTTCGTCGGCGCAGTTCTGTTGGACGAAGGCGCATTGGTCTTCGGCTTTGTGGACGAGGTGGCACTGGTGGGCGTTAGATAGGGTTATATGCTCCGGTCAACTCATGCGACTTACAGCAAGGTCTTCGGTGGTTGCGAATATATCTCGGCGGAGCAACGGCGACCGGACGTTAGAGTTCCGGTCATGCCGCCGAACCTGGGCGGAGAGCAGACTGCCCGATATAAGAATGGAGACAATGATCAGAGTCCACACAAAAGGGCGAGCAGAGTATGTACGCTGTCGACCCAGGCGACTGCTGCCATAGCCGCCAGAGTTCGGGGTCCTGGAAGTAACGAAAGACGTCATGGTGGGAATAGCATGATGCGAAATTGAGGGAAAGATAGGAGGATAAGATTGCGTTTAGGAATGAAATCGTAGCATATTTAAAGAAAAAAGACAGTCATATATCATGGCCAGTTCACAACATCATCAATTGAACGTGACCAGAAGCTTTGTGGATCATGGTTGGGTGATATAGAGCATCGACCAAAGGTGATGCCTGGAACATGGGCAGCCATCCGATCCCCCGATTCATGTTCCAGCCGGAGGCTCTCCGCTCCCTGTTGCCTCCTGTGGCTGTGATCGCTCCATCATATCTGAATTTCTGATGTGACATTGTGGCGTTATTTCTTTTCACAATCACGTGCATTCGCATTCAATGATGTCCGAGTCCACCAGGAACATCGATCGTGAGAAGCCCTCAACTTCTCAAGATGCTCGTGTGACTTCCCCCTATCGACACGAATTCCCTTTGATTTCTTCGACATTACTTACTGGGCCTGTCACCTGGCAAAGCCAATCCGTCATCGGTCATTGCTTTCCCTCACCGTAGTCGTTCATTCCATGCCTCACGTGTCCTGCCATCGCCCACTCGGTGTGCTCGTCGACAATGAAAGGAGATCCCGCCGTGGACGATGAACTCGATGCCTTCAGCCTGGTGCTCCCCCTTCCCTTTCGCGTGGCCTTGATCATTGTCCTGGGAGTATGGGCCTGGGGCGCCAACCTTCACTATCTCACCCTTATTAAAATTGTATGTTTCTCGGCTCCCGACTGCATCCATGTTGCTCACAGATATAGGATGTTCCTGCACTCATTCGCTATCCATCCCGATCCTCCTCCCGTCATCCGCCCCACCACCTCTCCACGTACCGCCTCGCCTCCGTCCTCTCCGTTCCCCTTGCCTCCGCCCTCGTCTTATTCTGGCTGTTCACCCATGGCAACGCCAAGGAGGTGGCGCGCTGGGAGCTCCTCCCGAACCTCTACCTCCTAGTGATGGTGGTCATCTTCTTCCTCCCCCTCCACATGTTCTCCCGCTCCGGCCGCTCCCGATTCTTGACTACCCTCCGCCGCATCAGCATCGGCGGCCTCGCTGAGGCGCACGACGGGAAGTTCGGCGACATCCTCATGGCCGATGCGCTGACCTCGTACGCGAAGGTGCTGGGCGACCTGTTCATCTCGCTCTGCATGTTCTTCTCGAGCGGTCGCTCGTCCACGGGGAAGCCGGATCGGCTGTGCGGGGGCCAGTTTTTCGTGCCGTTGATCATTAGCATCCCGAGCATGATCCGGCTGCGACAGTGTCTGATCGAGTACGGGCGCGTACGGAAGGCGTCGAGGGAAGCGCCGAGGGGCCTGGGAGGGATAAATCAGGGGTGGGGCGGACAGCATTTGGCCAACGCGCTGAAGTATTCGTCGGCGTTTCCGGTCATCATTCTGAGCGCATTGCAGCGAGGGTACGACCCGGAGAAGATGGGCATGTCGGAAAAAGGGCTCTTTCGCTTGTGGTATGTGCATCGTGCGTTTGGTCGGAGGAGACCTCTAGTGACATCCAATGACCAGGCTTTTCTTCGTATGCGTGAATTCGTTCTATTCGTTCTATTGGGACGTTGCCAAGGACTGGGACCTCAGCCTCTTCTCATCCGATCGCGATAACCCCGAGCACCCCTGGGGGTTGCGACGCCATCGATACTTTCACAACGATAATATGTATTATACTGTCATCGTGCTGGACCTGGTGCTGCGCTGTACGTGGAGCTTGAAGCTCTCGTCACATTTGGATCATTGGAACGACGTGGAAGGGGGCATTTTCGCCATGGAGGCGCTGGAGGTGTTTCGGCGTTGGGTTTGGATCTTCTTTCGGGTGGAAACCGAGTGGGGTGAGTCGGATGGTTTCAAGATGGGTTGAGTCGTGCTGACATTGACTTGTAGTGCGCAATAATCGCGGACCCGCCCTTGATGATGTCCTGCTGGGGGATATGACCAGCAAGTTGGATGAGGACTAGGGACTCGCGCCATCGGACCAAGCGGAGTCTTAAACCATGTATCAATAGAAATCCTAGAGGACAATGAATATGTACCTGGCATTGTCACGTTATGAATGATGCCCCGTTCCCGCTATACAAGAATTGGATCGGAATCGGATGCCGCGTTCCAGCCATCCGAAATGTCTCAAACCCCAAGCGCCATTTGCTCTAGCCAAGGAATATGATCGTTATGAAGGAGAAGAATATCCAAGAACAAGAAAGAGCCATGTCGCATCCGTAACCACCCCAACAACCCGGGGTTTGGTTGCGTCAGTCTCATCCGAAAGTGATGCGAAGTCAAATCCTCCCGCTGGTATCATGCGCAATCGATCCCGAAACGCCCGCCAATGCTTCCAACGGCCCCACGTCCCACCCCCTCACGGAATATCCTTCGTCTTCCCATTCCCCGCCCATATCCCGCCGCCGACCGCCCTCGAAATCCCCACCCCCACCCCTACCGCCGCCGCTAGCACTAGAAGAATAATCAGAACCTTGACCCCCCACCGCTGCCGCTTATTCAATCCTAGCAACGGGTTGCATGCGCGCTCCCGCTTCGCGATCTTCGCCTTCTGCTTGAGCGTCCGCTGGGTCGGCCAGACGGTGCAGTCCTTGGGCCGGGCGTCCATGGAAGGCTTGGGGAGGTGGGTGGTGGACGAGGCGGCGGCGGGGATGGAGGCGGGTTGGGATTCGAGGTCTTGGTCGTAGAAGTCGAGGCGGGTGCGGGATTCCGAGGCCGCTTTCTCGAGGGACTGCCGCGTGGTGGGGTGGCTGTAGAAAGGGGAGACTGGGTTGGCGGTGTCGAAGTCGTTGCCGAGGGTGGTGGTGGTGGAGATGGGTTGGGTGCTGGCGTCGACGGAGGGACGGATCGACAAAGGAGCTTTCTCGCTGAACTCGGCCATGGTGCCGTTCGAGACTAGAGAGGCGGTGTGGAGGAGAGTTGAGGAGGGTGTCGTGACGGCGTCGAGATGGCGGTGACTCGAGGGGGATTATGACGAATCGGTATGTGGATATTCGACTCGAGCAGTGGGCCTGTGTCGTAAGGTAATGTAAAGCAATATGTGAAGAAGCTGATTATAGCTTGATCATAAAGGCGAGTCCTTGAAACAGTCGGCAGATGACTGTCCAAGCAACAACCCAGATGAGATGCAGTGATCAAAAGCTGATAAACTCTCCCGACAACTAATTGTAGATATTATGAAGAAGAATTAACGAAGCTGAAGATGGATATCTCTGAAACTAAGTGGTGAATGCAAGAAACTGGTGATGTGGTCGTGTGCAATCTCCGAGACAAACGTCAACGAAAGGGGCAGCAACAAGTCGTCACGGGCAACTTGGGCTGATATCCAGCAATTGCGAGCCGCAAATCAGCACAATGCCATCTTTGGACGGAATTTACAACTTGACGATTGATAATAGTAAAGATTGTTTTCCAGAACATTGAAGGAAATCTACTTGGTTGAACAATGAAAAGCAAGAAACGGACCAGATGAAAGAAGCACAGAACCAAGGCGGCCCAGAGCCCCAGAAACCAGAGGATTGAACGCCATCCATGGACCTGACAGGTGGGAACAGGGCACGATCTAGTCCATGCGAGGGAAGGGGGTCTGGATCGAATGGAATTGCAATTTGCACGCTACAGAACCCAGCAGGCCAGCACGGCTGGGACAATTGGTAGAGACATGGCTGGGAGTATAGCAACCTCCGCGAGGGAGAGTTGGAGGTTTGGAGGAGTGGGAGGTGCTGCCACTGGAGACACTAGGTGCGACTGAGGGCGAGACCTAGAGAGTGGAGAGTGGCCAGATGGAGAGATCCCCTGTCAATCGCCCATGAAATTCGCTCTAATAATTCAAAGATTTCAGGGACTTTGCCTGCTGCGTCGCGGCCACACCAGCGGTGGGGGACGCCATTGAGATCCTCCCGACTCTAGCTCACATGCAACCCTGCATCTTTGCAGCGATATGAGCAATCAAATATTGAATGAAGATCATATGGTTTGCCTTTACTCACTTTAGCTCTCTATCCCTAGCGTCGGGGCATCGGATTGTGGGGCGTGCCAATGCTGTGCCACCAGTCCAGGGACTGTTCGACTGAATTATATTTGTAATATTTCAGTAGTTACGGTAAGTTATATAACTATTTAAATCATAATTCAAAGCTGCTGAGATTTGTTCCCCCGTTTTGGAGATTTGTCCCCCGCTTGAGACAATGTCCCCCGCGCTAACTGGTAATGGTGGAAATTAATGGATTAACCAAGCCTAGCGTACATCACTAATCTTCCCCTAGGACAACTTCAGCGCTCAATTCATTCTTTTTCTCACAGGTCCAAACAGGGAGGATATTGCTCCCCCCTCTGGATTGTCTTTACGCTTCCATGATGAAGCCTATATTGCTCTTAGGATCCATGGCATGCAGCATGGATACGGCTTCGTACTCAAGCGGAGAAAATCTCACAATTCTGATGTTAATGCACGATATTACTACCAGTGCGATCGATTCAGAAAGTATCAGTCAAGAGCAAGGATTCTAAGTACAAGCACACGCGCAACAGGATGTCCCTTTTAAGTTTATTATCTTTAAGGCAAAGCAATCAGAGGATAACGACCAGTAGAAGCTAGAGGTTCAACATAAGCATCATAACCACTCTCGATCACTCGACCCCAGTGCGCATAGTGCCACAACACAGAGTGGGTGAATAGCGTGATACGAGTGGGCGAGTAGCAAGAGAGTAACTAGCGATGCTTGATTGATGGAATCTATGCTGTTTCGGGCTTGAGGCCAAGACTCAGACTGATCCTTGAGGACGAAAGAACTCCGTGAAGGCTGCGACCGTTTATATAGAGGGATGCATGTGTATCATGTGACTAGCATCCTCCTAGTCTGACTGTGTTCTCACACGATACATTACGTTTTTCATCGAAGCCTAAACATAACTCATTAACTATCTAGAGTAGCTGTACGGAGTACTCGTCGCCATTATCGGATGCTATGCTCTCCGAGGCCCACCGAGTTCCCCAATCAAGTCTCCTTAGCAGCAGCCAGGGCCTCTTGTCGACCGGTGCTCTGAGGATCAAAGTAGGGCCTCTCACCCAAGCCTACCGAGCGCGACCCGGTGCGCTCGCCCAGGTCCTTATTGATGTAATCCGGGGTGGCAGCGTGGAAGACACTACGGTTGTCCCAGATGGCGACGTCGTTGGGGTTTTGCCAGCGCAGACGGACCTGCAAATCGTGGTTCTCGACGATCAGCTGGACGAACCAGTCGAGGAAGTACTTGGACTCCGCCTCGCTGAGCCCCTGGAGGTTCTGGACGTGATGGCCGACGGCGAAGACGCTCCGCCACCCGGTGACGGGGTTGGTGCGGATTGCGGGGTGGATGGCCTCGAGGGCTTCCCCGATGTTCTCGGGTGCACCGCGCGGGGCTGCGTAGATGGGGAAGTTGTTGCGAGCGGCGGCATTGTTGAATTCCGGCTGGGCGGAGTAGAACGTGAGCTTGTCGAGGAAGCCCTGGAGCGGCTTAGAGATGCGATCGTAGAGTTCGTATCCCGAGGCCCAAAGGGTGTCTCCGCCGGTCTTGGGGAGCTCTGTGAGTCTCAGGAGGGCGTAGTCGCTGGGGACAGGCTCGAAGGTTATGTCGCTGTGCCACTGGCGCTTCTGGCTCTGTGATAGCTTGGGGAACCGGTCGGCGAACAGGGCCTTGGCCTGCCTGGAGGAGATTGTGCTAATCTCATCGTCATCGACTCCTGTCGAGCGTGAGGAGTTGCTGATAGGGTGGATATGCAGCCCTGACGTTTCGGGCTTTCCGGTGAGTTGGCCGAGTCGTTGGACGAGTTCTTTTTGCAGATCATTGGTGATGTTGTCCTGCTTGCGGAAGAAGACGACGCCGCGCTGGGAGACTGGTGTGGTGTTAGGCAAGGGAATCTGCAAGACTTTTATTATTGGAGCTCTTACCCGTGATGGCCAAGTCGCGGAGCAGTTCGTCAGAGTTGGGTGCACGCAACCACTCGGCGAGATCGACGTTGGCAAACTCCTTGCCAATCACGGGGGTGACATCGAACTGGTCGAACTGGTCGAGGGCGCCGCTGAGTTTCAATGGCTCCTTGTGTCCCGTCAGGACCTTTGGGAGTCCATCTGTAGCACCGTCAGTCTTGTTGCTGACACAGCTGGCAGAGTAGGCATCATAAGTACCGTCTTCAGGCTGGACAGCCGGGGCTTGCTCCTTGAGAGACACAGGGAGAACTTTCTCCGCGATGGGCGCTACCACGGGGACGATATCTACGGTTGCTGAAGGAGACATAATGCTACAGTTTGAAGACACTGATTTGAGACTTGTGGTTTGTGGACTGCAAAGTGGACTGCAAAGTGGACTGAAGAGCTTCTCTTGACCTAGGGAATGCTCATCGGTGGCCTTCTCATGTAAAGGTTATATACGTACATCATATACGTATATTAGTCCTCGGTATGTAGCTATCAGTTAACACACAAATTCTAAAACGGGTTCTAGTCAAAATTACGCAATTCTCGTCATGCCTTGCACCACGGAGTTCGCTCGTGGTGTCTGTGTAGGGAAGTGTACTGAGAACAGGAGAAGTAGAAACACGACCCGCCCGGGCATCGCAATTGACATCTGCTTCACGCTATTGGACCCTGGGTTGCCGTTGCAGCCGTGTAGGCCCGACCATTGACCAATAATATATATTAATCGCTTTTGCTGCGGACCTGGCGCACGCGTGGAGAAAAGCACATCACGTCATCCCCCACGCCGTCTGCCCCGCGCTACACTTCCAAGCCATACAGCCATCAAGCATCGATTAGGCGGCCCTTAGCAGCAGCACTGTCCTGTATGCTCGTCCTTCAATTATCAGGTGTTTCGTGTCCAGAATTGAATGCAGATTTGAGATCGCTTTGGCGGCAAACTAATTTCATTGTTTTCTTTATAACTGGTGTGAGAAGATATCGATGCGTAGTTCGCGTCGAGCCCCATTATGATTACTGACCTTACCACTATTATACATCGCATAACTTATGAATAACTATAGTAATAACGCCTAAAGTGTGACAGTCTTGGGCTTCGCCCAGTCTGTGTGTTGTGGTCTTGCGGCCTGAGGCAGAAGGGGTAGACAGTTTGCTCACAGATGTAAATAGATAGCAGATCGCAGTGAGAGATATCTCTTCCTTTTCTCTTTAGCAATTCAACAGCGTTACCAGCTTACCACATCCTTCGTGGTTTGGGCCCATGACATAAAGAGCTTAAATGGATACCTCGAATGCTTGGTGCCTGGTGGTAGTACTCGGAGTAGATGTTTCTGCTAACTCGATAATCCGCCGTTGTCTACTCCGTAGGCCCCGTCGACTCCTTGATTCTGATGATGCCATAATAGCATCTTATACGTTATCCCGCTTAGGCATGATTGAGCGGGGTAGCTATAGCAACCGCCGTCCGCGATGTGCTGACTGCTGAGCAAGTGAGATCCACTGACACCCTGATAGCGACCGAATCTGTCGCATTACGCGGGGCCCAAGGCGGGGGTGATGATTAAGCGAGCGCTACTTAAGCTCAGTTACTGCAGAGACACAACGCAAGTTATTATTGATGATTCCCATTCTCTAGGAATGAGATCTAGCTAGTTAAATCGTTGAAGATATGTAAATATAGGGAATGACTGAGCAGTCCTAAATGGGCTTAGCCTAGGGGTTATGGGCAGCGAAATGAATGTTGCGAGGCAGTTGAAACCAACAGGGGCATCTTGCGACACCAGGACTCCTAAAAGTTCTAAAAAAGGGTCCTGGTGTCTGAGGCACCAAGTTCCACAGAGGTTGGAAACGAGACAATGGCTTGTTGTTGAAGACAGACATCCCTTACCATGATTATAACTACCAACATTTTGATCCCTGTCAATTTCATAATGGCGTACACTAATTAAGAGCGTTCAGCGTTGTGACTGCGGTTATCCTAATTGAGAAGCCGCTAAACCTAGTATATACTAGTATTATTCTCAATTCTGCTGTCGCCGCTGCCATGTCTTCGGAGGCACCTCTGCTATCACTATGCGATTCTGCGAGAGCTCAGCCAGGCCTAGTTACTAGTAAGTAGCTAGTTAGTTGGTAATATAACTAACTAGTTAATCAATTCTTTTATTTCTTGTACGATACGAGCTGAAAGGTGGTAAGAATACGAGCACAACGATAAGCGCTCTACTGGGCACTATGCCTTAATCCAACCCTAATCCCATGCCACTGGGAAAGTGATGATGCACTTCTGCTTGAGAAAATCCAAAGCCAACCGCCACAAAGCCGCTGTCACACCCGCCAGTCATCAGTCGGGTTCAATGCAGGTCGGTCACACGCCTTTAATTAGTGGTCTATCCAGATTCCAGAAGCTAGCGAGGACGGTAGCGACAGAGACCCCCCGACATTGGTCCAATTATGGCTAGACTCGATAATAGATGGCAATTGGGATGATTTCCCAGTTTTCCCATAGGTAATTGATAATTCCCAGCCGCCGTCCGTTGACCCCTGAACGTGGCGAGTTTGGCACCTCCGCTTTCGTCCTACTCTTCTCGTCATTGAAACTACGCTCATTGAGGCTGAAGCAGGCTCGAGTTTATTGAGAGGAAACGATCGCCATTTCGTATGGTGATGGAAATTCCGATATTGAAATGGAAAGGAGACATTGAACAGACACGTGTGCGATATGCCATGTATGAAGAAACCCCTGGAATCGGCGTGTATTACTGCTGTCAGGAGACCGTCGCCTGATCCGGAGTCCGTATATGTTCAATTCGCGTTGTAATACTGTACTTCCATTCCAGGTATTGCTAGCCCTAGAAGTTTGTGGCCAGCTCTCAATTTTCAAAAAAAGGTCCGGTGTGAATGTTCCCCTTAAAAGGTTACAGGTACCCCGAAACCTCCAGGACGTTTGGATTCCCCAAGCTACACCTTCCACTGCCTGTTGACAGATTAAGATGTGTAGTCTAGCGTGCCCCTTTTTGGGCAGATCGGTACTCCGTATATCCCACCCTTTATGTGAAGAGTCGAAGAATCCGAGTCTGTGCCTCCGGGCGTTTCAGGATCGTGACAGGAGTCTGGGTGAAATAAGGCACATGTTGTGAATCCTAAAAGGCTCGGGGTATCAAAATGTTGCTCCTCAAACTACCTTACTGTGCCTAATAGCTATCGTCTTTACACGTAGGGCCATTTTGGTACCCCATACGAGCCCTCTACTTCTGCAATTGTTCCAAATCGTCTTCCAGAGGGTTGATCCAACTCAGTTCTTCCGCAACCTGCTCGGTCTCCTTCCAGACCCGCAGCACGTTCCTCCCGACGATGCCCGCGAGCTGTTCTTCCGTAAGGCCTTCCTCCAGCAATGTCTCCACCAATTTCGGATACTTCGAGACATCTTCTAGTCCTTTCGGCGTCGATTCGAGGCCATCGAAATCGGAACCGAGGCCCACATGCTCGTATCCGATGAGTTCTCCGATGTGCTTGATGTGCTTGACCACCTGCTGCAGCGTCGCATCTTCCGGTACCGAATCAGGGAGCCCCGTGGACGAACCGCTTTCCTTACAAGCGATGAAATCCGGTGAGAAATTGATCATCACCACGCTTCCTCGTCTCTTAACTAGTTGAAGAACGTCGTCCGGCACATTTCGCGGATGGGGACAGATGGCATACGCCGAGCTGTGCGAGAAAATCGGGGGCGCCAGACTCCCAGTCCATCCATCGATCTTTCCATCACCAACTTTGCCTTCCAGCACATCACGCATCGTGTCAACACTAACATGAGACAGGTCCACGATCATGCCTAGCCGGTTCATTTCCTGGATGAGGGCCCGTCCAGCGTTTGGTGAAATGCCGCCCCATAGCGGCGAGCTTTTGACTGTGTCCCCGTCATCGTTCGTCACGAGAGCGGCGTCTGCGTAGGCATTATGACAGTTCCAGGTGAGCGTTGCGTATCGTACCCCTAGGGAGTAGTACAGGCGCAGGGTTGATAGACGATTGCCGATTTGATGGAGGCCTTCGATTGCAGCTGGGGAGATGAGGTTGCCGCTTGAGAACGCGTGGAGAGCGGATGAGTACGAGGTAGAAGGGGTAAAGTAGTGGGGATATGCGGCACCAAGACGTTGGTAGAGGTCGAGTTGGCTCAAGGTAGCGCGAACAACTTGAAGACGTCAGCATCGAATCATTGACGGTCCCTTGTGGTGTAAGTAGTGGGCTTACTCGGGTCATAATTCTCATCCGAAAAGTCGGAACCATTAGTCGGGCAAGGCCAAAACGCGCTCCAAAAAGAGCCTCCAACCATTCCCGTGTCCAGACGAGGGAGGTCAACATGGCCATGTAAGCCCCCATTCTCGAACTTTTCCTTGAATTCATTGGTATAGATCTTGCTCTGATCCATAAATCGTATCAAAATCATCAGATCATTGTGCCCATCTACAGTATATGTTAGCCGTTAGGCATCGTTATAGAAGCCATGGTAATCGTCACCAATCAACGGATGCTCTTTGAGGATCCTCCTTGCTCTTTCTGGTATCGACAAATTCCTTCTCGAACACGCCGGTGGAACGAGTCCGAATGTATAAGCGACAATCGCAAAGGCTCCCAAAATCAATAGCAGTATCTTTGTCGGAGATACCCAAGTTCCCCATGATCGCCGCTCTCCTGCATTTTGCCCTTGATAGGCCTTCGGTTTTATGGAATTGATTCCGTCCGCGTCTCCGAACCTGCTATATTCCATGTTGAAAAGTTTCCGAGAAGCGTGGTATGGTTGGGAAGAATCTCAGTCGCAGCGCTCAGTCTATGACTGCATCACCTGATAACTAAGAAAAGCTCAAGCCGAAACGCCTATTACTTCTCATATCGAACACTTTCTGTTCCGACTTCTGAGATGATTGACTTAGATTTGTTACCCGGTTCTAATGTAGTTAGTTAATTAATTGTATTTGGCATGTATGTATCTAGAACCCCTCCACTATAGCAGTTGCACTGGACTGTTGCATTAAATACGGCCTAGGTAACATCCAAATGCACGGTGCATTCATTATGTCGGAAATCAGCGGTCTACTTAGTCATCCCATTCTGTACATTACGTAAGCCTGGGTATATCTACCCTGCGATGTATCCTACCTTTACACAATACAAGCATCTCACTGCCTCTGAACAGGTATCCTATTGTTTCCGTGATTGATTGACACGCCAAAACGATTAACACATTAATACTATATGTACCAACCAGATGTAATTACTAATTAGCCACCACATACCTCTGGGTCCTGAATTCCTGACACTTCAATTTCGTACCGTAGCATCTTCTAGTTCATATGTTCTCGGTTTTTTGGCTACCACCAACTCCCCGTTTTTTGACTGTGAGATATTTCGAGTATCAGCGGATCTCGTTTCATGTCAATGATGAATGGGGGGAATCTGGAACGACGTGGCTACGGTACTCTACTCTATGGTATGGTACAGCCCTGTGGCAAATGTGATGAGCGCTGTTCCGTTATCAGCTATTGAATTATCGTCTGTCTGGATAGCCTTACTAATAATTATTTCCGCCCCCTAAACGGACGATGATATACGGCCTGCACAGCTCTACTAAAGTTGCTATTAAATTATCGTCGTCCGTCTGGATATCCTTACCTTCGATCCTCTCAACGGACGACAAGGCTGGCGCGGACATATTCCGTGGCTTACGTCAAAGGGAGAGTGTCTATTCGATCCTCCAGACGGACGACGATATACGGCCTGCACGGAACATATTCCATGATTTACTTACGTAAAAAGTAAAAAGTGTAGGCAAAGTGTATGTCGAATTGAGTATATGTACCGATGTTGCAGGTCTGCAATCTAAGTCTTTCAATTCAAGTTATCCTTTCCCGCAGTCTTTCCTAAATACCTACTTTCAATCCAGAGCCTAACGGATTTGTCGTGTGCCAATATCCCAAGATGACCGAGTTGTTTATGTATGTCCCGCTACCGTCGTAACTTTAAGAAAGTGGGGAGAAGTTGACCTTTCAACAGCATCGGAGCCACAGGCTATATTGGTGGCGATACATTCTATGCAATTAGCCAGGCTCACCCTGAATATGACATCACCGCCATGGTTCGAAGCACCGCGAAAGGCGCACTTGTCACTGCCCAGTACCCCAAGGTCCGGCTCGTTTACGGAGATCTCGATAGCATTGACCTGATCGAGGAAGAGGCTTCGAAAGCAGACATCGTTTTTCGTAAGTGGTGCGGGCGACCCTCTGTATCCATCTATTATGCTAAGTAACTCCAGAATGGGCAAATGCCGACCACCTCGAGGGGATCAATGCTATTGTCCGCGGAATCAAGAAAAGTAGCACTCCTACGTTCTTCATCCACACCTCCGGAGCTGCCGTTCTCCTCATCGACCACTGGCAAAAGCAGATAGCTTTCGGCTCGCCTTCCGACAAGATTTTCAACGACTGGGATGGGATCCAGGAGCTTCATGACCTCCCCGACGCCGCTCCGCACAAGATTACCGAAAAAGCGGTTCAAGGCAGTTCGGACGAGTCGTCCGTTTTCACGGCCATCGTCAGCCCTCCAGCCATCTATGGTATCGGCCGCGGTCCCGGTGCACGCCGCAGCATCTAGCTCCCCGAGCTCGCACGTGCGACCCTCGAAAGGGGCCACGGAATCCTGGTCGGCGAGGGCAAGAATATCTGGTCAGCGGTGCATGTCGCGGACCTCAGTGATGTGTTTCTGAAGCTGGCCGAAGCCGCCGTGCAAGGCGGTGGACGCGCGACGTGGGGGACCGACGGGTACTACTTTGCCGAAAACGGCGAGGTGGAGTGGGGACTAGTGAGTAGGGCCGTGGTGAAAGAGGCCCTGAAGAATGGGTGGATTGCAAAAGGAGAGGACGGAATGGAGACGATTACTACGGAGGAGGAAGGGAACAAGGTCGCCCCCTTCGGAGCGCACTTATTGGGGGACAATAGCCGTGCAAAAGCCGTTCGGGCTCGGAAGCTCCTTGAATGGGAACCGAAGAATGCATCCATTTGGGAGGATATCGAGGGAGCAGTGGAGTATGAGGCAGAGAGGTTGGGTCTGGCCAAGAAGCATGCTGACAGGGTGGCGGGCAAGGCTTGAGTTGTTTGGTGGAGTTCAGGGAGTTCAGGAAGTTCAGTTCGTGTGGCATGAGGAATTTAACAATGGAAATATGAGTCTGCATATTCAAATGGAGAGATATAATCTTTGGAAACCAAGTTCATCATGCCTCTTCATCTGACACCCACTACCCGTACAGAAATATTGAATACCTGAGACAGATTCTTCCATGTTCCAAATTCGATATATCCAAAGTCCGATTCATGTCCTATTACAGTTACGGGGATTGCAGTGCAACAGCCCAGCCAACCAGACGTGTTCTATTGCAACCCAAAACTTTTCGATCCGTACGATAGGTCAACGGGTTGAAAAAGCCCCAACCCTGGCGTAGTCAACGCTCCCATTTCCCCATGCCGGAGAAGTGGAATGGGAATGGAGCCAACCAAGTGCCTGAATTCGGGCGGGGGGATGGGTGGGATGGTGGGTTGGCGGGCTCTGGGTTCCGCTATACGCAGGTCCAGTCGAGGGCGTGTTCGCTAAAGGCATGTCGAGGATATCAACGGCTCATGTTTTCTTTCATTCCGTCCGCTGCGTTTCTCCAGGTCAATTTCCGTTTATTCATCGGTTCCTTAGGTTTCCTCGGTGGCAATTGATATTCCATACTCGTTCTATAATACATGACGTGTTGAACCTTGAAAGAAGTAAGCCTCCACAACTCTCCCTTCCACTGCGGGGTACAAAGTACATCCCACCTGTTCGCATACAACAAAGCTGTCATCTTTTTAAATTCATCATTGGACCGTGAATTCAGCGGTCCATTTCGCATACTATTCGAGCTTACCGGTCTAGAGAACTTTCCCACATACACGACATTCACGACCACTAGATCTGCGTTCTTCAATCAAGACAGATAGCAACATACCTTGACCGTCAACATGGCGCCCTCCGCGACAACTCAACCACTCGTTCATGCGAGTGGCTCGAACCAACCGACCAAGGACGTATCCCAGTTCCATTCCTCATCCACCGAAAACGCCTTTGCCGCCGAAGCACAATATGCCGCCCACAACTACCACCCCCTGCCTATCGTCTTCGCCAAAGCCAGTGGCTGTTCAGTCTGGGACCCCGAAGGCAACCACTACCTCGATTTCCTCTCCGCATACAGCGCCGTCAACCAAGGGCATTGCCATCCCGAGCTGGTGAAGACGCTGACGGAGCAGGCGTCGCGGCTGACGCTCAGCAGCCGCGCGTTCTATAACGACGTGTTCCCGAAGTTCGCGGAATTCGTGACGAAATTTTTCGGGTACGAGATGGTGCTGCCGATGAACACTGGAGCGGAAGCGGTGGAAACCGTAGTAAAGATTGCGAGGAAATGGGGTTATAAGAGCAAGAAGATTGAGGCGGGACAGGCTATCGTTTTCAGTGTGGAGAACAACTTCCACGGTCGGACGGTACGTCATCCATAGGAAAAGTGAAGCATATTTTAACTCGATAAACAGTTCGCGGCAATTACCATGTCAACAGATCCGGAGTCGAGGGAGAACTATGGGCCATATATTCCGAACCTAGGATGCATCAACCCCAAAACCGGCAAGCCGATTCGATTCGGTAATGTCGACGACGTTCGAGAAGCATTCGAAGCGCATGGGAAAGACATCGCAGGATTCCTAGTCGAACCAATCCAAGGCGAAGCAGGCATCGTCGTCCCGGATGACAGCTACCTGCGAGAGATCCGAAAGCTCTGTGACAAGCACAACGTGCTAATGATTTGCGACGAGATCCAGACTGGTATCGCAAGAACGGGTAAACTCCTGTGTTGCGAGTGGAGTGGCGTCAAGCCAGACCTTGTGCTGCTCGGCAAGGCCATATCTGGAGGCATGTATCCAGTGTCCTGCGTCCTTGGCTCTAAGGAAGTAATGCTCACGGTCGAACCTGGAACACACGGTTCGACTTATGGTGGGAATCCACTTGGATCAGCGATCGCGATCCGCGCATTGCAGCTCGTCAAGGAGGAGAGGCTCGTTGAGCGAGCGCAAGAACTCGGCGAGAAGTTTCGTCAGGGCCTCGCTGCCATGAATAGCCCCTTAATCACGACTATCCGTGGGAAGGGGTTGTTGAATGCTATTGTTATCGATGAGTCGAAGGCAAATGGACATACCGCATGGGATTTATGCATGCTGTTCAAGGAGAAAGGGTTGCTTGTAAGTTGAATAACGAGTATGACCGACGGAGATGGAGAACAAGAAGCTGATGGCATCGTCTAGGCAAAACCAACCCACCAGAATATCATCCGCCTGGCGCCACCCTTGGTGATCACGGAGGAAGAAATTGCCACAACACTGGATATCATCCGCGCGGCGCTTATCGAACTGCCAAAGACACCGGCCAATAATCATGCCGATGGACACTAAGATAGAGTTGGTCAAGGTAATAACAGGAGCGACGCCCGTCTTGGAGAGTTGGAACTTGGAAGAGCATAAACACTCAATATGCCAGATTGCCCAGTCTCGACTCTTTCGAGTGCTGAGGCAAATCTACCTATTGTTAGTGGAGAAATTAAGGGTGAGATGATGAGCAGTAGTGAAGCACCAGGAATGCAACTTTCACAACGTTAAGGTTGATGCATCCACTCTCTCCAACACTTGCTTGTATGACGAACACGCCGTCCCACGAAACGAAGCCCAACAAAGATCACCTCTAAGTCATGATCGTGCACGGAAGAGGGGTTCTCCCACATCTCCCTCAAAAATATAATCTAAGCTTGTTATGGTCCCGGGCCTGTGGCCTGTGGCCTGGTGTCGCATTTTGTGGGGAGGATGATTAAGCACGATCGCTGCTTAAGCTCAGTTACTGTAGAGTCATAACACAAATTGGTATTAACGATTCCCATTGTCTAGAAAAGGGGATCTAGCTAGTATAGTAAGCCAGATGAAGATAACTTAAATATAGGAGAAGACTGAAGAGTCCTGATTAGGCCTAGCCCAGGGGTAGAGAGCAGTGAAAGGAATGTTAGGTGGCAGTAGAAACCAACAGGGGCATCTTGCGACACCTGGGCCCTTGAGTATGGCTGACGCCACAGGGATGTAGCTAGTGGATGGCATGGAGGATTATCAAGGAGATAGTCATGGGAGCTATGTGTTAGGACAGAGCTGTGTTAAGGAGCTGTGTTGAGCTGTGTTAGGATAGCAGAGAGAAGAGTTTATATCTCGCGCACAGAGGCGCTGGGAGATTTCTTCCTTCTCTCTCTTCAGTTTAGATTAATGGAACTTGGTAATCGCAGATCTTGCGCATCCAGACCGTGTCAAAGCTTAGTAATTACTCTCAACTTCCGTCTCCACGTCCAGGAATGGCATTAGGAAAAAGTTCTCTCCACTACAATTCGATTGGCCCAAGTATACGGAGTATTATCTCCACCCGCCAGGCTGGCTGCCAGCCGTCGCACGCTGCTCATGTCATCAGGATACCGCAGCACGCAATGTGGTGATTCTGGTGAGAAGACGCCGGCAAAGCGGCACATAAATCCAGGCTACAGCGACGCTTTTTAGTTCATACGCCAACGATCGATGGACTGGCTGCAGGCCTCATCGCCTCATCGCCTGTCGCGGCCTCGCAGCCTTGCAGGGTCTGCCCCAGTGCCGAGGAGTGCGATCTTCTCCACTCACGGCTGTTGGTCCCTGGTCGTCTCTCAACAGTCAACGTCAGCCGTCAGTCGTCACCATGCCGATGGCGGATGGGATGGGAAAGCGGTCGAGGTTAGAGGGATTCCTGAATCCTGACCTGATCCCTCCGGGCCATGGATATACCGGGCATGGCTTTACTACCTCCGGAATCATCAGTTCAGCTCCAGCGAGCGCGTTGAGAACTGGTGTCATTGGTTCAGTCTCACTTCTCCACGGTATAAGGAAAAGCTTGAGGAGATAGAATGACTCACGTCACCAATACAGGATCAACAACGCTCATCAACAACGCCTAAACGGTAAGAGTTATGGAGGTAGTATATGTCCGAACCAGGCCGCTTATCAACAAAGCGATTAGACTCATCTGGGTCGACGGAATATACCACTACACACCAGATCCTGAACTTGGAACCCTACCATCGTATGGCTTGCATGTTCTTGAAGTCAAGCTGGATCTATCTCATGGAGTCACTGAGTCACCATTAACCGTATTAACATTTCAAATTCTAATCGCCGGGTTATCCGTTCTCCTGCAGCACGAGCATCCCCAAAGTCCTGAATCGTCCCTTGCTCCAACATGGCCGACCCTGTCTAAAGCTTCTCCTCTCTCTTGTTTCCACAGCATCGGCGTTTGAAAACGCCGACATCATCTCCAACCTCCCAAATCTCCCACCCTAGCGCAAAACTGGCGTCAATCGGTCTTCGACCCATTAGCCGATCCTGGGAGTAGAGGAGTCTCCAATATTTTCTGCTCAAAAAAAAGTCCTCGGGCCCAATCGTATCTTCGTATTCGTCCGATTTTCTCCATCCCCAATTGCCCGGTCCGCCACGTCTTAGTCGTCCCCACTAAGAAATGCTTGACTCCAACCTGCGGTTTGCCGGCATCACCATTTTTATGTCACTGCCACCCCTCAGCGTGTTGCTCGTCGGGTCTTCCTTCGTTATTACCTCGCTATATGCTTACGCTCTCCGTCTCACTTCCTTATAACCATTTTTATGTCTCCGTTACTTCTATCGCCTTCATTCCTTCTTGTTAGTTGACGACCTAGAGTCAGGTTTCGTTAGCTATCCGTGACCAAAGCATGACGCCACCAGCGCCTGAATCTAAAGCCTTGCGGTCTAACGACCCTGCGGCGACGGTCAATGCACCAGAAGTCACGGAGACGCCTATGGAAGAGGGCGAAAAAGATCTAAACCCCGATTTTGAGAAAAAAGGAGACCCAGAAAGGCCGTTGAGCAATGTACTCGCCAAAACGACGAGCGCATATACGAGCGGCTTCAGCGAAAATGGGGATGAGGGCGCGACGAGCCAGAAGGCTGCGAAGCGGACTTGGGGCGAGAGACTTAATCCGTTAAAGCACAAGGTACTGCCGCCAGTACCAGAGGAGAGAGAAGTCTCCAGGGAATACACTGCAGGATTCTTCAGCAAGTTGACCTTCCAATGGATAGCCCCTCTTATGAGCGTAGGTGGATATCGAATTTCTACGAAGTTGACGGTCTACTAATTTTGTATTCAGGTCGGCTATCAACGAACCGTTGAAGTCCAGGATCTGTGGAAAGTTAATCCTACGCGAGAGGTCGATCACTTAGCGAATACAATGAACGAGCACTTCAAGCGACGGGTGGAGGAGGGCAAGAAGCGACCATTAGTAGGCGCGATGTACGACACGTTCAAGAAGGATTTCCTGACTGGCGCAGTTTGCCAATTCTTCGGAAGCATTATCATGGTGGTTAATCCGTTCATCCTACGGTATCTAATCCAGTTTGCCGGCGAAGCATACGCTGCCCAGAAACAAGATCTACCAGAACCGCATATCGGACGGGGGGTCGGCCTTGTCCTTGGGATTTCGGGTCTGCAGCTGGTACAAACCATTTGCATTAACCACTTCCTCTACCGCGGGATGATGAATGGCGGCGAATCTCGGGCAGTACTGATGGCGTTGATCTTTGACAAGGCGATGCGATTGTCAGGACGCGCGAAAGCTGGCGGTAAGTCCCTGGAAACGCCGCCTCCAGAAGTCAAACCAGGAAGTGAGGAAGAAAAAGCATGGTACCGGAAGCTGCTAAAGAAAAAGCGGAAGGAGCCTACCGACAACGGCTCAGAAAACGGGCAAGGCTGGAGCAATGGCAGGATTGTGAACCTCATGTCATCCGACACCTATCGCATTGATACCGCATCCGGGTTTTTCCACATGCTTTGGTCCTCTCCTATGATCATCTTGATCACCTTGGCCCTTTTACTCATCAATTTGACATATAGCGCTTTGGCCGGTTTTGGATTGATCATTATTTCAATGCCTATCCTAGGGCGTACGATGCGGATTCTCTTCCACCGTCGTGAAGCTATCAATAAGATTACCGATCAACGCGTCGGCCTCACTCAAGAGATTTTGCAAGCGGTCCGATTTGTGAAGTTCTTTGGTTGGGAGAAGAGCTTCCTCGCTCGATTAAATGAGATTCGAAAGCGAGAGATCCTTTCGATTCAGGTCTTGTTGGCCATCCGGAACGCAATCAACGCAGTCTCGATGTCTATGCCAGTCTTTGCAGCTATGCTTGCTTTTATTACTTACTCTCTGTCGAACCACGTCCTGGACCCCGCACCTATCTTCTCTTCTCTTGCTCTCTTCAATTCGTTGCGTCTCCCGCTCAATTTCCTTCCGCTTGTCATTGGTCAGGTCATCGATGCCCTATCCTCGATCGGCCGCATCCAGGAATTCTTACTTGAAGAAGAAGTGCACGATGATTGCGAATGGGACTATGAGCACAAGAACGCCATTGTGCTCGAGCACGCGGATTTTACGTGGGAGCGAACCCCGACCCAGGAATCTGAAGAAGCGCCCGAAGAGGGGAGTAGAAAAGAGAAAAAGGCAGCAAAGAAGGCAGCAAAGAAGGTAGCAAAGGAGGCAGAAAAGAAAGCTGAGGCAACAGGGCCAGACACGGCGAATGAAAGTGCGAGTACCCTAGCGGAAGACGAACCGTTTAAGATCTACGATATGGACATTGCGGTCGGCAGAAACGAATTAATAGGGGTCATTGGGACGGTCGGTTCGGGCAAAAGCTCTCTTTTGGCTGCTCTCGCGGGTGACATGCGCAAGACGGCCGGAAAGGTTGTTATGGGTGCATCGCGTGCGTTCTGTCCCCAGTATGCGTGGATCCAGAATGCGACAGTGCGTGACAACATTGTCTTCAGCAAGGACTTTGATCGGACGTGGTACGATAAGGTCATCGATGCATGTGCACTGCGACCGGATTTTGAAATGCTGCCCGGGGGCGACCAGACCGAGATCGGTGAACGAGGGATTACGGTTTCTGGAGGTCAGAAGCAGCGACTCAATATTGCACGGGCCATATACTTCAACGCCGACATCGTCATCATGGATGATCCACTGTCCGCAGTGGATGCTCATGTCGGCCGGCATATCATGGATCAGGCTATTTGTGGACTGCTCAAAGACAAGTGCCGCATTCTCGCTACCCATCAACTCCACGTCTTGAACCGGTGCGATCGGATCGTCTGGCTTCAGGAGGGACGGGTCGCCGCGTTAGATACCTTTCCTAACCTCATGCAGCACAATGAAGACTTCCAAAAGATGATGCTGACGACGGCGGTGGAGAAGGAGGAAGAGTCGGTCGACGAAGATGAGATCGAGGAAGATAAGAAACAGCCCAAGAAGAAAACCAAGAAGCATCGTCCTAAGGGACTGATGCAGGCGGAAGAGCGTGCCGTGAAGAGTGTGTCGTGGGGAGTCTGGTTTGCATTTATCAAAGCGGGCGGCGGATATTGGGTTGCCCCTCTAGTGTTCATCTTCCTGGCGATGGCGCAGGCATCAAATATTTTGACTAACCTTTGGCTTTCATGGTGGACGTCCGGAAGGTTTGGCTTAAGTCAAGGTCAATATGTGAGTGCTCGACTATCAATGTTGCTATCTGAGCAGAATCTGACCACCACAGATTGGTGTCTATGCTGGACTCGGCTTCTCCCAAGCGGTCGTAATGTTCCTCTTCTCCGTCTCTCTATCAGTATTCGGTACCGAAGCGAGCAAAAAGATGCTCGCTCGAGCCATCACCAAAGTTTTGAGGGCGCCGATGAGCTTCTTCGACACTACTCCACTGGGACGTATCACCAATCGCTTTTCTAAAGACGTCGACACTTTGGATAACAACCTGACGGATGCCATGAGGATGTTCTACTTATCGTTTGGCATGATAATCTCGGTCTTCGCGCTCATAATTTCCTTCTTCCCCTATTTTGCCGTCGCCCTCGTGCCGTTGCTAACTATGTTCCTCTTCTCCGCTGCTTACTACCGGTCATCTGCTCGGGAGGTTAAGCGACACGAAGCTCTACTCCGCAGTTTTGTCTTCGCCAAATTCAGCGAAGGTGTGTCGGGGACCGCCACGATCCGGGCGTATGGGCTTCAGGATAAACTTTCACAAGAGGTCCGCAAGTCGATCGATAACATGAACAGCGCATATTACCTGACCTTTGCCAATCAACGATGGCTCAGTATGAGACTCGACATTGTCGGTATCCTGCTGGTCTTCACTGTCGGTATCCTGGTGGTCACCAACCGATTCGATGTGGAACCCAGCACTGGCGCCCTTGTCCTAAGTTACATCTTATCCATCGTTCAGATGATTCAGTTCACCGTCCGCCAACTCGCGGAAGTGGAGAACAACATGAACTCGGCCGAACGCCTCCACTACTACGGCACCGAGATTGAAGAAGAAGCACCTCTCCATGCTGTTCAAGTCCGACCGACTTGGCCCGAGCACGGCGAGATCATCTTTGATGAAGTTCAGATGCGGTATCGTGCCGGTCTCCCTCTCGTGCTCAAGGGCCTCAACATGCATGTCAAGGCCGGCGAGCGTATCGGTGTGGTCGGCCGCACAGGCGCTGGGAAATCCAGCATCATGAGCACTCTGTTCCGACTCACGGAGCTGTCCGGTGGAACCATCTCCATCGACGGCGTTGACATTAGCCAAGTCGGACTATATGATCTTCGCTCCCGCCTTGCCATCATTCCGCAGGACCCGACCCTCTTCCGCGGAACGATTCGCACCAATCTGGATCCGTTCAATGAGCACAACGACCTCGAACTGTGGACGGCCCTGCGCCAAGCTCACCTCGTCGACGCCGAAGCGACCATGGATGACCGCTCCGGACGCATCCAATTGGACGGCATCGTCGAAGAAGAGGGGCTCAACTACTCCCTCGGTCAACGCCAATTGATGGCGCTCGCTCGTGCGCTCGTCCGCAACTCCCAGATCATCGTCTGCGATGAGGCCACTTCCTCGGTCGACATGGAGACCGACCAGAAGATCCAGCATACGATCGCCACGGGATTCTACGGTAAGACGTTGCTGTGCATTGCGCATCGGTTGAAGACGATTATCGGGTATGATCGGATCTGTGTCATGGATAACGGGCAGATTTCCGAGTTGGAGGCGCCATTGGTGCTGTACGATCGGGAAGAGAGTATCTTTAGGAGCTTGTGTGAGAGGAGTGGGATTACCAGGGAGCATTTCTTCCAGGCGAAGGCAGAGATGGGAGAGTTGTAGCGGCTGTTGTGCTGCGAAGTACATTGTGCATGAGTGATCCGATGCACCGATCTCATATGCATGCTCTTTTTTAGAATAGATTTGGCCAACCAGACGGCTTCAGGCATGTGGTCCTCTTTGTTAGATACAAGAGTTGGTCCCAAGCCATCTACTTTCATATAATTACACATAATAGAACGGATATGGTTTCAATGGTCCAATCCCTGATGTATGCTGATCATCGCGCTACCCAGCTGGTACAGGTAACTATCAAGCGTCACTCTTGCACCTGCCATCGAATCATATTTAATGAGGTTACCAAAAAATTTGTCATCAGAGGGATGAAGAGTAAGAATATGGATTAAAATCGTTGAAAGGGTACTGATGGCAGTCGGGTTGGAAGACGATAAACATTCTGATCGATGTTCGACTTCTAGCGACTACTGGGATGGCATCAGAACTCCAGTAGAAGCAGACTAGATGGCTCTAAACAAAGAGCAACCGATGGGATGAGAACTTCACCGATTGTATTTGACTCTAGAATCCGACATCCACACCGTGCGAGAATTTACACAATGTTGAGGCCTAGAGAGATCTCACGTGAAGAGAAATGAACGCGGAATTATTACACAGCAGCTTGGATCCCATCACCTCCACCCTTTCAGGTACACTGCAAGGTTGACACCGTCAATACGAGCTATCCGGTCGCTTGATGAGTACGGAATACAGACATGCTCGCGACGGTCCTTATCCATTCGCCTAGGAGTACCTCAACGGTGCGTTGACTGCCTCCGTCTCGCCTTGCTGTTGGTAATATTTGGTGTAAGGATTCTCACCACGCCGAATCGCCGAATCGTCGACAGCGACGCCAGGATGACCATTCTCCATCGCTAGCCGTCGATCGGTTGTCGATTCCTTTCCATCTTCCGCGAGCTTCGTCTTGCTTACGCTCTGCACTGAGAATGGTCTGCAAGTTGTAAGCATCGAGTGAAATAATCACGAGGCGACCATAAACGTACCCATTGACTTCTTTGTCAAGCGTTAGATACTCCTTTGCGACGTCTTTGACTCCACGATCAAGGAGGTATACTTGATAATAATGGACGATATCCTTGATTACAGCGGGAGGAAGCTGAGTCTTCCGCCGGACATCGTCCACGACGTTCCTTATCCGAGCGTACTGTACTTCTTCCGTCTCTTTGCTTGTCGGCTGCTCCAGCTCGAAGTTGAAGTATGAGATCCAGAATCGCTTGACGTCCAAGTACCACTGTTGCTGCTTCTGATAAATCTGCCGGGCTTCTTCGACGGAGCCTTTCACTTTCCAAATGAGTCGAGCCCATTCCGCCACCAGCGCTCCTTTGATATAGATGTCGGTCGTCTGCGAGTCGATCTGATCCTTCAGGACAGCAATGGCCGCTTCAAATCCTTTTTGACGACGCTGTAAGCTCGACCAGCTGAGAATCGTGTCAATATGCTGGGGGGTCTCGAGAAGAATAGCCTGGTAGATAGCCTCAGCGACGTCTGGTCGTCCGCTCATCTCTTCAAAGAGCGCATATTGATGACGGATGTGAGGTCGGGAGATGGGGACGTAGATCGTAGAAGCCTTTTGATAGATGATGCGGACCTCCTCCTCCTTGCCTTGCTGAGCCATCATCCATCGAGCGTAGCGGAGCCAGAATTCGTCGTACAGTGCACAAGTGACCAGGCATCGGTCGTAGAGGAATCGTGTTCGCTCGTGGTCGCCTTCCACTTCCTCGAAATCCAGGTATTTTCTCCAGTTAACCAGTTCCGCCTCCTCAAGCTCGAAGATGTGGAAATATGGCCGCTTGATCGACTTCTCGAAGTTCCATCGCTTCATGACCTCGGTTTGCGTGTGGTTGAAGATCTCTTGGTGGAAGCTGTGGAGTCGTTCCCGTAATCTCCGCTCCAGCTCCAGTTCGCTGAGCTCTTTTTGCCCACTCTCCATTTCGATTTCGCTTTTGAACTGAGCAATCACTTCTTCGGGAGCGAGGTCGGCAATCGGCCGGTGTTGAGCGTGTCGCGTAAAAAGGTCGAAGTACCGTTGAAATTGGTCGCAAGGAATATGGATGACTCGTTCCAATATCTGGAACACTTTGTCTTGTGCTTCCAACCGCTCCTCAAACTCGATGTACTTGTCCCAGAAGGGTTGGCATTGGAAGTCAATACCTACGCAACTAGCCCCCCTCTCAAAGAGTCTGGGGTGTTCAGGTCAGTGATTGGAACGTAGAAGATATTGGGGTTAGGGGAAAGGAGGGAAATAGCAGTGGGTAGATACAGTGTGTAATCGGGAGCTTGAGATGGGCGTAGAGCAACCAGCGTCCGAATATTCCTTTGCAAAACCGATCAAGAACTGGAGAACGAGCTAGCGCACGGGCTAAAGTGTGCATATGAAGCGATAAGAAGGAAAAGCGTCTGGAGAGTGAGTGTGAGAACTGCGAACAGTAGAATCTTTTCTTTTGTGGCCATCTCACCGATCTCGAGACCCTGCCGCACGAGTGACGAATCCATTCTTCGTTCGCTAAGGTGACAGTCGCTCGACTGCGAACTGCCGCTGACCGCCCTCTGTGCCTGTCAAAGGGAAGGAAGGCATACAGCCTATGATACTTACTCTCGAATGACTTCATTGTCGTGGGTTGTGTCAGCCTTGAAGCCACAGTACGATTGCCAGAGATCGGGGGAGTTCGATACGGACGCCACACCACGTTCATACACCTAGACGTAGTTAGCATGAGACGCGGCATCGTGGAAGTGGTGACTTACCATCTCCGCGGCTTCCGTGCCGGCTATCGAAAACTCCATATCGGCATACTTCTTCCAGAATCCGAAGTAGAGAGGAAATTTGGCCAAGAACTTGTCGTAGGCGAGACGCGCGAACGTGATGGAATTCGGATTCGAGTTGCGATTCAGCCCGCCTTCTTGTGATTCGGCCTTAGTGATGAGCGCTTCCCACGCGCTGAAGTCTTCCGGATCTTGAAGCTATTGTGAAGGTCAGCTTATCGTTGACAGATTGGAGGCGCGTCGACACATACCACCGCATCGTTCAGTTTCCTGAGTTCTAGGCTGTCCTCATCGGTGCCAAAATCGAATTCTGACGCCATCTCCGGTTCGAACGAAGGATTGTATGAAAGAGAGGAAGAAATAGGATGGAAAGAGTGTTCAGGTCTTAATAACCATGCGACCGCGGGATGTGTTGTGATGAATCCTAGTGTCGGTAGAAGTCGTTCCCAGTGAGCAACCAAAGATGATGATGATTAGAATGGGGGTAAGTTTAAGGTTCCGCGACCGAGGAGATGGACTCGAGAGATGGGCTTGAGAGATGGACTCGAGCGATGGAAAGATGCAGGATTGATGAGTCGGAGTGAAGCAAGAAGCTCCAACTGGAAACTCTCATCTCGGAGAATCAATGAGAGCCGCTGGGTCTTGGCATATCAACTTCCAATTCAGCTCCACCACGGAGACCGTGGTAAGATTATTTAATGAATTCATAAGAATCTTTCCTCCAATCACATGCTACATTATTCCGATCAATTATCGCGTTTGCGAAAAGGCATAGCTTGCGACCGGTGAAAATTTGAATATATGTCCGATTCGCTGTACTATCTATCAAAATGATTGCAAATGCCCCCCTAAGATATGGCTGAGACAGCCTTCACCTCGACGGTATCGCATACACTGTCATAGCATACATTGTCATTTACAATTGCTCCATCGCTAGTTGCACTTCGTCATCATGACCTGTCTCCATATGGATTACTTCGTCGACTACGTCTCGGCAGAAGCGATCGGAGCGATCGGAGCAATCGGACTTTGCCTCTCCCGTAGAAGGCGGAGTGGAAGAGCGAAGAGCCCTTCTTCTGGACGTTCCTCGACTTGCCATTCAGCCTCCGCCGCTCCCTCACCCCGAGTCCCGTCCTTCTTTGCTGGGTCGATAGCCTCCTCTGCTGAGAGCGAATCTTCGATGGGTTTGGTGGCCTCTGGACTGGATTCAAGTGAGACCTCTGGGCTCTGTACCGTGTCGAGTAGAGCATCTTTGGGAGACCCATCGTGCGGTTTAGTGGCCTCTGGCTTGACAACCTCTGGTGTGACATCCTCGAGCTTAACAGTCCCGGGTATGGGTTCTTCCGGCTCAACACTCTTAGGGTTAAGGTCCTCCGTCTCAGCTTCCTCCGAATTGACATGATCTGGGGTGATGTCCTCCGGCGAGGCCTTTTCCAGTTTGACATCCACTCGCTTGAAATCCTCCGACGTGATGTCCTCCAGCGTGACGTCCTGCAGCTTGACATCCTCCAGCTTGACGTCCTCCAACTTAACGTGCTCCACCTTGATATCCTCCGCCTTAATTCCCTCAGATCCAATTACTACGGGTTTACTCTCCTCCGGCGTGATATTGTCCAGCTTGACATCCTCGTGGGTAATGCCATTAGAGTCGACTCCACTAATTTCAGCGCTCTTGGGCATGCTATTCTCGAGCACTGTGTCGTCGACCTTGGTTTCTACAATATTGACAGCCTCAGACCCGATTTGTCTAACCTGAACGTCTGCGGACGGGGATGGTTCGGCGGCGGGACCATCCGAACAGACTTCTTCGAGCTTGTTTGGCTCAGCCTGGTCGTCTCCAGACGGAAACAGTTCGGTGTCCAGTGCTTCCAAACCAGGTTCCCCAGGTAAGATGGTTTTCGTATATGTGGGCTCCACAGGAGTGTCGTCGTCCGTTCTGTGCGCTTCGAATTCGGCCGGCTGGGAAATGGGCACATTTACAGGTACTTTCACTTCCTGGGCTTCGGCTCTCTCAAAGCCCATTTTGGGTGTGACCGGCTCGGGCGTAGGCACGCTCGCCTCAATTTCCTCAGTGACGGCTTTCTCTTTACCTGCCTCAGAGTTGACAGGTTCAGATGCGGGCTCCTCTGCTATCCCATCCTCGGGTTTGGTTTTCTCCGTCTCTATCACTGGAGATTGAACATGCCCGGTTTGATTTCCCGCGGATCTGAAGCCTGACTTCGGTGTCTCCCCCCTCGCCAGTTCTCCCTTCAACTCAGCAAAAGCCCGGGACGATGTGGAAATGGCCGTTGTAGGCGTCTCTAGCGGTAAAGGACTTCTCGCCACAGCATCCAAGCTTCCTAGCTCCGCCAGCGACTGCTGCTGCACGAGGAGAGGGGGCGGACTCTGCGGCATCATCCGCACTGCCGTCATTGGGGTCAGCGGCATGAACGGGCGATTTCCCTGCGGCGACTTCAACAGCGCGGCATTCAGGTTGGTTCCGCGAATCGCCGCATAGGAGCTCACGGCGACGTCGCTCCCCTCCGGTGACAGCGGGTTGCTATGGATCGATCCGCCGCTCATGGAGAGAGTTATGGCGCTTTGGCGGGCCGTTCCAAGCTCCTTGTCGCTCGTGCCAAGTTTCAGACCCTTCAGTTTCTCTGATAGGCGGCTGCCACCGGGGCTGCGCGGCGATGTAGGGCTGCGGGTGCCAGAAGGGGGAGATCGAGGGGCTTCGGCACCGGAGAGGTCAATTCCGCCAATGGAGATCGGTGCAGGTCTGGAGGAGACCCCGAAGTTCTGTTCGATCCATTCCTTTTCCTGCATAGCCATGATCAGGGCAACGCCTTCGACGTTCTTCTTAGACTCCTCGTCGATTTCCTTTTGTAATGACCGAAGACGCGCCTTGGCCCATTTCGTGTGTAAGACGCCTTTCTTGCCAGCCGACCGCGCTGTAGCACCTAACTCAGGTGGGTAGATTGCGGGTAACGGATTCGCCCGCCATGTTCGTTCTGGTGCGCTCGGCGATTTGGAACCGTTACGTTCGCCTTTGTCTCCGTCGCCCATTGATGAGGGATTTGTTTTGAAAGGTATTCTAGTCAAGGTAATCATTGCCGGTACGGAAACGCCGGGTGGAAGCAAGTAGTAGAGTCTGGTAACCTCCTCCGTCCCACCTTTTCGATCATCAGCCGGCAGAACCACACTCTTGCCCTCCCACCAGATATGCCATTCGTCGCCATCGTTTGCATGTCCGCTGGTATCGACATCCGCATCCCATTCGATCATCAGGATCTTGGTACCCTCATTGCCTTTGCCCGACTCGAACTCGAACCTGGCCCTACAGCCAGAGTTGTTTGATAGGCTCGAGGACCCGTAAATTGACGGTCGCTGATAGGGCTGGACATTGAGCGGATGATATGCGCGCGGTGTCGATGTGTCGAGCGGACTTAGTGCCGATGTGAGGGAGTTGCGATGGTGCGGATGCGGTGTGGATGCTGCTGCTGGATGCGCCATGGTCGGAGGCCACGATGTAAAATTATGGATAAGACTGGAGTTTGGATAGGCAACCTAGGTACTGGTACCGGACCGTTACCGACGGGCAGGGAGATCCTAATATCGGATTGTCTGGTAACTGAAAACGAGTGCTCCACGCGGAGATATCTCCTGTCTGAGTCTCCTGTCACGCTGATGCTCTATTTGAGCGATGGGTCCGTCCGCGTCTTTCTCCGCTTCCGATTTCTTGGAGCCTGGAGGATGCCGCGAGCCTGCTGCGGGTCGATCCTATGGATTTGTCTGAGTCGTAGAAAATTCCCTCCGCTAAAGGCTAAGCCTGTATAATACAAGTATGGACTTCAACCATGATGGTTCTATTATACGACTGCTCGAAATCTAGACGAGATGAGGTAGAAATGAGACGAGGAGAGAAATGAAGCCGCCAAGGGAAGCTTTCGTTTGGATTCAAATGTATGAAGAGAGGAGTGGGGTCCAGAGCGAAGGTCCAGTGTCTTGCTAAGTTGCTATCCAGTGTCTCTACGAGCCATCGGGGCCCGGGGTCTCCGTTCGTGTCGAAGAGGCGCTAAAATAGCTCCGGGTACGTGGAACGACTAATGAGTCAAGGGCGCTGGCATCAAGAATTACTGATACATAGGTAAATCGAATAGAATGAAGTTCAACCAAGAAACACTTGAAATGATGATTCTCCAAAGTTCGACAGCTACGAGACGGTGAGAGACTCCAAGCCCCTTAAAGTAATCTATGAAACAAATGACCACCAACTCGCTTGGCCCATGCCCTCTCCTTGCCTATCCTAAACCTAATGCAGAAGTATCCAAGGTCCCGAATCTTTGTAACGTACAACGTTCAGCTCGAGGCTCTGCTAGACTACGTACACCATTCATAGGCACCGGCAATCTACAATAGGTAAACAGGAAATCCAACCATCAGGTGGGCAGCCCGTTTCACCAGCACCCGACTCTTTCGATCTCTCCACCAGATCGGCCCCCATGAGCCAAACAGACAGCCAGGACACCTCGGATCCAACATTAGGAGCTGCTATGGCGGTTGGATTCAGGAGTTGGCAGGATAGGATTGGTCCACTGGGGGGAATGGATGGTGATCCGCAATGACGGAAGATGGAAAAACGGTGGAGGGCTTGTGAATGGAATCAAGCGGCCCAGGAGCCCAGAGGGAATGACTGCAAGTTTCACGTTTGGCATCCAGATTTTGAATATTCATTTCATTTCCGGAATATGTCACCCGTCCCAGATCTCATGCAACGTCGTCACGACATGAAGAATCCCGACTCGGCAGCTTCTGGCCTTTCCTCGGAGCCGGATTCAGAATTCCGAAATCCGTCATATATTTCCCCAATACCCATAACGACTCGGCGTAGAACTACCATCCTTCCCATCATGCACTGCTCCATCCCCTTCTCCCTAGCGTTCCGACATCAAATACATCCTCCCGCCAGCCCACCTTGATGCCACCGAAGGAAAACAAATGTATATCCAGTCGTACCAGCGATTCGCTGACACTGCCCACCGAACGCCCTCCACCCTTCCAAGACCAGTAAGTAAAGAGAGAATATCTGCGATATGCTTGTGCTAGCTTGCTGCCATGATGTCTCTATTTCGTTGGTTGATGAAGACCCCGATCCCAAAGGTGGGCGGTTGGTAATAGGAACAAAATATTACAAAGGGGTATAATGGTGATGTATCCACAAGAAGAGAAATACGACGCGGGTAGATACTGTCGCGAGGCGGTGAAGCCTGTAAGAAGAGAAGGTTAAGAGAGTCCCGAAATCCCAGATTTCCACGCTATGCAGGTAAGTATAATAGTGTAGTGTTCAGAAACGGGTGTGTTGAAGGTTCCGTTGTGAAGAGTGGGTGTAATTCAGCGGAGAGAGAACAGACCGAGACAGAGACCCAAGATAAGTTCCGATCGGCCCATCAAGGGAGCGGAAAGCGGTGCAAATGAATGACGGTATTAATGTGTGGGTTTCGGTCTCAGATTAGCAGAAAGTCCCAGCCCCTCTGTATCATAACGTCCCGCCAGTGGACGCTCTGTCTCTCTCCTTGCTGTTCTGCGTCGTCGTTGTGTGTCCAAACATCCTTGAGCAGTTCCGCCATTCGTCCAAAGGAACCAAACTGTGATGCATCACCCATTTGGGCTGACCGCTCGGTAAACATGAGCCGGAAACTTGAGTGTTGCAGCGATACGGAGCCTGCGATGAGCAATGGCCAGACTAAGGATCGGTCAAACCCCTCAGGGCCGGGAGGAATGAAGCTCATGGCATCCACGAGGGTATCAACGAGGTTCATGACATTGGGATCCCGTCGGTCGAAATGAGGAACCAAACTGCACAGGTAGATGCGTGCGGCCGCTCGGAAGACGGCGGTCATATTCTTACAGAGCTGTCGCGGCCGAATGGCGCCGGTGACAGAGAAAGGCGACGCAAGATCATCCGGCCCTGGTTCCGTCGCACTGATGTGATCACCGAGCATCTTGATGTGGGTGCAGAGCATGACTTCGTCCATGCCGTCCAACTTGAGAGCGTCGAGGCACGCAATTTCGGAGATCAGGAACATGATCCGGTCGTCGCAGCCCATGAGCTCGGCAAGTCCCATTGCCGCGTTGGAGAGGTTCTTTTCCCGATAAGTGTCAGCGAAGACTGGCGCACGACCCAACATGGTTGCACCGAGTATGTCAATCCACGAGGCGAGGACCATGTTGAACGGTGGTTGCGCAGAACCGCTTCCAACAACGTGGGGAAGCTCCAGTTTGTTGATCAGGTCGGTTGCAGCACGGAAGTGGTCTTGCCATGAGATGTCCAGCAAGCCATCGTCAGGCCGGCCAACTGAGCAGTGGAAGAAGATCATGCCAAGAGTCGCTTCAAGGATCTGTGCATAATCATCGTTTGTGCTCAACGCCTCACACAGCTTCAGGATTGTGGCATGACGATGACGCATGATGTCTGCATCGATCTGTTCTCCTTGAATGCCCTCAGTAGCTTTCAGGTGAAGTGCAGATATGCTGAGGCAGCAATGCAGGTAGGCCTTGTTGGATTCAAGAGCAGGAAGGATGACGTCCGAGCGAGCAGACCCGTGTTGGTTTGCATCCAGGATAGGAAAGATGAGTCTCAAGACGTTGTCAATGAAGTGGTTGAGCAGATGCTGATCGCACTCCTCGACTTGAATCATCGTCTGATGAGTCGGCGAGAAGGTGTGGTGTGGGAAGTCAAAGAAATCAAAATTGACAGGCTCCTCGGCGAATGATTCTCTTCTGCTCTCGTAGTAGTCGTGCTGAATCCAACCCTCGGTCGGGAGCTCTTGGCCTGGTTGCGCGGGCATCTGGTAAGTACTGAAGGTCGACATTGTGGAGTCGCGACGCGTTGGAATGTCGTTCACGAAAGTCTGTCGTTCGGTCTTGATATCAACCTCGTACGGTGCGAAGTTACCAAAAGGCGGTGGAGGGGGAAACGAAGGCACAAATTGCGGAGGTGGCATGATGGATGAGCTGAAGAGGTCCTGGGTGGTCATGGAGTTGTAGTTGCAGCCCAGGGAGAATTGTGATTCCAAGGATACTCCTCTTGTCCGCGCCATCTCGTCAGAAAATCCATCTGATGTTGGTACGGAATGACTGAGACTTGGAGGAGTAGTGTCGTTGAGTCCCTGTGTAGTGGCTGATGCTTCCGCCTTCTCGTTCAGCTTCGTTCGCTTGATGACATCCTTGATGAGCTCTTTCTGGTGTGCTCGCTTCTCGGTATTGCTCCACCACATTGGTCGCTTGTATTCGCATTTGAGTCCAAGGTGACGGCAGGCTTTACAGGAGTGCTTGCCCTCATCGCACTTTTTCCGTCGCAATCTGCAGGTAAAGCAGCCTGGATGTCAATCATGTCAGTTACGGCCACTGGAATGTTGAGAAGGTATGAAACATATGGAATATATAGATTGGAATCGAGACTCTGAGAAATAGTAATGGAAATAATGATGACTTGTGAGGCAGTCAAGGCCTCCCCAAAGACCACGAGAGTATTGCCGCTGTACTTGTCTCAATATCGCGGTCATAATTGCATATCAGCACTCTCAATGGCATATTGTTATGGGCTTCGGCATCTTTTCGCAGCTGTCCATTGTTCAAGATGTCTCGCCGCAAAATTCGATCAAACTGTGAGACCGGGGAAAAGATGACGACAAAGGTTGCATTTCGGAGGAGGCTCTGGGAGAATGCGGCGCGTGCAGTCCACCAAGTGCCGATCCCTGCACGCCATCGTGCATAAAAGAAAAAAGGACCGAAAACAACTGACCTGTTCGCGACCTGCGATGCATTTTCGAGGACGTCTCCTTGGCCTTGGTAGCAGCGACATTTCCAACAGACATTTCCGGAGCGGTTTTAGTAGGTTTGGAGGAGGTTGAGGAAGGCGATTGCGACTTGGACGCCATTGAGGGTGGGATACAGGCGGGAGATATCGAAATTGCGAGGCACCCTCCCGATGGTCCCCAGCTCCAAGACGAGGAGGACCCGAGCCGATGGGAATTACAATTGAGCGAATCCGGTTTGGGATGCAGGTACCCTCTGCTCTTTCGCAAAATCCACGGGACCAGTCCAGAGCCAGCGCCTCACACGGGATCAAACAGGATTGATCAAGGCAGTGGTCGCGTACAGAATCGCTAGGCTGGGTGGACCTTGTCGGCACGGTTAGTAGCGGAGTCTCCAGGAGCGAATTGGCCGACCAGCGGTCAAAACGCTGGGTGATTGGTGAGACTTGGGGGAAAGGAATAAAGAGAGAGGAGGGGGGAAGGGGAAACGAAACGAAAGCAAAAAATGGCAGCAAATTAGCACAGCAAGCACGAAATGGAGATCAAGAGCAAGAAGTGAAGAAGGAGAAATGTACCTTATATGTTCTGCTTCTGGAACCGAGAGCCACAAAATGCACCTCATCGGTCGAGTTCTATATTTGGCGACAGTCTTGGATGGGCAGCAGTTTGGACTTTGGCCATCTTTCCCCCCCGCATCCAAGGGTGCCACCAACCTCCTCTTCTGCTGTCCAGAGCCCGATAGAGCGGAAGAGAGGTTGACCGGGCCAGTGATTGGGCGGGCGGCCAGATAGTTAGCCTATTTTTCAAACCTGCATTGGGAAATGCCTTGATCTGGTCTATTTTGGGGCATTTCACGGGCCAAGCTGTCCGATCCCGCTATTGCCCCCATGCTGCTCTTAGCTTTCAGTGCCTTTCGCAACGCTATCTCAAATAACGGGGTGAGATCGGCGTGATATAACTGGATTTGGTCGGAGTAATTAAGCTTTGCAGAACTTTAGACTCAATCAAACCGTAGATTACTTTGCTGAAGCTAGGAGGGAAGAGGCTGAAGAAATGCGACGACGGTGACAAGAGCTCCTCTCTGGAGAGTTCCTTTCCCCGCCCCTCGATGCTCGGTTCGAGAAGCATTCGGTGACGTCTCAACAAGTCTCACAGATATTCTAATGCAGAGAATATTGAATAGCGTGTGAAGCGGAATGCATTAGTCTCGCGACACCATGCAACTCCCCTGTGAACTGTACCAAGACGGCTCGACCCTAGGAGGGAACCTGCACTATCGATAAAAGAGTTCCAGCAGCCCACTGACGGAGGTTGTATCTGACTGTCTCCTCGTTCATGGTGACCCGAGATTGATATTTGTGCAACAGATGCGCATGAAGGTGGCTCTTCGGTGGTCATTCCACTGTCTCGGTTGCCCTATCTCCACGGACAACCCATTGTTGCAGATGATGCAACGTCTCATCCACGTTTGCCATTTTTTGACTCAGACTTGGTGGATGCAGATCAGCGCAACGGTGCATCCTCGTGGTCGAAGTTGTGTTGGATAGCTTCAAACTCCGGAGCAGTATCTGGGGCTGGTTCTCCGACATATTCCTAACAGAGTCTTTACACTTTGGACAGCCAGGGAGATCCATGTACCTCTCAGTGGCACTTCGGCGGAAGAGTACACCGTACCCGAGATGTGCATAAAGGCATTACACAGGGACGGTAAGGTTTGCGCAGGAAGTGATGGGCAGAATTGTCAGGTCCGGTGGGACGTGAAGCGAAAGGTTGAGAGCGCCTCACGGTGGGATGTGGTTGGCGGGGGAGGTTGGAACTGGCGTGGAAGGTGTGGAAGGTGCAGACCAAGCTTTACCGGATCCAGGGTGGGTATCCATCACAATCCCTGTCTCAGAATGCACGGGGCATCAGCGGCACGATCCGTCTCGTCCAATCGACGCGCCAATGCGCACCCCGGTCCGATCACTGGCCTACTGTGTCCATAGAAACTGACAGGGGTATATTGCTATGGGCCAGGGGAGCCGACTTTGGCCATTCAGCATCGTCGTCCAAGCGCCTCCGGGGCACCAAATCTAGGAAATCGCAAGATTCCAGAGCAGATTCAAATGCCGCTAATTGCCCGGTTTGGAAAGAATGTACCATAATTAGCTCCCTATCTGCCTGTCAAGGTACAGTAGTTGTCCCTCGTGACAGACTATTTTGGTGCGATGACAATTTCTTGCCATACGACGCATATCATTGGGTACCGACTGTCAAAATCTAATTAATCCCCATCACAAATGATAAGCAATAGAGAGACGGAGAGATAGATAGACAGAATAGGAGTGAGACAGTGAGACGTCTTTTCCAGGTCTTTGCACATCACCTGCTCTCACAACTGGTTTCTCCGCTCTACTCTCTCCGACCTTGTACCACACTCCCTTCCTAGCCATCCACATTACCGAGGGTTACTTTCTCACCGCTGTTGATGCTGGTGGCGACCATGTCACTCGGTTGGACAGCAGACGGTCATGTAGTACGAGGTAAAATCTAGAAAGTACCTGCTCCACTGGAGACTGCGAATCCAACCGCTCCAAGCGGAAAGTCTCGGCTTCATCAACCAAGGCTCGAAGATCGGCCGAACCGGACACTACTAAAGGATGGACACGCTAGTTGAGCCGCTTGACAAATAATCCCCCTCATTCAAAGCGTTGGCAGGTGAGTGGATGAAGCCGATGGCAATTCTAAGCCCTTCGGTATTGTCTAGAAGCCTCAACAACATAGGCCTACCCAACCGTTGGATGTATAGGCCTCTATGTCTACGAAGGTTCGGATTTAGCGGCACCAGAGGCCTGAGAGTACGACGTATCGTTACTCCAGGTTCTGTTCGGGGCGTACGCCATGATAGTCGGGACAGGACCACATTTGGTTCATGTACACGAGCGATCTAAGCATTCAAACATATTGATCGGAGGGTCAATGCTCTACACGATTATCGAGATGTCGAGTGGTCCATCGGCACGGTGATCATGAAAAGTTGTTGAGATTAGGGTTCATTTCAAGATTTGAATTCTGGAAGCGAATATGGCTTCAACCTTTTAAGTTGATCGTTGCTAGTGTGGAGTGATATCAGTCAAGCTGTCATAAAATGCCGCATATCTGTCGTGCCTGAAGGTTTCATTGGACTCTTTAATGAAAATGCTAGGGAAAGGATTAGAATTGAGCTCGTATAACTCATGGACTACCAAACCTCTGGGACTGGAGGCACTCAACTTGTGCCGTGTCTGACAGTTTCCTCGCCGGGCATCAATGCTCAGCACGATCGCGTGCTGATATACCAGTGAATAATGCCCCCACGTCCATGCGGTAGTCCCGAGGCGTACCATTTGAAAGGAAGCCATGGGATTGGAAGTCCCGGATAGCAGACACAGCAGCAAGGGATGGGAAGGATACTTGGGAGCACGAGAACAGGATGTAAAGAAACGACTGTACTCCTTGAGATGCAGATTGGGAAAATGCAATGGTAGCGGTACAAGGATTTGACGTTGAACAACATGAAGTGCTAGGTATAGGTACATGTGACCTTTTGGGCCATGTGCAGAGTACTGATTCCAAACACAACAGTCAGTGGTGGCTGGGACGGTTGTGGCCAGCTATTCCCGAGTACTCCGTACCATATCCATGAATAATCCTTGATGATACGGATGCGATTCTTTGGCGAATGTGCTTCGACCGGAAATTTGAGACTGACTTCGGGTTCTGTGCACGTCCATCGTCGTGAAAAGATCGTGAAAAGATCGTCATGAGTGGAACAGTCGCATGAACCATGGGTGATGAGGCGGTTGAGGAGGAGGATCGTCTCGGGGCAAACCTTGTCATTCGGTCTGGAAGGATTCTCTGTAGCTGTTTTTGTCCTTGCGGTGCATCAGGTTGATATCGGAACATCAGGGTATGAATGGGTATCAAAATATGATGCCCAATGATCTAGCGCCCACAAAGAAACGATGGTCCTCAACACCTCACAACTCAGAGCTTTGCGGCGAAGTCCCAACAACCTCCATGTTCCATCATCGATCTCGAATGCAGGAACGATATTGACCAGCCTTGCTACGGTGGTTTGATATCATGTTGTGATCTCGTTGAGAAGGGTTTTCAGGGAACTGGTTGCTCGATGTTGTGGCTGCTGAAGTCTCTAGGGGTGTCCGCTTCATCCCGACCGATCCCTTGTAAGCGTGGACGAGGGAGGCGACGCTTGACAGGTGGTTGAGAGCCATCAGACTATCAGAGACATCGGAGGAAAGAGACATCAGAGACGCATAGTCTCACAGATAATAATAACTGACAGGGACTAAAAACGGCCTGAAGACAGGTCTCTCCAGACTCGCCCATGGAGCGACGAATGGCATTCCAAAGACCAGGACGTAGTACGACATCGGTGACCAGGTTTAAGCGCCCAATTCTCGACGCTGATGCTCACGAGGAGGGTCGCGGAGGGCAGCGATTGGCGGCATGTTCTGCAATCGTATGTCGCGGGGGTCCTGGAGCGGTTTCGAGCCTTCGAGGGTTGCTAAAACGGGGATCAAGCCGCCCGGCCCGCATGGAGCATGTTTCTGCGAGGATCCCGTCCAGTCATCACATCCTCCATTCCCCTTCCAGATGTGCCAGTCTGCCAGATCACAGATGCCCTCATGCCCAGATGCCCTGTCGGCCGTCGCCCAGTCACTCGCCCGCCAGTGCAGGGCAGATCCAATGCATCATTGCATCCAACATCACTATACCCTGCCATGTCACAGGTGCGACGAATCGTAGATGGCTAATATCTGCACGACGACATGGAACCAGAAACACCTTCGCGCCCGCCATTCGGCGCTGCACAATGCATGTCTCGCGATAGTACAAGTAAATGCTCATACCGCCCCGCCTGAGTCTGCTCCCCTCCCCTTTCCGCTTGTTGCTGTCCGTATACAGTTTCATTACCCGTTGAATTGTTGCGATTTTGCTATCGCAACCCCAAATTTCCAGATAGAAAGCGAATTGGCTGGTAACGGCACCCCATGTCATAGCCTGGTTTTCGTTGCGTTTGCTTATTGAGTGTCGCTGCTTACACAATGGTGGTATGTTGGACTCCAAATGCCGTCTTCCGTCAGGGACGTGAGCTTGGGTAGCTAACGACAGAATCAGTATCCAGTAACACCAATAACCCCGCTGGAAGCAGGTGTGGAGATGTTCCAGCGAGGTAAACCGCAGTCCGTCTTTATTCCTGCCAAAGAACGGTCAGCCAGGCCGTTGTCGGAGTGTACCGAAATCTTCGATACCGAGGTGGAAGATGACCAGAGCGCGTTCGAGGAGGACTCGGAGCAAGAGAGCTTTCAATCAGTGCGTATTTGGGTCCGAAGAGCTAGAAATTCATTGCTAATGAAGGGCACAGAACGAGGGCCGACGAAGCCAGACCACGATTTCGACTGTGTCAGAGGTCACAACGCCCCAATCCGGGCGAAGAAGCGGGTTCAACCTCCAAATCGATGTAGTACCAGCTGTGGAAGGCCCAAAAGGTCCTCATCTCTTCCGAGCATCGCAATCCTCAGTCGACTTCACCTTCGACTATGCGCTGCAATTGTCGCCCCTGCTTCCGAAAGAAGACCTGCGGTCAGATTCGGCTCACCGTACACCTGCTACGGTGGTCCCCAGTGCGAACATGGGACTTTTCTCGCGTATGATGGGCATGGAGAGCGACGGTGACCTTGAAACTTGGCATGCACAGCAAGTCGGCATGTGGATGTATCGGATGGGCTTCGAAGACACCATCATCGACCGGTTCGAACTTCACGATATCACCGGCTCAGTACTCATGGACTTGAAATTCGAGGACCTGAAGGAACTCGGCATCCAGTCTTTCGGCAAGAGGCATCAGCTCTGGAGCGCCATTTGCTCGCTACGGGGTGACGACCAAGTGAGCCCCCCAGTGACTCCCATCGAAGAAGTGGTACAGCGGAAGTCATTTAAGAACCAGCGATCGAACAGCCTCCCAGAGGAGAATACCCGCCCAGCTGAAGGATGCTTCTCTGAACCACCCACTCCTATCACTCCTGGCGGACGGAAGAGGCGAGGTCGCAAGCACAGGAAGAACGGACTAGACCCCATCACACCCGCGGAATCCGTTTCGATCGTTGCCATTGAGCAGCTTATTCCCAAGCCTCACAACTGCGCCAAGGGCGAGAACTGTCCGAAATGGAAGAAGCAGCAGAAGCTGTATGCCAAATTGCAAGAGGAGCACGGCTTCCCCATCTCGCCAGAGAAGGGCGGCCGCATCTTTATTGCCGGCGACCCTGGCAATGCTTCAACTGCTCCACGCGTGGTGGATCACGTCGAGACGCAGCAACCTGCTGAATTGAGACCAACATCTGAGGCTGTCCCCTCCGTCGTTGCCTCTTCAGACTTGCTCGGGCCTGGTTTGCTCCCTGAATTCGCCCTTCAGGAGGAGGCTTTGAGGCAGCTGGAGGAGCGGGATGCGCAGGAGAACGTGAGGCATTTCCTCAACCTCCAGCACCTAAATCCTCCAACGCTCCCAACACCTGTTGTCGAGCACCCTCCGTCCCCGAAGTTCGATATGTTCCCTACTATCCCTCGTCCGGGATCCGCACAGCCCCTCTCCCAGCTCCAAGCTCTCCCGAAGCTCACCATCCCACGAGCGCAAAGCGCTATCCCCGCCTATCATGCACTGTCCCCCGACGTACGCCATATGGAGCCACCATCTGCCGTCGACCTGGCTCTCTCGCCTTGCCACACCATTATTACCTCTCCCCTCGGCAAACCTCCCAAAGAACTCTACCGTTACGGCACTCCTGCCTCCGAGATGGATGTACCCGTAACCGCCGTCCCTGTTGGCCCCGTCTCTCGCGACGTCAGCCAATCGGTTCCTCCAAATATGCAATTCCGAGATCCCGTATCACGGACCGGCTCCCGAGCCGACTGGCGCCGTCCTTCCTTCGCCATGCCACCGCTTGCCGAAGGAAAGGTCTTCTCCCCCGCCCACGACCAGGAAGACGAATCGGAGACCGCCACTGTCCGGGAGGACGTGACCGACATCCAAGAGCTGAGAGACGCCAACGCGGAGCACATGTCCGCTTATCCTGGCGTGAACCATGCTGGCTGGATGAAGAAGCGCAAGACCAAGCTTCTCCGTCACGATTGGGAAGACCGCCACGTGCGACTCGCCGGCAACCACCTTGCAATGCACCCCAACGCTCTACCCGCGTCCAGCCCATTGGACACCTTAAACATCGACGACTACGCCGTCGGGTGCTCGTCTATCGCCTCAAACAAGCTTTCCGCCAAGCTCAAGGCGCTGAAAATAGCCAATGGCGGCAAAAAAGAAGAGGGCGCGGCCTTTAGCTTCCAGTTGGTGCCCGCCCCCCGAGAGGGCGAGGAATACACCAAGCTGCGGAAGGCCGTCGCCGGCGGGAAGACACACCACTTTGCGGTGCGCACCCGCGACGAACGCATCGATTGGATGCGAGAGCTCATGTTGGCGAAGGCCTTGAAGGCCAAGCGCCAGGGCTACGAAGTTCACATCAATGGCAGTGCCATGTGAAAGCATTTGATATGTTCTAAGTATTGTTCTAGCGAAGGCATTGATTGTTCCTTTCGAATCCGCATTTCTTACTTTTAGCATGGCGATTTGATTCAGACGCTGGACATAGATACCCTTTTGACGGCATGGCATTGGAATATGGATATCAACACTCAGAAGATGGATTTCCCCTCACGTGGGCTGGACTTTTGACATTTTGTAACGAGCTATGACTGAACTTACAACACGCTCTTCAGCGATCAAAACTTCCCTTGCATGGCTGGCTTTCAAAGGAAGGATACGGACTGTTTGGCAGAAGCCACCGGCCATCCCTATGATAGGCCATACTTAAGTAGCATATCTAGCTAAGTTAGCTAAAGAAAATTAAATAAATGAACATACCCTGAGCCATTGCATCCCCGACTTGGTGAGATTTGCAATCATTATTTCATTTCCATCATCGATCGCCATCTCAACCATCTTACATCCCACGGCATCGATGCGATATCTCCGCTGCCCCGCTGCCAAGTCGATATTGAACCAAACTCTAAGTCTTCTCAACGGAGCTCTCCTGGTCAGCGATGACGGAGTGATGGCTTGGATCTGGGTCATGCAATATAAATGCAGTACCACCAGAACTTCCGAACCGAGGGTACAGCACTTCTCGGTTCCCTTGTTTGCTAACGACCATCCCGTCTCTCGTTCTACAGTTCCCAACAATTCAATTGACTCAATTGAGTGGAACTCTGCTGGGAACTTTGTGGATTGTGATGTGCAAGATATGAATGCTGAATGGACCAAGAAACCCTGGACGGAAATCAATATCACATCCGGCCCATCAGTTGGCAGGGCTCACGCCACACCATGGAGGCATGAACGAGATATCCTTGCACTTATTCGTATTACCAGCAACTCCATGGTCCCCCTCTTAAGGTCACATAAACCTCTCCTCCGTCACACAACGCCCCAGTCATAGCTCCTAATCCATGGCATTCGGCTGGGAGCTCAGAGCCACACTCAAACTCTGCTGTGCGATCCTGGAGCTCTTCCATATGAGATGCGGGCAGCCGGGCACACGTTCCTGGATGCTCCCAACTCCGGCCGGTGTTACAGCCGTGCTATGCACCTGCCGTCCATGATCAACGGGTTGCAACTCACGAAAGCTAACCAAATCACATCACAGCGACCATCACGAGAAAGGCAGCTGGGGGACGCGGCAGCGAGCATGAGCATGAGACGCCAAAAGCGGGATCGGACAGGATTCACTGCGATGTGGCAGCGGACAGCGCAGTGCGGCCAGCGATGAGGTCAACCCAGGATTACCTTCACCTTCGCTCATCAGTTGATCACTAACAGGCATGGCACTCCCGTTGCAGCGTTGCCAGACGAACATCAGCAGGGTCCGGACTGCGGAGAAATTGTCCGATGGGACCGAGCGCTGAACTGCTCTGTCGGCCTGTCGGTCTGCCCGGATGGTTTCCTAACAAAACCTGATAGAGCCATTGGGAACGTACATTCATAGTGGGCGTTGCGCTGAGGTTGAAACCGTTTGAGTCTTCTGGATGAGCGAGGCACAGAGCCGCATGTTCGCCACCCAAACGTGCAGCCAACAAGAAATCCAACACTTTTACCGCCAGTCTGACAGCAATCCTTTCTGGTCGCTTTCCTACCTGCATGACATGACGGTTTGAAGCGAAGGATTTACATCTGCATCGAGATCTTAGCCGCAACTTTGTAAACGGTGTGCAAATCTGTCGAGTACGGAACCTGGCCCCGATCATTTGAGTTTTGACCTCTCCGTGAAGTCCCAGCCACTCCCGGCCCCCAGGTCAGTCGTCAGTCGGCTGACATTATTTGTGTTAGCGGCTACATCGAGATGTGAAAGACAAAGTTCAGAGACAGACAGGCAAGTTTGCTGCGATGCAAGCCTCATGCAGTTTCGACGTTTTTCATCACATCGATTCAGCGCCAAAGTTGGGGGAGACTCGACAGGGGTGTGTGGGGCGACACATTTGGTAGCCTTGTGGCCTTGTGGCCGACAACTGCAATGATTTGAGCAGAGGAGCTGGTGTTAGTTTAGATATTATGACATGAGAGGCTCTCGCCGGCGTACATCTGGTGCACCGAATTATAAAAGGAGGAATATTCTGATTAGGACTTGTTGGTAAGACTTGAAGCCAGACTGCAGGGTGGTGATGAAGTTTGTTCACTGACCTGTCCATATTAGTAGATATTGCGTAATTGGAATCTCGAAGATCGCATTAATCGGCTATTACGGCTCAGATAGAGCAGCAGCATAGTAACTTAAAGGTTGAATGGGGCCAAGGACCTCTTCTTTTATAAAATATATAAAGTTGGAGTTTTGATACGCCTTTGAATCTCCGGATCCTGACAGTTGCGAGATCCAGTTTGTATGGCATCTTAATCCAGACCAAAATTGATAAAAAAAGATTCAGTCCACACTCGCACCATCCCTATTGTCTTCATATATCTAGCTAGACCATGTGTCGGATGATGAGGTATGATGCGTGTACCGGAGCGTCGAAAGAACTGAAGGGAATTGTGAGAGAAAGAATCGAAGGATATGTATGGCAAAAACACTAACATGACGGTGCTTGAAGTGGCGTTGCGAACAGTGTGTCGAACCATGTCCCCTATCCATTATCCGCCACTTTGAATCCAATCATGGAGTGATTTAATATTCGTCCGGGATAGCAAAAGAGCCGTGTTGCCGGCGCTTTGGAGCTCATCCGTGGTGCGCTTGACCTTGTCGCATGGCTCATCGGGCCGATGGCAGAATCGGTGATACGCCTTAGGGCAAGCCGCGGCACGCTTGACCTTGCCGTAGGACTCACCAGGACGATAGTAGAATCGGCTCACGTTTCCGGGTCAGGTTCGGCCTTGGCCTTGGCCTTCGCGACGGCCTCGGCGAGGGCATTGGCGGCGCGCTTGACTTTGCCGCAGGGCTCGCCGGAACGGTGGCAGAAGCGGTCGGCTTCGGCGCAGCCGTAGGCGGTGCCAACGGCGACCGCAGAGGCCAGGAGAAAAGTGATAAGCTTCATGATGGTGTTCTTGGGTTCTTGAAAGAGGACCGTCTGGATCTGATCGACTGAATGAAGAGTCTTTGGAAGAACGAAGGTGTTTGCGGGCGAAGAAAGAAAAGCAGATTGACGGTGCCGCAAAGGACTTTTATACCTTTTAGGTCCGAAAAAAAGAAAGAAGAGAAGGATTCCCAGATAAAGGAAAAGATCAAGAATGATCCCCAATAGCCAGACTCGACTCGCTGCTGCTCATTCAATTCAAATTCTCAACAAGATATCCGCAATAAAGCACAATAGCAGCAATAAAGTCTCATGCCCAAATCTTATTGAGGTTCTCCCAATAGCGTTGCTCTCACCCAATGGGATAGAGGTGACAGGAATACTTCGTGAACTATGTACGGATCCGTTTTGCGAGTGAAGAAAGGAAGGGGTAAGTATTTCTTCTTCTTGGCCACCTTGGATGAAGGCTCAGACGGCAGAGTCAAAGGATAGCGCAACAGACCACTATAAGCGAGACCAGGGGACTTTTGGATGGCAGAAAGAGATCCGAACCGAGTTACTAGCAAAACAGGTCCCACAGCTAGATCTAACTGAAAGAAGGGCCAAATCTCGATTGTTCCAAATCTCAACTAGCGGAACACTTTTTTTCTCCCTTACTACGGCTGTGGACCAATTATGGGGGTAAGTGGTGGCATTTCGCTATTGATATCCGGATATGGATGTGAGGGGCCGATAGGGTTCAACGGAAATCTGAAGCAGTTTGCGGGACAAGAATCTAGATACATTGGAGTCATTTTCCATCCAAAGCAGCATGATCTGGTCAGTATTTCGGCTGTTGCCGCATACTCGGGCCATATTGCTCCTGAATGGATCCGTGTTGGGATTGGGCGTGACCGCGCGCAGTCAGTGGGATACCAGGGAATTGACCAGCAGATCAAAGCACAGGGATGACATAAATAGAAGCCATGATGAGTAAAAGGACATCCCCTTTAAATTTAATGACAAGAGCGAGGTTGATAGCCGCTATCCTGAATCACCATAGGTAGCTTTGACTGGTTCTTCTGAAGTATGAAACGTCCATGTATGCGTAGTTATACATGAGCAAAGTACGATTATCCTAGTCATTAACTTGGGGTTGGAAATATGAGTACAATTCACGACCATGGGGAGTTACCAATATCGAAATGTGAATGATATATCTGCCGTTTTGAGGACGAGGTTGACACCTGATTCTGACGCGTTTGTTGTCGTGTTGTGGAGAGTTGAGCCTTGAGCCCTTGAGAGATAAAATTGAAGCTTGGACCATCGCGATGCTTGGCATATCCATATGTCTATCGCCAACATTCCGTATCTTCGAGGCCAAAATCACTCCGGGCGCCGTCAGGACGAACTCCGCATATGAATTACAGAAATGCGCCCATTGCCTCCGCTTCTTTATCGGAGCTCCCTGAAACGGTGGTCTCGAATTTCTAAGAGCGGCTGGGTCTGCGCCAATTGCAGGAGCTATGCCTCACAAACGCCGCACCTCCGCCGTGATGGAGATGCTCCGCAGAAGCCATTTTATGTGACCACGCCGATTTTTTATGTCAACGCCGGTGAGTACAGCCCGAGCATGTTTTCTCATGATAGTTTCACTCACGGATCGTAGCTCCCCATGTCGGCCACCTCTATTCCATGGTGCTCGCCGATGTCCTGAAAAGATGGCAGCAACTGAAGGGAAACCGAGCTGTTTTGTGCACAGGAACGGACGAGCATGGCATGAAGGTTGGATTGTACCGCAATTATTGAGGGATTAGCTACCAACCGGCCTTTAGATACAAAGAGCTGCCAGACTGGCCAACATGGACCCGCAATCGTTTTGTGACCAGGCAGCAGACGTCTTCAAGGTACGAGTGAGGTCTCGCGATGCATATCTCCAGCTAACGGACATATCATAGCGCCTAGCAGCCTCCGCAGACATCACAAACGACCATTTTGTACGGACGACAGACGCCGATCATAAGGAAACAGTGCGATACGTTTGGGTGGGCATCCGAAAACGACCGGTCTCCTGTTGACGAGGGACTTACAATTCGACAGCATGTCCTACAAGACCGCGGCTTGATCTACCGAGCGAAGCATGAAGGATGGTACTCCGTCAGCGATGAGACTTTCTACCCGGAGTCCCAAGTTCATTTGGTCCTAGAGCCGCAAACAGGGCGCAAAATCATGGCGTCTATTGAAACCGGAAAAGAGGTCGAGTGGACATCGGAGATGAACTATCACTTTCGGCTTTCGCGATTTCGGGATCGGCTGCTGCAATATTACGACGAACACCCTGACTTTATTGTTCCCAACACCCGCATGACAGAGCTATACAAAGAGATCCAAAGCGGGTTGTCGGATTTATCAATTTCTCGGCCCAGAAGCCGCCTGGACTGGGGCATCCGAGTCCCGGATGATCAGGAACAGACAATATATGTATGGCTGGATGCCTTGGTGAACTATATAACCAAAGCCGGTTATCCCTGGGCACCAGGCTATGAGGTTACTGGAGGCTGGCCGGTAGACTGCCATATCATCGGCAAGGACATCACCAGGTGAGTTGCGCACTGCCCTGCGTCGTCTATGGGTCGTCTAATGCATTTAGATTCCACTGCATATACTGGCCCGCCTTCCTCATGGCCTTGGGCATTGAGCTGCCGAGTCAGATATTGACCCATGGCCACTGGACGTTAGGCCGGAAGAAGATGTCCAAATCGGAGGGCAACGGCGTCAACCCCTTCTTCCAAATCGACCGATTCGGTGTCGACGTCGTCCGATTCTTTCTGATGCACGATGGCGGGATCGACTTCGATCCCGAATATAATAACTTCATCATCATCGAACGATATAACGACGCGTTGAAAAGCGTGATCGGCAATCAAGTCAGCCGCGTCCTTCGCGGAAAGTCCTGGGATACTCGTTACGCCGTTACGGAGATGGATAGGCTTTGCCAACAAACTCTGACTCCGGCCGACCGGGAACAGCTGCATTTGCTGCAGACGTTCCCGACGAAGTTTCAAGCCAGTATGGACAATCTAAATGTCCGCGAGGGCGTCACGTCCGTCGTTCAAATGCTGCGTCAGGTAGGTTGACTGAAATCTCATACACTGCAACCGTTGACAGTTCGACAGACCCAGAAATACTTTCAAGTTTGCGAGCCATGGTCGTATTTCAGTGCGGAAGCACGAAAGCGTCGACAAGACTCCCCGATATCCCCCGAAGACAACGACAAGGTGCACTTGGCCATCGCACTGACGTTAGAGTCATTCCGGCTCGCTGCCATCACGCTGCAACCGGTTATGCCAGAGAGGGCCGGCACGCTACTAGACTGGCTGAATGTCAGCCTAGAGAGACGATCATTCGCGTTCGCAACACTGGGTGCAGACAAAGAATACGGTGATCGTAGTCATTTGGTCAAAGTCAGTCCAGACCAGAAGCTGATATTGTTCCCAACCCTCATTACTGAGGAGTAAAAGCGGCTCTGTGGACTGTGGAGGCTTGAGCCCCTGGATTATTCAGACTAATCTCCGAAAGAATTGTGTGATTACATAATGTATCAACAACCATGTAACAACAGTACCTATAGCTGTTCAACACCGGATAATACCCTGTTGAGACAGTTGATGTCGTTATCCGCCCCTCGCAGATCGTCGAGAGTTTTGAAACTGGACACGTTAGTGTGTGGCTATCATGCACGTGGTCGACGCCTTACATTCTTTGCAACCGTCGTTGCTCAGTACTCTCTTCCAGCTCCTTGGACTTCACCGCAGCCATATCAACAACCGACCTCGGAACATTGGCAAGTCGCGCGACATTCAAGCTAGAGGCGTCAGTGCAGATCCCGGTGTACCGGATGGAAGAACCTACCCATATGATCGATGCGCCATTCCTTCGCCCACCTCATACAAGAACGTGACCACTTCCTCCCCATCGTCTCGCGTATTTTCCTTGAACTTCATATGCACATTCTGGAGCCGACCGTCGAGCTCACCCGCAAGTAGGCCGAGAAGTTGGTAATGCGTAACGAACAACAGCATGCACCCGATGTCTTCAACGATGTGTCGGCACACCGCCTCGGCGATGGCGCAGCCATCATGCGTGCTCGTACCTCTACCCAGCTCGTCCAGTAATACGAGGCTGCGCGGCGTCGCTTGGCGCAAGATCTCGGCCGTTTCGCCGAGCTCGACCATAAACGTACTCTCGCCTTTCATCATGTTGTCGTTGGCACCCATTCGGGTGAAGACCGCATCCAGGAGTGTGAGTTCTGCGGATTCGGCCGGGATATAGGATCCGATCTGCGCGAGGATGCTGATGAGGGCGGTTTGTCGAACGTAGGATGACTTTCCTCCCATGTTTGGGCCGGTGATGAGCAGAGCGCTGGGTGTGACAATTTCGTTCTCCTCGGATCCATTCTCGTCGATTGCATTGGCGTTGGACCCGCTTCGTAGCTTGATGTCGTTGGGCACATATGCATCTAGAAGGAGCTGTTCCACCATCGGGTGTCTGCCTCCAGCTATGCGAATTTCCGGCTCTTCGATGAAGGTTGGCTTGCTGTAGCCTGGCTGATTGGCAATCTCTGCTAGCGAGAGCAGGCAATCCAGTGTTGCAAGAGCATGGATCGTATCTCGAAGTTCTTGATATTCAGCGCCAATCGCCTCCAACAGCTCCTTGAACGCATCATCACAGGCAGCCGCGAGAGACTCTTTGTGCTGATCTCGCTTTCGCAAAAACTTGACCACTTCTGGCGTGTGGAACCTCGAGATCCTCTTGGTCCCACTGATCTTAATCCAGGATGCAGGGACCTTCTTCACCTCATTGTTTTCAACTTCAATGAGGTACTCGATCCCCGAACTGGTCATATAATTGACTTTGCTCTTTTTGATTGTTGCTGCTGCATCGGCACGATGGGCGTCGAGCTTCTCCTCGTACTCCTTGATACCATTTTTATGCTCCTTTATCGCCTCCGTTTCGTACTCCTCACGAAAGAAAGTATATTTTTCGTCATCTCGGGCTGATTTCGCGTTGACCTGCTCTAGAAAGCGAACGATGCAGTCGTTGATTCTCGGCAGAGTCGAAACCAACTCGTTGAGGATGGTTGAGGAGAAACCGGCACTGGACGGTTCGGTGACATCTGCGTACTCGTTCGAAACTCGCTGCAACGTCTGCAGCATTCCAAGAAGCTCCGGTCTGCTAGACTTTTTGTAATACACCCGGACCAGGATCTTTTCGAGATCGCTCTTGACCGATTTCACCAACTGGCGGACCTTCTCTACAGCAGCAGATAGCTGTCCATCCTTCAGTTCTTCCACTGCCTGGACTCGCTCCTCCAGCTCCTTGCGGTCCAGTAATGGACGTCCTACCCATTTCTTGAGGAGTCTATGTCCAAATCGTGTTTTCGTCCGATCCACGGTCCAGAACAAGCTTCCTTTCTCGGAATAGTCGGTTTGATTCTGGAAGATCTCCAGACTTGTAAGTGTGTTTCCGTTGAGGAGCATGTGAGTCCGCGAACTGAACGGTTGGAAATATTTGGTGAGGTCAAAAACGTGTTCCAGCCCGTATTCACTCAAGTGGTTGATCAGAGCGGAGAGAGAGATCGTAACATGCTCGGAAAGCTGATGGACCTTGTCGAGAACTTGGGAAGACTCCTCCGCGTTGGACTCCGATTGACTGGCCTTGAATTTCTCCGCATAGAAGTTGGAGATGTGGTTGTAAGATTCCGCTGCAGCCGTCTTGGACTTTTCGATGCGCTCGATTCGGGCTTGGTCCCCGAAGACGTTGCTCTTGCTCCCAGTCAAATGTTTGATCATTTTTTCCGTGGCATTGGAGAGATCGCCAACAATGAGGAACTCGCTTGGAGCAATATGCAGTAACCGAGTCTCAATTTCCGCTCGCATGAATCCGTCTTCGAAATCGTCGTAGATGATATCTCCGGTGGCCGGCTGGACCGCCACGATGCCCACCTGGACCTTTTCATCGGTTCCCCAGCCTTTGGCATTCGTTTCGGTTAGGCACAGTATATACCCAGATGACGGAGTTCCGGAACCAGCAACGGGCATTGGTCCGGAAATGCCCTCCATGTCGTCCACATAGGTTGCTTTCGTATACAGGTTGGTAAGTTTTCGAACGAAAGGAGCATTCCGATTGTCACCAGCCGCTTTCAAGGCGGCTGTCTCAATCTGGCGAACCACGCCTACTTTGTGTCCTGCTGCTACCAATCGCTTCACGTGGACGTGGAGACGGTGGACCGGGATACTCGCAGAGGCAAATCGATCCAGATGGGCTTCCGAGAAATGTTCATCGTATCTGAACTTCCCAGGGATGCAGACAATTCCAAGTTCCTTTGCTGCAATCCGTGCATCTTCTCCAAAGAACCGAAATTTGTAGCCGACCTCGACCACAAGCACTGTGTCTGGGTGCTTATGCTTAATGTCCAGAACCTGTACCTCCATGGGCGTAAGCTTGGTCGCCTTCTTTTTACCACCGGCCGCCTTTTTCCCTTTCTGGCCGGATTTCGGAGCCGGGTCGGGCGCGTCTTCATTCTCGCTTTGCTCCGCGCCGTCCAGGTCTGCTGTTTCTTCTGATATGAGGCGATTTCGTCGCTTTAATTCAGCGATGCTGTCCGGTTTCCCCAACCTCTTGACAAATTTTTGATGGAGGCGCTCTTTCTGGGAGCGGACGTCGTCCGATTCTGGGTCTTGGATGTCGATGTCCGCAGGCGAGCTTGAGAAGACATATCTAGACGTCCGGCCAGACGGGCCACCATGGCCCCGACCATTTGATAGAACGTGTTTGCTCTTGGATGGGGACAAGACCAGACTCTCTCCGTTCAATGATGGCTGGACCGCATGTTGTTTTTTCGAGTGGGTGCTCGGTTCGCTGGTTCGAGATCGCTTTGGATTGGGGCCCGCGTTTTCCACATCACTATCATCATCGATGACAGCTCGGCTCCTTCTTGATCCTTTGGATATTCGTTGGTTTGATTCATTGTCGGATGATTCTTCCGCAGTACCATTCAATTGAGGGGTATCTTCATTTGGGATCGGAGAGGACGCGAGTGCAGGCTTCGAAGGCACAGCAGCAGGTCTGGGAGTGGACTTCGGAGTGAAGAAGCTGGAGATAGACTGTTGCTTCTTGCTCTGGGATGCTTGGGGCTGTGAAGAACCTCCTTGTTTATTCGGTGCCATGTTAGCATTACTGAACGACACAAGGAGTTGTTAGGACTTTCTGCATTCCATCAGCATTTGGTATTGAATAATTGATTGAAGGACGACATTCAAGGGTGACAATCGTGACATTCAGGGATGACGCGTGGGTTGGCTCGAAGACGCGCTGCACATGGACCATCCTGGTTCCGTCTCCACCTGCAATTGTCATCAAAATCTCCCAACTCCTCCTCAATCACCAACACTGACATCCCTACAGAATATTGCAGCATGATAATATATGCATTCTACCACCGTATATTTGTTCCTTTATATATCCGAGTCTTTATATATGCCCTGCAGTAGCCCAACTGCCCTTACATCACATAAAGTTCGGAAAGAAGTCATCGAACGAGAGTTCCCATCTGGTCGGGGATTGATAGACTTGCCTCCCCCGGAAGTTCATCAACGACCGTCCTGGCCATTCATATGGATGCGTGATGATTGGATCCAGGAAATCGTTATCTAAACTATGCACAATCGCATACCCTTGCAGCTCGAATCGCAGCTCGGAGACCAGATCCATCACATCGAGCATGACCGAGCCGAACCCGAACAACTTGTTCCCGAGAATCCGGACTCGTTCGGCCACGAAGATTGGCTCCTGGAATTCGTGCCCGATGAAGAATTGGTTCAATTCGTTGACGTCGTGTTGCACCGCGATTCGAAGCACCTGCAAGCCTTTAGGACTGTGCGCTTGGGAACACGGAAAACCAAACACTAACCGGTGGGAGAGCGTGGATTTCTGCGACAATGACTTCCCATAGTGGCTGAAACTGGAGCCCTATGGGTTGTAGCATTCGGTTCGGAAACTTATTGCGGGGAAATCGCCCGACCGCAAGGTGCCATTGACCTTGAGAACAGCGCTCGAGCATTCTGATAGTCTTATTTTTGGTCAAGGGCCAATGGCCATATATAAGCCCGGATGAACGGTATATATGACTTCTAACCGTGAGCAAGCGGTAAACATGGGGATATCGGGTTTATATCCATCCACCAAGGTAGGTATTTATCATGGCACTAGGCATGGATTCATTTTACTATCCAAGCAAACAACGCATCATGGGAACGTTTCCCTTGAAGACACCGGACTCTCTTTATTGAACTTGGACATGGTGGCCTTTTCGAGTCCGGTCAAACAACCTCTGTGTATCCATGGAAACAGGCGCAGGTAGGGAGCTGGCAAATAAGTTGTCGAACGAGACACTGTATGTATGACCTGCGGGTTTAATGCCCGCTTGCGGCTGATCATCAGGAATCGCCCTTCTAACCCTCTCCACTAGGTGGATTCGAGAGAAGACGAAAGCGAATTTACTTTGATGAATTTTAGCGTAAGTAGTACCTGAAGGGGGTGGTGACGTCTGGACGTTCACTTTCATTGGCTGATGCCACACTCAGGGTCTGTAACTGAGAAAGTTCTTGGGATATCAGTAGTTCATCGCGCATGTATTTCCTTTATTTTATGAGGTATCCATGGTGTCCGTTTTTATCATCGGAGTATTGGGCTCGTAGATGAGGTATAAACGCAACTCGGTGGTATCCTTAATCCTCGTAGGGCACTGATTTCGCCTACTGCAATCAAGGGTATGAAAGATATAAAATCGAACGTCCACATACTAGGAAGTTCTTACGGCTACCCTCGACGAACTGTTCCATTATGCGCTTAAACGAAAACATAGGTATGCTTTGGACGGGTTTATCCATGGCCTGACAATTTAACGGTAGCAGCTATCCTCTCCGAGGGCCTTGTCCTTGTCCCGTATGAACGCAGCCATGTTCCCAAATACCACGAATGGATGCAAGATGAAGTGAGCCAATGCCCGTTAAACCGATTTCTATAGAAGTACGTATGTGCTGATCGAGGTACAGGAGCTCCAGCAATTAACGGCCTCGGAGCCACTTACGTTGGAAGAAGAGTACAACATGCAGCGGAGCTGGAGGCTGGATAAGGACAAACTGACGTTCATCGTCTGTCTTGCGCCGGACCTTGGCATGAAAGAAATGAAGAATACCCCGGTGACCGAGTGGAGCATGCCTCCAACAATGATTGGCGATATCAACATGTTCATCTCATACGACGAAGAGGGCGACGATGTGGATACGGCCTCAGAATCTGCTCTATTGGTCGGAGAGATCGAGCTAATGATCGCGGAGAAGGCATTTCGAGGCAGAGGATATGGGAAGAGGGCCCTGGAGACATTCATACGGTATTTCATGGACACGGTTCACGAAATCGAAATGGAATTTAGGAGCACGGAAACGGATACAAAGTCTACGGAAAAGGTGACACGATTCCAATGTCTGCGAGTCAAAATCCACAAGGACAATGCACAAAGCATACGGCTGTTCCAGAGGATTGGGTTCCGACCATGGTCCGACAAACCGAATTACTTCGGTGAAATTGAACTGCGGATGGAGTGCTCGGGACTGCGGGTGCGCATGCAGGCGACCGAACTGGATGGACCGATGGCTCAACGATTAACGCCCGAGAGATATCCCATATACCTAAAGTATGCTAACGCTTGAATGCCATGGTCGTGGGTATAGTACAGGCGGGGTTTCGTTTATTAGAGCGATATTGCTAGAGTGCCCGCAAGGTCTGAAGGGAATGCACCATGTGCGTTTACAGCTTCTGATACTCCAGCTTGCCCTCCAGTTTCTTTGATTCTGCCATCTTTCGTACGGCCTTGTTGAAATCATCTTGGTTGATGGCGTCTCGGTAGTCCTTGATAGCGAACAAGCCCCTACACAAAGTAAGCATAAAATCATAAGATCAGCGAGTGGTTCACATACGCTTCGGTGACCACGTTCCGAAGATCAGCACCGTTGAAGCCATCGCTCATCTTGACGACGCTTTCAAAGTCGATCTCGCCTTCTGACTGGACGCCACTGGCATGAATCTTCAGAATCTCCAGTCGTCCAACCTCGTTTGGCAGCGGAATCTCGATTTTTCGATCCAAACGACCGGCACGTAATAAGGCCGGGTCAAGAGTATCCGGACGATTGGTCGCCATGATGATCTTGGTCTTGCCCAGGTAATCGAAGCCGTCGAGCTGGTTGAGAAGCTCCATCAACGTCCGTTGAATTTCACGATCGGCGGACGTCCCCTCGGAGAAACGCCGGCCTCCGATGGCATCGATTTCGTCCATGAAGATGATGCAAGGTTCGTGTTCTTTCGCGTATCCGAACATCTCTCGGATCAACCGTGCCGATTCACCGATGTATTTGTCGACGATGGCGGACGAGACGACTATCAATCGGTCAGCGAATGTACACCCAAGGCTTTAATGGCGAACTGTACCTTTCAGGAAATTCGTTTCCAGACCACTAGCGACCGCACGCGCCAGAAGAGTTTTGCCGGTCCCAGGGGGTCCATAAAGTAGAACGCCTTTGGGCGGTTTGATGCCAACCCTTAGGAAGAGTTCGGGGTTCTTCAGTGGGAGTTCGATCACTTCCCGGAGCTCGCGGATCTGCTCATTCAACCCTCCAATGCCACCGAAGCTGACCTGTCCCGGATCCTCCAGCGACATGTTGTAGACTAAGGGGTCGACTTCTCGAGGTAACATTCGCATTATTGTGAGGGTCGTCATATCCAACGCGACTCGTGTGCCTTGTTTGAGCTTCGCCTTGTCGACCTTCGATCTGCAACCGACAACATATCTGGGGCCGGATGAAGCCTTGACGATGACTATCATAGGAGAAGATTAGCGCTTGATACACGGGTTACTTTGTGGGCAAGGGAACCTACATCGCTCATCATCGAGCTGCTTCAGAACCTCGCCGATGATTTGTCCGACGCTCTGCAGGGCCTTGATGTTCTCCTCTGATAGATCGAAGCTTGATTGAAGGTCCCTGATCTCTAACCGCAAGGCTTTGAGCTTCGCCTCCCATTCTCTTGATTCCAGCAGTTTCGTCTTGTATTCCTCCAAGGCATGCTCTCGTTCAGGATCGGCGGAACTGCTCATGGTGACGGATGAAGCGTGGCAAAGTTGACGGAGGTAAGGCAACGGAGAAAGAAGGCAATCAAAGTGGAAGGCTGAATTCTTTAAAAGTATTAGATGCGCCAATAGCCGGAGGGCTTCTGTAACGGCGCGATATTGAACTGATGATTAGTCTGGAGACAGCTACGGAGTACAACACTTTATGATGACCAGAACACTCGTCGACGCTGTAGGCAGCTTGGTGATTACGTTGGTGGTCTGCTTCGACCGCCGTAGCGTTGACAAGGATTGTCAGCACGTGACTGCTTGGCAATAATGGATCCGACGATGCCATTGGTTGAAGAGACTATGAACTATGATTGGCTGTGAATCAACTCATTCTTGCCTCAGGCACGTAGGCAGGAACATCCCACCACCCCACCATCACCGCAGCTACACAAACAGTCAAGTGAAGCAAATGCGTCTCAACGGGTGATAACCTCGATATTGCTTCTTCTCTGGTTTCTTCTTTCATTAAACAAAAACTGCTGTCTCTCCAATCACTTGGCCTACTCCCATTTCCACCCATTCCACAGTCTTCATCCAATTCAACCGAATACAGTTCCAGTCAAGCTTTCCTGTAAGTCCCTCACCTCTCCCCGCTATCCCGATTTGTTTTCGATATCGGAGGGATGGAGCTTCTGTCCACGGCCTGCTCCGATGTTCTAGTCCGACACGCGGGATCAGTTTGAAGCAATTAGACTCTAATCCCGCCGATCATTCGACTCAAAACCCTAGCATCTTTCCCATGAAGTGATCAGCTCCAACACCTCATCCACTACCATCACTCCACCTCACTACTCCATTCTGTTCTTCCCGCTGACACCTTCCATCCCCATAGTCTCAAAATGCCTATCACCAAGATCCACGCTCGTACGGTCTACGACTCTCGGGGTAACCCCACGGTCGAGGTTGACTTGGTCACGGAGACCGGCCTTCATCGTGCCATTGTGCCTTCTGGTGCTTCCACTGGTATGAATAGACCCCGAGTGTATGACCACCGAAGCGATCGACTAAACATTTCAAGGTACCCACGAGGCATGCGAGCTCCGTGATGGTGACAAGACCAAATGGGCCGGCAAAGGTACGTGATATCGCTCATCGTCACTCTATACCAGCGCTCATTGGACGTGGGCAGGCGTGACCAAGGCTGTTGCCAATGTCAACGACAAGATCGCCCCCGAGCTCATCAAGTCTGGAATCGACATCAAAGATCAGACTGCCGTGGATAACTTCCTCATCAAACTTGATGGGACTACGAACAAGACGAATTTGGGCGCCAATGCTATCTTGGGCGTCTCCATGGCTATCTCCAAGGCTGCCGCTGCTGAGAAGGTAATTCAGCTTCCGTGGAGATCAAAACGAATGCTTACCCTTGTAGGGTGTCCCTCTGTACAGCCACATCTCCGATCTCGCCGGAACCAAGAAGCCATATGTCCTGCCTGTTCCGTTCATGAACGTTTTGAACGGCGGTTCTCATGCTGGTGGCCGTCTGGCTTTCCAGGAGTTCATGATCGTCCCCAGCGCTGCCCCGACCTTCTCCGAAGCCATGCGACAGGGTGCTGAGGTGTACCAGAAGTTGAAGAGCCTCGCCATGAAGAAGTATGGCCAGTCAGCAGGCAACGTTGGCGACGAGGGCGGTGTTGCTCCCGATATTCAAACTCCGGAGGAGGCTCTCGACCTTATCACGGCGGCGATCGAGGAGGCTGGGTACACCGGAAAGGTCCAGATTGCCATGGATGTTGCCTCGAGCGAATTCTACAAGACCGAGGAGAAGAAATATGACCTCGATTTCAAGAACCCTGACAGCGATTCCACCAAGTGGCTCACCTACGAACAGCTTGCCGACTTGTACAAGTCCTTGGCAAGCAAGTATCCCATCGTCAGCATTGAGGATCCGTTCGCGGAGGATGACTGGGAGGCATGGAGCTACTTCTTCAAGACCTCCGACTTCCAGATCGTTGGGTAGGTCTGCTTCGACATATCAACCTCTTACAGAAGCTGATGATTTATAGTGATGACTTAACTGTCACCAACCCCGAATTCATCAAGAAGGCCATCGATACCAAGGCCTGCAATGCGTTGCTTCTCAAGGTCAATCAAATCGGAACGATCACCGAAGCCATCCAGGCGGCCAAGGATGCTTTCGGTGCTGGTTGGGGAGTCATGGTTTCCCACCGATCCGGAGAGACCGAGGATGTCACCATCGCTGATATCGTCGTTGGTCTCCGAGCGGGACAAATCGTACGTATCTTTCCGTTTTCGCAGCGTAGGGCCATACTGACTGGACCTCACAGAAAACGGGTGCTCCGGCTCGCTCAGAGCGCCTCGCGAAGCTCAACCAGATCCTCCGCATCGAGGAAGAGCTGCAGAGCAACGCTGTGTACGCTGGTGCCAACTTCCGGACCGCGGTGAACATATAACTTTGACCCGGCTTTTCGGTGCACGCAGGAGCGGCGTCCAGGGATACGGGAGCGACAGGCTGTCCACCAGGCACAACGGCCTAACAAAGCTTGAATTCGATCATGTAGTAAACTTAGCATGCAAGTATTCCGTAAAAAGCAAACGAAAATTGCAGCCCCACACGACTTCTGTCAGTTCCGATATCCGTGAGTCCATCACGTTAGACACGGAGCGAGAGAGATATTCATACGCCCGTCAGGCCTCTCTGAGAGGCCCATGTGGGGAACTACCTAGTTAGACACGGAGCCTTGTGGTGTCCCAGTGCAGCATCCCTGTTCCCAGAATCCCAGCTTCACATTTCACGTGCTCATGCCAGCCATCGAATCTGATATGTATTCCCAACTTGTGCCTCCATTTCCCATACCCAACTCATTACATAATTAGATCTTTTCCGTTTCTTAGTATGTTATCGCTTTTACCTATAAATACCGTAATTCGTACTTCTTTTCACCTCAATGGCATTATAGCCACACCTAACCATGGTGTTGGGTGAACCCGGTGAACATCGAGATCCTACTTTTCAGGCGCTTGTCAGTATATCGACGCGTCAACCCATCAATATCGTAGGTCATTTAGAACACTACGAGCACTGTCCCATTACTATGGAATGGAGCGTGGTCCAACGGTCGGCTTCCCCGCTTGAAAGAATACTGCTGACCGTATCGACTCCTGCACTCCTGGGATATTGCCTCGATTCCTTTCCTGCTATAACACCATAGGCCAGCCATACTCATATACGAACTAGACATCCCTCAGATTCGTGGACGTCTAGTTCCAAGAGGATGTATCACGAAGAGTAAAAGAACCCACTTTCATGCATACTAGAACCGTTCCAGATAGTATGGAACTGCCTGAATGGCACCTTTCGAACTATCGCCGTAGGCTTCATACGATGGCCTCCAGGCTCGCATGGAAGAGTGGGATTCTTCCACTTGAGAATCAAATGCGAAAGCAGTCAATCGGGTCGCTGCTGACTGTGTGACATGCCGCTTTTGACCTGTTTACGGTCTGTATGGAGTGCTTCTATTTCGAAAACATCCCGGTATTCCATGCGTTGGTGTTGATCGTCACGTCTGATGAACGTCTGTTATAGCCTGAAACCGACTCTTCTCCGTTGTGTTCAACTTTCGTCACTCTTTCTCGCTGAAGTACGCTCGTTTGAACCAAACTATCTCTAGACGCTCGCTCAAAAACTCGGTAAAACACTTTCGTTTTTTCTCGACGCATCTATCGTTACTTTATATCTTTTTGATTCACTGACAGAACCATTATTTGACGCGCTAAACGAGGATGCGCCATTCTCCATGGATACTCATGGCCGGTGCAGCAGCGCAGTATATGGACTTCTCATTTTGCAAATGAAAATCGGGCTAACCCAACCTAGCCACCTCAGCAGAAATTGTAACTATGACGATTACCGTTGACGTGTACCCTTCATTCTGTACCGCACTGACGGCTGTGACGGATACTTCCACTGCGGTTGTACTTATCCTGAATCGGGATGCCACCACACGACTGCGACTCCGACCTCGCCTTCTCCTACGTCAGGGGAGACTACCGTCTACACTACGGCATATCTTACGGTCTGCTCTACCGGCACCTTCCCTGTGATGTACACAATTACCGAGAGTTATGCAGCTAGCCCGACGTGCCACCTGTTTTCTGCTTCGACCCACATACCACTACAGTGACTGTCTGCACTGCCTGCGGACCGACACTGACGACTCTGACGCTCACCATCCCTTGCTCGACCACGTCTGACGGGGATCCGACTAGCTGCGCGACTTCCCAACTACAACAATGTGTCCCCCAGAACCGTCCCCTTCGGACTCCAATAACGGTGGGGGCACGCGTACGACGACCACTTGTCCTAGCCCCCAGTGCTCTCAGACAACGTCCATTTGCCGTGGTCCACATTGCTCTCATACCAGGACAAATTGCATCGGCCCACATTGCACGCATATAGTGATAGCCTGCCCTGACCCCAAGTGCACTCACGAGTGCCATGGACCCCATTGCGCTACCAGAGCAGGCTTGACTTACCCTCTTAGGCCAACTTACACTGGTGCTGCTGCGGTGATGTCGATTGAATAGCAAGCTGTGGGCGTGTTTGGCGGCACTGTTGCTGGTGGGGCCGCTTTCTTACTCTACGGCTTATGATAATAATGGAGTTCATTGGGTGAGTAGCTACTATATGGCCCGGCTACAACAGATTAGCTAATAGTGTTAGATTTTTTGGGATTATGACGTTGCAACATTGCATCCATGGTAAAGCAATATGCTCCTATAACGCAGAAATTGACAGTTCAGTATGCATTAAAGATGATTCTAATATCTCAACATGCATCTTGGGCTTGCTCCCATCCAGCCAACGCAGCTCGTGGAAACCGACCATTGGCTTTGTTCATATTGACAACGCCTCCATTGTTGACATGCAGACAATGGCCCTTTACAAATGTGCCATTGTGCAGTCCATTGTCTCGATAAAGAATCGGCCTTTGATCGAACATTGTTCGCCACAGTGTAAAGACAACAAAAAGTCTATATATTTGCTCTGGTTGCCTACAGTTTCATCCGTCCCTCAAACTCACAATCATAAAAATTGACATAGGTCTGACGATCAACATTGTCGCTGGCGATATTACTTACATCCAGTCACTAACAGGAAACTCCCCGTCGCATATTCACCATGAGGGACACGCTCCGACCGTCGAACCCAGAAGGGAGCAAATCTAAGAGGTCGCGGATCCCTCCGATCCTCACTCCAGAACAACGAGAGGCGGCTAGGATTTCTGCTCGAGACGCTGGCATCGCTGCTTCCCAAGCTCGCGCTCTGGGATCCATAGATGGTCGTGCAGCTGCGACTCAAACCATCGGATTCAACAGGCCGGCAGGAAGCGCTCCCGGAACCCCTCGAACCCCCAGGACTCCGATTCAAGAACGGAGGAGGACCGGGGTCAATGCGCATCTGGGGGACAATCGAAGTCGCTACAGCAGTCGCCACGAGCCTAGTCGACACGAGCTCGAGGATTCGCGCCCCAGTTGGAATAGCAGTCACCATGAGCCCAGTCGACACGACTGCGCGGATTCGCGCTCCAGTCAGAATAGCAGTCGCCATGAGCTTAGTCGACACAACAGGATGGATTCGCGCCGGCGCCCCAACCCATTCGCGAATAGCTCAGCGGCTGTTCGAGGATTGTACGGATCACGGTCTTCGTCTCTTTCCTCCCGTCGATCAACCCAAGCTAATGATCACAGTCTCTCGCGTACCGCGTCCGGTAGTTCCAATCACTCCGCCCGCTCCGCTGCATCGGGAGTTATCAACTCCACCAAGGGTGCAATCGGCAAGGCGAAGGACTGGAAAGAGAGGCGCAAGGCTATGGAAGAGGAGAGGCGCCGCGCGAAGCTGAAGGCGAAGATTGGAAAGCCGACCCCGGTTGAGAATGTAAATGACCCATCTAACTACGTTGTTTACAACCCACCTTACAAGCACCAGGACAAGCCTATCTCCTATCCGCTTCCTCCCATCCAGACAAATGAGGACAACCCCGTCCACAAGCCTTTGGTAATTGGAGACAACAGCCGTATGACAACCATCGAAGACTTCATGTTCCTGCCCAGCATCACATACGCCCCTCCTCGCACCCCCCAGGTCGAGGATTCCATGCCAGTCGCGTTTCCGGATACATATCTTCCCAGTGCTTCCGAATTTGCGGCCGAGCGGGAACGCCTGGTGGCTCTGCAAAGGGTCCAAGATTATCAACAGCTAGCCGATTCTAGCTGCCACGCGGAGGAGCCTGTTTCACCTTTTACGACTGAGCCATACGGCCCATGTGGTTATACCAGTGGGTACGGAGGCTACCCCGGAGAGGAGGAACAGAACGAGCCTTACGAGCCTCCACGATCCAAGTGGATTTGAAAGCAAAGACATTAGAATGAGCTTGCTGAGCTCGATTGCCACCCACAGTAGTACAGAGTGAGTTCTTTGTCATACTGACCTTCTCTTAATATCTCCATATATTTCCTTTGTTCGCGAACTTGGCGTTACTTGACAATTTCGGGTCTGCTTTATATACAACTTTCATTCTCTCTATCTTATTCTGACATGCCTATGATCCTGGTTTTCCTTCAATGTGCCCACTTACTTTCCGACGTATCTAAGTTAGCTCTCATATGTTTTTCAGAAAAGTACCACTGCTATATAACGGGACACCGGATAGCATAGCTTGATCTAACGGCTTACTGGTTCGCATATCGGTAGGTGGTTGGAATACACACAAATGGCGGACAACACACTGTCGTGCTGTGCATGCACCCTACAATACCCCTATTGTGAGTACAAATGATACAGGTATTACCTCCTTCCGTTTTGATTCCACCCTGTGTCCTCTTATATTCTTAAATAAAATATATCACTTTCATTGAGACTACATAGCTTGGAAAGATCACATTTCTGCTATGTCATTCTTCAGACCTTTCTGGATGTCCCAGTCAGCTTCGATGTTCGTGTTCCGACGAGGCCTTCACCTCAGCTTCTTCGGCCCCTCGCTCCCGTCGTCCAAGAAGAAAGTGGATCTCATGGCGCCAACAGACTCCTCTCTACGAAACGGTGACTCGATCGAGATTCTATCGTATGGCGCATTCAAAAGGGGTGAGTTTCGCACCGCACCGGCGCCCGTACTCGCTTTTCTCATCGCTCGGGTATGACGACTACAACGTCTTCGAAAATACGTATAAGGGGTCTACGACTTCGTTGCTTTTCCCGTGTCGTATATTGGATGTGTGATCTGGGTAGGTGTCAGATTCGGTCGCTGGAAGCGATTGTTCCTGGCTGCGGCATTCAATTTGGAACCCGGCAAGCGATCTCCGGAGCTAGCATGATGAGCAATTGGGGCTTGTATTCCCTACCAGCTCCATGTGTGGATATAGTGCAGGACAAGTACGCTCAATAATAGCTACACACACCTATCTTTACAACTTTGACTTGGGACCCTCCTTTGCAAGCTGTTCTTTCAATATCCTCCTCAAGATTTTGCCTGACGCACTCTTCGGGATTTCCTCAACAAATCTGACGCCTCCTCGAAGCCGCTTATGTGGAGCAACTTTGCCTTCCAACCACTTGACGATCTTCTGCTCCGTGTCTTTGCTCGGTTCCACTCCCGCCGCGGGAACGACGAACGCAATGGGGAGCTCGGTGGCTTGTGAAGCATCGTATACTCCAATCACACCAGCATCTTGGATCATATCGTTCGATGTTAAGGTACCTTCGAGTTCTGCCGGCGCAACCTGGAAGCCTTTGTACTTGATGAGCTCCTTGACACGGTCGGTGATGTAGAAGTTGCCTTCGTCGTCTACGTATCCGACGTCGCCGGTTTTGAAGTAGCCATCAGCAGCGATGGCCTCGGCGGTAAGCTCCGGCTTATTGAGGTAGCCTTTGAAGATGTTTGGTCCTTTGATCCACAACTCGCCAGGAGTACCGGCAGGGACCTCCTTGGTTCCTGTCTCGTCCATGTACTTGGCGGTTTGATTCGGAAGTAGTCGACCGACGGAGCCCAATTTGCGATTCCAATCTTCCCATGGCTAAAATGAAAGTCAGACGGCACACAGAGTGATAGAAGCTTTCCAAATTTACCTGTGTATGAGTGGTCGGGCTCGTTTCGCTAAGGCCGTAACCTTGCTTGATCGGGACTTTCAGTCTCTTATAGACAGCATCGACAATATCATGGGTCAGCGGGGCAGCCCCCGAGTTGATCATTCTGATGCTGCTCAAATCGTATTTATCGACGATCGGATGCTTGCTCAGCGCCAGAACGATAGGCGGGACCATATATACGAAAGAGATCTTGTACTCCTGAACGATTTGGCAGAACCTTTCCAACTCAAACTTCTCCATCACGACCAGGGTGATCCCTGAGTACATCGACTGGTGAATCAAACAGGTGAGACCTAGCGAAACATTAGTTGGACGACTACGAACTCCCCAAACTTAGGACCGTACCATAGATATGGAAGAAAGGCAGGAAAGCAAGAATTTTGTCGCCTTGGCCATCGGGACCACCGGAAGTTTTGAGATTCCCACTCTCTCCAGCTTTGATCATCAAAATGTTCGAAACGATGTTGGTGTGGGTGAGCATAACCCCCTTCGGGTAGCCCATGGTGCCCGACGAATAAACCAAGAACGCAAGGTCCTTATCAGCCTGGATCTTCGTCTTGCGGTACCTCGTGGCGCGGCTTATGTTCCGGACACTTGTGAAGTGTTTCGTTCGTCCAGAATCTCTTGCGTCTCCCATCAGGATGACCATGTCTTCGGGTATACCGGCCTTCTTCGCGGCTGCTTTGGCATTCTCGATGAATGGAAGCTGGGTTACAAGAGCCCTCGCTCCGGAGTCCTTGAGCTGGAACGCAAGCTCATCCACGGTATAGGCTGGGTTGGCTGGGGATAGTACGCCCCCAGCCCAATGGCATCCCCACATAATGGCCGGCGTATCGATGCAATTCGGTGTATACAATGCGAGGACATCACCCTTCTCCCAGTCCCAGAGCGCTTTCAGGCCCATACCGAACTCCTTGGCCGCATCTTTGCATTGGGCATATGTATATCCTCGCTTCGTGGAAGGATCGATATACAGCACTGTGAATTACATGTAAGTCTCTGCGACTCGCAAACGTAAACCAGCCTCTGCCTACATTTGTCGTCTCCGTACGGTTTCTCTTTCCTTTCGAACAGAAACGTCCAGAGATCTGAGGTTGGGACCTCGAATGGAGGGTATGAGGATTCCACGGGCATATTGGCGGTCCTAGCTATGCGATCGATGCGTAATCAAAGCGAGAGTATTCTTGTTGAAACGGAATTCGTAACGTTCAACATTTGAATCGTGTAGAAGGAAATGTTCCCAACAGTGCTCCAATAATGTTCCAACAATGGTAGAGTCGCACCGAAGACGAAGTGATGCCTCCGAGTTTCCCCGCCGAGGCATGTTCCGTATACAGTTAGTCAACTCGAAACATAATAAATTATTAAAGGGTCTGGCGGGGTTCAGAGTTTTATCTCATATCTGCCATAGGCTGTTTAAGCTTTAAAGTTGCTTAGTCCATCACTCGTCCACTCGGGAGTCTGGAGTCGCCCGCCAGTCGGGACTTGCGCCGACTGATCCGACCCGGTCACCTCGCCAAAGGACCAATCTACCGAGGCTCTGACGCTCCGATTCAACTCCGAGACCCTTTTCCCCTGAGGTTCTCCACAACAATCGGCTTCGCGATCGGATCAAGTATGCGACTCTGGGGAAGGGACATTTTTTAATTACATGTAAATCCGGGGTATCTGCGAAGCCGTGAGCTTATGTTGGCTTGGTTGATTCTCCGCTATCTATCATTATTATATTGATCTCGCTGGCATTGCCCGCTTATCAAAACCATGGTGGAACTTGCATTATCATCCTTTGCCGAAGGCATCGCAGTGACACCCATTGGCTCTCATGAATATGAAGCGAACCTCTCAGAGGATTGGTGCATTGGTTCAGGTATAGCACTTCTGGTTATACTGGTCGATGGTGTACTGACCTCTCTGAATAGTTCCCCATGGAGGGTACGTCACATCCGTTATCCTGGCCGCCGTTTCGAAACATTTCGCCACCACCCTCGCCAAGCAAAATCAACCGCATAGCATTACTCTCCATCTCGAGTTCATGAAAAGAACACAGGCCGGCCCGGCAACGGTGGTTGTTAAAGACGCCAAGCTTGGACGACAGACCACCACCATTCACGTCACTCTATCCCAGGGCGGCAAAGAGGAAATCGTGGGTTATATTACGCAGAGCAATATCCACAAAGAAGATGGGCCATCGTTCGAAACTGGGTGGGCCATGACGCCGGATGTCGCGCCGAAACCGGCGAGCCTTCAGGCACTGAGAGACGGACACGAGGATCCCGTATGGGCCGAACAAGCCACGATGCCGTTCATCGAATTCCGAAAAGCAGCACATCAAGCCCGATTCTTCTTCCCCAAAACGAGGGTTCTCAGAAATGTTACCGATCAGTGGATTTGCTTCCGGAATGGAGAGAAGTTCACACAGGACTCCCTCGGCTACGTGTGCGACATGTTTCCTCAGATGGTGGAAACCCTACGAGCCAAGAATGATCCGTATGGACTAAAGGAGAAAGCCGCCCAAGAACAGTCGGGTGAGAAACCGATCGCCAAATTCTGGTATCCCACCGTGCTCTTGAACCTTGACGTCAAGAAGGCGTTACCAGAAGAGGGTGTAGACTGGCTGTTCTGCCGCATTCACAGCAAACAAGTCAAAAACGGGAGAATGGATTTGGACATATTAATTCTCGACGAGCAAGGAGATCTGGTTGCCTTGAGTCACCACGTTGCGCTTATCCTCGACGTATCAAGGAATTTGGTTCGACAGACGCCGAGTGCGACGAGCGCAAAGATGTGAGAGTGGAAAGTAACCTGTCCGCGATCGAGCTTTATGCAAATGTGTCTTTGTCCTCATTAAACCAATCCTTTTACAATAGACTCAAGAGATAAGAAATAGACTCTGTCGATTATATTTTAGCATTCCCACAAAAATCGCCAGACTTCTTCGAACCAGTCCGATTTCGCTCTCGCTCGAGGCGACGTTTGACGACCAGCTGATCATAGGCAAGGTTGGGCTAGGTTGGGCAAGATAGGTTCACAGCTGCAATCGTAAGGCGAAGGATACCTACAGAAATCCAAAAGTCAGTTACGGGCCTGGTGAATGGCATAGAAACTTTGCATTAAATAATTTCCCACTGATCATCCTCCAAACTCGATCCTGCGTACAGAGCAGCGCTGCGTTGGGCCCGGATTGTGTGCAGTTCAATCTTTATAACTTATCTCGCGTCCCTATCTCTGTGTTTCTTGTCATAGCCATGACGTCTACGGTCGCGGTCGTCCCTTGACGGACTCCGATCTCGTCTCGAGGAGTGGCGTTTTCGGTCCCGAGAGTCTCTTCTTCTGGACTTTGAGTCAGGTGAGGAACTTCGGTATCGTCTCGATCGATCCGGATCCTGGTTCTTCTCCGTTCTGCGATCTCGCTCCTTGCGATCGTAGTCACGATCTCGATTCCTACCATCGCCCCTGTCCTGGTCCTTGCGATCGTAGTCGCGGTCTCTGTTCCTGCCATCAGCTCGAGCCGGCTTCGGATCTCGTTCCCCTGATCGCCTGCTTCGTCTATCGGAATCGCTATATTCCTCGACATATTTGGATCGCTTTGAGGAGCGTTCTAAAGACCGAGACTCTATATTGCGACTTTCGCCCGCTTGAATCTTCTTCTGCTCTTCGATTTTCACTTTCAGCTCCTCTTCCGTAAGCTGCTCCCCGGTAACCCGATTCCTAAGTAGGACAGGTGTATAGACTTGTTCAACTTTCTTGCGTCCTTTCATAGGCTTTCCCCAGCTTCCTAATTCCACGCCAGCTGCAGCGTCTTCTTTGGCACCGATCCCTAATAACGCCGGGCGCCGTTCCATAACCCTTGGTTTTTTAGGCTGTTCACCTCGGCGCTTGCCAATCGGATCACCATCTTTCCATCCCATACCGCGTAATAACGCAGCACCAAACTCTTCGACGGGCACTGCGGCATATTCATCGAGTGTAGCCATATCCGGAGCATGATTATAGTCCCTTTGAAAAGCCTCCTCTTCCGTATCAACACCGGGCAACACCAAGGTTGATTTTGTGTTATTTCCCAATAGAGCATCCATGGCAGCCTCGTCGGCCGTCTGCACCTTTTTCGGCTCGCTCTCTTGTGATTCTCGTATCGGAACTTGAGTAGGAAGCTCGGGTTGTTCCCTGGGTGTTTGCCCAACGCTTAGGCCATACTGGAGCTTCTCAGGCTCTTCTATAATGATCTCTCCACCGTTCTGTTGCACGCCATCGGGGAGCGGACCCTTTTGCCTCTTCCGTCGGCTTTCCTCTTTCCAGTCTCTATTTCCAGGACCTCGAATAACCAGAGGACCTTTCTTTTCATCTTGTACACGATTCACGTCGATGGCCCCGCCGGCTGCTTGGTCGAAATGAGAAACGGATTGGACGACGCCTTCCGTAGTGTCATCCTCATCGTCGGAGTCGTGGAATTTAGGGCGTCCGAGTGATGGTCGCGTGGGAGGCTTTGGAGTTTGTTTGGAGGTCGAAGAAGACGTCTTCTTCGAAAGCGACAGAGAAAACTTCGGCGCCGAAGTGGCCATTATGAGTGCTAAGCTCACCGATGTATTCTTGTTGTCATACCGAGAATATCATGTTTGAACTTTGAATCTTTGATGACGTTCAAATCCGATGTGGAAAGCACCCACGTGACAATCAATACACTAGTCACGTGACAAGATTCCGCTTTCCAAGTTCCAACTAAGTTAACTTAGTTATCTGCTCCTTAGTTACTACTAACTTTGCTTAACTAATACCAGTACCTTAACTACTGCATCTGATAGTATGAGAATTAAAGTGTAGCGGAAATCTTGGACGCTATATCCTTGAAAATGTTCTATTTCCTATTTCAGGCGCGAATAAGTGCCTGGTGGCCCTCGAGAGTTGACAGGAGAATGTAGACACACGACCGAAAGAACCACATGGGGCCAACGCTGTCAAATGGGCTGAATGTTTCAAAACACTCATGTTCTAGACCCTCCAAAATGTGGTTACGAAGTAATCCGACAAAGATTTTGTCCTTCACACTGATATGCAATATGAGCTTCTATCCGTTAAACCAAAGCCGGATGTTTGGTGGGTTGGTCATGATGGTGCTGGTTGATTCTAAAATAACTCATGAGATCGACCTGTGCCCACATTACACAAGAACGGCAAATATGGCAGCTTACGGTAGGTTGGACTAATTTGTGGCAGTTTCCTGATCTAGGCGGGCATTATAGCCACATTAATGCGCCAGATCATCCTGTCTATCGTACAGACACGACATGATTCTGGAAAGCCGACAGAGCCAAAGTCTAACTAGGTACGTATTCCTTTGAAACGGGCACTTGCGCAAGTGCCAGCATTAATGCGGGAAGAGCCTGGCGACGTGGAAAGACTCGCGCTTGTGGCGCTCGGAAGCGCCCAAAGTCCATTACCATTTACCAACCCCCACTGCGAGACCGCTATTCGGAGGAAACATTGGAAGATCCAAATGCGAGTCTAAATCGGGCACGGAAATCATGTTCAAAAAGAAACCTTCCAGATTGGAAGAATACGAGTCGTTCCTGAATATATACTACTATACATGTAATATCGATTGCGTGGCAATACACGGCCCTCGAGACTGGTCCCTCGTGAAGTTGCAAGAAAAGAGTGGTACGCCAGGATCGGAGCGGGCCTGCATTTAGAATAGGGTCCAGAACCAATGATGAAAAATTCAAGGAATTACGAATGCTGGAAATAGGCGACCCTCGCAGCCTCGCTTTTGGGCCTTTGGAGTTTGGCCCCTCGGGTCTTATCGACTAGTCGATTACGACCAATGGCGCTCGCGAACATCTAAATATGAGGCGCAGGATGCTGATTGGCGAGTGTCGTAAAGTACGGGAGCCTCTTCGGCTCCCGTGGGCGCTTCCAAAGCGACTGTCGTGTCACTTGTCGCCCGGAGCAGACTCGGAACGATGACCGAGCGCGAACCGGATGACATCGATTGGGTCCGTTGGATAGGAAAAGAAATGTGACGATGTTGGTTGGTGACGTTGAAATGGAACTAAGCTGGTGTGGATTGTTACATACACCGTGACCGCCAGACGTTGTGATGTGATTTTGCTGTGATTTCATATCCAGCAGCAATTGATGGAGTATCAGCCGGTAAGGAATACAAGTACTGACTTGATGTTGAGAGTGTACATAACTAGCACTTTATTAATTACCTGCTCTAAACTGATGCATATTGTATCTGGTGAGGGCTGACGTTGGTGGAACAGGGATATCCGGCATCGATTGACGATTGTCGCCGTGCTGCCGCAAAGACCACAGTTCAGAGCGCTAAAAGCGATCCTTCAAGACCTTGGTCGGACCGCCAATGCCAAGCCTTTATGAAGGCTTTCAGTTCTCAGAATAGCGAGCGGCCAAAGTCAGAACTTTCATACTTTCATGGTCTACGATGTAGGCTCGGTTACGCAACAGGCAGACGAAGGCGCCGTGGCAATGGGTCCATTTGCAAGTTTTCAAATAGACTCTCTCGGCATTAGGCATGTTCAAGGTTGCTTGTTCTCGTCTTCATGCATCTTGGCAATGTGACTGGCTGCGTGGGTTGCATGAGCAGGGCTTCGGGCGCATCTGGCATTACAAGGAGCCCCGCCATGTATCTCGATGCTCAACCTATCACCGCTCGTACCACGCTACTTGGCGCCCGATTTAGCGCTGGGCTGCCATCAGACCTGGAGAACTGAGTATGGGTGAATGAGCGGATTGGTCAAACTGGTGATTGAGTGGGAAACATCCCACCACGATCTGCGCCATGGCTTGCGAGTTCCCTCCATTACCTCTGCTGTTCGCCAGGTCCGGATGTTAGAGATATGTACTCACAACCGTTCCATTGTGTTCTCGCCGTCCATACCCGCCATGCATCATCGTCTTTTCTCCTTGAGACGATCGCTCTAAACTGTTGGAGTCTCCCTTTCAGACCCATACGCATGCCTCGATCATCCAATCCTCGAACTCCAACCCCCGGCCACAGACGCAGCGGGATCCATTGAATGGTATCACTTGCCCGTGCGTTCCCCAGGTCCGCTCTCAATCAAAGGTGGGCGCTTGCTCAGACAAAATCCTCATATTCCCCCATCCAGTTCTTTCGACTCTATTCCTCTTCTCTCCGACAGCAGGCCTCTCTTCTCTATCCTCAACTTCTTTAGTTTTTATGTCTTCCATTCTTTGTGCTTCAGCGCTTTCCTGTGTACCGCTTGCTGGTTCTTTCTACAGCAGCATTTGACTTGGTATCTTGAAAGCTGAGGCTGGACCACAGTTTTTGGAACCGCGCAATCCTCCGTTCACTTCACACATAATTCCCGCATCTTCTCTTTGAGTGCTTCGACGACATCTCTAGCACTGGCATTCAGTGTACTCAGTTGGCCACCAACATTTCACAGACACGTCAAGAGGGGCCTGACCATCTCACGTCACTTTTGCCCCCCCGGATTGTCCTTGAGCACTTTCCTCTATTCTACTTATCTTCCTGTTTTGTCTTGAATGTCCCGAATGGCGGCCGACAATAAGAGAATCCCTACAGTGACGATTACATCACAACGATCTCGCTCGAATTCACTGAATTCGACCGCTCCGTCTCTGAAATCCCCTCGAACTGCCCGCTTCGCGGAAGCGACATCAGTCAACTCGCCTATTGAACCCTCAGAAAAGGCGCAGAATCCGTTCGCTGATCCGCCCACGAACCACTACCTTCCTCAGCCGCAACCGGCGGACATCGGCTTCGGTTATATGAACAAAAAAGTCGCTGCTCATACATCCGTCGAGATGGAGGAGACCGATCCACGGTATCTGGCTCCCACGACGCCAAGAAGTCCTCTGAAGAGCGCCTTGAAGAGCCCTGGTGCGCCTCCTCGGACGGCCCGTGAGAACCCACTGTCTCCAACTTTCCAGGAGGAGCAGATCCTTGAGAAGCAGGATGAGTTGACTGAAAAGGAACAAGAGAAAGACTTAGTAAGTTGTCCATTCAGGAAGCAAGAGAGATCCATGCTAACTGTGTAATAGAGAATCAAGTTCCGCGTCCGACTCGCGAAAATCCTTCTGCGAGGCGTCAACTTCTCATGCTCGCTCATAGTCGTCGCGATGCTTGTTGCTGTCTTCTCGATATTCCGTTCGACTCGAAATATCGCTAGCCGAAACGGGTTGCCCCCGTGGGCACCGAACACCCCCCTTTGGCCGCAAATCACCATCCTCGTCATTGCCTCCATTTCGTTGTTCTTGGCCGTAGTTGTGCTTTGGGCCAACTGCCGACATGGACATCGGAGAGCCGAAAAAGTCGCGGTGTATTATACCACCTTTGCGGTGTTTTTCTTCGTCTTCAGCATCGTCATGTGGGGAGTTGGCGCCGCCATTCTTCAGTCCAGCAAAAACGGCCAGGGCGGCAGTGATATGTGGGGTTGGGCTTGTAAGGATAACAGGAGAAAGGAGCTTTTCCAGGATGACATTAACTATGGGCTGGTCTGCCGTTTGATGGTAAGTTGGGTTGCACCCTATGATAGTGAGATCTGCTAACGATAACTCAGGACTGGGCCTTGGTCTGTGCCATTATCGAGATCGTCGTGGAGCTCTTCATCATTCTCATCTATGGCTTCGTCTTCTACCGCTTCTGGTCTAAGAGACGACTCCGAAAGTCTATGGCTCACCGCGACAAGGCGCGGAGCGATCTGTACCTGGCGCAGTTGCGGTCCCAGTCCGCCCCCAACACCCCTGGATTTCCGCTCTCTCCCCGCGACGGGGGCTGGCGTGCGCCGGCGGATCACAACAAGGAGGCGGCCATGGAAGAGGGCACTGCACAAGATGGAGTTCAGTACGCTGTTGCGTCGCCCCGCCAATTTGCCGAACCCAAGCCGTTCGCCCTTCAAGCGCCGCCATCCAAGAACACCCCGAAGGTCAAGCAAGACGGGTTCTCGCCCGTGTCGCCGATTGGCAACAGCCCCAGTCCACCACCACCGCCGGGTAGTCCGGGTATCGCGGAGAGGCACAACGACCACGTTGCTGCTGCTCCAGGGGAGCAGACGTATGATGCGGTACCCATCCCTGGCTCATATGCCGCGCCGCTATCGCCAGGCATGCCACCACAGCAGCCGCAACAGCAACCCGGGTTGGATTTTGGATTCAAGCGGTGACCGAGAGATTTGGACATCGATTGACCTTTGTTTCCGTAAATATATCAGGGTAATGTTGGGATGCGTGGGATTGGATGAAAACGGGACTTTGGGTGTTGTCGCGACGGAGTATCACTTCTTACTCTCGCTTGCATCTTTCCTTGTCATGGTGATACCTTGGGGAACGGCGTTCTTGTGAGCATGATGTATGTAACCATCCCATGCTGTTTGAGAGGGATGAAGATGGGTGTCGAGAAGAGTTAACGGTGTTCGAGAAGCTTGAAAGATAGTGGACTCATGTGTTTCTGTCTAGCCTCATAACGCCAATTACTCTTTATATAATCAGTCCTCTTGTGTTATTGCATATATCCACTGATCCATGACCTTCCCGTGTTTGTATGCGCCTCTCTTCATTATCCCTTCCAACACAAATCCCGACTTTTCTAGAACACGCCGACTTCCATCATTTCCGTCCAAAACACTTGCAAAGAGTCTGGTCAACGTGAACTCCTTTCCAGCTTCGTATTCCGACGTGACCCTAATGTTCTTTAACACCCACTCTGCAAATGCCTTCCCCACCTCGCTCATGATTCCTTTCCCCCAGTAGTCTTCCCCTAGCCAATACCCAAACTCGGCCGATCGAAAGTCGACATCCTTTCCCAGCTCGATTCCAATGCCCCCAATCACTTCGTCCGTCTTTGGGTCCGCGATCGCGAATCCACAAGGACGCTCCTTAGCTAGAAGTCCCTTGATCCACTTTTCAGCATCCGCTTCAGTATATGGCGAAGGGAAGCGATTCCGCATGTACTGCGCTACCGCAGCGGAGTTGGCAGCGCGGCTGACAGACAGGATGTCGCTGAGTTTCATGGGACGGAGAATTGTTCGCGGTGTCACGAGGATAACAGAATCGGAAGCCATGACAAGAGCTTAGAGTAATGGTCTTTCGTAGGGGTGTAAATTGACGGAAATTTGGGCCTGGGAGAACAAGATAGCAGTAGGTGGTGGTGATGTGCTGGTTTCCGTCTACAGACACTGGAGAGACCGGACGACACCGAATCTGGAATTGAATCAAAGCAAGCATCTCCGCATAAAAGATTTACAGTTCCAAACTTCGAAGTTTTTGGTAGGATATTCGGTTCGCCTTGACTCACCAAATGCGACGATTGTGAGTGAGTCATGCCATACTCAATTGTCTGATCTGGTTGAGCAATATTAGCGCAGTCACGGCTTGAAGATTATCGACTTGTCGCCGAATATCATGACTCGCATCGAGGGCGTCCTCGGAATACCCGTAGGATACTAGCAGGGTGGAGAATTATTAGAGTAATCAAGGCATGCATACGGCCGTACTATAGTACGGATGTAATAGCACCAGGTTAAGACGGCGTGGCATCTCTGCTCGACATATATTCATTGATAATGGCTGCGTACTGTCATAACGTAACAGCGGCTGGCGTCTGCATCTCTCTCTATTCCCCAACTCGGACTTGTCTTCTTGTATGGGGCTCCCAACCTGGAAAGTGGATATCAAATGCTTAGCCTATCGTTGCAGCTTCGCACCGCTCCAGTCTATCTCACCCTATCTTTGACGGTTGAAGCTGATGATTCGACGAGATGGGATGCGAAAAAGCTTCTTCTGATCATGCATGAAATGCTCCCCAGGGCCCTCACTGTGGATATTGGCCCTTGAGCGAGCATAACCCACCTCAGCACTCATATAAAACCTGCGAACCTCGAACCAACCCCAACCGACCCACCGCGTAGAATATCTTTATGCGCCCAAGCAATCGTCCAGTTTCACCTGGTACGGGCATGATTCGCTATGGTGATGGTTCGACAGTAATATTTCGGTTCGCCAGTACCATGGGACATCAGGAATCGGCGCTGATGTATTGGACTATAAAACCGTGAGACTTTAACCCAAGGCGATATAAGGGATTCGGGATGCGTACCATTGTTTCCCCTTATGAATGCATCGCCATAGGTTCGATGCACCTTGCCATTGACGTACTCCTTCGTCTGCTCAAGCGCAATGTTCATGTATCCATCGACAGATTGCAGTTCGCCCTTGTAGACAACTCCCGAGTTGAGTTTGACCGTGACAGGAGTTCCGATGATTTCGCTCAGGAAGCCTGAGGGGTCCCGGCCTTCGGAACCGCCGTTCTCCATTGTGTTGGTGTTTTCGAGGGGATGAAGATACTATTAAGCTGCTGCGGTCTTTGGCACGCAAGCGACAGCGGACTGGTAGTAAGCTTGACGTTTGAACTGGCCTGGGAGATGGATTATTCACAGCCAGGATCGTGATCGCGTTCAAATACCTAGGTCAAGGTGGGTGTGATTTGAGGGTTGGATCTACGGATTTATCACGTGATATATTGGGAAGGGTCCAATACTGTATTCGGCCTTACAGCCTTACGGCCTTACACGTGACACCCCGCACTTGCACTGGCATGCCACAGCCACTTGCCAGTAATCCCTCGATGATCGCAACTCGTAAGACCTCGACATTGGTTCCCAAACTTTTTAGACTCTCCGCTACCTCGCAACCCTCCTATGATTCCCAGCATGGAATCAGACGTGCTGGAATCGCCCACCAGCAATACTATGCTCAAAAAGTCTCGATTCGCCAAACCTGCGTGGGCAGCGGCGCGTTCCACTTCGAAAGACACCGGAACAGAGGATGGCCTTTTCTCGCGGTCGACGCGAGCTTACGAGGAAATACTCGCCGAAGAAGAGGAGATCAAAAGGGCAAAAGAGGAGCGAAAGCAGAGGAGACGCCACCGTGACAGCCCCTCGCGCGACAGCCCGAAGCGTCGTCGCCTAAGCCGCGAGGACGATGACTCCTCTGCACCTGTTGAAGCGCAAAGATCCCCGGCAGACAAAAGGTGAGCACAATTCCTCAAGAATGGTGGGACATACGTTAAGCTGACAAGGTACGCTTTAGTCTTGATCGTGAAACCGAGCGCTCACACTCTACTAGGACGGCTGATTATGGAACCATTCACATCGATTCCATTACCTCCGCTGATAAACGGTTTTCGGCACCAGGAACAACGGGCGAGGAATCTCGAAGGGATGCTGCAATAGAACGGAAAATCAGGAGCACGGTAAATACGGACGACGAGGACGACGAGTCGGATGAGGACCTACAACTGCTCATTGAAGCGGCTCGTCAACAGCGACTGTCAAAGGAGCAGGCGAACTCTCTACCAGCAGTGCCTCCGCCCACTGTCACGAGCAAGGCGTCATCGGATGATAAAGTTGGTGGTGCGAGCACTACCGCTTTGGACGGCCGGCCCAACTATATCGTCGAAATTCTCATTACATCAAAGCTGCCTGGGACACAGCCCGTTGTCATCACTAGAAAGCTTTCTCAGCGCCTCAAAGAAGTACACGCGGCATATTGCGATGCCATGGGGTTCACCCCCGAAATGTTCCGCCGAGTGTTCCTCACATGGCGCAACCAGAAGATATGGGGCTTTCAAACGTGCGAGGCGCTGGGCTTGGACCTACCCCCTATCGACGCCGACTCTATGGATGAAACGGGGGTGGGAACCGTACAGATCTCGATGGAGATGGTCACCCCGGAGATTTTCGAGGCCAACAAACAAGCCGCCGAACTCAGCTTCCTGCAGGAACCCACGGAGAGGAGCAGGGAAACGCGGAGTAGCGAGCCGGTTGAAGCGGAGCAAGCGGACTCATCGAAAATCAGGGTCATCCTAAGAGCGAAGGATTACGGAGAATTGAAGATTGCTGTGAAACCGGCAGGTGGCTACTACAATATCCCCAGGCCGTTGCTAATTGTTTGACAGGACACAACGATTCTCTCCATGATCCACGCGTACCGCAAAAGGTGCAACGTCCAGTCCGAGAAGGCGGTTAAATTGATGTTCGATGGCGAGGAGCTAGGCGAGGATCAATCAGTCGCCGATTCAGACATCGGTGACATGGAACTCATTGAAGTCCATGTCAAGTAGCCCTTCCGATGCGCCACAATTCGAATTATCATCCAATCTTCAACAAAGGGCGATAAGGCCGTCTGTTGCTGGTCTGACCAAGGCTCCCGCAGCCCTAGGTCCATAATCTCATGGAAAATCCCAAAGGGATCGAATCTCCGACTCATTCCTTCGAAGCTGACTACTTCCTGGTTAGCGAGATAGTATGGCTTCAACATCCAAAGATGTCGCTAAAAGGTATCATGGCCCCCAATCGATCCGATTTCCATCACCCTAAGAGCTTTTACCAGTGTTGCACTGAACTAACCAAGATTATGTTAGGCGGCGTACGTAGTATCCTTACACATGCGGTCTCCGGTTTGCTGTGTCGGACTGCGGGAAAGAGTTCTCATACGTAAATTGGACGGAGGGTCCAGGGAGATGTTGAGGCAGGTTGAAATCAATGTAACACTCACCTCCCTCGTGGAGAATGGACATCAGCACGATAACGGTAAGACCAGCGTTGAATATCAAGTATACGACAATGTTATGACTTTCATGTGGCCTGTCGACGTCGATATTCCGTTCAGCGTCTCGTTCTTTGTTCCGTTTCGTTTCGTTTCGTTTCTCATACCCGCCGATGGTTCTCGGTCATTCAACGTGGCGTCAAGTTCGTGCAGCGATGCTTCAGTCGATTAAACACTCAACTACAAGGGTGGAAGGCAGTGCGTTGTAATGCTTATACTGTAACTGATTGAAGATAATTATCTACCGTCGCTACTCCTAAGAATTGACAAACCCCGATTAATCATCGCCCTCGTCATCCTGCGAGCCAGGCATACTGCCTCCAAAAATAAGTACTTTGCTGCATTCCAAGGAAAGGTACGAGATGCGCCGAATCCATCCACACTCTTGCTCTCCACCCTAGGCCGCCGAGGATGCCCGTTGGTTATCTTGCCAGTCCATGAAACGCCCTACATCCATAGCGATGGTGCGTGGTATGAGCGCATTCTGTAGCACCCTAGGCACATGGCCTTTCGCGTCACTGGCCGTCGCCATGTCCCATCCGATGTCACCCCTCTTGTTCCAAAACACCCTTTCTACGCTCACGTACTCGCCACGGACTATCGGCTTTCTCAGTTCCGGTATCGGAGCGTCGGTCCGATGCCTACTACTCGAATACATCGAAGTCGCAATAGGTGGCCCCCCCGTCAAGTCCACAGGCACTTGTACGAGTAGCAACGACGACGTTCCAGGGCTGGAGTTGTTCTTCATGCGGGCAGTGACCACCAACTCACTGAAATACCGGTATTTCAGAGGAAAAGGCAGTTTGTAAGCCGATTCGTAAACTAGACCGGACGAGATATGATCAACATTGCATCGCGCTTCCCGAAGGGGCCGTCGGGGACTTACCACATAACCCAACTTCCCCCCATCGAATCTCCGGGTTTCTGGAGCCTCCCCAGGAGGCCAACGCCGGGATTTGATCACTCCAGTCCGCCACCTTCACCACATCGATGACATCGGAAATATATTCCTTCTCCTGCTCCGAATGCGACTGCCACCAGCCCTGCTCAAACTCCTCCCACGTCGCCGTCCCCCGCTCCTCCCGCGGGACATGGACGCTCCGCCGCGCAAACCAAGTCTCGACCTTCCGTGGCACCCGCGGCGCCAGTTCGTGCGGATAGATGTCCCGCACCCAGATCTCCACCGGCGAGGTGGCGGGAGGCGACGCCCACGGGACCCCGAGGGGTACGAAGGTGTCGTTGATGGAGCGCCCGAGTAATTCCGCGGAAGAGAGGATGGAGAGGATGAATTGGACCAGGTCGGGGAGGGAGGTGGCTGAGGCGGCCTGCTGCGGCTGGAGGGAGGGGTGGGCGGGGAGGTCCTTCGCGGTGAGGGGTTTAAGATGCAGGACTGACGGATCTAATAGTTCGTCAAGGGACTTGGTTGATGCGCTCATCGCGAGTGTTGTTTTGAAGCTCGACTGAATTTAATGACTTTTGGGATTGATTCCTAGCGGTAGCGCAAAGCAGTAAAACCTGCGAGGTTAAAACCCTCAGCGACATGCACCAATAATCGGTGGCAGCTATCGGTGAATTGTGCAACGATATTCAATGCTTCAGAAGAAGTTATCTATATCTACGCGGATTTGTAGTGACGGGCTGGAAGAAGGATACGAAATGTGAGACAAGTGAACTGAGTCGTCAGTATCGTACCTCCCTTACTTAGAAAGCGCCCACTAACCCCCGATGTACGTGAAGATAATGCATGCTATGCACAGCCGGAGATTATCATGTGCTTCGTAGGTGGCGTATTCGTAACACTAAATAGCTGATTAAAGACAATGGGCTTTAGCAGTATCCGTATACGTAAACGTAATCATGGCTTCACACTCGATTTATCATGCTTAGTGGCGGTGCTGACGATTTTTCGGTTACCGTGAAATATACCTTGAATGAATGGGTATTTCATGGCATTTGTCTCTATTCTATGGGCTGGAGAGCGGCTTCGGGAGTCTAGACCAGCAATTCTCCGGGTGGATCGGTGAACGTTCAAAAGGACTAGTCATGAATCAATCCATCTCCTCTGTTGATTGTGCCGGTGTAATGATTCTAAACGCAAAGTCCCGTCGGCGTCTTCTCTACCGACACCGGAGGGGCAGGGAATTACGATCGAAGGCGATGCATCGCCTGCCATCGACGCGAATGGGTATAGGTGCCAATACTAGTCCAGAGCAAATGAAATGGAAATGTTATAGAAATGCAATGCGTGGTCGCGGTACCACCATGCAGTCGCCTTGGAACGACCCAATGAAGGCCCGCGAATGATCCGCGGAGTCCAGCGCCGGGACCCGCGTCTCGGCCCCATGGGAACCCCTATCGTCGTTCAAGGAGGTTTGTCTGTGGGACGCTCCACCCGTTTTTCCAGATCACTGGCAACACTTTTCTCCCTCTCCCGCTTCACTTCCTCACCTTCTCTTGCCGCAACGGCCAGCAGCGCCGGCCAACCACCCGTGTTTGGTGGCGCCGGAAGGCCGGGACTGATACCGGGAGTCGATCGGCCAAATTCGGTCGTCGGGACGCGGCTGGAGCCACCGATCGGGGGGCTGAGTCCGACCCCCGAGGGGATGGGGTGGGGTAAGATTCTTTCTTTGCTGCCTTGGGGGACGTCGAGGGAGAATATCGGAGGGCGCTGATACGGATAGTTGGAGGGCGCGTAGATGCCGCCGTCGCTGGAATAGGTCGTTTCTTCGTGGGTCAAGGATGGCAGTTGCGGGGGATCCCGACTCGTCGGGACGCGGCGGGAGCGCATATCCGGGATATTTTGAGCCGGCGTTGATTGCAATGGAGTCCCGAACTGTTGGTGGGCGGGGATCGGTGGAGAGGGGAGTGAAGGGCTCCCGGAATGCGAGTAATGGTCGGATGATGCACCTCCGACTTGCGGACGATAATGCGCTTGAGGAGGAAGCGACCCAGAAGACCCCGATTGCGATTCGATTCGAGGGCGTTCGTAGGATCCGTGTTCATGGGCCGACATGCCGGTCCGTTGATAAAGTTCATACGATGGCTCGCGTTTTAACGAGGCCGAGATCGGAGAAACAGACATGGGCGAGTACTGATCACGAGTCGCTGGAGAACTCATCCCCCAGAACGTGTAGGTTGGAGTTGAGGTTGCCTTCGGTCCCGCAACGGCATGATAGGTGCCTGATGAAGATGAGATATCCGAGCGCGCTGGTCTGTGAGCAATGGCTTCGCCGCTGCCTCCTGAATGCGGCGGAATCTGCGGAGGCCGCACCGTCTCTGCTGAGCCTTTCGCCGCAACGGAGTTGGAGTCTGCTTCGGACCGTGATTTCTTACTATCGGGTCTCGCGGTCCCATGTTTGGCTTTGAATTCAGCTAAATATTCTTGATATGAGCCATATTCCGCCGTCTTCTTGTACTCAGCCAGTGCGACACCGTATTTTTCTTTTGCAAAATTGGCCTGGCGTTCGCAGCTTTCACGATCACTGGGCGACAACACCTGCCATCTCTCTCCTACGATCTTGGCAATCTCGGTGAACGAATGGTTCTGACCTTTGAGAGTCTCTCGCACATCTACGGGTCATCAGCGTGATGGATTTCAAAGAGAGTGCATGTCCATACGGTTTGAAAATATCACATATGCCGACGGAGGTCTTTCAGGGGCATTGTCGTCTGGCTATTGGGGAGTTAGAGGGCCGTTCGTGAAAGAGGGACTTGGAAAGCGGGTAGGGTGCCGTAAGGTGATATTGGAACAAGCGAAATACCTTGGGGTGTCGTCTATATTTTCTCTTGGTAGTGGTACCGGCATGGGAAGATGGATCACCCGTTCTTTTGCCAGACGAGCGGCTCTCTGCGGCAGAATCGTCGCTTCGATAAGACTCATCGGCAATGGTCCCCTTGCGAGGGTCGGGAACCAAGGGCGCGATAGAACGACCGGTACTTTCAACGATGGCACGTTGGAGTTTCTGCAACGTATGAGTTAGCCTCCATATGCGATGACGAATCATTCGGGATTGAGCGACTGGAGATAGATGGAGTGGGCGCCAGTGGGCCGCTATATCAAATGGATGAGAGAACTCACCCGCCTGTGGCCGAGTTTGACGTTCAGAGCAGTTCTGAAGAAAAATTAGTGGCCGTCGAAGGAGCGAATGGGATCCGCCAAGGATGCGTACAGGTCAGATTCGGTGATATCCACCACAGTCTCCCAAGAGTCAAAACCCTCGGCGACGAAAGCATCCAAGTACTGGGAGAGTCCCAGTCGCTCCAGCCTATCGCGCAAGTCTTCGATCATGAAGCTGGTGGTAGTTTGTCGCGCCGGAAGCGGTACAAGGGAAGCATGAGAATTCCTGCAACTCGGAGTGCGGAAGTCGCCCAGGTATTGCGGTCGTAAGTTCGTGGAGCCGATGTTTCTTTGGTCCTGACGATATGACGGTAAATCCGATATGTACAGATCGTACAGTACCCTGCAGTCAGGGTAAGCTCGTGCTGGACAGGTGCAGTTGGAGGATAATCCAGGCAATCCAAACCCAGAGCCACGGTCGTGATAGTAGATCAGGATTGGCAGACCGACAATTGGCCAGTACCGTACTGAGAGGTCGGAATTACCGTCTTATTTCCGAAAAAGGCCGGCGGTGTAATTCCAACGATATTGATATCCCAATGGGAAGCAGCCAAGGTCGCGATTCTAAAATGCCCAATGACCGATCAAGGACGGCCAAGCTCTACAAGATTCCTCGAGGAGATGGATCAACAGTAGTACGATGAACAGACGAAGACGTTGGCCAAGCTGTGGCGAATTGAATGGCGGAATAGAAGTCGTGGTGGAAGGCGGTGGATCTTGAGATAAGTACCGAGAAGGTGATGCAGCTTGACGTCGTAGTCGGTCGTGAATGAAAGATGAATGCGCCGAAGGAAAAACCGATACCTGGCTTAAAATGCCTATTGTTGCTGGGCGCAGTCAAGCGCAAGAAAGAAAAAAAATCCTCCGTGTATTCCTCCTATTCCATGCAAATTCTTGGGAAAGGACCGGGTTCAAAGTCGAAAGGGACCGCACGGCGTCGGTTTTAGGTCATTGGAGAGATGCAAGCCGAAGGTGACAACAATGCCGGGTCCAAACTATACCACAAGACCAGGTAGCGAACCATAGACTGCAGCACGGTTGGAGTAGGCATATATAGACAGAGATGGGTGGCAGATCTCGGATACGAGAGCAAAGGGAGGAGGTACGTGATCGAGATCTGGGGGCGAGAGGAGGGAGGGGGAAGGGGGGGAAGGAGGAAGAAGAAGAATAGGAAGAAGAACTGGAGAAGCCTCAATATTGGTGACGGGAAGAGGCGATGAGGAAGAGGCGGGTAGTACTGTGGTTGATAAATGGATTGAAGGTTGATGGTGTGTGGTGACTACCGTGACTAACTGACAAGGGAGTACAGTAGATCAGGTCCGATGGAACATGAAAAAATCAGGGTCTGTACTTTGTACTCTGTTAGAGAATCCGGAGAAGGAATATTGGTGAATTGGGAGGCGATCGGCTTGCGCACCGAAGACCAGTCGATCGCTTTGCTCGCAAGAGAAACCGAGCGGAAAGGGAACACGATTTGGCGGATTCGCCCGTAGACAAGATTAATTACGCGGTGACGAACAACGCGAAGCAAGAAGAGTGGGGCCTTGCAAATGATCTGATACCGCACGGTAGGCGACAAGTGACAAGCGACGCAACAGAGCCCCTCAAAACTCAATCTCAAAGCAACTATGTATCTTCACGGCTCAAGCCATCAATCGACCAAGCGAGAGGATGTGGGAAAGGTGCAGACATGACGCAGGCGGAGATGATATGTGGCGTGGTGAGTAGCCTAGGGATGGGTTTGGTATGGGCGCATTTAGGTTCTTACTCCTTCAAGGCTAGGTTAATTCCAACCTCCAGTCTCCACCCGAACCATACGATACACTGTGAGGTGTTTCAAATTTCAATTCTACCAGACGGTACAGAGTAGTTACAAGCCTGTAGTATAAGTTTGTACAGCAAGACATCGAATCATGAAATCATAAAATCATGGGAACTTCAACGTCGAATCGTCGAATCCTACTCCATAATTCTTCCCACTTCCCTTTCGATTCGGCTGTTCCGACTGCAGATCAATCCTTTCACCTATGTAACTAAGTTCCTTTGGATTACTGTAATACTTACAGAATCCTGATGGAACAGAATCGCAGAAGAGGCGGTGGGGTTACATTTTGAGATACTTTGGACTTGGTCATATTTGCGTAGGCAACCGAGTAAGCAAGACGATACAGTATAATCGTACAGTTTTTCGAACATCTTTGTATGACGATTTCGGAGATCAGATGGTGTTCTGTGGAGAGCGGGCAGCTGAACCCTTTCGAAAGCACCCACGGGCCACGGTTTGCCACCGGGCTAGGTAGCCTACCGGTAGCTCTCTGGTGGAATGTATTTGGAAATCCCGAAAATCAGTTCATGTCAAGATTGACATGAACTGTCGGTTCGGAGCGGGTCCAGTCTTGTTCAACCTTGTGTCATAATCTGCTTAGCAACCCATGACAGCGGTACAAGCAAACGGTCTTATCATCGTACACTGTATTAGTGCCAGCGGTGATTTGTGACTTGTGACGTGTGAGAGAGAATAATAAGTGAAGGTGAGCTCATGCTTAGTGGGAAGGAGTGTCTCATTCCTAACGATATATTATATGGAGTTATTGTGACAATGAGCACTATTATGGAAAGGAGAAGCAGAGGAACAAGGGAAACCAAGGATACTTCCTTTCCTGTACTTCGGCTAACTAATACTAGTTACTGATGAAACTACTTCAATAGCGCATCCTATTGTCGCATCATCCAGCTAGGTACCTGTTGATATCAATTATCAAACTGTATTCCGTATCCCAAAACTCTGTAACCCCTCAATAATGTCTATGACCACTGACCGCCGACGACATCCCTACTCCTGCTATTATGTACATGCTCATGGACACCAGGAGCCTTGGAACCCTTCGTTCGGTTGGTCCATGTCCTAATTTAGCTTAGAGTCAAGTAACTGCTCGGCCATATTACTAAGTTAACTAACTAGTTAACTAACTTAGTTAGTTAACTAGTTAATACTAAATGGTAGTTATTACTCTTTCAAAATCCTTTCCCCTCACTCCCCCTCACCCTCACCTTCTCAACGCCCATTCCTATTCCCTCCGGACCCTTTCCCTCCTCTCCTATGAACCCCCGATTTTCAATCGTCAAACAAAATTCTCGAAGCCATCCGCATCAAGAGAGAAAACATGCGATCTTCTCCCCATTGGCCATCGAGCCGCGTCCCTTGCCGTATTCTGCATTAGTCCACCTCCCTTTCGATCGGATTCTGGGTAGGCGATCGTTGTCCTGCCATCCGGTCTATACCTGAAACGATTCCGTGCCTGCCATGGTGCAGCGCAATCGATCCCTCCGCGGAACAATTTCTGGATAGATCTTCCGATGTTGGCTTACCGATCGTACGATTATGATGCTCCTAACCCAGCAGAGACAGGGGCATGCAGGACGACACTGCGCACAATATTCCACGTGCACGGCTCTGCTTCTTGAAATCGCTTTCTGGAATGGCTGGTGAGATTTTCCCCCCTCAGAAGTACCAAAATCACCACATTTCAACTTCAACGCCAAACAGCTCAACACCAGCTTCGAAATAATATAATTTTTAAATGCTAAGAAAAATACTAAAGCCTGGGTAACTGAGCCTACTATTTTAGATCTCTAAATACCCCCTGCGTTGTGGTTTAATTTTGTGCTGAAGTTGGTGAGTTGTATGAAAAAACTGCCATAACTTTAATCCTAAATCACGTAACACCACAACTTATTAGGATTAAATTTCGGAGTCTAGGAGCAAGAGGGAGTCCTAAAGAACTCTATCTAAGTTTTGAATTTAAAAATAATGCTGAAAGTGTGGCTATATTGCCTTGTAAATTTCCAAAGCGGCGGTTTGGGACTTCTGAAGGGGGGAAAATCTCAAAACGGGGGGGAAAATCTCACCAGCCGGAATGGAATTCTCGATTGGATGCGAGATTCGAACACAGATATCGATGATTCAAGTCACTACCGGTATTAATTACAAGGGGGCAAGGTGGTAGAGTCCCCCTAACCCGTAATATGGAGCCAAAAATCGGACCTCTGAGAATTGTCCGCAGGGATGAGAGATGAATCCTGATAAAACTGTTAACTGTAAACTGTGAACGGGTTAAGGTCCACCATTGGTACCATGCTGTCTCATAGTATGGTTCTATTTATCCGAGTATCTCATATTCTTGCCGTTGCTTGGAGTGCCGCTTTCGATCCTATGAGTGTTACTGGTGACACGAAGACGAATCTTGGAAGCTGCAGAATTGGCGAATGAGGCTGGCGATGCTATGCATTCCTCAACTGCAGGGCCATTTCTATTGCCATGCTGAGGGATGATGACTGATCTCGAGATTCAACTGGCCAAGATAATAATACATATAGTACCTACCGGTAAATGTGGGAAATACCTGCCCCAGACCTGGACCTCAAAATTATGGCACGACCCGGAACCGACCAGTCGTATTCTCCCAATCCCTAATATCCCTGGTTGCCTCTGCCCCATATCCACATCGGAGGGATGGAGGTGCGGAGATGCTATTTTTCGAACAGCATGCATGATTTCGCCCACCAGTGGCAATTTTGCATGATGCAACAACAATCCCATGTACCGGAATACCGGTCTACAGGACCGTTCCATATGACTTCGGTCGGAAATACCAGGCTCAAGCCGTCAAGGTACCGTCACTGTCCTACCACGCCATATCATCTAGCCGCGATTTTGCACCACGTTGATCCTTCGATCAAAGACATCAATCGCCTTGTTATCATTTTTGAACATTTTCTTTGGGGTTTGGAGAGAAATAGTTATTGTAAACATGTGGTGTTGACCAGAGTCCATCACCACCTCTCCTGATAGATTCGCTGCCCGACCGTCTTCCCATTCTTCCGTGCCAGCCCTGGGTTAACTGTTGGTGCAGGAGGGATTGCGAGAGGACCGTTCCATTGCCATATTATGGAAGTATCCAGAGGACACCATCCGTTGTCCAAACACATACGGCAGACTTAGACCTATCGAGGTAGAGCGTCTCAAGCGACCAGGAGCTACAACTAGATTGCCGCTGAAGCAAGGTTTTCGAATAACCCCCGGCGACCACAAAGTTAACACTAGTAGCCGTGTCTCGTCCTCTTTCTCATAGATGCACGATGGTCTAAATCTCCATGCTTTGGTAGCTGCTCGCTCGCATGCAACTGCTGGTATCACGGTCCAGGCCTTATACCGGACCTTCACCACCAGGGATCAACTAGTGCCAGTTAGTCTCTGCTTGCGCACATAGATAATCCATAGGAAGGGGCTTACCATGCAAATATTGTTGCCGTTGAGAAGGATTTTGGAAATCTTCGTGTGCGTGCCGCTGTAGTCGCTGCAAGAAGTCAGCCTTGTCGGGAAAACAACGATACGGAGCGATGCCATGAGGTCTGAATCTCACTTACAATTCGGTCACGTCCTCGAGGACCATATCTGTACCAAGTTAATATCTGCGGACAGGCTCCAACGCCAACGGGAATTTAGGATGGCACTTACTGACATAGTCATCAAATCCAAGCAGCGTGCCGGAGAACTCTGTTCGTCATTGAATTTAGCAAACCAATCATTCCTCCGAAGGTGAAGATGGAAATACCTTTGTCGCCTTTCATGACGACCCATATTCTTGACCCAACGCACTTGTCAATCAGCTCTGCAGGATATCAGCTATCATGTATACGGCGCCCCGGTGAACGTTGCAACATACCGAGAGGAAGCAGTTGGGAGGCCATGCTGAGCGAGCTCTGACTGTTGAAATCAAGTATCCAAGGAATTCATTAAGGACATCCGTAAGTCTTCCCGAAGCTTATAGGTGCCCAGTCCCTGTATGAAGGTCGATGTTTGAAGGGCAAGATTTTGGTACCACGTGATTGCGACGATTGGAAGTCTAGTACGGCTGGCGAAGTATGCCGATCATGCAAGTTCTTAGACAGCACACGTGACAGGTCGTCTGGTGCCGTATGTGCCAGCCATGGATCGTGCTTGTGACTTCAAAGTTCAATTGTCATAATTCCTCCATAATTAATAGGTAATTCCATCATCCATGAACTGAACATTTCATTCAATTTCAATTCGACTGCAACTGCAACTTCAACGGCACCGGCAATAGAAAATTCGACCACACATGACATCATAATCCATTTCATCCAAGCTTTTATTATGGAAGCTAGTGTCGAGGTACACTGGTACAGACCAATGCCGTTGCAAACAACCAACGTAAATATCTTTATCATCAGCATCACGAAAGGCCCGATTGAAGAGCATTTGGCCTGACCCACGAGATCGATGATTGTTCACAAGATTCCCTTCAGTCTTCTGCCTTTGCGCTCGGTCCGGATATGTAATGGCCAGGTAATGGCCAGGTAATGGCCGTGTAATCCCAGACATGAAGTGCTGAGACGACACACCAACTTCGGCGTACTGCCTAATTCCTGGTTCGACTGTACTGGTTGCTTGGTGTGCCATGCAGTTTTGATATCCTAATTAATTATTGCCCGCAACGATTGGTGTTCACTCGTCACTTTCCCAACCCCAGCGACTCACCTACCGCCGCCAGGATCAGGAAGCGCGATCAAACAATACGAACCGCAGCATCGTGACAGGAACAAGTTCCTGTACAACAAAGATAAAACCAAGCATCTCTTGCTCACTCCTTTTCTAATCGATATGTCCCAAACTCGAGCACAGTTAGACGCCCAGAGGAAGCGGCAAGCTCCAGCACCAAAGGATCAAGGTGCGCTTTTCGTGCTGCTGCAGTCAGGGCAGTATTTCCCTAACCATTATCAGGAATGCGACCTCACGGTGTCGAGAAATCACACAGGAGCACACCCGGAAAAGTCACTCATCGCGGGCGACCTGTACCCAAGATCCACCCACATCCATCGCAGGCAAACATCGACCCAGGAGTATGCCAATTCCATCCTACCCGCGATGCCATGCTAATATCTCTTTCACAGGATTCACCACCGCCTCTCCGACGTAGAGACAGAAAGCGATCGCACATGGTTGAATATTCTGAGCACGGTCTTGACGGATCCCCTCGGAAGCGGCAACGAACATCCGTTCCACAACCTGCTGCTAAAGATATCTTCAGACAACAGCCGGTCAGCGGCGACGTCGACGATTTGGTAGGCGTCGAATTCTGGACGAGGGAAGGACACTGGCCACCAGAATATTTCGAGCCGAGCACTATGGAGCAAGTACTCGCGAGGAAGCGATCGTCGCCATCTCTTCGCCGTAAGCGATCGGGATCGGGCATCACTGCATCTAGCGCTGTCACACCAAGCGATCAGAAGCCGAGGGCGGAAATGAGTGCGCCATATACGGACGCGCAGTACGAGCTTCTTCTCCAGGCGAAGGGCACGTAATGAATGAGTCCAAGCTAGATGTCACAAACGAGAGCTAGCGCCTTTGCCACGACCTCCTCGACGGCGAACAGACGTTTCCCAATGAGTCGATATTCGACGATGATGTGTTCAAGGACGCCTGCCAGAACCTGCAGAGACAGAATGAAGCTAGAGTCCTTCAAGACATTTCTCGGCTGATCGTCCCTTCGGCGGAAACGCTTGGACTCCGCGCCAAGAACCTTAAACACATCACCGAGAGCGTCAACGAGGGCTGGAACAACTCTATCCCTCTAACCGGAACTCGTCCACAGCCCGACTACTCTGTGGGATTCAGGCGCGAGGCGTTTACAGATGATCAGCTCCACAAGCTCTCGCCGTTCATTGGCGACTGGTTATCTGGAGACCTATCATACTTCATGGCCACGTACTCTATGTACTTTCCGTTCCTAGCGTGTGAAGTGGAGTGCGGCGACGCGGCGCTCGACCTCGTAGATCACCAGAATGCCCATAGTATGACCCTCGTAGTACGAGCCGTCGTTGAGCTCTTCCGCCTCGTGAACCGGGGGAAGGAGCTCCACCGTCAAATCCTCGCCTTCTCTATCTCTCACGATCACCGATCTGTACGGATCTACGGTTACTACCCTGTGATATACAGGAAGAATACAAAGTATTATCGCCACCCGATCCGTACGTTTGACTTCACGGAACTGGACGGCAAGGAGAAGTGGACAGCATACCGCTTTACGAAGAATGTCTACGACAAGTGGATGCCTGCACCACTTGAGAGGATCCGCTCGGCCATCGACCAGTTACCGTCTGAGTTACCGTCTGAGTTAGATTTTGACGTATCCTCGCTCCCCGAGGAAACCAGTCTTTCCCAAGACCTCGAAAGCCATCCGTTATCGCAGTCCAATGCTAACTCCGCATCAGCGCCGAAAGGTGACGATAGTGAGTCGAGCGTTGCGGGTAAGCGAGGGGCCACTCCAGATACCTCATTCAAAGGGTCAAGAACCTCAAAGAGGCCGAAGAAACTACATGGCACGAGATAGGAGCCGGAGCAAGGAGGGAATAAGTCCATCCATACAGGCAGCTAGCAAGCATCATCTGAGGCACGCCACACGACTTCAACTCCAATCAGGGTATGCATGGCCGAAGGCACGGTCTGGGAGTCCTTGGAGAAATCCTTGACGATAGTGGGCCACGTACCAATTCTGCTGGGAGACCTCATACTGTTTCAATTTATCTCCGTCACCCGTCCGGTGGTTATGGAAAGCAAAACGACGATGGGGAGTTAGTCGTCTCAAACACCTCTAACTGTTCGACGTGATGCTAACACCAGCATTTCTCCGGATTGATTGGGGGGCGGCTCCGCATATTCGGTTTTGTACCGCTAAAGAGATAATGCAATGTATCAATTATTAAGTCATGCCTTTGCCCTGGTATTCGAAATGTTTTGGGCCCACAGATGTTCCAAACATCCGTAGTTCCGTGTGCTCAAGAGGGTACATCCATGTCCATTAGAGAACCATCTAATATATTAGAGACGATGACGAAGTACACAAACCATCCGTGCATTGAGCTATAGACTCTGTAAAGCTTGTTTAAAGGCGCAATGCCGTCGCTGTTCCCATCGTGCTCGCTCAACTTCGGATAATTTGATCAGTTTCCCCGGTTCTCAGCCATGAAGTTTGCCGAATTCGCAGTCGCCGCCGTTGCGGTTGTGTCCGGAGTGGACGCTTTCCCTACACTCCTGAAGCGTGCATCGGTCTCGGAGGCGGCCTCCGTTGGGTTTGCGACATTGAATGGAGGGTATGCAACCATTTCCCTTGTCCTTTACCCAGTCTTATCTGACGGACACGGCATAGAACTAAAGGGGGAGCTGGAGGGCCAACAGTCAACGTTGCTTCGGCAGATGCACTTCAATCCGCCGTCGAAGGCAACGACCCGAAGATCGTAGTCATCACAGGGCCAATTTCCGGGGCTGTAAAGATCAAGATCGGGTCAAATAAGACGATCCTGGGGAAGGACTCGTCTGCAAGTCAGTATCCTCATAAATCATCCCCAGATCGTCGATTTTGGAATGCTGATACACGTTTCCAGAACTCAATGGAGTTGGTTTGTCGATTGACAAGCAAAAGAACGTCATTATTCGCAACATTGTCATTTCCAAGGTTGTGGCGAAGACTGGGGATGCGATTAGCATCCAGAGGACGACGAACGTATGGTACGCAAAACGTCCCTCCACTCGAAGTCATGATTTATATTGACTAGTGTGCTAGGATCGATCACTGCGACCTATCTTCCGACAGGGAGCATGACAAGGACTACTATGACGGTCTTCTTGACGTCACCCATGCTGGAGACTTTGTGACCATTTCCAACACGTACCTGCACGATCATTGGAAAGCCTCCCTCGTTGGCCACTCGGACAGCAACAAGGCCGAAGATACGGGCCACCTCCGTGTCACCTACGTCAACAACCGGTTCGCCAAGATCAATAGCCGCGCCCCTAGTTTCCGCTTCGGTACCGGCCACATCTTGAACAACCTGTTCGAGGATGTCGCGGATGGGATCAACACCCGTCTCGGGGCGCAGCTCCTGGTCGAAGGGAACGCGTTCGTAGGAGCGAAGAAGCCGTTGTACTCCACCGACCAGGGCTTTGCGGTCGAAAAGAACAACGATTTTGGCGGAGGCGCTAACACCGCGCCTAAGGGAACTCTGACGAGCGTGCCTTATGAATACAAGGCTACCGCTGCGGGGCAGGTCAAGGCCGCAGTGAGTGGGGCGGGTGCTACGCTCAAATTCTGAGCAACTCTCGCACGACTGACGCTGTCTGTGGGCTCGGGACTGTAACCGGTCTGGTCAACGTATGGTTCGCACAATCCGTAATGTTCGAGTTCATTGTTTGGCACTGCCTGAAGGAAAAGCATGCGTTGCTCTCCTGTTGCGGAGGTGATGGCCCTTGTATTGGATAGATAAAATCCAATCATTGCCAATGATCAGCAAGTTTGGTTTTCACGCGGACCTGTGACCACTGCCGTCCTCGACCGGAAAAACTGTAAAAACCGGGTAAATTGCATAGTAGCAAACCGGTATTTGACCGTCAACCAGGGTTTCCATTGAAATGGGGGAGCATGGCCGGCACAAACTCCACGTGTGATTGGTCGGTGGTCGTAGGCGTAATCGTCGAAAGGGGCCCGGCAGAGTTTGGTTCCGAGGCGGAATGGATCGTGGACATTTCTGGCTCCAACTTGTGTTCGTCTCGGGGGGACATGTTAGGGTCTCCGTTACCTAGAGATGGCAACGTTTTGATGACTGGTGCTTGAACTGGAGGGCTCTCTTCATGCAAGAACTACTGCTGTAAGCTACGAGGAAAACTTCGGGCATGGCGACGGCATACCTTAGGTGAGTTCGATGGCAGACCACGCTCCATCGCAAGCCGATGAGCTGCTCGCCTCTTTCTCGATATATCTTCCTCTTCCTGCCTCTCAAGGCGAAGATCTTCATCTTTTAAATCATCAAGCATAGGCGCGTCAACATCCTCGTCTTCAAGTATGGATACCCTAGACTTGGCATCTTTTATCCGCTGTTCGCCGTCATGCCGAATGCTCTTAGACGACACGGATCGGGTGGAGACTCTGGATCGAGACGGTCGCTTGCTGTCCGTCTTCCCACTAAGCGCTTCTTCCGAGCCTACGGGTCGAGTTTCGAGTACCATGGCGAACTCATCGTCGAGCGGAACTGCATCGTCGAGTTCGTCTTCGCTAGGGAAAATATCTCCTCTGGAACTCAGCGAGTCCTCGGTCTGTCCCGACGCGGTAGTGCTACTGCGATTGCGCGTGTGCCTTTTCATGTTTCCCTTGGCTTTCCCTCGCCCGTCGGGGTGTGAAACCGATGCCCATGCCTCCTCCTCGCTGTCTTCAATAAGCGGTTGGTGCGACTCGTCCCACTCCAGTCCCGCTCTTCGTTGTCCCGGGTGGTCTTGTAAATCCGCAGCCGAGGGCCTGTATTTCAGTCCCTTTCCACCAATCTTCCAAGGGAGCCGTCCGAGGAATCCAAAATAGTTCGAGTTGGGAATGATGGTCGGATCCACTCCCACGTCATGCGGTTGCCCTCCACTCTTTCGTCTCCCCCTTTCGCCGCTTACCAATCGATCCCTGCGCGTTCCGTAGGACATAACTTGTTCGCGTCCTGGCTGAGCATTTCGACTCCCCGAGCCGGACAATAGTCGATCGAGCTCATCATTGCCCCACGCCAAGATTCCGGAGTCCTCTCCTCCTTCTTCATCCCAGTCGTCGTAGAAATCAAAGTTCAACTCGGCCCTTCCTCTTCCTCTCGTTCGTCTCCGAGCGCGATCTTGTCGGAGCTTCTCGTCTCTGGAAGGAAAGCATGTTCCAACACAGGAGGTGAGGCATTGGGTAACCGACGACACGCATGGGTCGATATATGTTTGGGAGAATGAATATAAACCGACTTGGGCGGTCTCGTTCGCAGCTTCAAGGTTCTGAGAGAGTTGATTGAGGGTTCGGCGAAGCCGTGGATCGTTGCGAAACATTCTGATGCATTGCGAGCCAACGGCGGCTCCACGTTGTCATCAAGCTATCGGAATTGCGAGCGCATAGCGGTTATCATCGAACATGGGACACAATGTCCATTGGTATTGCAGCTCTAGGTATAAAACGGTGAGTGAGGTTTGTTTGTTTTGCGACGATGTGAACTTCCGATGCGTGTAGAAGTGTAGATGAGTTGGACATGGAGTGCCGTCGGGACATCAATGGAACCTCCGAACCTGAGCCTCGAGGACGCACGTGCGCCAAGCCAAGCCAAGCCTCAAAAGTCCCGTGACCTCGAAGAAAACCCTGTTGACATAAATTCTCGGTTCTTTGCTCCCCATCCAAACTTTACCATCTCCCTCCTTACACAGTACGGTGTCGCTCGAATATCTCGAATATCCTAACGCAAATGTCAGCGTGTAGTCAATTGACGAGCTACCTACCAGCAGGAAGGGATTCATATAACGACGGCTGAGACCCTCCTCAAGATTAGACCTTCGTATGGCCCAGTATTCCCGTTTCCAAATGCAAGCCAATCTTCCCCAATCCTTCTGTTCAATGGAGGACCACGGATTTTTCTACTTGCAAGATGAATGAACCGCAAGTTTGAGGCACCTGATCAGATTCCATCATCAAGTCGTCATAGAAGCGCGGCACATACTATCGATGCTCAGGGAGTTGGAGGAAAGTGAGCCACACCCGAGCACCAAACGAGATTCGCCAGCAGCTTCTTTTTCTGGTTGGCAAAGTTAACTACTATGTATGAAGGAATTGGTGCATCGTGCTTATCTGAAGTCACTGGGGATAATTTTAAAGAGTGACGGTTCCTTGCCGGTTTCTTCTATTTCTAATCCAACCTTGGGTAGCTTACAAGAGAATCAGGGGCAATATTGAGCATGATTGTTTTGACCGAGGATTGCACACAATTGTTATTACTGAGAAACGTGCTTCGAAGATGAGGGCGACCTTCTAGGAGCCGATAATATTGGATCGTCGATATTGTAGATTATCCATTTCCACACGGTCACGTTAACCAACATCTCTTAGGATCTCATCAGTATAGAGTATGTGCCATGACAATGTGATTCCTATTCGCTTGTTCTATATTACGGGCTATGATGTGTGCTCTTCAGTATCATTGTCCGCTGGATTCGAACTGCCACCGATCTCTGCCGCAGAGGTATCCTGCTGCGACTTCTCCTTTGCTTCCTCCTCTTCCTCTGCATCCTCCCAATCATCGATGACCTCTTCCTTCTTCACCACCTTCTTAGCCGAGGACTTGCCCAGTCCAGCTCGCAGGACCGTAAACGCATTCTTGTCGCTAAAACGTTTGGCCTGGAGCACCCGCTGTGGAGCAGATGCTTTGGCAGCCACTTGACTCCATCCACCCGGGCTCGTCACCTCGCTCTCCTTAACCATGATGCGTAGCGATTCGTCAACGCGACAAAGTTGGATTTTCCCAATGGCATTGGAGCGAATGATGTCTTGTAAGGGAGCCTTGACCATCTGGATAACGGCATCCACGCCCTTCATCGCAACCCATGATGGTTGTTGGGTTGCCGGCCGAATGACCACATTCTCGTTAGGTAAGAAATCGATATCGAACTTGACCTGGGGGTGACTTTTCTCAAGTGGCTTCATGGCAGCTTGTATGGCATCGGCGGTCAGGCCAAACGTCGCATCAGTGATGAGGAACGCATTGTAGGTCTCAGCAACCGCTTGTCTTGCAGCAGTAGCTGGAACGGCGGATACCAGAGTAGTGCGTTGCTTATTTCGGGTGTGGTTGGCCTCGGCGATGGTCTTCATGTGAGAAGAGACGAACCGGGGCGTTTTGAACACCACGACGTGACGATGCGGTTCGGGGTCCAGACTTTCCGAGTCAAGAGAGAAATCCTCAGCAAGATGGTGTAGGAATGCTCGCTGATGCGACTTCATCGGCGAGAACCGAAGTCGTCGCAGGTCCGGATCGGCGGCAAAAATCCGGAACTTCTGCTCCTGCTCCTGTGCCCACACGGGCGACTCCGCATAAAAGTTGAGGGTTTGGGTAGCATATGGAACGTGGTCGTCCTCATGGTCGGGATCGACATTCAATGCAAGCGCCAGCTTTCGGTTCCGTTCGAGCCGTAAACACTCATCGTTGCATTGTAAAGCTTTTTCCCGGTTTCCGACGCTCGACTTGGTGGACAAGCACTTGGTCTCTTGCTTGACTCGTTGGCATGGACAAGTGATGAAGATTTTGTGCGGGCACGGCTTGCCTTCATCGCAAGGCCCGGGGGCATGACACCGTGCGAGATCCGAATGCCCACAACTCGACCTCTCCTTCCCGCACGGTTGATCGCAGACAGTTTCGCATTCCCCAGGGCGGTGACACTGTTTCCGACAACGGTGGAACCCGCATCGGAGCTTCTGCCCGCAAATCTCGCCGCATCGAACTTCTTGAAACCAACAGGGTTGGTTGTTAAGCTCGTTGCGAGCGCAGAGACAGCGCTTCTTCATGAGAAACGGGCATTTGGGGCAGGGTTCGGCGTCGAGGTGGCAACGGTGGGACACTTGCGGATGCCCGCATGATTTTGGACGCTCGCAATCGAAATGACACGGCGGCGGTTGTGTCCCACAAGGCAATGGAGGCTGAAGGACCGTTCGACCGCAGGCGCATGAAACCTCCTCGAATATGGCTTCTGGACACGAAGGGCATGGTCCGGAATGGCAGAGCTGCGTACAGCTGTGGTTTCCGCAGCGTAACATCCGGCCGCAAACCAGGGTACAGATGTGCTCCTCTTCCACGGCGTTGGCGTCACGCACACTGGAAGCCTGACTCAATGGCTTCAGTTTCCGCTTTTGGCTCATTCGCTCGGCCGCTGCCTTTTCTCCCTCACAACACCTTTCCGCGCAGGTATGTCTTCCGCAACTGAGTGTGGCTCGGCAAACCCGCAGACACTGTGGCTTCTCCTCGGTTCCTTGATGGCATATCGATTTCGACGTTGTTCGCCCACATCGACAAGATATCTGAATGGTTTCAGTGCAAGGCCGGCATGGACCCTCGTGACACGATTGTTTGCAGACGTGCCCGCAAGGAAGGGGTTGCGAACAGCGCTGCCCGCAGAATGGAATCGGATCGGTACATGAAGTGCGAGGCGAGTCTAAGATGGTCATGAGTTTCGTCTTCCCACAGGGACAGTGGGTGATGATATCCGGTGACTTGGGGCAATGTGCCGCATGTTCATCCTGCGTGTGGCAACCTTTCGAACACGAATGCACTCCGCAATCGAACAAGCGTTCACACTCACTGCCACAATGGAAGCAACCGATGCAAGGCTCTCGTCCGCCATTCTCGGTAGAAACAAAGGTTTCTTTCCGCTCGTCTTGATCGGAGCAGACCATGGTCTTGCTGTCTTTGCCGCAATAGCATAATGTATCGATGACCGTCTGACATGGTCCGCAGAGACCGGGATGACATGGCCTTGGACAGGTATGCTCGCCACACGCCATCAGTTCCCCACAAACCGCTTGACAACTCCAGCCGCCCTCATAGTCGGTATCAACGCATCTTCGTGTAGCGGATTCTCTTCCACAGAAACAAGACTGCTCCGTCCCCATATTCGTACAAGGTGTACACGGGCCTGGGTGACATATAGTCTCGCAAGGGTGAGGACATTTCCGGACTCGTGGTTTGGCACACGTCTGACCACATGAGAAAGGTGGGAGGCCGGGGATTGACTGAGGATCTGTCTCTTTGTCGCACCAGCAGTTGAAGGTCGTCGGGAGCGTGTCCTTCGGTAGATTGCATCCAGGACACCTCCAATGCCGTGGTGGCTCTTCACCGTTTTGCAGCACCGGTGGCTGATTCCACTGGCCTGACGACCACTTTTTGACACATCCAAAATGGAAGACGCTCCAACACGTCCTGCACGACCAAATTTTGGAATTCCGATGCACTTCGTTCATGCAAATGGAACATTCGTAGAGGTGACGATCAATATCCTCACGAATTCTGGTGCTGATGTCAGGAGCGGATGATCTTGACATCCGGCGTTTTTGCCTCGGGGTATTGGAGTGGGAGTGAGGAGCATTTGATCCAGGCGGCTGTTGATATGGTCGCCCAGGTACGAAAACAGGTGCCTGAGGATTGGCCCCTACAGGGGACGCCGCGTCTGGCTGATTGTGTGCAGCGGTGGCATTGTTGGTGAGATGACCTCCAAAAGTTCGACCATTGGCGACTTGGTGGGGTGGTTGTCTTGAAGGGCCGGCATTGACTGAATTTGTATTGGCACGGGCACCTCTACCTCTGAAGCGTGATCTTGAAGAAGGGCCGGCATTGATTGAATCGGGATTGACATGAACTCCTCCGCCCCTGGGAGGCGGTCTTGAAGGGCCAGCGTCGACTGAATCGGGATTCACAGGAGCTCTACCCCTGGGAGCCCGTCCTCGTCTTCCACCTCTTCCTCGTCCTCGCTGAGTCGGAACACTCCCCTGGCTTTCAAGCGCCATCGGTTGATTCTCGAAGACAAATTGATAAATCTAGGGAAGAAAATCGGAAAACAAAGACTCGCAAGGGATATATTGAAATTTAGACCGCGCCGTCTTCGGGATAGGTGGTGGCAACCCTGAAGGACGTGTTCTGGTGGCGATGTGTGGATTTTTCTCGATGTTGCAAGGATCTTCGTAACGTTGGATGATCACGAGCAGGCGTCAGTTGTGGGAGGGATATTGAGGTATTCAAACACCGGAATTCCTGGATGTTCTTGGTAATGTTTCTTTTGGGAAAGAGTTGAACAGAATATTGGCCAGCGTGGTCGTCCGGAAGCGTCGCTGATTTAACCTAATGCCACAGCAAATATCAACATGGATGGCTCTCTGTTACACTCGGTCCATGACATAACATACGAGAGACTTTAGCTCCATAAGGCATAAAGTGAGTCAAACCATAAGTATTGATAAGCTACTGCAAACCGTGCCCCATCAGTGCATTTAGCTTTGTAGCTCCGCCACCTTGTGAGTCAAGGCCTTCATCTACTGAATCAGATTCGTTATTCTGGAAGGGGATCAGATCTTGATGGAGTGATATGGCAGTGTGCTATGGTGGGTGAGGCTGTGTAAATATTGATTAATAATGATGGCGGAGTCGGTACTGAATCTCTACTTTGCGTTAGACTGAAGGGTGCCTGTAATTTTGGGGCGAAAATAGTTAGTCCCGAATCCACGCATCCTTGTCTCATCATGCTCATTATTGTTGCTCCCTCAGGTCTGAATCTTCTATCATGTGGTAGACAACGGACTCCTACCAAATCAACCTGTCCCACCTCTGATCACTTTGACCTACTTCAATATATCTACATCTCTTCTATATCAGAGTTGTGCAGGTCACCATGTCTCTCCCTCCGCCCCCTCCTGAACCGTCCAGCGTGCCACCTCCCCCGTCCGACATTCCGCCACCCCCAGCTCCCCCGGAAGTCAAACCCCCAGCGAAGAAAGGATGGGGAAATACGAAGAAGCAGCCCATCAGCGTGGAAGACCTCTTGAGGAAGAAGAGAGAGGCGGATGAAGCAGCGGCGAAGGTGAGTTAGCTCCCGACGAAATTCGGCCTTCAAGTGTTCACGCGACTACAGTTCCACTAACTGATGTCTAGCCGAAATTCATGTCCAAAGCGAAGCGTGAGAAATTGGCCCTGGAGAGATTGGCCAAAGAAAGAGAGGAGCAACAGCGACGGCGAGAATCGAGCCAGAATGGAAATGGAAATGGAAATGGATCTCAGCCCGCCATTGCGCCTCCGTCCAACGATAGGGAATCCGTAACCCGACGACCAAACAGAATGGCACCACCATCAATACCCACCGGTCCTCGAGCCTTGCGCCACGGCGAAGTCCCTACCGGACCCGCAGCGATGCGCGGTAGCCAGTCGAACCGTAGCGCCGAGTCCGCGCCAGCACAGAATGGCGCGTCTTCCGGGAAGGGCGACAAGAGGCTGGTGCCGGAGGATGCGGAAGTGCAGATCATCCGGCAGAGGTACATGGGAGCCGACCAGAATACATCGACATTTTCAGCCAAGAAGAAGCGGAAGCGAACCACGGAGAAGAAGTTCAATTTCGAGTGGAACGCGAACGAGGATACCAGCCGAGACTACAATCCCATCTACGAGACGAAGGCGGATGTCAACTTCTTCGGCCGAGGACACGGGGGCGGCATCTCCGATGATACGGACGAGGCGGTTCAACGATACGCGCAAGCCGTGGCGGACCTTGATCCCGAGGCAGGGAGTGCCCGAGCGCAGCAAATATTGGAGATGGAACGCCGACGAAAGGAGGAGAGCAGCCGCAGTTCGTTGGACAAGCACTGGAGTGAGAAGAAGTTGGAGCACATGCGGGAACGAGACTGGAGGATATTCAAGGAGGACTTCAACATCAGCACGAAAGGCGGCTCCATACCCAATCCGATGCGGTCATGGAAGGAATCCGGCCTCCCCAAACGACTTCTCGATATCGTCGAACAAGTCGGCTATAGCGAGCCGAGTGCTGTCCAGCGGGCCTGTATCCCGATCGCCCTCCAAGCCCGCGATCTCATCGGCGTGGCCGTGACCGGGTCCGGTAAAACCGCCGCGTTCCTGCTCCCCCTCCTAGTATACATCGCGGAGCTCCCGGAGCTCAACGAATTCAACAAGAACGACGGACCGTACGCGATCATCCTCGCACCCACCCGCGAACTGGCGCAGCAGATCGAAACCGAGGCGAAGAAGTTCGCCACACCGCTGGGTTTCACCTGCGTCAGTATTGTCGGTGGACATTCCATCGAGGAGCAGTCGTACAACCTCCGCAACGGCGCAGAGATCATCATCGCGACGCCTGGCCGGTTGCTGGACTGCATCGAGCGGCGGGTGCTCGTGCTCGGCCAATGCTGCTACGTCATTATGGACGAAGCGGACCGCATGATCGACCTCGGTTTCGAGGAGCCGGTCAACAAGATCCTCGACGCGCTGCCCGTACAGAACGAGAAGCCAGACACAGACGACGCGGAGGACGCCCGCGCGATGACCACCCACATCGCCGGCCGCGACACCCGCTACCGTGAGACCATGATGTACACCGCCACGATGCCCAGCGCGGTCGAGCGCATCGCGCGGAAATACCTCCGCCGCCCCGCCATCATCACCATCGGCAACGTCGGGGAGGCCGTCGAGACTGTCGAGCAGCGCGTGGAGTTCGTCGCGGGGGAGGACCGCCGCAAGAAGCGCCTGCAGGAGATCCTCTCGTCGCGGCAGTTCGCGCCGCCCATCATCGTCTTCGTCAACATCAAGCGCAACTGCGACGCCGTGGCCCGCGACCTCAAGCACATGGGCTTCAACGCCGTTACACTGCACGGCAGCAAGACGCAGGATCAGCGAGAGGCCGCGTTGGCGCAGCTGCGCAGCGGGACGGCGGACGTGTTGGTGGCGACGGATCTGGCGGGGCGAGGGATCGATGTGCCGGATGTGAGCTTGGTGGTGAACTTCAACATGGCAATGAACATCGAGGGGTACACGCATCGAGTGGGGCGGACGGGTCGGGCGGGGAAGAGCGGCGTGGCTATTACATTCTTGGGGAACGAGGATGCCGATGTCATGTATGTGCACCCCTCTCCGCGCTATATATTGCTGAACTGTTTACTGACGTCGATACAGGTACGACCTCAAGCAGATGCTCATGAAGTCCAGCATCTCTCGCGTCCCCGAGGAGCTGCGGAAGCACGAGGCCGCGCAACAGAAGCCGACACGAGGGACTCACAAGAAGATCGAATAAGGTTCTGGTACGGTGGTGCCGTGGTGGATGGTCGATGGCATGTCAATAGATCACTCTGGACAAACAATCACGAGCCGAGCAGGTCGATAATTACACTGTTTTCGATTGGAATGCATGCTTTATTTCGTGAACTCTGCGCACATCGTCCCTTTCCGAGTACTCGAGGAAAACAGCAATGTAGTTAGCGGGGAGAACCCATGTCACCCGTGTCCACAGACGGCAACTAAGAATGCCGACCCGCGAGCATCGACATCGAACTTATACACGGAACGCTCACATACTCCCCAGCCGCGCCTGCGACTGATGCGGACTTCCCTCCTGTCCACTCATCGCGCTCCCCGGCCGCTGCATCCCCGAATGCCCCGCCATCGCCCCCTGCGGCGTGGCACTCCGACTGCCCGTCGCGTTCACCCCCGGGCTCGCCGCCGTCATGCGACTCTGCTGCATCTGCCGCTGATACTGGAGCTGCTGCGCGTACTGCTGCTGCGGGGACCCGGAGCCGGTGAGCGGCAGCGACATGGGGCCGCCTCCTAGGGGTGGCGAGCCGGCGGGGGGGTAGCTGGGATTGCCGAGGTGGTTGAGGTGGGCGCCGGGGCTGCCGGACGCGGTGGCGCCGGCCGCGGCGGCCATGGCGGATTGGCGTTGGAGGAGCTTCGCGAGGTGTTCGTGGGCGGCGCGCTGGATCTGGTCGGTGGACATGTGTGGGTGTTGGTTTTGGAGTTGGGCCATGATCTGGTTGATAGCGGGGATGTGGCCTGAGGAGAGAGACTGGGGCTGCTTCATGGGGCCCGGACCGAGCTGGGACATGCGAGGGGACGACGCGTTGCCGGATCCAGGCATGCCGTTGGTTCCGTTCATCTTGCCTGCCATCGCCGCGACCATGGCGGGATTCTGGATTCCGGCGGAGGCCAAGTGGGCGGCGGCTAAGTTACTACGGTTGGCCAAATGCTGTTGCATTTGCAGCTGCGACGCCGGGTTTTGCATGGCGGCCCGCTGCTGCATGGCCATGCGCATCTCGGGAGAGTGATGAGGACCCATCCGCGGCTGGCCTTGCAGGCTGTTCGCCATCTGGCCTTGCTGCATGTTTTGCATGCCGTGCGGCATCCCGGACATGTTTCCGTTCGGCATTCCGTTCGGCATGGGCGAGGCGTGCTGGCTGGAAGGTCGATTCTGCATCGCATTCGCCGTCTGCGCTTGGCCGGCGGGATTGGTACCATTGATGGCGGAAGGTCCTGAATTCAGGCCGTTTTGAATGCCATTTCTCTGAGCGATCGAGTTGACGCCGTTGGTCGAACCGTGACCCGGGGGCGCTATTTGAGCTTGACGTGCAGCCTGCTGTATTGGTGAGCAATGGATCAATCTGGAAGGCCAGGCACGCTTACTCTTTGTTGCGCGGCCATCTGCTGGCGATACTGCTCCTGCCGTTCGAGCAATTTCTGTTCCCGTTCGTGCTTGATGCGGCTCATTTCCTGGGGACTGAAGATTCGAGTCTGGCTTTGATTGGTTTCGTTCGCGGCCTTTCGAAGTTGAGCGGCTTTCATAGCTAGAGATGTCGATTAGCAATGTTATCAAGTAGCCGGGCTCGGCAAAGAAACAATGTTAACTTACATTCGGCCTGTTTATGAGCAGCGGCCTCCCTCTTCCTGGCCAACTTGCGCATAGCATCGATGAGGGCGATGTGTCGTTCATTTCGCCTCCGTTCAACGCGCATGGGCGAGATGGTCTTGCGGGTTCGGACTAAGGGTTGGTTAGGGGTTTGAGCATGCTGCTGCTGGCGTATCCGATCCGCTACTTCCTGGCGAGCCACGGAATTTTTGTTTGCCGCATCAAGACGTGCCATGTATGTCTTGAAATATGGGGTCTTGGACATATCCTGTGGGAGCCCTTCGAGTTGGATCCAACGTTCAAAGCATTCCCATGGCGTTCGACGTTCCGCGCTGGATGTGAATAGCGATGGAGCTGAAAGAGACGATGCGATGAGGGACCAGTTGTATGAGTATTCTCTGACCAGACTTCGAAGCTTCTGGTCTTCCTCGTATAACCACTGCGAGGACAAACGACTCTCGAGGAACGCGACTGCAGGCATCCCATACTCTGACGGAGGTCGGAATGCATGGCTCGCATGTAAACGTTCACGGACGTGCTTGTTCTCGGGTTGGAATAAAGCAACGTCATTCTGCATCGGAGGCAGATCTTTGGACTTGTCCTCTTGTTCCTCCTCTTCGTAGTTATACCGGCTACGTCTCGTCGGACGGCGGCTCCCAATCGAAACAATCTTGCTTTTGCACAGCTTGGAGACAGGAATGAGTTGCGAGGATGGTTTCGGGGTGAGGGATTCGCTGCTCAGATGCTTCTCAAACGAGGGGAGTTGATTAAGCAGCCGGTCTGCCATCGGGGTCCAATCGAGCTCAAATACGACATCGTCAAAGCCCAGAGAGAACAATGCCATCGGCGAGATGGTCCCGTCACTTTGAGCATGAGAGGACTTTGTCGGTGTGGACAACTCGCTGCCCGACTCATTGGATTGCGACGTGGTGAGCGCCGGAGTGGATGGAAAATCGCCGTTGTTCGTCTCCATCGGCCGTGATGGCTGCGCCCGCGCCTTGACCTGCAGCTGGGAGCGCTCTTCTAGGGGTGCGTTAACCCAATCCGCGCACCATTCGGCCAGGTTCCTGGCACAGGCCATGCGTAACTTCCGCTCTTCCCGGAAATCGGTCCTCATCCATTTCATTTCACGAAGCAGATAATCCCAGTGCGATGGCGGTGTAGGAGGCTCTTTTGGAGGCTGCATTTGACGGAATGACCATCGATTCGCGTTTTGCAATTGGTATATCCGCTTCAGAACCCGGAACTCGAGAAGTTCACGGTTCACGGATAGCAAGTTCGAGGTGTTCACCGTCTTCGACGAACGTGTCGTCAACTCTCGTAACGTCTCCGACCGTGGGCTTTGGTATGACTGGAACCGGAACAAGGGTTCGAGATAGTCCTTGGAACTGTCTTCCGATGCTCCAGCCAGAGCCAGATACTCATCTGGCGACGTGGATAGCGCCTTGCGGATCTTCATTACGTTGGGATTGGCGAGAATGACCTGTGAATGTTTCGCCTTGAGGCCACGGGATCGAGGAGAGGCAATTAATGCCCTTGTGGTTTCGTCATCGATCTTGGCAAGGGCAGCACTGTCTAGCACTGATGAAGAAGGGTGATGAATACTGGAAGCGGCTAAGTCGGCCCCAATCGCTTGGGCATCAGACATCGTAACGTCTCCATCCGACTCCCGTGGCCCCTTTGATGGAGTCGTCCGGTCGATATCCATGCTATCCAGCGCGGTTCGACTTCTGTGAGCTTCTTCAATCATGTCCGCTTGCACCGTTGCATCGTCGGTTGCAAACGGTGGGACTTGCGATCCTGCAGCGATCGCGGAAAGAGGTTCGTTCGGAGTCGGTGTGGGAATAAGGGAAGGCGCATCGGTAACGACGTTCTCAGTCCGGGAGGATTGCGTTGCCTGTTCCTCCTCATGGCGTAGCTGTGCTTCTGGGGTAGGGGATAGTACGCTGCTTTCGGGCCTGTTTCGGTCCTTTGGTACGGATGGGGACGGTTGGTGCGAGAAAGACGTGGGAGCATTCGCTTTGATGACCCCCGTGAAGTCGGCATGGTCGTGCGGCTCTGCTTCTGGACTCGTTTCTGGCGACTTGAGCGCCGCTTTGGGTGTAAAGGCCGAGTGTCCGCCGACCGTCGAAGGCGACGATGCCGACTCGTTCGTGGGGACTGAGACGATAAGATTCGCATTCTCTCCGCCTCTTCTCCTTTTGCCCAATACCGTCTTCCGGGAGCGATCATCTTGCCCCTGCGAAGTCTCTGCGCTTGTGCTGCTCGAGGCCACCTCTTCGACAGATGAAATACTACTGCTATGGGCGTCGACTCCGTCACCCGGACCTAAAGGTGCTCGCGACGGTTGCGGTTGGGCCTCTTTCTGGCTGTCGGGTACGATGCCACGCGTTTGCGCGTCATGAATTTGTCTGCCTGATATGCTCTCCGCGTCTATAACTTGCTCATCAATTGCCTTTTGCTCTGTCGGCTGTGGTGCTGTCGGCTCTGCGCCAGGTCTGGCGTCCGAACCGGCAGGCAATGAGGTCGCTTCATGATCGGTTGCGAACGGGGTTGGAGACGTGGTTTTCGCAAATCCGGGCGCGGATGGTGAGGGTGCCGGTTCAGAAGGTGATATCGGAAGGGAGGGTTTCACTATTGGAGGAGAGGGCGCGTTCTGAAAGCCATTTTGGAGAGTTGGAGGAAGAGGGATGGTTTCTTCGCGAAGTGTTCGACCTCTACAAAGTGAGTTAGCAGTCGGACAAAAGTGATACAACCGGAAAGGGTCGTGGAAGTTCACTGGACGCGTTTTTGGCAATGCACGTACTTTGTAAGGTCATTTTGGTCGAGGAAGTTGGCTTCGTCGGGGGTGGGCGGCGCGTCGACGGGCGGTAGGGTTGGGAGGCCCCCGACGTTGGTGCTAAAGGTGAACAGGGCCCGCAGATGGTCGCGGTGCAGCTCGGCGGATTTCCTAGAAAACGCGAATTAGAATCGCAACGCGGACGTGATAATTTCCATCAACGAAAATACGGTGTCGCATCGCGTCCGGCAAGTGATATATGATGACGATGGCAATATTCCATCGCTGTGGAGGGCGCGACTTACAGGGCCTCTGCCTTCTTCGAGTTCCATATTGCCTCACGGACGTTCTCCAGTATGGACATGAAGACGCTATTCGGGGGGCAGAAAATCCGGCATTCCTGCGCAATGAAACGGAGGAAGTGTACAGAAGTGGAATTTTCGGCGCGAATTGATGGAAATGATGGGGTTGATGGGCTCCGACGATGAATGCGTGGTGAAGTGATAGTGGTCGTGGTGGTGAGAAGAGTGATGGAGTGGAACAGTGGAAGTGCCAATTGGGTGGAGGAAGTCGTGGTTTGGTGAGTGAGAGCTGGGTGGGTGAGAGAGTTGTGACTTGTGAGTGAATCCAGCAGAGAGACTGAGTGAAAGGAGTGACATGGAGGCGGTTTGCCCTGGCGGCCGGGGGGCTACTCCCTCCCCCTCCCCCTTACGGTTCACAGTTCACCTCACTGCAAAACTGCAAAGGCACCTGCTCTCGGCGGCGGGGATGTACGTAGTGTCACTTCTTACTTCTTAGAGATGTCCTCGCTTCCCTACTTCCTTACTTCCCTAATTACTTTTCTTCATCTTCAACTTCGGAATCATTACTATAGCGTGCCTTTCATGTTTTGATATAATTATTAGATTCTACTTATTGTTCGGAGCCAGTCATCATTATGTGATCCATTCAAAGTGCATGTCCAACCGTGGTGGTATGTCTGGACTGGTTGAGCCTACCATACTTCCAGGCATTGTGTCAAATGAAATCAACGACACTCAGGTCGAGGGAAGCTGTCTACCGGTAGCCTGGATTACCAAATACAGGTAGATATAAAATTCCTTGCTTCCGCTGCTTGAAAAATCGATGCTGGGGATGATGAACCGCCTGGTGAATCGTGGGAATTTATATATCGAGCGACCATCGCGGCCGTTCAATTGGAGGGCATTACAGGAGAACATGAGGCACTAGGCATCAGTATTTTAATTACAGCCTTGATGCCTTACTGCCAGGTCTGGGTTGGGTTGGAGGGTTGGAGCAGAGGGTTTTGGAGGCTTCAACTAATACAGTCACGTGCAGCTGGAGGTCGGTTCATGTTCGGTTGATTTTCCCCTGCCCGCCACCAGAATGGTGCCTTGATGCCTCAGGTATCCACATCTTCTCCGGCCCAGCCACTGTTCTGCCCCACCATCAATTCAGGTTCCATCCCCAAAATTTTATTTGGCCTGCACAATCCCCCAACTCCGACGAGACCATGCCCTGTAAACCATAGACAATGAGTAAACGACCTGCGGAATCTGACGCCGAGGGGTTAGATCCCCTCAAGTCGGGTAATCGGCCGGAAAACGGCCAGGATCTCGCCCATGAGGCCGGCGAATTCGAAGACGAGTACGAAGATGAATTCGAAAGCGAGGACGAGATCATAGAGGCCGGCGTCGATGGACGGCCGGACGAGGAGCGGGAAGCGGAGGAGAAGGAAAATGGTCTGTCGCCGCTTCAGCCTTGACGTATACGATCTAATGGATCTCCCAGCCATGGACGTGGATCAGGAAATCTTCATTCCCGGACGAAGTAAACTGTCCGCCGGACAGACGTTACAAGCGGATCCTTCGACATATCATATGCTCCACAGCCTCCAAGCACCATGGCCATGCCTGTCCTGCGACATTGTCAAAGACCAGTTAGGCGACAACCGCAAGACGTATCCCGCCACGATCTACGCCGTTGCCGGCACGCAGGCTGCCCAGGGACGCGAGAAGGAGAACCAGCTCCTCGTCATGAAGCTGAGCAGTCTCTCCCGCATGGACAACGCCGAAGAATCCGACGAAGAGTCCGACGAGGACGAAGACGCCGACCCGATCCTGGAAACCAAATCCATCCCGCTCAACTCCTGCACCAACCGCATCCGCACCTACCAACCCCCGCTCTCCTCCGCCGCCCACCCGCTGACCACCCTGACCGCCTCCATGATGGAGTCCGGCGAAGTCCTGATCCACGATGTCACCCCCCATCTCACCTCCTTCGACACCCCCGGCGCCACCATCACCCCAAAACAGAACAAGCCCGTCTCCACCATCCGCGCGCACGCCGGCGTCGAAGGCTTCGCCATCGACTGGGCCCCCTCGAACGTCTACCCCACGGGGAAGCTCCTTACCGGCGACCTGTCCGGGAAGATCTTCTGCACGACGCGCACCGACGGCGGCGGTCTGGCAACCGACACCACGCCGTACACTGGCCACGGGGGCTCGGTGGAAGAGCTCCAGTGGTCGCCATCCGAGAAGAACGTGTTCGCATCCGGCGGCGACGACGGGACCGTCCGCGTCTGGGATCTGCGCAGCAAGTCGCGCAAACCTGTCGTCACCGTGCAGGCCAGCGCGACCGACGTCAACGTGCTGAGCTGGTCGCGTCTGACGACGCATCTGCTGGCGTCGGGCCACGAGGACGGGAGCTGGAGCGTGTGGGACCTGCGGCAGTGGAAGCCGACCGCGGGATCGTCGGGGTCCGGGAGCGATCCGCTGCGGCCGACGCCGGTGGCCGGGTTTTCGTTCCATAAGGAGCAGATTACGTGTTTGGAATGGCATCCGACCGACGATAGCATCATGCTGGTGGGTTCTGGTGACAACACCCTCACGCTGTGGGATTTGGCGGTGGAGTTCGACGATGAGGAAAGCAAGGATACGGGCGGGGTCCAGGACGTGCCGCCGCAGTTGTTGTTCGTGCATTACATGGACGAGGTCAAAGAGGGCCATTGGCATCCGCAAATCCCCGGGGTGGTGTTGGCGACGGGAAACAGTGGATTTGGGTAAGTGATCATCTGCTCGTTGTCACGATAGGATACTAACTTCAGGCGTCTAGGGCTTTCAAGACCATTAGCGTATAAACAGGATGATGCAGGATGATACCCAGAGCACTTCAGCCTATGTAGCTTTGCCAATACGACACATCATGCCAATCGTTGTACCTGCTCGGAATCTTTGAGTGACACTGCGGTGTCGTATGACAATCTTGACTCCGGATGCCTTATAGAGTCCCAGAAAACGCCCAACGTGAGAATGATCGGGTATCGCTGTCCCTCCCCATACGCCATGTAAATGAACGGTACTCCTCCCCGTCCCAACCTCATCATTTACTCGCCCGGTCGCTCCCGTCGCCCACTCGTTGCTGCGCTTGTATCGTCGCCTCGAGGCTGTCCAGTCGCTTCGACATGTCGTCCACTATTCCAGATCAGCGTCGTGCCGTGATAGATAGGCGTTGTGGATCGTGGTATACTCTTGGAGAACAGTTCGCTGGAGACGGTGGAGAACTTGGTGGCCAGCTGGTTCAACAGCGTGTCGACCGCCGTTGTCAGCTCGGCCGTGGAGTCGTTCGGAGCGGCCTGGACGAGGAGAACGTGTTAGCTAGGTGTTTTGCCCAGACAGAGAATCGGCTCACCCCTTCGTCGTCCAGTTTCAATTTCTCCGGGGAGACCGGCATGGCTGAGGTGGTGGAATGAATTCGGTGCTGAAGCAGGTGGAGGAGTGGAAAACAATGATCAACGACGTCCTGGTTCCCTTAGCTCCGGACAAGGTTCGCGAGACCAGTTTGATAATTGATTACAGTATAGATTGCACACAGGCTTGTATACAACACGATATGGAGATTGGTATTACCTAGAATAACATGAAGAATGATCGGGGATGATCGAGGGGAGGGTGGATGCGGCTCTACGCCTCTCGTCCCCCCCATGAAGCCATGACCCTGGATTTAGTAATACGGGAATCCACACCAATCATCCAACCGCCAACCAAGCTTGGAGGCTCGGGGTTTCGGGGGAACTGTCGAGGGGAGGGTTCGACGTGACAAGGGGATGTACATGTAGTCTTGGGAGTTTGTAGACGGAGGAGGATTCTTAATGCTGGCTGCCTCTCACACTTCAAATGGATCTCTCGGTGTGCTCTATTTACCGATTCCACATCTATTCTCCTGCATTGGTGTAGCCAGTAGCTGACAGCATTGATTGAGATCATCACCATGCGTGGGCTTTTCTGGGCAGCGCTTCCGCTGTTCCTAATGGCCGTCTGGATCTGGGCAGCGAACCTCTCGCGCACCCATCCTATCCTCACGAACCAGCGGATTGGGTTGCTCATCGCGCATCCCGACGACGAAGTCATGTTCTTCGCGCCCACGCTGCTGGCATTGACCGATCCTGGCCTCGGAAACCACGTCCAGATCCTCTGCATGAGTAGCGGTGAGTGAAGGCAACCGGTTCCACCTCACGAGGCACGATGCTAACCGGCGATGGCGACCAGGCGACGCGGACGGACAGGGCGCGACGCGGAAGAAAGAGCTCGTCGAATCCGCCTTGGCCCTAGGCATCCGGTCCAGCGACGACGTCCTGGTCGTCGACGAGCCCGATTTCCCGGATTCGATGACCATTGCATGGAACCCGCACCTCCTCGCCCGCCGGCTGGGTACGGCGTTCGCGCCCAACAGGAGCACCTCGTCCTCGGGTTCCCTTCCGAAACCGCCCATCGATTCGCTCATCACCTTCGACGCAGGCGGCGTCTCATCACACCCGAATCATCGGGCTTGTCATACCGGAGCGACGACGTTCATCCACACCTCGATGCGCGAGCGCGCCGGTTGGGGCTCACCGGTTGAGTTGTACACGTTGACCAGCGTCAACCTCTGGAGAAAGTACGTTAGCTTCGTGGATGCGCCCTGGACCATGCTCTTGGCCATGAGGAGAGCGACCCACGAGTCGGGGTCGACACCGTCCTCATTGGTCTTCATGAGCGATCCCGCCGAGTACTGGAGAGCGCGCCAGGCCATGACACAGGCCCATAAAAGCCAAATGAGGTGGTTCCGATATGGGTGGATCACGCTGTCCCGATACATGGTCGTGAATGACCTGCGCAGAGAGAACGAATAATGAACCATCCGTCCGGAATTGTCCCCGTCACAAATCGCTTGCGCGACAATGTCGTCTACCTTGTTGGGATATTGGGATCCTATGATCTGTCCTACAGCGCTATTGCCTTGAGGATCACGGACGTATATGGAAGAGCACGAGCATCCGGTAGCCAACACAATAGCGACACTCAACCGGGTCGCAATGCGATCGACAAGCGTAGTTCCTTGATCGATGCCTTGTGCGTTCGGGAATCGACCATGGTGTCGCAAACAAAAGCAAGATGAGATGGGATTCCTAAACCAGCAAATCGGCTGCCAGTGGCAGTTCGTGATAGCGGCATCTGAGCCCAGTATCCACTCGTGCTGACTCGCACTCCAATTCCCTTTTCCTAGATGACGATCACCATCTGCGAATTGCGATTCTGCGTATCGCGCACCCCTTGGGGCTAGCCAACCTAAGAGCGCGGGGAACCGCTTCCGGCGAAGCCGCGAGGAATATGGCGCAACCGGGAAGCAAGTTCGTGGCGGGGGAGCCAATGGCGGTGGGGCGCGACGGTTTTGTTAGCATACGATGCTCTGGTGATTTGCGTTACCTTTTAAGGGATTGTTGATTGCTCGCATACGGGGATCCACTCTCTGTCGGCCCGTCGCGTGGTGCAGCGGATTGGTCTGCTTTTTACAGAGCTTGATGCCAGTTCGTGAGTTTGGAGGGTGCGTATCCTAGTCCATCGGATGTAGCCATACTGGTAACCTTCGTGCTGCGTCGTAAGGCTTCAGGCCGATCCACTTGCAAAGAGGCTCGGGGCTGTGCAGATACTTCGACATCGCCGCAGTTCTACATAGCACGGCCTTGTCGTGAGCCTTGTCGCGAGATATAAAAAGCCAGGTCAGTCAGTCCGTTCTTGTTCCATTTGCTACGATAATTCGTCGTACCTGGACGAACCCATTGCAAGCCGCTTCTAAGCTTCGAAGCACTGAATCGGTGTAAGCAGCCTTCCTTTTCCGTCCAACTCGACTCAGCCCTTTGGACTTAGCGTGTTTCATCCGCTCAAAGCGTATCCCCATAGGAGGACTCACCGAGATCTTTTTTTGATCTTCCATTAATCTCCTTTGCAGCAAAACTTGACACTCAACAAATGTGAGCCGAGATGTTGGTGATGCAAGGGCAGCTTTCGTTGCTAACTTGGGGTGTCAAAGACGTGCGGCGATTGATACGCCGAGCCGTGAACTCCCCGTCATATATCCCAACTATTCAATAATTCAACGCATAACACGTAAGGGAGATTGTTCTATGCAGGGCGAACTGTATTGAACAACCGGACCAACGTGGAACTTAAACGGTATTCGCTCCATCATCGCCTTCAGTTCCGATTGCTCAAGGCAACCGACGACGAATTCTGTCAATTCCACTCGTCAATGACGAAAGCCAGGCCGACCTATCAGATTCTACGACATCAACTGTTCCGTCCTGAATTACCTGGCAAAAATATCCACCCTTCAAAGCCTTGATAGATGCCTACTGGCCATCCAAATGTCCTCAAACTCGGCTTCCCAACGCCTGACGCTCTCTGCTCTGCCAACCGAGATGCACCTGGAGATTATATCCCATCTCTCGATCCCATCCCCTCAGCGGCTTCAACAAACCTCCCGCCACTTCTGTTCTCTCGTCAAGCGACCGACCTTGCGAACACTTCTTGAAGAGGAAAGCCTACCGTGGGCCCGCGAACAGCAGTACCTTACCTGTTCGGAATGCGTCAAGTTTCGCAAGCGATCCTCCTTCGCCGATGATATGACGGTCGGGGAGTATTCACCCGGTTGTCTGAAGGCGTCGCAGCGCATGTGCATCTGGTGCGCTCTGCAAAATGACAAGTTCCCTCTCGGCACGCTGATGCGCGTGGGGGGGAGAACACATGTGGTGTGCTTGCAGTGCGGTCGATGTCGTTCGGAAATCGGCACAAAGGGCAGTCGAAGTTGTCGAGATTGCTGGGCACGGGAAGAGAAGGGAAGGATAGGGAAGCAGCAGAATTGGTGGAGTAGGCGCGGCGCTGGTAGGTACCCAGGAGATGGAGAAGTTGGAAGTGGATTTGAAGAAGAAGGAGTTTGGGATGTGTGTGATGAGTATGACTGAAAGAGAAGGACGTCTACTGCCATCTGATGTGGAAGTGCAGCGGTCAAGTCAGTCATCAAACCCTAGCACTAGGCAATTCCTTTATACAAGAACTATGGAATTGGCAGGCGAGTAATTATCTAGGAACAGTTCTCCTTCGCATGGAGAAGGTTGGACTTTATGAGGAGGCGAACAATACCAGGGTCCGCCGAAGCGCTCAAGAGCATGGAAATATCAAGTTGACCGCCACACTGCGTGTTGCGAATGAACCTCCCTATCGAATATCGAGAGCAACTATAACCACCCCGAGGATCCCTGTCGTCGACTGTCCACTCTGCCCAGCGATTTACTGCCGGATTCAATACACAAGCATAAATGACTGGGTGTGTTAACAGGATTCCGAGAGTCATAGTGGCAGAAGGCGAGCATTCATAAGGGGTCAAAGACTGTCTTTCAATCCTCGCCGTCGATGCATTATGGATAGTAGCTGAAGGGGGTCTTCGAAGCTCATGGATACTTCTCGTGCCGCAAGCTATGTACAGTCTATCAATCATCTTCGCTGTACCGCATTGCTCTACTACTTCAGTCTGACGAGGGTACTTTGCAGCTCGCAGAAATCATGGCGAGGAAGCAAAAGCATGTGGCGAAACGCCTCCAAGTGGAGACCAGTCCGGCCCAAGCAATCCGACCGATTCCTCAAAGCAAACCTGCTTCCGCTCCCGCGTTGCGACCATAGTCAATCCCTCGCGGTCGGCGGGACAGAAATCAGACGTTGAATCGGGCACAGCGTCGTTGCTTGCCAGTTCTGGTAGAGGCGATATCGAGGCAAATCAAGAAGCGAGCACTGCGCCTACATCCGGCCCAAGTAGAACCGAGAATCAGAACAAACAATCAGGAAAGCTCGACTCTTTCCCCCCGCTTCGATCCGGATCGCGGCGCGGTTCCACCGAAATCATCTCGGTCAGATCGTCGGGATGTATGATGTTGACACGGAGCAGCGCAGTTGTTCGCACGGCCTTTGACAGAGCGACTAATCTGCCACGCATGGAATGTTTTCGGGGTGGTGATCAGCGGCAAAATAGGTCTGCTACTGCAGTTGATATTGTGCCGAGTACTCCTCATCTCGAACAACCACAACGCTCCAGCCTGCCCAGTATTTCACGGGACGGCATCGCCCTAAGTTCGACAGAAGAGACTGGCAGTTCTCAAATCTGTCATACGGGCCAACTGGAGAATTCAGCGCTCGGAGCACTAGCAGATCGCCTAGATCCTCCGGCGTCTATGAAGCGGCTGATCCCGAGTTAAAATAAGAGTACTGGGAGGGGCGCAGAGCGCTGGTTTATGATGGAGAAGTGGAAAGGCCCTCCATACCACTGCCTCCTGACATCGCAACGTCTTCCACCAGATCTCAGCGCATCTCTTCAGAGGAGGGGAATGCAGGCTCTCATGACCCACAGCGAGCTTACCAGTACGAGGGCGTCTATCTCTCGGTGCTAGTGCCACCACCAACCCAGCCACGGTCCAATTTATCCCTCACAAGGGGGGCAAAGTTGAAGTCGTACTCGACGTTCTCCTAGCCCACTCACTGACAACCGCTATAACTGGGTCGCCACCACGTCCAACTCCTTCCTCCGCCGACCGCGCAGCAAGTCAGCAGATGTGTCGCCCCCTCGCTCCCCCAGGCATCGATCACCCATGGGGAGGTGGGCCGGAGGCGAGAGGGTGCCTAGGACGGTGAACTGGTGAAAATCGAATGGAATATCACGAAGGCGCGGAAATCAAGCGGGCATGCGTATTCGAAGATACCCAGGGGACGGTCGCGGTCAGGAAGAGAATAGGGAATATCGTAGCCACCACCTGGCTTTGACATGAACAAACCTAGGAAGCTGAGTTAGAGGGTACCGGTGGTTTATAGAAAGCTATTCGTCATTGACTATACCCCGTACTGCCTAGTTTTCTTGCCTTTCCATGCAAGACGGCATTCCATGTCTACATGAGAACGGATTCTAAGGCTCTCATCCTACGACTGGCATTACCCACTCATGGCCCCAGGCCCTGCCTAATTCAAGGAACTGTGAGTTTTCATATCAAAGTCCTGGCACGATATTTTCAGGACCGGTGTTGTAGATGCCGGTGTCGACAAGACATGATGTTTGCTAGTACACGAGCCCGGCTAGGCGATCGACGACACACTTTTCCGCTGATTATCGACGATGGTACCCACCCGGAATATCTAATATAAACAGCAGTTGACTGTTGGAAACACATGTGGAAAGTTGAAGGTTTGCGAAGACCAGATAACGTAAGCTTGGTTTGTGATTAATGACATTGCCCTCTGACGTTGGACTTCAGATAAAAGCGACCATATGACACTAACAGACATTCTCTTACAGCGTTCGACCGTAAATATAGATCCCTCAGTGCAGTTCTCCTGCTTGCAACTCCCCCACATTTGTGGCGATGCAATATAATCCGGATATCCCATAGGCAAATTAAAACAGTCCATATGCTCCTCCCAACACCATGCAAGTAGTCTCGCAAGATATGAAAAGAAATCGCTGAAGAAATAGTTTGCAACAGAACGTGCAATGAGGCCCTGTGCAAAAAATTAAATGATCGTGCTCAACTACAGGATTCAATAGAGTACACGTTAACATGAGTTAGGTCACTCAAATCGGATGACCCTTACCAGGTCAGCTCTAATATGCTCGCCCACCGTGACCCCTCCCAAACATCTCTTCCTCCGTCACCGCGCCCTCCCAGCTCTGCCTCCCGGCCCCCTCCTCCTGCTGCACCGGCTGTCCCGGCATCGGCGGCATCGGCAGCTGTGGCGACGGATAGTATCCCGTGCCCGTCCCGACGCCGCTGCTTACCGGCGTCCGATTCCCCAAGCTCGGACTCGGCTTCCCATAGCTCCCCGTTTCCTCGCTGATGAACCCGCGATCCGCCTCATCCAGATGCTCGCGGAATGACCCGCGATGGCTCGCCACGCTTTCGGGGCGCTGGGGGCTCAAGGGCGGGGGTATGAGTCCGGGCGCTCCGTAGTGAGGGTCGCGCGGATGAGGCGATGCGGGAGTCGTGGAGGCATACGCGGGGCTGATAGCGGCGGCGGAGACGCTGATGTTACTGGTGTTGTCGGAGCGAATGGAACGGGGGGAGAGGAGGGAAGGGCCGGGGGATCCCTCGATTTCGGATGGGGGGCCGTGTGGCTGGGTGAAGAAGCGAGGGTCGCCGGAGAGCTCGAAGACGGCGGGTCGGGACTCAAGTTCTTGCGAGGCGGGGGCATAGTGACCTTTATGGTCCTGTGAGGGGACGTAGTCGCCAAGTTCTTGTATGGAGGTGTCGTTGAGTTCGGTGGGATGGTCGAGAGGTGGTTTCTTATTGTCGGAGGCGGATAGGTCGAACGCAATGGGTTTGTCGTTGCCGTCCAGCTCGGGAGGAATCCGGCGGCGGGGTTTGCGGAAGCGGAAGAACCATATGGCAATGGCGCCAGCTAGGAGGAGCACGACGGCGCCAGCGACAATTCCGCCTATGGCACCGCCGGAGAGGTTAGTGGATGAGGGCGATTTAGAGTTGATGGGATTAATGGTGACGATCTGAGCCGCGGATGTAGGGTCAAGGAACGTGGCCTGATTGACCGTGAAATTGGTTCGCTCGTGGTCAACGATGAGATATGCTTCTTGCAGGAATGTCCGGCCAAGGGTATACTGCGAATCGTTCGCAGCGCGACGGATCGGGAAGTAATTCGTCGGGTTCTTGTAATAAGGCCAACGGGCCTGGAGGTCGAAAGCCGCATAGGGGAGGACAATGTTGGTGCTGTTCCCATTGTCGTATGCAGTGTTTCCAAGTTTGAAGGTGATGGACGGCTTCAATTGCTGCATCTTCGAACGCATGGTGTCATTAATTACGTAGAGCTCGGTCAGCTCGTCGTAAGTTAGGCCAAAAGCCTCTGCCATCAAGTCGCAAGCGTCTCGTGGCAACCATATATCGGGTACGGTGCTGTCGATGACCGATAGATGTCCTTTAGGAGTGAAGGAGGCGACGCCAAGGAGTGTGTTCGATGCGATGATCGATTGTATGCCCACGGTCAATGCTCTTGAATCTTCTTCGGCGAAGCTGAAGGATAGCAATGAGGGATTGAAGCGGCTCGAGTCGTATCCTCCCAGAACTAGGTTTCCAAGTACTCGTTTCAGACGGTAAGGCGCTCCAGCAGTGTATCCATAGGAGAGAGAAGGGATCAAAGATTGGTTATACGCGTTGACGAGGAAGGAACTGAGGGTTGATGCCGATGAGGAGAAGCTGACCGGTCGGATTCCAAGCCCAAATATGCCCAGAAAATAATCTGTATCTGCGATACCGGCGACGATTTGTCTCCCTAAACCCAACGTGCCCGGATCCTGTGTCGAGCCCAAGGTGACGTTGTCGCTGCCGTAGTGTCCATGCCCTTCATACCCCAAACTTGCTTCCAAATCTAGAGTGTAGAGGCCGGTTTCCGTCCAGGTAGTACTTTCATTCCATAGAAAGCCTCGGCTCGATTGCCCGTTGAAAAGTTCGACACCGCGTTGTTGAGGACAGTCTTCCGGATCTCTCGAGGTGCACCCATCGGGCATTGGCACCCACGTTTCGGAGCCAGCCGTTGAAGGCAAGACACGGAAATTCTGGCCGGGTGTACCTATATGGATCCTAAAGGTTGACCAGCTTCCATCGTTTCCCTCCCATTCCTCCGAAGGACTGGCGACGTAAGGGGCAGGTGTGACGGTGTCGCGCCGTACGCGTCGCCGTTGGAACATGATTGCGAACCGATAGGTTGGAACCTAGAGTAAAATGTACCGTCGCTGGTCGGGAGCGAGGTCTATGAGATTGGTTGAGCTCGCAGGGGAAGAGTCGGGAAGCGGGTAGTCGCGTAGAGAGCGGAGGTCCAGATAATAGCGTGCTAGATGCTCGGAGACGATCCGATCACGGTGTCGACATGACGAAATGGAGTTCAATGGTCCTTGAACCTTGGAGAGAAAGAAAAGAACGTTCTTTTCGCAGATATCAAGTGGTCAACGCCGTTGCACCGATTGTGCCCAAGACCAGTGCAAGAGATAAACATGGTCCGTGTCAATAATATAGGACGTACGTAGTACGTCGTACTGTGTAGGTAGCTCCTAAGAAAACGGGTCGTCGCCCGTCAGATGCTCCGATGAGCCCAGATCACAGGTAGGAGCAGGAGGGATATGTCGAACCAAGTGGGAGGGGGTCTAGGGGACGAGCGAAAGCCGGGAGAAGAGATTAGATTCTGGGATTTGATTGGAAGGTGGAGGTTCAGCTGGAGCAAATCATGCAAATGCCAAAAAGGGCTGAACAGGTTGGAGGTGGTCATGATCGGCTTCATAGCGTAGTCGATCTACCGCGGCGTCAGGCGTGAAACACCGAAGGGCTGAACTGGCGAAGTGAGCTGCGAGAAGCCTTTGGGCTGAAAGGGGGTGTTTACAGTGATGCTAAAGAATTTCCGATGTAATTAACGAAAACGCTCGGGTAGCATTAATAAGGTATTTTAATCATTTAATACCTACCGTAACTAGGTAATTGTCAAGGCAGAAAGCCGAGAAAATGGTCCTCGTCCATGGGACACGAATACTCCCCTGCTTCTCTGGACCTCCTGTTCTCTGTGATATGCAAAAATCACAACACGACTATTCGTGTCGTATTCGCTGAGCGATTAATGACTACGTGATAGACTACGTGACATTTAAGAGACCCAAATCAGCACACCCACTCCAAGTCCGGATGAGCTCGCTGCTCGTTCCGCGCACACAAAACATGGTCCTCCTGTCCTCCGAATCACAGCATTTTTCCCCCTTTCCGAGCACCAAGCTCGAGCAAGCAGCTCGGCGCCGTTGCCGGTGGCATTGATGACCATAACATTCCTTTCTTCCGAGTCCTCCTCCGTATGGTCCTTGAGCCGTTCGACGGTCCAAATATTCTCATACCTGTACAATTCCCTCCGATGCACCTCGTGCGCACCCTTCGGCCCTCCATGGCAAGCCGGCACCGTGATAAATACCGGATTGGTGTATAGCCGGTAGGTAGTTAGCTCGTCACTATCGTCCATCTTGAGCACAATCTGGGCGCGATACGCTGCCTGGCTATCAGAGTTCGGTTCGCTTGCTGATAGGTCCTTCTTCAGTTGGATGGCTTTCAATTCACAAGTGCTGACTTGCCGCACCGGCGGTTCTGGGATGATCCAGTTTCTGGCATCTCGCATCTCAGCCGCCCATGGCCCAGGTTCTTCGCCCTCGCGGAGCTCTATATCTTTGTATGGATGGACTGAAGGAGCAATGTCGATGGGATCGCCGTCGTGCCAGGTTTTGTGCGGCAAAAGACTCAACTGCCGCGCCTTGAGGTGGACGTGACACGGCTGGTTTTCTGGAAGCGGTGGAATAATTTCGACAGGCGGGCAAGGACCGGTCCATCCGCAAAGCGAGATCACTCCTGGCAGGCAACCGAGAACACGACCGAGAACCGTTCGGATACGCCAGTAGGACTTCTTCGGCAACGATAGTCCGCAATCGAACAATAGAGCGACACCCACAGATTCCTTAATCGATGGTGTGCACAAAATCATAGCGCTCATGATTTTAAATGCACACCATTTGCCGGGGAGTGTCATGCCGTAGAGCCAGTCGTACAGATCGAGAGGAATATTTTGCCCTCCCAGCATGGCGCCATACACATCTTCGGCGTAGTCTCGAACTTCATTCATATACGGCCACTTCATTTTGGCGGCAAATCGGAGGATTCCTTCCACCTGTTGCTCATGAACGCGTGAATACACCTTCACGGACTTCAAAATGATTTCAAAATCTCGATCGAGGTATGCCTTTCGAAGAACCTCTCGTTGATCTTCGTCGGCTTTGTCAATAGCCTCAAGGCTTGCTTTTTCTTTCGCTTTCGCTTCGGCGAGACCTTTTCTCATTGCGTCGGTGGCATTGGTTCCCGCCAGACGCATTCCGGCCTCATACGCGCCAATTGCCGCTTTCAGAAGACCCAATTTGGCTGCCGCATGACCGAAGCGGGACCGTGCGTTGACGTATTTGGGGTCCAATTGCATCGCAATGGCCGCATCCTCCAGAGCTTTCTCGTGTCTTTCCATGGAGAGCTGCGCCGCTGATCTGTTGCTTCGATAGATGGCATTTCCCGGGTCGATCTTGATAGCTTCGGTGTAATTCTCGATGGCGTCGTCAAATTCTTTCCGTGCAAATGCTTCATTTCCCTTTTTCTTGAAAGCTTCCGCCTTTGCCTTCAACTCGGCCGTCTCTACCGCCTTGACCTCGGACAAGTCCAATTCCGGGTGAACCAGAATGATGGAAATATGATTGAGCCATAAATCCGCCACAATCATCGATGCCAGAATTCTAGGGGTGAAGCCGGTCGAGTAGCTAGTCCTTTGACCATGCTCAAATCGTCTGGCGAGCTCTTTTGCAATGATGACCTGCCAGAGGAGGTTCCAGAGCTTATGTCCATCCCCAGGCGTGTGCCATTGGGATCCAATGCTAGAGGTCATTAAAAAGTTCGCGAAAATGTCAGTGCGGTTGAGTAGCTGAAACAGGTTCGAGAATTGGGTCCAATCGTCCACTGCATAAGCCGGGTTGATATATTTGATCCTACCGGGAGAATAGGTTAGCAAAAGATGTCCCTTTTCTCGTCATTGAGTAGACGTGTTAACTGTACCCCATATCGCCGGTGAAGTCTTTCAAGTCCACAGCATCCCTCTTAGGATTCCATCCGAACTGGGGTGGTCTGTTTTGCAGTTCGTCAATCCTCCGAAGCAGCGTTTTGGCCTTTATAGGGGGCATGTTTGAACGATTAACTAAGATTGTCTTCTTTAGAGGATGGTGCTCCTCTTCAAACTCCCAAGCCTCTAAACCAAACCCTTCAACGGTCACCGTGCCAGGATGGATACTCTCGTATTTGGGATAGCTTTCGATATTGAATAGGACTTGACTTTCCTCGGTGTCATCGTATTGGTAGTCTCTGAGTCCATCGATTTGACTCTTCAAAGGCTGGAACCGCTTCTTCTTGTACAATGCTTGCTTGGATCAGTATTCTGCGCCTTTCCGGTGACAGGATCATACTTACCAAACGATGCATGTGTTGTGGGAGGGTATGTGATGTCCCGATCCCACCAGCGATCCTCCTTTTTGCCACCCCAGTAGCAGTGGGTGGTGACCTTGGAGGTGTAGCTGTTTGCACCAAGGACCTGCAAACTCAAAGCCCCTGCGCGCTTCTTACCGCAGTAGAGGTCGATTTCGTTCAACTTCATCGCCAGTTCCGTTAGGGCTGGATCTTCTCCCTGAGTGGTTCTGCCATCGTCGCCATCGTCGACATCTTGGCGACTTTCACGGTCTTCACCATCAGCGATAAGCGTTTGACTCGTCGTCCTATGGCCCGTTTGAAGCCCGGTCCCGGTGGTGCTCGCTGCACCAAGCATCCGCAGCCTCGCGCTCGCACAATCGGCTAGTTCTCTATACTCTTCTGCCGTCGCATCTTGAAGCAACCGAAGCTCCTCTACACTCGTGCTGCTCTTAACTTCAACTCTCATTGCCTCTACAACCCGAGCCGTCGAGTCGGGGAACAAGTTCTCTAAACTGTCAATATGCCCTTGGATCTCCGTAATCATGGTCTGAAAATTCCGCTTGTTGTGAATTGCCCATCTTGTCTGCTTCTTTATGCTTGCGCCTCTCTGCGGATCACGCGCGCTACTCTGGAGACTCTCATAAGGCTTTTTGAAGATCGCCCTAAGTAGAAACTGCGCCTGTTCAACAGCAAGGCTGTCTTCTGCTTTTTTCATTGATGGCCGAAGCCCGAATGTGCTCTGCAGCCGCTCCGAGTCCTCAAATACGTGCTGAATGCACGCGAGCAGCCGCATTACCGTATCCTTTGCATCTTTTCGCTCCAGGCGCGAATCCGGTTGAAGAACGTCGCCGTCGTTGTCGAGGCCGATTGTGACGCCCCAACTAACTAGGCGAATTCGTTCGACTTCTAGCTTGACGCGAAGGAGCTCATATTCCATGCCATCATTCCGACCAGAATCGATCACTTCGAAAATCTGCACACATGTTTTCCAAAAAGTGACGACGCCGTGTACGACGTCAGCAGCGTCCGCCATCATTAAATTCAACCGACGTAGAACGGTAGAATGATCAAAAGGCATGAGAACCGTTGGGAGCCGCCAGTTTGTCAGAGAGATTGGATTTTCATGCGTTTCTCTCGACCTGTGACCGTGGGAGTTAGTGGTTCGCGCCTCAAGGGCTTAATATGCTGTGGTGTCTAAGTCTTGACTAGTCTCGTATCCAGAAGGCGAGATCCCATATTGTTAGTAATGACGCCCAGGCCGCCAGGCGGATGGTCGCGCGCGTGTAGTCCTGCCAGGCTGCTACAGATTTACGTACATAGTATGTATACCGGATAGTATACGGATAGGTAGAGGCACGTGGGTAAAGTACGACCTCAGCCTGGCTGGCCTGGCTTTACTGTACCTATCACCAGGCCACAAGGCCAACCCCACCACCATTATCAGATCCTCCTTCCCAATATTTTCAATCCTAGTATTTCAAACCGAAGGCTGGATCAGTCGGCAAGGCAGGTGAGATTTGTCCACCGTGCTAGGAATTGGGGAAATTATTGGCTTAATTAAGCCTAGCGTATATGACCAATCTTCCCCTGAACAACTTTTCATGCCAGTTTATCACCAATCTTTCCCAAGGTCAACTTTAATTCTTAATTTACTCTCTCTCACAGATCCAAACATGGAAGATATTGCTGCTCCTCCAGATTGTCTCTGCGCTTCCTACGATGAAGCCTACAATGCTCTCAAAACCTATGACATGCAGCATGGCTACGTATCTAGCAGCCTCCCTCGTTAGAAGAGCTCTTAGCCGACATCGAGCGTCGACGCTTCAGTCCGTCCTATAGACTGCAGTAACATAGTCTCGGTGACCAATTTTTTTTAGCGGAAGCAGGACAGGAAAACGATCCGACAGAACTGGTTGAAGCCCAGAATATGGCTCTGGCTATAAGAGGTGTGAATGCTTCCTGTACCCCAACAGTGGCGTAGAATTATCACTTTGGAGATATGGAAGCTTTCTACGATGAAAGATTTGTACAAGTCGATACTCGAAATGCTCTTCTTCAGTCTTAAGATGTACGTTGAGAGAGTCCTAAGCGTGCTGCTGCAGAGGCGGCTTTAAATGCGTGGAAAGGACTCAGCCCGCGCAAGAGACAGCGACGTTAGTACTTAATATAATCTACCAATCTTAAGTACTTTAACGCATGAATATGACGAGACATCGGAATACGCTTTAGATTCTTCTCAGTCGAGGCCTCAGAGCCCTCAAAAGAGCTTAGTTATACATAAAATTAATACGTAAAATATTTCCATGCTAGTGATAATATGGCTAGCGTGGTGGACAAATCTCACTGGCCAGTCTGCAATAACTCTAGATGGGTGGGTGACTGGACGTAGAGTTCAAATCGTTACTACTTACTACAGGCACGTCTCCAGTGGCATCTCCAGTGGCATCTCCAGTTCACAAGATTACAGGATCATCCCGACATGCAGAGCCTATAACCCATCTTGTCGCAGACCAAGGTATCATCTATGGGAGCCTAAGGCTACAAACTGCATTAATAATCTTGCCATGAGTCTCGTATATCTGCAGGACCAGGGCACCGGGCATTCACATAGAACACACAACTTACACAATAATACAACAACTTCGCTGCTGTAACAACAGCACCTAACTCCCAACCATTTTAGCACATCACGTGCGACACATCTCAACGTTCGCATTCTTCATAGGTACAATACGTAGTACGTATTTTACGTGTAAGTAATGACTAAGTAATAAATTTGTATGGCAATTGGCAAATTTCCGGTATTTAATCAAATCCACACGTTTCCCGTCCCTTTCCCTCCGTCTAATACTTGCAGTGTGCAGCTGCAACTTTCGCCCAGCTCGACGCCATATACACTTGGCAATTGGCATTCCGCTCCAGTTATGGTTAATAATTCAGTTTGATTGCACACTTATACTCTCAAGTGCGTCTCAGCGACGCCCGAAATGCGTCTCTCCGTCAGCCTTTGTACGCCTTTTCCATACTCGCCTTCAGCCTTGGGGCTAAGCCAAAGCTGCCAGTTGATCGACTGTTGATCGCTCATTGGTGAGATTGATCACCCATCGATCATCCATTGATGGCCTTGTTTGGTACATAGTTTCATCCTTCACTGCATCCATTCGCTGATATCCCGCCAGTAGCCAATGGCTTAATGATATATTCCCCCGTCCCTAACGTGTCGCGAATACCGCCGGGGTGACACTGGGCAGGTCTTCTACTATGGTATCTTCATCGCTGGCATCATGGCATCATGGCATGGCCTAGGTGCCTAGTCAGGCCCTTCCACTTTCCTTTAGTATACTTAGTACTTCCTTGGTCGCTACTCGAGTTCCCTTTTCGGTTTTCAGCTTTCAACATGTTCTCTTCCTTTATCAATCATCCTTGGCCTGCGGTGGAGCCGGTGCATGTGTATGAGTTGGTCGCTCTAGTGACTGGCTCTGCGCTATATTACTCCTTTTAAGAATAGGTGACGCATGGTGGACATGTGGTGACCCGACCCGAACCACCTGAAAACCGTACTTTAATATCGTCCTATCTTCTCTCTACTACTCTCATCTTCTTCCAACTATCGACAGAGATACGAGTAATGGCGCAGAGAAGACGACTCCTGAGCGCACCCATGCTATTGTGGGCTTCGTTGTCTGCTTTCCCCCTCACTCATGCTCAAGGTAAGTCACTTTTCACTCTCAAGACTCACACAAGCGGATAGAGTTAATGGCCAGGTGGTTGGAAAAGGTCTATGGCCCATGTGTGTCGTACGATCGGTTCCTTGAATCATGCAACCACAGTATTGTGTTGAAATGCCACAGCCCATTCTAACTTACTCGCAGTATCCTGGTCAAATTTGACAATTTCCTCTTCGTCTTCACCAATAATTGCACTCAATTCTGGGTCGGGGTCGTCGTCCTCTTCATCTTCGTCGGGGTCGCCATCGCCTCCCACTATAACGCAACCTTCAACGAAGTTATCCAGCAATACGACATGCTCACAATGTGAGATCGCTGCCCTTTACAAGGAGATAAGGTATCCGGGGGGTGTGGACGAGGATGCTCCACGAAATGTGACACTCTCCGTTCAACCAAAAATTACCACCTTCTCAGATGGCTCGTCGGAGACCAACTTTGTCACGATCACCTATATTGGTCCGAACGAGACCCTCGGAGCGAATGAAACGATCACCCAGACATCCTTAACATGGACCCAGTCCGGTCTCGACACCATTTTCACGTACCCCACCGTGTACGTCGCCTTCAACAGTATCAAGGGGGCTTTCTCCAGCTTCAATCCCAACGCAACGGACGCCTCCACTTGCGTCTCAGTCGAACCAACCAAGATTGCTCTCGCAGAGGCCGACTACAACCGCCTGGTGTATCCCTGGATCACCTCCGGTCCTGACGATATCTCCCCTCCTACGGATGCCGCTTCGTTGCGAGTGGAGGCGAGCGTCTTCTCCTACATAGACGCCCTCCCAACCGTCAAGGAGCAGCTGTCGCTCCCCCCGGATATTTGGCCGAGCGACTGTGCCAGTACCATCACTCATGGCCCCGCTCTCACTCATACTAAGATAATAACGCATCAAAGCGTGAACTTCCTAATGCAAACCGGTGCACCTGAGTTTGTTGATGGTGGAAGCAAAGGCGGCGGCACGGGTGGCGATACTGGTACAGGTACCGGCGGAGGCTCGGGCAGCGATGGGGGAACTGGTGATGGGAGCAATGGCGGATCCCCAGGCGACGGGAACAGTGGTGGTTCTGGCGGCAATGAGGACAATGGAGGGATCAACAATGGAGGCTCGACAGGCGGCGACGTAGGTGGAGCAATTGGCCAAATTCTTGGCCCGAACAGTGGCGAGGGGGGGTCGTCCGACGGTTCGTCTGGAGGTTCGTCTGGCGGTTCATCTAGCGGGTCTGGCTCAGGGGGTTCTCCTGGCGATAATGTTGGAGGCAGCATTGGCCAGCTGTTCGGACAGAACGACGGACCTGGTGGGAGCGGAAGCGGCAGCGGAAGCTCCTCAGGGGGAAGCGCTGGCTCCGGCTCCGGCTCCGGCTCCGGGTCGGGATCGGAATCAGGCACTGGATCAGGATCAGGATCAGGTGCTGGATCCGGCTCTCTCCCTGTTGGCGGAACCCCCGTCCCATTTTCAGTCGGTCCAGGCGGCACAGTGGTTGTCAATGGGGAGACCGTTACCCCCGGCCAAGTCGCCACGATCAACGGTGTCCCCGTATCCGTTCCCACAGGCGCCTCTGGCGCTGGACCCGGCTCCGATGGTGCCGGTGGCGTGTTGGTCGTCGGCGGATCGACCATCACCCTCCCCGCCGGGCCAGCGGGCACCCAGGGTTCTCGTCCCGGTGTGCAAGGTCCCGAGTCGGGACAGCCTGGAGCTGCTGCGAGTGGACCGATCATTGGATCTCAGACGCTTTCGGTGTCGGGTGGGCATTTGCTGATCGGAGGGACGACACTGACGTCTGGGGTTACCGTCATTGCCGGTACAACCGTATCTGTTGGATCTGAAGGGACAGTGGTGGTAGGTGGAAGCACGACTGTCCTGCTTGGCGTAACGACCATCGGCGTGGGTGACTTGATCGCGAGTGGTTTTGGAGAGACGATAGGGCCTTCTACCTCCGCAGATGCAACTGGATCTGGTGTTCGCCCGCCACCTTCGAGTGGAGCCGGTAGGGAGAAGGAGAACAGTGCTTGGACGATTAGCATAGGGGTTATGGGTGCTCTTGGTTTGGCTGTTGTCGGTGCAATGTAGACGGGAGCCGGAAAACTGAGCATTTGAAGAAACGATAGCAGGCGTACTAGCGCGGCGTCACGATTCATTAGCGGCTTGGTTTTAGCGAGCGAGCGATTGTGCACGTATATCATAAAATCTAATAACAGGCTCATATGACAAGCTATGTTTCATCATTTGTTGTCTATTCAATTCTTGACTAGAAAGGTCTCGTCTCTGGAAACATCCCTATGCCTGTGATCGTAGGGAACCCAACAGTGCGATGCAATGGTCCACACCATCTAACCGAGGACTAAACTGAATCGTACTTGGATATCCGCTTCGCTAGCTCGTGTAAAGAACTCCAGGTACGAGCCAGCTACTGGATACATACTCAAACCTGATCCAGAGAGACATACGACCATGCGGTGAAGTGACCTATCCACAGCTGTTTCCTCAGGTCCGCCTGAATGTCAGGGGGCCGAACATCCTGCGGTTTAACTACCCTGATTGCAGCTATTGCTTTGCGTACCCAGTAGCCCACATACTGAGGCGATCTTCCTGAAGGTTGAAGTGGAACCCCTGAGTTTGGGCTTATCTCAATGAGATTCCGAGAGTAGGTCCTGTCAGCCAGCTGGCATAACGATCAATGGACGCCTCGTGGTACATGCAAAGATTCGATAATGGCAACCTTCCGCTACACAAACGTATGTGCAGTACAAGGGACTGTTTATCGAAGAACGGACGTTGCGAAATAGTGGGTGAGATCCATTCGCACACCAGTGGATGGCATACTGGTCCGTATGAGAGGACATTTCCTTCGAACAAGTCCTATTAGGACGGCCCTGCCATATGTGCGAAATGGGATTGCCACACGTCGGCAGGCTTTGCGACAGGCGAGACGGTATGTCCACGATGAAGACCAGACCCTCTGCTGGTGGGAACTAGCTTCGGAAGAGGTAGATAAGGACGTGGAAGGTAGCGAACATCATGTACTACCGGTGGTTCAATATTTGGCCCTATTGAAGCCTGGCCGTCCCCGATTTGGCTTCTGTCGCTGCCAATTCGGCCTTGGCCGCTCCATACGCTGAATATGCTCCAACTCCGCTTCTTCGGCGGCGCGGTTTGCTTTCTCCTCCTCTTTCCTCCTGCGTTTTGCCTCCGCTTTCTTCTTTCTTTCAATATCCTCCGCGGTTATCCCCGACTCCTTCGCCGGACCTGCTTCACTTTCTTTCTCAAGCTTATGGCCCTCAAAGAAGAGAGTTGCTGTTTCATCCTGAAGACCAGGTTTTTTTACATCCATAGGTTTGGATTCTGCTGAGCCAGGGACTTCGGATAGGATGGACTTGAGGCGGTCGACGATCTCCACCCTTCTGTCGAGCGAAGGCTGCTGTGCGCGGCGCCGATTTGTACGTCTCCTCTGAATTATTACCTCTACTTTCCTGCCCTCCTCAAGGAACTCTTGAAGCTTCTTGCATCGGTGATCGAGATCCGATTCCGAGATCTGCCATGAGATTTCGAGGGTCTTTGAAGACAAGAGTGTCCGCTTTGAAGCCTTCTGCTTCATCTCCTTGTCGCGAAGCCTCTCCAATAGTTCCTGTGCCGTCACGACTTTGACCAAAGGCAGGCTCAGCCCATCCTCGCCCGGGTCTCCTGAGGACGCGCCGCGTAATTGAATGACATGTTCGGTGGTCCGGTCGATACTGCGGAGGAGACTTGAAAGGGAATGTGCTTGAGGATCTACCCGACCCTCGGTGTTGATAAGGTGCACACGAAGGGTGGCAATGGCTTCATCGAGGATGTAGCCTTCGGCGAGATGCGGGAGAGCAGTCGAGGACCGAGGGGTGGAGGCCGTTGCATAACGGTATAAAGGGATTCGCTGGTGGACTCGGGGTGGATGTATGCTCAATTGAGGGCAGACTGTAGAACTCCTCAGGGTAACCAGGTCCAATGACTGGATGCAACGGCGGCAGGCTGAGAATGAAAGGGCTCCAGCCCAAGGTGATGCCATGATGAATATAAAAGTCCCAACCGTAGTGCAAGGAGGATTAACAGGGACGAACGATTTCAGTTGATTTCATAGCCACATGCCATGTACACGAACAAAATCACGATCGACTTGTTGTAATTTCAAAGAATTGGGAATTGGGAATGAAATTCAATTGGATCTAAGACATTCCGTACGGTAAGGCTAAAGGCGCCTATGCTCCGTGGAGGAGAGCAATCTTTGTATGACCGCCGTTCCCACTTCCCAGTGCTTGCAGGGTCACGTGCAGCACAGCTGATCAACATCTCCATCTTCTCAAGAGTTCAAGTAATAACAACAATACTCCGTAGTTAGTTAACAATAACTGACTAACTTAACTTAATTGTTTTTATAGATATAGTGCCGGCAGACAGTCATGGTGATGGCGTCTCCAAAGAGGACTGACCCTGATAACAAGACTTCATCGCTCGTTCAGGCTAACATTGATCTGGAGATCGTCGTCGTGCATTCAAGCAAAAATGGACACGGCGTATTTTCTTTGGGATACGAACCGTGAGGTGAGACATTTCAATCTTCTTTTCCAGAACAGTCAGTCCCACAATTCAAAGTTTATCATGATGGCTAGGGAGAGTGCGATTCCGATATCACCAGCTTGCTCGATGCTGATCCTGATGGCATTCCGCTTTTCGATGGCAGCCATTATTACCTGCCTCACTGCATGACAGTCGGCCAACCTCCCAACCTCTCCAGCTGCCATGGGAAAGCCATGATTCCGACTGAAGGATGATGATCATCCTCAATCAACAATGGCGTACGCTCGTTTGAGGTGCATGCAGGTATTTGGACTTCAATCACACCGCGTCGAATCACAAAACAAGGGAGCTCAAGAGCGTTTCTGGCTAGGTCTCCCCTTCTTTCGCCTGTCCACATTTGAGCAGCATGACATTTGAATTCATTATGAAAACCTAAACTTGGACAATTTGACTTCCGCTGGAATAAATTGCCATTGGTTGTAGCTGACGCAGCTGCACAGTCTACGCTCCGGGCATGCAGCCGCGTATGCGAGCTACAAGATCTCGACATGATGGCGGGAACCTGCTGCATGCTGAGGAATGCCGCCAGTTCGGTACTGAATCTGCCCGTTGACCTTTAAATTATCTAGACGTCTGTCATGTAGCACAGATTTCGAAGACAGGAGCCATTGAAATATCTTGCTCCCTCCTTCGCTCCCCGTCCTGTTTAGACGGCTTTACTATTCTCTTTCACCTAACATCAACCATTTCGTCATTCTCGCAAATACACGACTTCTTGAAGTTGTTGACCAACGTATGACACGGAAAACTGCTCGTGTCATCAGACCAAACTTCCATTGTTTCTAAAGAGCGAATCTTCCATCAGCTCCTCTTTGTTCGCAAAACACCAAGTGGTTCTTCTTCAATAGGAATTTTCATTCCTCTTTCTAGTCACCGTTGAGAAACTCCCTTCACTGTCAAGATGTCGTCCAATTGCGTTACTGTGACCACTATCCACACCATCTGTGCCGTAAGTCATCCGTTCTTGTTCCGTGGTCACCGATAGTCTGAACAATTGTTCCATCATGCTGGCTTGAAGAATCCTCTAATTTTCTCCACTGAATTATGTTCACTATCTGTTTACACACGGCTAACTGTCACCAGGCGTCTTCCTATGCACCAACCTTGGCACCACCCGTTCCAACGGCTGGAGGAAATGCGACCGTACCCAGCTCGGGTGCCAGCTCAGTGGGCGAATCTCGCTCTTCAGTGTTGCCGAGTGCAACGCATCCTACTACTACCTCGGCGAGCCCGTCCGCATCAACCCCAGCTCAAGCTACGGGTCTGGCGGTCGCGACTCAACCGGGCAAGGTGGATGGGTGGATGGGCCTGCTGGTCGCTGCACTTGCGATGTTGGCTATGTTCTAGACCTCTGTTTCGGGATTTGGATGTCGTATATGGGTGGAGGTTTGGTGGTAAAGCGCGGCAGATCGGGGGTCTCGGCCTGAAGGGGCCGAATGGACAGTAGTCTAATGGAGCATGTCCATATTCTGGAGATCTACATGATAGGGACAGGTCATTCTAGTTGATCAGCGTGCAGCAAATTAAACAAGTATCGCAATATATTTCTGCCCAACATATATCAGCGTACCTTAGACGCGATCCGAGTTGCGAAAGAAAGGGTTGACTTCGGCATCTCTTCACCAACCGAATAAATTTTCATACAAAAATCAGGCGCCTTTCGAGGATATCGGCTCCATCATCCGTACAATTAATCGGCCTCCTGTTTGCGGATCATCATGGAGACATCGGGATTCGGTCCTGGCATACCAGAATACAGCGGGCTGAAGAGACCATCGTCGCAATATCTGATCAGCTCAAATCATCGTGAACAAAATTTGTCGGGAATTGTTATGCACTTGAATGGAGTACAGTGTAACTCATTGAACTTTTCTGCGTTGTTCATAGTATTATCCTAGGGCGATCGTTTCATTTGTTGTTCAGACCTATCCTTCCCTTTCGTTCTACAACATGACTGATACCAACCCATCCTCAATCGCCCGCATCACCGTGCTCATTTCTGGCAATGGCAGCAACTTACAGGCCCTGATCGACGCCATCCGTGACGGTCAGATCGCTGGTAGAATTATCCGCGTCATATCGAATCGAAAGGCTGCATATGGTTTGACCCGCGCCGCCAATGCGTTGATTGCCACCGAATACCACAATTTGCTTCTGTATAAAAAGAAGTATGCCAAATTGGCCGAGACTTCGAATAGTGAAATCACCGCGGATCAAGCTGCACGAGAAGCTTATGACGCCGACTTGACCGAATTGATTCTCAAAGACGAACCCGACCTTGTGGTTTGCGCCGGATTCATGCACGTCCTCAGCATGACGTTTCTGGAGCCCATGGACAAGGCCGGCGTACCCGTCATCAACCTTCATCCGGCGCTTCCAGGACAATTCAACGGAACCGATGCTATTGGACGAGCCCATAGAGACTGGCTAGCGGGAAAGATCTCCAAGACTGGCGTAATGGTGCACTTCGTCATCAAAGAAGTCGACATGGGCGAGCCGGTCGAAGTGGAAGAGATACCGTTTGAGTCTGGGGACGAAGACTTGGAGAAGTTTGAGGAAAAACTCCATCGGGTTGAATGGGGCGTCATCGTGAGAGGTACACGCAAAGCAATTGAGGCTGTTAAGAAGCAAAAAGAGCAACGTTGAGAAACCTTCCGCATACACATTGGTTGGAAAGATCAGGGTACCCAAGATGCGACTTGGGACATCTAAAGGAGGACTACGGAAGGCAATTGGAAGACTTCCCGCAATCATTTTGCTCTGGATGAACCCCGAGTATCGCACGGAACCACCCCGTTTTGGGCATCTTTTGTTCAAAAGGTCTCCGGACAACCAAGGCAGGCAGCCGTGCGCAGCTCTCAAATTGGATTGGGGAGTGGGTTCGCATTCTCGCCTACAAGGAGTATGCTTCGACAGCAAGTACCCGAGATCGTTGCGTTGAAGGGGACGAAGCGAGCATGGATGAACGACTGATGGGACTATACACATCGTACTGAATGTTGATTCAGGCTCCCTTTCTTTCTTAAGGCTCCTTCGTGGTTCGACGAGAGCTAGCAGACTCAAACATCGGCCAACCAGACCTAGGCATAATAATAACCAAAGCGTCCAAAGCAAACCGATATCTACGAAGGCACCGGCTCCGCATCTCGGAACATTAAAGTCATGATGTCCACAGAGTCTCCACCCCATTTGCTTAGATCAAAAACTTTCCTCTCAACTTCCTTGAAGCCAAATTTTTCATACAACCCTTTCCCCTTCTGTGAGGCCTCTAGAAAGGCTCGAACACGGTATTTATCGGCTTGCTCGCAACCCCATTTCATAATGATGGCCCCTGCACCCCGCCTCTGATAATCTGGATGCGTAGTAAGGAGATGTAGGACTGAAATCACTGTCAGGACATGTTTCTGTAACCCTTCCGACTTCCACTTCTACTTACAAGCGATCGGACCATTACCCATGACATTCCGCCTCGCGTGAGTCAAGTAGCCGAAGAATTCTTCCCAAGCTTCTGGATGGGCAGTAGGAGGTATCGGTACAGGCCCCGTATCCTCCAGAAATTGCTCCATCGGCCGCTCTTCTTGGCGGATTTCCCAATATGCTACCGCAACAATGGCTTTCGTATCGCTGTCGACAACTTTCACATAGCGACTATGCGGATCATCTCTGAAATGACCCAAATGACGATCCCGCGTGCTTGCCAGGACCTCTGGCGTCAAGTCGCCAAGAGTGAGGAGGTCCGCGATGCCGCCTTGAAAGGAGCTACGGGAAATCCGTGCGAAGTCGTCGAAGTCGGTTTCGACCATTGGGTGGAGTTCTAGAACCATAGCTGCTTGTGGCACGAGCGTGATAGGACTTAGGGCATCTACGAAGTTAACAAAAATCTAGGCGCTGCGCAGTCTTTCTTTTATGTCTTGCAGATGGAACTCATGGAGCACATCAACGTGAGTCAACGCGTGCCGAACCCGGTTAGCAGGAATTTTTTGCTGTTTCGTTTGACGGCACATCGAGCATGGAGGTAAATTCTAAAATGCGGAGCCCATGTCAGGAAATATCGGTAACATGATGTGGGCTAGGGTGGGGTAGGAACTGGTCCCTGATGTAACCCTGCTGACTGAGCCCCTGATATCATCGCCAAACGCTTTGAACCTCACTTCCTCCCTGTCCCATGAGTAAGAAGATACTGCCGGGTCTGCAGTGTCTGTTACAAAGCGATGTATAGTGCAAGTTCCAGGCATATTTGGTCTCGAGGCATTGAAAGAAAACCGGCCGAATAACTGGTTCAGTGGCTGCAAAGCGATTAATCCTCGACAGTGGAAATGTTCACACTGAATACTCTAGGCCAGGCGTTTAAAGAGCTATCATGATTTAGTTTCTTGTAGTCTCGGCGATTGCTTTAATTTTGACTGATAGAGGATTACCCGCCGCTGGGCATTTGCGCTGGTGCAGCCTCAGCTCGAAAACGCCAACCGGAATATAGCGGTTTGATCGCTTGTCTTGTCGTAAACGCGACGCCAGCATAGGATGTTGACTGTCTTGAACTGCGCGATCCAACCCAAATACAAGAGCGAGGGAAACCCATTATCCGGTGTTTGTTCCACTTCCTTCCCCCACTACGTCCTAGACCACGGAATATTCCCAATTCATTGATGTGTCGGTCGTCCCTCGCATCCAACGACACGGGAGCATCGTCGTCTTCCTCCTACTTAGCACAATGGTTAGAAAAATCGCTGGACCGGGGGTTTCAAATGCCCACGCATACATTGCACGACCTGGGTGATGCCAATGGAAGTCAAGCTGACTCGAGACCACCCATTCTTCTATCTCGACGTTCCGCTTGCCCCTGGAGGCTCGACCGGACTCGAGTCCGTGGATGTAAATTCCTCACTGAACGTATGAAGCCTGGGCATCTGTGAGCGCTTCTTCTTGATGCTCAACCCTGGACACTTACGTTCGCAGACACCATATATGCAAGCGCAGATGTCTTGCAGCCATGCTGGCATCCACGCAGGCCACATCTTGTTGAAGGGCCTTTCTTTGGAGGTCAAATTAAAGGGGGGTGAACAACGAAGTCGTCAGATTTGCCTTTGTCGTTTACATTGCGAGTTATAAAGTAGGGCGACAGGATTAGAATTTATCTGCAATTCACATGTTTCATCGCTTAGTCGTCGTCAACAAAGACCGCAAGGCCGCTCTGTGAGATTTACAGAGGAATTTTCGTGATAGCCTCGATAAGGGACGTCTAAACATTGTAATGTCTCTATATCTAACCTCCCAGTCGCAGCCAAAGTTTCACTGCGAAAGTATGACATCAACTCACTGGTATGCCTTACTCCTGACATAGCGCAGCCACCAAGTATGGATTCTAGGATCCATTGTTAACTCAGGATGGAAGCTCGTCCCCAAAACGTTTCCCTGGCGGACGGCCACAATCCTGCCTTGCTCTTCTCCAGCTTGGCGTGGAAGCCGAGCCAAAACTTCAACCTCTCCCTTCGCAGCCAGCTGTGCAGCCTCTGTCTTTGGCAGTAATGAGGACGCAACAACCAGTGATGGATTATCCACATCTTTGACCTGTATCCCTGGCTGGTTGGAGAGAATCTCTTGCACAATGGGTGCCCGAATAAAGATCGCATGGAACTGCAGGTGTTCCTTCTGTTCCATCCCCTGTGTGCCATTCAGCCCCTCAGTACCCAGCGTTTGAGGACCAACGGCGGGAAAATAAATGTCGATATTGGACTCGAAGGATTCGACTTGCCGACCGAAATGGTTACGATCAACTCGGACATCCAGACCACCAATCAAGTCCTGACCACCTTTCTTCGTACGGTTGGCAGATTCGGAGAGAAGGATGAGACCGGCACAAGTCCCCCAAGTGGGTTTACAGTATCCTCTTGACTCAACAGTAAGCATCGGCTCAAACTTCATGCGTGGACGAGACATACTTTACAAACTCTTGAAGAGGCCCAAGGATTCCGGATCTTTGAGCGACAAGGCTCATTGTCGTACTTTCTCCGCCAGGTATAATCAGGGCATCGCACATATCCAATTCTTTTGCCGTCCTGACTTCCATAAAGCACCATTCTACATTATGGTCGCCATCTTGGTCTACGCCCAGGCTCGCAGAGGCAGTGCGGAGCAGCTGGACATGCTCAGAAAAAGCACCTTGCAAGGCAAGGACCCCAACTGTTATCTTCCGCCCGGACGATGAAGGCGACGCCGATTGTGTCATTGCAGATGCATATCGACAACGCGAAACCAGGAACCTGGAGTTTTCGAAAGATTGACATGGAGGAGTCATGATCGTCAAATTCGGCGTTATCGATAACAGACCCCTGGACAGGAGGCTTGAACAGAACCCTGTCGCTTATCCATGTCACTCGTCCCTCTCGTCGTGGTGTGCTTGGCGGAACGCCACAGTTCGTCCCGCTCCGCCAACTGCTCCGCTCCGGCGTCCTCAAGGCAGATATGTAACAGATTTCTCTAGCAGACCCTGACTTAACCTCACGAATCATCTCCATCATCTTCCAAGGCGGACTTTGGGCGAACCAGCAATGAGAACTCCGAGTCCACCTCTTGGGGCAAAAGATGCCCGTTGTTCGCCTTGCATTTGTAGTCTTGTAGGATTGAGCCTTGCTAGTGGCGATGATAAAATGTCAAGCGTCTGCCGCGTTTAAAAGAATAAGTCTTCCAGCGTGCGAAGCGCCCTTTCTGCTTAATTCACTCATTACTGCCATTATATCCGTTATTATTTTAAACCGGGCTTATATCGAATACTATTATGGGTTTCATGCGGCGCTCTGGAAAGAATGAAGAGAAGAGGAGCGAGGAGCAGGAGGGTGGACTGCGAGAAGCCACTCAGTACTTCATAATCGACAAGCACTCAACCTGGAGAAAAGAAATCAAGATCTTTGACATCACAAGCCTCATCGAGCTGCCCTATTTATCCGAGGCATGGGACGATCATATCCGAACGATCCAAAGCCGTATTCCAGGAAAGAGCAAGGATGGAACAGAAATCCTACCGAGTCTGGAGATTTCACGCGCCAGATTCTTCACCTCGATGATGACTATAAGCCAACCACCCGACACATCACCAATCGGAACTTGGAAAGGATCGATATTTAGCACACAGAAATCCGTGTTCGAGTTCCCTGCGGACAGCCCGCACTCGAGTCACCCCATCGTAATGAAGCCGATGGGATTGTGGACAGCGAGCGAGGAATTCGTCAAAGAGTCGGTTCGACATATCGGCAAGTTCGACAAGCGCCTGAGTAGCCGGTATTTCACGCTTTTCAAACAAATTGGCAGCCAGGAGATACCAGTCGCCCAGTATCGATCCACGAAATTGTCGGTTTGGATTGGGGGCGGTGTTCTTGCCATTGATGATAAGGAAATTGATCCCGTTGTTGCAGTTCTTTGGTGCGCCAACATGCTGAGGAAAGTTGAGCAGCGGGGTGCAGAGAGTGCTGTATGATCCTTATGCTCCCCTAACTTTCCGACGGCTTGCATGTCAATGTCTTGATTTTGGAAATACGTTCGAGTTCAGTTATGACGAAATGCTTGCATCTGTTATTCCACAGACACTACCTTAACCTCGAATACGGCAGAAGGGTATTGCAGCTCACCCACTTATACATAGTTGCGTGACATGTCAACGAAATCCGCAAACCGGAAACCCTTGGCTCATGCATATGCTCTTAACACATCAAACCTGGTTCCAGTCAACACCTCAGTTCTGGTTACTTCTATTCCTATAATTTCTAGTCGCCTGCTTCTTTGCTTTTAACTGGAGCCTAAAGGGAAGTGCTATTCAACTCACTGAAAGCGTCTCACCTTTCCCATTTTCACTTTTCAGTTGGAGCCTACTCAACGCACTGAAAGCCTCCCGCATATCCAATCCTCGATCTTCCCTTGTCCTCACTTCACACCTCGAACTCTTCACTTCAGTTCGGCCCTACTCGACTCACTGAAACCTCCATCTTCTTACCGTCCTCGGATCTTTCTATCCTCTTCACCTCTGCCTTCATCTTGGGTTCCTTCAGTCAATTCGTATCTGCCTCAATCCAGTGCTGCCGCACCGCAACGTCATTCAGTCATACCTGAATCAAATGTAAGGACATTCCTTATTCACTGAATCCGTATGAACCTTGAACTGACTTCATATACAGACGTCACAACCATCATGGCAGCTGTTACCAACAAACAGCAAGGCTGGTCTGAAGAAGAGACTGCGGCTCTCCAGTACATACTCGCGTTCGGTCCCACTGGGATCCGCGGTGATAACAAGACTATCGTTGAGCTGCTGGGCACTAGCCGCACTCCTATCGCAGTCGGGTAAGCTTGCATCATGTCAACGCCTTAGACATCTTTCACTTACACCTTCTGTAGCAAGAAGATCGTACGACTGCGAGAAGATCTCGAATCCAAGAACGCCGTGATCGCCGAAAAGATCAAGGCACTCGGCCCTGTCGGAACGCCTAAGCGTGGAAGGAAGGCGGGGGTCAAGGTGACCAATGGTCATGACGACGACGACGACGAATCCCCCTCGAAAAAGCAGAAGACGACGAAGGTGGGGACCAAGGTGTCTGATGCGACTGAGGATGCGGCTGAAGTCAATGGGCAACGTGATGAAGTCGTATAGACTGTACTCAAGACACGACCAGAACGGAATGGACAAGGACGATCTTTGATGGGCAGAGGTCGAGCAGTATATGGTGGATAGCATAGTTACACACTGGAATGGCCAAATTCGGGGCCCATGAGAGCATCAACGTTTTGATGCGTAACCTACGAGTCAAATGCATCATCCATAGCGATATTCCGTGCACGCGTGTAGTCAGTTTCAAGTGGTACTACGTGAGCAATCGAGTTAGCAGGGAGAGGTGATTTTCCTCGTGCCAATCATCACTAGCGAATCTCAACTTCATCCCATGAAGTGAGAGGCGGATTTCCTCCCATTCCTTTTCCTCTCATTTCTTCCCTGAGATACTGTCAAATGAGTGATCTTAAACCTTTAGTTGAAGAATGTACTGTCTGTAATTCCTCTTGAATTCAATGCTCGACAGAATCCGAATTCTTCCCGGTCAAGTACCTACTGGACCGCTATTCACCTGCTCTTATTCTAATCAGATCGAGTTCATTCCTGATGATTCAATTCGTTAGCTTAATCTACCCTTTCCATAATACTTTTGTCTCCCTTTTGCCATTCCACGAAAGTCACATAGCCGGATATATTAGAGGCTGTGTTAAACCTTGGACTTTTGGGCGAAAACTCGAGTCTGAGGAAGCGGAGAACCGCAGCGCATGCTACGAAACAGAATGACAGTTCGAATGTTGGGACACGACTGGGTACCGATAAGCTCAATGCTAACCGCAACGCTGACCGCAATGCCAACCTTGCGAAGCTCTTGGGCCTCGGACGTATATCAAGGCGAAGATGACCCTTTTACTAAGGGATCAGTCTTCTGGTTCGCGTAAGCAACAGCCACGAGTCACAAAGAATCCGCAACTCAAACTCGGGATTGGGGCCAGTCTTCAAGGGAGCGCAGGAAACCCCGCGCAAGGTGTGAGAAGACTGGATTGAGTTGGTTAAATCAGAGAGGATCAGACAGATCAGTTGGGTTTGAATCGAAGAGGAGCAGAACCACTGAATTGGAGAACTTTTCGAAACCTCATGCTGTCTGGATCAATCAGGAGACTTCTTATGGACATTGAAGACATTATAGCTGGCATATGTACACTTATATGTGGTTATGCAGATGGTACATCAGGATGCCTCTACAACTGATCTTCTCTAATTGTTGCCGTGATTACGAGGGATAGTTGAAATTCGCTGCACTGTTAAGGCAAATCCTCGAAGGCAGGAATATATAATAGTACCTAAAGTTTAATTAATGACCTATGTGCGCAGTAAGATGTCTGCTAATAGTCACTCATTATGCACCTAGATATAGGACAAGTTCGCTCTTCTGCGCAGGTTTAAAATGCCATCAAGTGATCGGTCACTTTTCTTATTTTAAACTTTTATGAATTTATCGAATACTTTGCCCCGCCGACTGAACCATCCTTCAAATGTCATAGTTGGCTTCATCTTCTTCACTTCCTGAGACACGAGCAGCACATCTCACCTCTTCCACTGATCAAGAGCCTCCAACTTACTAAGAACAACTCCGACACTTCACTGTAACCTCAACTTCTCGTCCACGCCTAACAAGCTTCACCAATTCAAGTTTTACATTGGGAACTTGACTTCCCCTTGTGCTTCCTCCAGAAAGTGAACGCTTTCATCTCAGCTATTACAGCCTCGCATCCCGACACATCGATTATCGCCTGCTCGGCCTGGCTTCCTTCAGTATCAAGACTCCTACCAACCTCGAGATTGATTCTATATCAATCTATTTGAATCATCATCATGGTTGCCTGGGGCGATCAGCAGCTTGCCTGGGTGAGTTCCATAACCGCATATGCTGCCATTTCCCCTGATCAGCCAGATTAGGATGATAAGACTGACTGTGCTGGACTCTTCACGAATTCTTCCAGTCCATCAATTTCCCTGCCTCAGTTGGAACATTTCACTGTTTGGTCACTTACCCTATATGCTAGGCACTGTGCGTTATCTTGAAGGAGTGTGACATCAAGGTCACACCAAAGGACCTCGCTCCGAAGATTGTGGAACTTTGGCGTAAGTTTCCCAATTCATCCAGCGTTCATCCAGCCTACGGAGCCCTCACTTACACCATCCAGCTGCGGAGTTCGGTCCTAAGCCTACGGTCTCTGCGGTTACGGATAGATTCTCGCGCCTGAAGCGACGTGAGCGCTCCAAGATCGAGAAAGACGGCTCGATGAAGTCTGGCCGACATACCCCTTCTGGGCGTGTCTGGAGGACGAAATCGACGCCGACCAGCGGGAAGAGGGTAAGGGACGACGAGTCCGACAGTGATAGCGACGCCGTCAATGATGCTTTGGGGCTAAAGACTCCGAGTCGAAGACACAGGGAGCGTCCTAATGGAAACGGTGACGCCGTAACCCTGGAGCCGCGGCGGAAATCCCCAAGGAAGCCGAAGCCGATTTCCACGTTCAACAATGCGATGGATACCCTGCTCGACGGAGATATGGAGAATGAATATCCGAGTGAGGAGGATAGCTACGACGAATATGACGACGCTATCTGATCCCCCGCCTGCAGGATGGTGCGCGCTTTGTTGGGCTTTTGTCTAGCATTGGTTGGAGGAGCAGTTTGCCGCTGCGATGCGTTCTTTGGAACGATATCTGGTTTACGCTGCGCTTTTCACTTTCCCCACGATACTCCTCCCCCCAACATCTGATTTCCCCACCCCTTTGAAACCCCTGATATTCACTCGACATGGAGAAGAAGGTTTCGGTTATGGGCGCGCTGCATGGTCGATTGACCATTCCTTACTCACAAGCTCGGAGAAAATGTTGTGATTATGGTGGCAACTCACAACTAGCTTCTACTCGTGAAGCATCACGAAGACGCGAAGCAGTGCTCCCCTCAACCCTATGACAGAAGAACGGTCGCAGCACAGCACACAATTTGTAGCTCGTTCGTAGCTCCAATGATAACGGTTGACCTGCACTGTCTCTGAGTTCGGTTGCTTCAGTATTCTAACTCTGATTTGAAATCCTGGGATGAACTCGAAGGGACTATAATGGGAGGTATCTCTGATGGATTTGTTGTAATTGTTATGGTCGACGTTATGAGAGTTTGACCCCCATTGTTCAGATGCCATTTCGGCTGACAGGGATGTTCGGTTCCAGCCACTGCAGATCAGGGACCGTCCAGTGAGGGTCTAGTGTCCAGCAGAAGCTTCAATTTCAGACTTTGGACATCTGCCACCGTACAACCCAATTGAACCATGATCTTCGGCTGAACCGGTCATATTCAGATGGACATGGGATCGTCCGCATGAAATCGACGACCCTCCTAAATCCCGATGCCGCGCCATTCCGGGTTACAGCGTGAAGTGCTCGCCCTGTACCAGCGATGTATTCTTGCGTCCAAACGGAAGCCTACGGTGCGTGGACGCGTGTGCCGTCGTGCAGCGGCGAACCTGCATGCTGATAGGGTTGAACAGGAATCACGCCCGAAATTCCTTGAGTATACACGGTGCGCAGAGGAGTTCCCGGCGCCCTGATACGTCCGCTGACATTTGCGTGTAGGAGCGAGTTTCGACGATATGCAGATGTGGACAGGAAGGACTTTGGGACAATTGAATTTCTTCTTCGCAAAGGACGACGCCAGCTCGAAATCTTGGACTCCCCTGGAGTGACCCGAATATCCTAATTCAAGCTCATTCTCCTTGCATGATGAGGTCGCATCTCTCCACATTCTGTGTTTGATACTGTGGCGCAGTGGAATCTCGTGACATGTCTTGGCGGAAGCTTCTCGCATCGTCTCGAATGACTGCAACTGCATGATCTCGATAATAACTTTAGTGATGCCTGATTGCAAATCACACCCAGCGATTGCGTAGACTTTTCTGGATATGATGATGGCCTGTTCTAGAAACCGGTGGCGGATTCGGTCTGCTCGACCAGAGTCTATAAAATGAATGTGAAATCTCGCTCCAGAAATAATCCTTTAATCAACACAGCTTCATACCATCAGCCAGACGCATCACCAGACGACTATCTCAACTCGTTCGAGCCCATAAGCCGTCAATCGCCACCAAAGCACCTTTCCACACACATCCGCCAACATGTCTCTCTTTCCACGCTGGACCGAATTCGAATCCCCCCTCATCCGTCTCCTTGACGACTACGCCTCCCTAGCCAACGATCAGACCCCGGCGCGAAGCCAGCCCCAAAAAATCAAGACCTTCTCCCCCAAGTTCGACGTCAAGGAGACCGAAAAAGCGTACGAGCTCCACGGCGAGCTCCCAGGCATCGAGCAGAAGAACGTGAACATTGAGTGGACCGACGGGAACACCCTCACGATCTCCGGCCGTGTGGAGCACCGCTCCGAACGTAAGGACTCGGTGACAGGGGAGGGGACCAACGGCCACCAACCCACCGTCGAAGACGCCGAGGATGAATCCGACCTCCCTCAGACGGCTGTCACCAAAGTGGACGACACGCAGAAGCAAGTCAGCAAGCCATCCGAGCAGGGGGTCCGCTACTGGGTCACCGAGCGGGCGGTCGGCGAGTTCCACCGGACCTTCAGCTTCCCGACCCGCGTAGACCAGGAGGGCGTCAAGGCTTCGCTGAAGAACGGAGTCCTGAGTATCTCGGTCCCCAAGGCTGCTGCTCCGAAGTCCCGCAAGATCTCTATCGAGTAACTCCTCTCTTGGTCGCCGTCTCGACATCTTCTGTCGATTACATGAACATCACGACACATGGGTTAGCTAATGGATGAAGAATCGATTTTGTGTGGATGGGTCAATTTGGATGAAACATAGCATAGCATAGGAGTTATATGGATATACGCAGTCACTTTGTACTCTGCCTCATAGAGTAGTGCACTGGACAATCAAATCATTTCAGAAGAATACTTCTTCCTCGTCCTTCAGTGTGAAAGTGTCATTTTCTGGTTACCGACACCGAACCAGTGTGTCTATCAATCGTAGACGCGATCCTCCGAAATGAAAACGTAGAAAATGATCAATTCGCAAGTCCCATAGCCCATATATCTGTCCGATTAACTCCAGTGGCCGATAGACGCGCCCGACTCGCCTGCCATATGAATGCGCCATTTTCATGCAATACCAATTGGTCGCCATGTTGCCAACATAGCTCATAGCCCAACGACCTGCTCACTCCCTGCCCTGATTTGCAATCTTCCTCAACTCCATCTCTTTCAAGAAGTTATTGCTCAGGACCTCGAGCTCCTTGACGACGTCCTTGCAGCATTGCACGACTGCATCTTTGGGGGTGACGCTGCCATCCGTCGAAACACGCAAGTCGAAGGACGGAGTGAGAGGGTGAGGCGAGATGTAAGCTGAGAAGGTGACATATTTGTATTTGTGCAGGTGAGCGGTGAGAAGGTTCCCCAGAGTGTGATCTTCCTTATTGAAGGTGAAAATCATGGTGTTCGGGACGCCTAGGTCAAAGTTAATGAATGACATCGATGATATCGATCGATGGACTTACGGGTGTCGTGAGTGTAAGTGACCTTTTTTTCGCCTTCTCCGAGAAGGAACAACTCGAACCTTTCCGGGGACAGACATGTCAGTTGTGCGCGGTGGCCAGGCATGATTGCTATGCAGAGACAATGTGCTGGTGCTTGTAGGCTGAAGGACAGTAGTATGGGATTGTAGTGTCGAGTTCGATGAAATGTCTCTGACAAGAAAAGAAACCATTTGAAGGAACACCAGCCAAGTGCAAGCAACAACAGTCAAATGTGAGTAACAACAGTCAAATGCGAGCAATAATATAAAAGTAATAGAAAAGGGTAAGTAACGATTGGATAAAAGTTCGAAAATTACGAAGCTGATACCAAAACCCCTCGTTGGAGCATGAGGATCAAGCAATGAAAGGGAAAGGAGACCTGAAGTGCTTTTCATCCTGAAGTCTTGTTGCTCACGCAAATGCGATACAGTCCCTATAACACATGATACAAAACAAAGTAGAAAGCCATAGGCGCAGATGCGCTCACTCACCGGTCTGGCGCGTTCATCTTGGGCAAGTGCTCTCGAACGACTTTGGTGTTCTTTGGCGTATGTCTCCGTTTGCAGTCTGTCGCGCGATGTTAGTCAAAGCAGGAAACTTCCAGGTGGCGGACTATAGCCATCGTGAGAAGGCCTAAGGTATCGCGATTGGGACCAGGGATGAATACCTCGTGTCTTGACCTCTAATAGCTCCCCTACGCAGGGGTTGGTTATTCCAGGTACGAAATGATCAGGATTAAAGAAAGAGAATGTTCAGTAAATGGTTGATAAGTAGTAGAAGGGCAACTTGATCCAGCCGCCAGGGAGATGTTGATGGATGTCGATGGTGGCTGCATTCTGATATTCTGCACGATTCCTTCACTGTTCGGCAAATCTTCGCGACAGCAAACGGCAACGTGTGGCGCAGAGGTGGGCACCTACATGGATCATGCATGGATAGCTGGATTAGTAAGGAGTTAGCGGACCAGTGCACACATCAATGAACCCATAGAGACATCATCATATCAATCATCGCTTTAAATGCTGTTCCCTTGACCTTGATATACAAGTGGAGGACATTATATGGTCTATCGTCTCTACATTCAGGGTATTCGTGGTGGCCTCTGCACAATTATCGGACTGCTCCAAGGAGAACTCAACCTGTGAGTCAGCAACTTCACGAGAACCTGTTGGGACTGCCGAATCGGGCGACTCAATGATTCAGCGATTTCTAATGGAGGAAATGGGATTCCGAAGGTATATATATCTCGAGCTAGGCATTCCCAGGTGCTGTTGAGCAAGTTCACTCGTCCAAGTACTATCACCATGACTCCTCAAAGTCGTCTGATCAAAGCGTATCCATGGATCAAACTTCCTTTAATCGCCTGCGGGCCGATGCGTATGATCGCCCTTGCCAAACTTGCCGTGGAGGTGTCTCAAGCAGGTACAGTCATATGCCATGTCACATCGAGAAATACCTACCTACTAATCTTATCTAGGCGGTATTGGTTTCTTAGCCGGTGGCACATCCACCACCATCCCTGACTTCTCCGCCCAACTCTCCACCGCACGCTCTCTCGTCTCCTCATCATCTCTTGCTTCTTCCTCAAGCGAAGTTCTCCCGATCGGTGTCGGCTTCATCCTGCACTCCGGCCTCTCCCTCTCCGCGGCCCTCCCCATCCTCTCCCACCACCGCCCCGCCGCCGTCTGGCTCTTCGGTTGGCCCGACCGGGCGACGCTCTCGTCCTGGGCCGACGGAGTGCGGACGGCGACCGATGGCACGACGACCGTCTGGGTACAGGTCGGCACGGTCGCCGAGGCGCTCGAGGCTGTCGACGTCTGCTCGCCCGATGTGCTCGTGGCGCAGGGGAGCGACGCGGGTGGCCATGGTCTGGTGCAGTCCGCGAGCGTTGTGGCTTTGGTGCCGGAAGTGATCGATGCCATCGCGGAGCATGTGGCGGATGCTGCGAAACGACCCATTGTGCTTGCTGCGGGGGGGATCGCGGACTCGCGGGGCGTCGCGGCGGTGTTATCGCTTGGGGCGCACGGGGCGGTCATGGGGACGCGGTATCTGGCATCGACGGAAGCGGTGCTGGCGTCTGGATATCAGCAAAGCGTGGTGCAGACAAAAGACGGCGGGCTGAGCACGGCGAGGACGAAGATTTACGATCAATTACGCGGGACGACCGGTTGGCCGGAGCGATATAACGGACGGGGAATCCTGAACCGTAGTTATTGGGATGCACTGGATGGCGTGGACGAGGAGAAAAATAAGGCGTTGTATAAAGAAGCAGAGAAACGAGCTGGCACGGAGGAAGAGGGTGTCTGGGGACAACAGGGACGGATGACGATATATGCTGGAGCAGGTGTAGGCTTGGTGAAGTCGGTGAAGCACGCGGCGCAGATCACGGAGGAGGTAAGGAATGGAGTTGGAGATGTACTGAAGCAGGCTAAAGGGGTATCTAGGCTCTAGGTCTATACCGAAAATGTAAAGTATCGAGTGAGTCTATGTCGAACGAACTACGATTTCGAAGCCTTGTTACAATTCACATCAATTAAGTTGTCGATAGAGACGGGATGTTAGAACTTCCATCGTACAATAGAGTATATACAAAATTTATCCGCTCAGGGTTTCAATCCCATGAGCAATTATTCGAATATTCATTACCTTAAAGCCTGCCTTTCGAGGCTAGGCTGTTTAGACATTGACAAAGTGTCATTATTTTGCAGGCCGTCATGGAAAAAAATGAGCGGCTCCGCGTCAACAGTGGATATCATGAAGAAAAAAAGCCACCATCGCACATCCACAGTGCTGCTGCAGTCCATCGCAGCGTCTGAAACGATAATTAGATGGCAAACCTCCTCATCCATCTTTTTCCCTCCTTCTTTCCATCTTCCCAGCTTCTCTCACCGTCCCCAAGAAGGCTTCAACTTCACCTACCGCCCATCCGTCCTCCGACTCCAACGCCTTCGCAACCTCCTCGGTGCCACCCCACAACTTCCCTTCCAGGCTTATCAAGACCCCAACTGCACCCCGCACGAACGCTCCATCCCCCTCGAACACATACACATCCCACATCCGACTTGCCACCTCCACGTCCAGGCCATCCGTGAACAACCCCGCCAACATGCGATCCATCGCCCGGCGCACCATGCCCACCTCCACCGTTTCCCGCGGTCCCCTCCCCACGTCGGAGTCCGTCGACGGCCGATCAGGCGGGTCGAAGAGATGGGACGCGAGGCCCGGTCGTTTGTATCGGAGGGCGGAGCGGATGCGGTCGTGGGCACGGGCGATGGCGGAGGGGTCGTGGATGAGGTAAGCGAGAGGAAGGGGCCGGTTGAGGATGTTGGATAGGGCGATGAAGGCGGAGGGGGCGTCGGGGAGGTTCAGAAGAAGGAGAGCCGCGATGAGGTGGAGCGGGATGGTGGTGGCTAGGGGGGAAGAAGGGATAGAGGAGTCTCGCGGAGCAGGGAATTCAACATCGGTGCGGTAGTAGGCATAGGCGGAGAGGACGTCGATGAGTGGAGCGTGGAAAGGCCCAGTAGGAGCGAAGAGGCGCAGAGAAGGGTGTGTTTCAAGCGCGAGAGCATCTATCGTTGCGAATAGACGCGACTCTTGCCTTTCGGTCCCAGGAGAGTTCTCGTTTTCGAATGCAGAAGAGGGCCGTCGTTCTTGTTCTACTCGTGCGCGTGCAGCCCGAGCGCGACCCAGAGCAGCCTCGAAGCTGGTATGTGTGAGAGCAAGCTCGTTTCCGATCGCGCGGCTCCAGACTTCACCCCGAAGTCGAGGTGTGATGCCGCGCCACCAGAGCTCCCGGATTCGTGGCTCGTTGATCGCAGTGTTCCAGTTTGGGAGGACATGGTCACTCCAAAGGCGAGCGAGAGAAGCTTGAGACGTGTCTTTGGCAACGTTTTGCGCCTGCGCGGTGGCTGCTCGTCGTTTCTCTGCCGGCTTTGTAAGTATTCTTTCGAGCACATCAATGCGGATGTGGGGTTTGGTGGATAACATACCGATCTCAGCCGCATGCGCCATCATCCGCTGCCATTCCTTCAAGTGCTTTTTTTCTTCCAGTGGATTCTTAGGTGGAAGCCAACTGGGCCGTGTGCGTGTCAAAACCTTCTCCTTCTCTTTGCTGATCGGTAGCGGATCGATCATGATATCGCCTCGTCTCAACGGTGGAAGCGAGATGGATTTCCCGGATTTCGAACGCGCCGGATTGTATGGATCCCCCGATGGATATGACTGCGTCTTGGCGAGGTTCAATCGCCCGCTTTGCACATTGGCTTCATGAGCGCGATCGCCGGACTCGGCGTACGACTCCAAAGCTTCCGTCAGATTTCGTGCATCGTCGGAAAGGTCGGATAAAGCTTCCGTCCATGACTTTGTGCGGGTGTTGTGGTAGGGACGTTCCTCGACAAGACACGTCGCTGAGGCGCTCTTAGGAATGCGGTCTCGTAGTGATTGGGGGGGAGTTGTGCCGCTTGGTGAAGTGGTTTGGCCGGCGGGAGCGGATCGCAGTTGTTCCGACGGGTAGGGGGAAAACCCTTCGGGGGAGCGAGCTAGTAGAGATGTCTGGGATCGAGGGTCGGGACTGGCGGAGAGGGATCGATCGAGAAGAGGTCGCGGGGAAAGAGGAACGTTCCAGATGACGGCATCGTCAGGGACGTCTTCGTCCGAATCATGATATTCGTCTTCCAGTTCCTTGACCGATTTCCTGCCTGGTTTCCATGTCGGTCGTCGATGCGAAATGCGGGGGGCTGGCGACTCGCCGCGAAGGCTCGAATTCGCCGAGGAGTTCCCAATATGTCTTGAGCCGGGAGACGGCGACCTTGATGTCGGATTCCTTGGTCCGCGGTGAGGTAGTGATATTGGTGAAGGACCGGTAACACCGCGGCGAGATCCATTCGGGGGGGGTGCATCACGGGGAACGCTCGAAACATGCCCCTTCAAACTTGGGTATTTCGGTCTCGAGCGGTTCGTTAAGTCTCGTAAGGTAGGAATGCTCTGTGTACTGCTTCGGCTGCTGGCCATCGAGGACGTCGACTCGCGAATCGTCGGGCGATAGTCAGTCGCTTTCTTCTCGTATACATCGGAGGAATAGGTATTATGAAGATCATCTAAGGTAATGTCTTCGAAATGCGAAATATCAGTAGGACCCGCTGGCTCGGCCAGGTTGGAAGAATGAAAGGAAGATGATTTGGAGGACTTGGAATTGGTCAAGTCGGGTGGTGATCCTGGATCTGCATCATGAGGATGATTCGTGATTTGGTCGTGACCGTATGAGACGGTGGAGGCCATGAGCGGCCGAGCTCGCGGCTGAGACGAGGTTGGAGAAGTTAAACAAGCGCTTGGGGGTGAAAAGGAGCGAGAACGGTTCGTTACGATTTTGGAGGGAGTGTTCGGTCGTCTGCCGCGAAAGACGCGAGTGGTAGAGAGCGTGGAGGCGTCGTCGTCGTCGTCGAGCGGGAGACGGATTAAGGAGCGAGTGACGGCAACAGGCTGGAGAACATGTTGCAGCGGACGGGGATGCAGGGGAAGATGGTGGAGAGAGCGACAATGAAGAGGAGGAGGAGTTGATAACGAATGTGGATCGGAGGATGTTGAATAAGCGGAGTGGAGGTTGTGGGGATGGGATTGAGGCTGAGGAAGTTGTTGAAGGCTTGCCATCTCCGTCCCTCTCGTATTATTAAATTCTTCTCTCGTGTCGCTCTACGGCTCGCCGCTCAGCCTTCGAACTCCCTCTCTTGGCTCCTAATTACCTGCAGCTTTCGAACAGTCAACATTCAACGCCTAACCGTGGCGTAGGGAGTGCCGGAACGGGGGCTTGACGATTGACAGCTTCAAGCCGTCAATTCGGACACTTCGGTTCAGGGGCAGAGCGAACACGACGCTACTGTTGGCTCGTTCTGCTGCTCAACGACCGTGCGACCGATTGTGGCTTGGCCGAATATTGCGGAAACCCGGATTTAGTGTCGATAGAGCACGATGGGCATCGTAATAGAACATTTAGCAAATGTCAACTAGCTTAGATGGGAAGTGCAAGATGTAAGATGAAAGACGGACGGCGACGAGACGAGAACAAAGGTATTATGAGGCGGATGTGCCGAAATGAGACGAAAAATGTGGTCGGGAAGGCACCGAGCGTCCAGGCGAGTTTACTGCTGACTGCATCACCTGGCTCTTGCGCAACAATTGACTTGGTTAATTATTATTACTATGATGGTGATGGTGATTATGATTAAGGTAGTATTATCATTTGCCAACTGGCAGGTGAGGCCCCCTGTTTTGGCCCCGGTTGGATGAATTATGGCTGGGATTGGGTGGAAGTAATAAATCTGCAGGCTGGGGATGCAGGTTGGGAGTGTTGGAGGATGCTGGAAATCTCGATCGACTTAACTCGAGCCTAGAGGCCATGATGTCAAGGTGATAGAAACAGTTGGAGTCTCGGGCTGGTTTGCTGCTACACAACTTTACTGCTGCCCTCTCTACGGCAGCTGTCATTCCGACACGGTGAAACGCTCAAGTCAAACCGCATTTGCTTCTCAGCTGAAGCACGAACCCAGGCACCTGGTCGGATGTATCATGTAACCCCAAAAAACCGTATCATTGCGATCAAATCTGATTCATTGACCGAACTTTGCGACTCCGTGCCCGGACAGCCATCGGCTCGCGCGTCCCTTACATGGCTTCATTGATAGGCTTTGCTGTATATGAATTCGTGATGGTCCGGAAATTGGCCAATAAGACAAGAAATTTATCAAGCTCCTGTACCTGCATTTGGGCTGGTTTGATCAAGGGGAACCCCAGCTGGAATGGCCCATCCATGTCCCCACGGGATTTGCCTACGTAGTACGTATTCCGTACCACTGCCCTTATTAGGCGTCGATCTCGGATATCTGAATTTTGAACAATTGGTTTTTGGGAGGCTCGATACTGCGAATTATTCATGGCAACTGATTTCGAGCCTTCGATTCGGCGTCGCCAACGAGACGCATCATCCAGTGATAATCTGCAATGCTATGCCCCCGCCAAGCCACCCGCCGTTGTCGTGATAGCCAAGCGAGAAGTCCAGCATGGGCGGTCTGCTTCTGCCCAAACGTCTGCTCGAACGCCAGGTACCCGAGCCTGCATGAAAATCATACATGTCCCATCAGCTCATGACCGTGATTAAGGAAGATACCGGATACGAAGAAGGAGACTAGGTTTCACTTACCATTGCACGTGGCTTTCACAGGGAAGACGATGATCTGCACGACGGAACTTACCGTCGGGCATAGGGACATCAAAAAGGCTATTTTTGTCATCTTTCCGGGATCGACGGATTTCTCGGCCAACCCGCCGGGTCGGTCGACGACATGTCGAGGTGACTCCAAGCGCAATCAGGGCGTCAATGGTTCCTGTCGGGAGTTTAGTCTCCGTCTCACCTGGTAGTTCGCACACATTCGTGACCTACTCATCAAAAGCTGCTGTCCCAGCTTCTGTGCCTTGGGAAGCTCGCTCCAATAGTGGAGACAGCGACATGCAGCGTCGAGGAAAGACTGATAGAGGTTGCTTAACACCGTTGTGGTGCTGTTGAAGCTCGAGTCGAGTAGTGATCCCTTGATTTGAACCTTGAATCCGCTGCATGCACGGTTAGTCCAACATTCCCTCACTCATTGACATCGTCGTATACTTCAAAGTTCTTCGGTAGAAACTCCGCCCTGGGACCTGCGTGTATTCGACAGTGAGCGAGTCTTTCATTCCTATTCGGCAAAATCGGTCAGTGAATGGTCGGTGTCGCATCAGCTGGTTCGACTCACCGTCATGTCCTTCCTTGGCCGGTCTTCGCCTGACCTCCAGTGTTTCCGTGTCAATGTACAGACCACAATACAGGAAGTACTGCCCTTCCCGAACCAATCCAACACTTTCTTGTTCCGCCAACCCTTCAGCGTTAACTAGGGTCTTCTCCCTCTGTACCTTGATCCCCCAGTCCGGCTCGCCATTGTGCATGATCTTCAGGAACCGTCGGACATAGTCCTTGTTCGTGCTAATGAGCAGAAAGTCGTCGATAAGCCGGAGCAACACACTCTTGGGGTTTCCGCCATCATCTTCTTGTAGGAAGCGAAGCTTTTTATCCTCGAAATCGGCATAAAAGAAGTTGCAAAGCAGGGCCGACAGTATCGACCCCTGCGGGACGCCCTTTCGTCGCCTATACAATGTATTGCCGATCTTCACGGCGCTATACTTCAAATGCTCTTGTAGGGAAGCCAAGAGTGTTCGCCGATCCTCCGTCTTCTCATTAGGGGCATCCAGAAAGACTGCGCTGTTCTTAGCTGAGGTATGCAGGGCGCGAATGCGGTCTGGGAAGGGTGTCTCATCGCCGATCCGTTGGGCATGTTCATTCCAAATCGTGATGGGCTTGTTTAAGGCTTTGCCGTTGGCATGGTCGCCTTGCCGTGCATGGTAGGTAAGCCATGGATCGGTGTTTCCCAACATACGAGTCTCATAATGGGATTTAAAGGCGTACTCATCCAGCGACAGGATCTTAGAGACGTGATGGAGGAGGGCCTCTTGGGGAATCGTATCAAAGCAAGACTGGACATCAACCTTAGCGAAATATAACTTCTGCGGTTGGTTAGACGTCATTCCCAGGGCCCGGCGGAAATCTGCCAATCGAGGATAGATGTCGGCCACTGAGAAAAGGGAAGATCCCAACCTTGACGGATCTAGGAGCTGCACACTGTCAGTCGAATCCGATAAAGAAACATGGAGGAAGCGTTACCTTCTCGTACTTCAACGCATTGAATATGGGCTTCAACGAGTAGTTGATACTTCTCCCCAACATCACTCTTTTGCCATCTCGCACCTGCCATCGTTTCCGCAAATTGGTGATCATCCGAACACCACTCTTTTTGGGCAAGAGTCTGACACTACCTACTCCGGCTGCCGTGGATCTTAAGAGTTGATCGGTGCTCTCCCGGGGAACCGGTTCGAACATGTTGGATTTGAACTCTTTTATGTAAGGTATTGTGAGCTTCCGCCAGACATCGTGCCGAAAGTAGAACAGTTGTTGTTTATCGACGTTTGACTCCGTAACATAGAAATTCGATCGTATCAGGGGAATCAAAAAGGAATCAAAAAGGTAGTAGACGAGTTCGAGAAAGATTTCTTTTCGTTTCAAGGCTTCGAATTTGCCGACTTTGGCGTCGGGGGTTGTCGGTGAAGAACTCACCCAAGCAATGGTTGATTGCTGTATTCCTTCCATTACATTGTGCAAGCTCAAAGTCTCCCTCTTCCGTATACGGAGAAACTGGTCAATTAACTTCATGATGCATTCGGCGTTTTGCCTACTTCCCCAACAATCGCTAGGAAAGACTCGAGCGACGATGGCTCGACAAAATGCGGAAACGTGAGCAACAGGGGTGGCGAACTCGGTCAAACACTGGTTGGGGAAATCGGGACCAATTCCCTGGCCCAGACGCTTGTCATTGGTTTTACAATAGTGAAGCAGGAGTATCCGATATGGACAGCGTCTGTGGCGTTTCCGCAACCTGCCAACGAGCACCTTTGCACCTGGTTTCAGTCTTTTGGGAACCGTACTGGGGATGATTGCCGGAAATTTCTCGGGGCCCTTAAGTCCCGGCCGAATCTTCAACGTTGCATCGGCAATCTCTCCCTCTCGAAAAGTGTAGTCTTTCGACGCCAGGGCAGTCTCGTTGCGGTCAACCTTAAAAGTGAAGACGTTGTGCAAGCCAAACTGGCGTGGGAAAATATATTTGAGGATGTGGCATAACTCGGCCGAGTTTTCAACGTCATGAAGCCTGTTGAATACATCTACTTGATGTCAGAGAAGGGTGGGAGTTGGAAAGGAAGTACTAACGGTTAGGGTGGAGGCCGAAATTAATAAACCCCCCAGGTTTATATGCAGGACGAGCATAGAGGATCCGAGAACGAACAAATCTGATCTCGCTTGGTGATCGGAGTACGGCATCCTGATCAGGTTTGCTCTTCGCCACGACTTCCTTACGTAGGTTAGGTTCTGAGTTGTGCAATTTTTCAAAGGCTTGTAGCTCGGAGAGAGGGATTCCTTGTCACGTTAGTTTAGGGATATGCGAGCGGATAATATATTTTACCTGACAATTGATAGTAGCTTCCACGCCCGCATTCAACAGGGACAAAAATGCCACAATTCAGGAGCAGTTCCTCCATTATTCTTTCGCCGGCCGGGCCCAATATGCGGCACAAATCACACCAAAACTTGCCCTTCATTGTCTCCACACGGTGGCTTGGATTGGAATGCACCAATCCTGGAATAGGCTGGTTAGCAGTGACGGGACCTCCAGCTCGTCGATAGCCCTGGCAAAGGAGATGAGAAGGCCAGTAGCGATTAGTCTCTCGTCCAAACAGTAGCCAGATTACGCGGTTAACGATCTATGGAAGAATCAGCCATACCACCCAAAGGATCGGATCGAATGGATAACGGCAATGTCGCTGTGACATGGCCACGGGCGCCGACGCCGCGTCGTTCGAATCAAGTACGAACCTCTGGAAAATCCTGGCTTGGGATTGCCGAACTCGTAGCAAGAGTGGACTCGGTTCGTTGCTGAGTAAAGAGGGCCAACTCCTGAGCTTTGATCGCTTCGTGCGAAATACTCGACGTCGTGCCACATCCAATGATGACTGAGTCGATCCATTGGGCGATATCTTTGTACTTGTCCGACTCATCGAGGCATCGGATTCTCTTCCGAGCTTCGCGGGCCGCATCTGGGAGTTGGCAGAGGATATAGGTGCGCAGGGTGATGGTCTTGGCGTAGTAACATCGGAGGACCGGATGAGATATCTCGGCGGCCTTCTGCCTCTTTGCTGGGTTTTGGTCATGATTCCGAGCTCTTTTCCGCTTCCGTGACATCTTGACTACTATGTATAATGGGTGATGGCTGAGGAAGATAATTGTACCATGCTGTAACTGTAGGAGACGGATGAAATAATACTGTAATACTGGGATGAGGTTGGGAGACGCGATCTGACCAGGCGACGCGATCAGATGAATGCCTCAGGCACCAAGGAGCCAATGTCATCAATCAATCCGAATGAACCAGGAAATCATTGAACCTTTGCTCCTGTCCCTCTACCAAAACACCAACTGAACGATATTTTGCAGAATGACCTGGTTCAAACCTTCCGTGGTACAAACCAAGCGGCTTCAAACATAGTCCTGTCATGCCGTGGCACAGGATGGCCTACCTGATTTGATTAGTGCATGTGAGGATGAGTTGTCCTGGATGATCCCTTGCAGCGTGCAGGTTCCGTTGCATCTGGCAGCGGATGATTCGATAGTTCGATGATCCGATGAATCGACGATTCGCCTGCAGCTGCGGGAAGCCATCCACGTCCTGCATCATTGCGCCTTGCGGTGTTTTGGCTGGGTTGAATGCCCTATTACCGCACTGTAATCTGGACGGTTCTGCGCTGGGCACCAGATGGGAAAACACGAAATGAGGGTCAGATGTGTCCGTCTCTCCATGCGTTCCCACTTCCAAATCTTGGACATCGATGTTGTATGTAAGATTTACCCGCTGCGGTATAGCTTGGACTCGTTGAGCCACCTGTATCACCACTCGTGGGCAAGTGTCCATGGATGGGAATGAGGATGGAATTGCTCCTTTTCCGGTTTCCAAGAATGCCCTGAGAGCTATGTTTAGACTTTAGAGTACCGCTGCATGAAATTGAATCCACCCTGCGCCAGCCTGGCTATGCGATCCGAGGCGTTGGATCCCAAACAGGCTGCTGTTTATCAGAACGATCCAACCATTCGAGAATCCGATCCCAATAATCCGGACGGACAACAAAGGAGGGCTTCGTATTCAACGCAGTCTGCATTCTACAGCCAACTCATACGAGATGTGGCACTTTTCTCCTTCTCGGCAATACAGGTCATTCAGTGGCAGGAGATATGAGCAGGAACGAGATATGTCAACTTTCCGACATCTCTAGTAACTTAGGCATGGCAAACCCTAGTGTCGGAAAGTTCCTTCAACGCCCTCCACTTTTCAACATCCATTGATTGATCAAAGATTCATCGATGATTATTAACACCGGGACAGTCCGCCATCCGGACCAGCCACAAAGGAAGAGGAAAATGAGAAGAGAGAATCGGATCAGGCCCGCCGAGTATAGGGTTAGTGGCGCCGGTTAGGAGTTAAGACGGAACGGTTGTCATAGCGTGTCAGTGTGGCTTTCTCCATTGAAAGTTTTGATGATGTGAAACGTTGGAAGGCTTGGAATCGGACATCAAGAACCATTCCACTCTCCTCGCTCTCCACTTAAGAATCTAGAATCTACGGATCAGCGGCACCATCACATCGATAGTGTGAGGGCCTGAGGGGAGAATTTTGGTCCTTTGTGTAATTGGGTGGGATGGAGATCCGAGATGGAGTGTCCGGAATGAACTCCTGATTCCTGAAGAAATTGTCTGCAATTCTGCAACCGACGGTGGATGTGGAGAGGTTTTGGACCGAATTCCGTGTATCGTTGCACATCGGGAGGGAGAGATGTTTGTAGCCGGCGAGGCACAGCGGTCTCCGAGTGAGACTCCGACCGACTTGGAGGCAGTGGTAATAGAATTAATATGCAAAGGGCAGATGCTGGACCTATCTCCAGTGGATCCGGTATATTTTAATACAGAATGATGAAGCGATGAAGTTGGAGAGCCCACCAGGGACAGTTCATGATTCCGTGCTCCCGGTACGCCGTCCTCCCCCATATTCCCACCGGACGAGGCTGTGAAGACTGAAGTGTGAACAGTGCGGGCGGAGAATTAGTTAATAGTTAGGGAGTTGGGAAATTGAGGGGGACCAAGATAAAAGCAAAAAAAAAATATCTGCAATTTGAGATTACTACGTACGACCGGTCTATCTCTCAATCCTCTCTGGTTAATTCCTCACTTTCTTACCGTTCTCTTGCTCATTGTTGGCTCCATCGCTGTGTTGCCCACCACTGTGAACTCTCTCACTGGCATCTCCGCTCTCCAGTCTCCCCATTATTGACACCCACACCACATACCACCCTCTCGCACTCCCCCTTCGGTATTATTACTATATCTCCAGGCTGTGCTCCCTATATTCTCATCCAACTCCTTACTTCCCTGACGTCCCGATCCAAAATTCTACTGAACTACACCTCGATCCCTCCTATTCCTAGCCGCGGTCCCTCCCGCAACCCGATTGACCGATTCCCGTCTCCTCTCCAAGTCCTACACTCCTATCTCCTCTCGGGTACGTGGATTTCCCCAATAGGACCTCCGATGCTCCAGTAGGAAATTCAGTTTCATCCAAGCGGCCAAAACCGATCCCTTCTCATCGTGATTGGCCGCATGCCTCATCAACACTTGCACCGCCCACGCTGCGCGTCGTGCGTCTATTGGCACTTCACCCTGTCTACCACCACGTCCTCCACCACGTCGTCTTGCTTCCCCGACCCTCGCCTCGTCATCCGTTCGTCCCTTTGATCACTGCAGACTCCTCCCAAGTTACGAAGCACCTCGATCGCGGTCACTGGAGTGCCGATTGGAGTCGGATTGCCTCGCTGCTGTCCAACGGTTCATGATTCCCCTGTGCCCTGCTGTCATGACAGGATGCAGTCGGTCCAGCCCGATCATCACCATGAGGGAACTTCGGCCGCTGCTCCCATCACCACCGCCTTTCACGACCAACATCCAACTCCACCCTTTACCGACCCCATTTACGATCAGGCCCACGAGTTTTACCGAAATGGATTCCCGACCTCGCCGTCTCGTCCGGACATAGTTGTCGCGGGCCACGAACACACCATGCCAACGAACCATCGTGCCCCGTCAGCCGGAGCTGCCGTAACGTCCAAAGCAAACCCGTCCGTCCGATCGACATCCAATCCCACCACCACTGCCACCGCGACGCCTACCTCATCCACCGGGCATGGACCTGCAAAACCAGCACTCACTTCAAGAATCCCCTCAGGCGGCGTGCGTGACCGGATCAATCAGTTTAATCAGGGCGGGACCCATGTCCCGATTCCCATGAAATCTTCACGCGCTCCCACCACTTCCGAATCTCGAATTTTTTCTGCCGCACCTCCTACAGTTAGAGCCAGAGAAACGTCCAGACGCAAGGATGCCGGCCCACGAGGGGGATCCGACGGTCGAAATGCCCCTCTCCGCCGGAAGACATCTTCTCATAGCTCCGGCTCGACTCCCTCTTCTGCTCGCAGGGGCTCGGGTGCTCGACCGCCGCTTTTTGGAGAGGTCATGACGAACGGAGCGCAAAGCGCCGGGTATGGCATCCCGACCTTGGTAAAGCAGCGAAGCAATATCGAAGGAAGCATGCACAAGCCGAATGCCATGTTTGCCGAAGATCGGGCGCTTTCCGACACCGAAGAAGCTCGATCTCCCCGTTCACCTCGATCTCCTCACTCGCCGCGCGACCTCCCGAACCGCCTTCACCGACCTCCTACAATCAGTTCGTTGCATCGACGGGCACAGAGCGAGACGTCGGGCGTCTTTAATGCCAATTCGGAGAAATCGACCTATAACGCCGAGCTGAATCATGAGGCTCCCCTACGGGAGCCATATAGTCCTTCGAGCCCCATCTTCACGGCCTCATCATCCCGGATCCCCGTCAAAGCAAGACGATCGAGCATGTCTAATGGGTCGCCCTCGATGCCACCCAATCCTCACGCCTGGTCCTTTTCATCCCATAGTTCTGGAGCCACGGCATCTCTGCGGCCGCAATCGCGAAATCTACTGCACAAGGAAATTCCGACGAGAAGCCGACCCAGTACACCGCCAGTATACCGTCGGTATGAACCGTCACCGCATCGTTCACGAGTTCCACGAGAAACGATGAACGCCACCATTCAAGTCCCACCGCCCTTGAAGGATTCACCCCGACTTCGTAGTTCTCGCCCTCGCCAGCCGGTGTCCTCTGCCAGTACTGCAGCATCTCGAGCACGAGCAGCGGAGCGTGTGACATCGCCATCTCCGACCAATCCCACAAGTCGAGGCAGTCCGACCAATCCCACAAATCGACGCGGTCCCGCTAAACTCAAACGAATTCCAGGCGTAGTAGACACCAACGCGCGCCGTCGACCGTGGCAGAAGAACATCTCCACACCGACAGTTTCGACCATTCCTAAATCCCAGCCATCTCCCCGAGACTCTCCGCGATCCGCCATTACTGGGGATTATAATCACTCATTCACCGAAAGCACTCCCGGCGCTTGGCCTGACAGCCCCGAGACGCCCCAACTCCATAGCTCAACCAGCCCTCACCGAACGAGTCCCTCTCACCCGAGTACACCCAAAAACAATACCATCCAACCCCCTAGACTTGGTCTTGCTGTTACAGGTCTTCCTATTGCCACTGACCTTGACAAACCTTCGAGCGCACTGACGGAGTTTGAATTCGACGGATCGCCCGTTATAGGATATGATGTGACATATCAGGGGCCTGCACTTCTTGCGGCAATGCCGCATGAACCCCAGGCTATTGACGCTTCTCCTACCGACGACAATCATCTCGACCGATGCTCTTCGACTGATGAGTGCGCGTCAATTTGCGACAATATAGAGGACATCCGCTTTGCTAACGGCGGGATAACGCCAAATGACTGTTCAGCTACCGATTCCTGCGCCGAAACGTCGGATGACCTAGATTCTGATAGAGAAGAGCAGTCGATTCAAATCGCTCTCCGGAACACGCCCGTGATCAGTCCGACAAATGGAAACTGGAGCCTGGACCATTCGGGAGGAGCATCCGACCACAGTTACAAGCCAATGATGCCCCAAGTGGAGGAATTCCCGGATGATGCGTCCGATGTTGCTTGCAGCATCCTCCCTGATGATTCTGTTAGTGTGGTCATGGCTAGCAGACCAATCCAGAATCCTGGTCCAACTCCACCACCTAAAATTCCCGTCATAGAAGAAATACCGGTGGACGAGAGCGGACACACGCTCACGAGCGAAGCGCGCAGCGTGGTCAATCGTGTCTTTGACCATTACCATGCTTTGCAAAACTTGAGTCCGGAAATGGCTGACCAGTTCAAGAACGAGGTCGAGGCAGCAACCCCGAGCTTACCAAAACATGGCGATTGGGAGTCACAAGAGAACACTCGGCTATACCTTCAGGATATTCTAGACGGTCCCCGCACTCCGACAGCTTCGCGGCGCGATGAGGAGCCGATACCGCCCAGTGAAACTGGGACCGCGCTCTCATCCTATCCGTTTGTCGCCAATCCACCTACGGAAGACCATTTAGGGACCGCAATCATTTATAGCAGCTCTACCCCGTTCGAGCCGCCATCCGAGACCGACGTCCGCGAACCTCATCATAGGAATAGCGCGAGTGTTTCAACACTTCGACCTTCGCCTGGTCCTGACGGGAACACCAGTCCCATTGCGACCAGCTTTCCAGACGCCGCGGGCGAGCTGCTTGCGCCGGCAACATATCAGCCGCAGCGATCCAATGTCCATCTCCACGACCCCGCTTCAATCCTCGGGGCACTCCCTCGCGATGAGACGAGCACGTTGCAGACGTCGGGCACCATCCATCTCGGCCTGGGGCTTGATGGGTTGCCCATTGCCGAACCCACTTTGGCTGTTCCACCCATGCCAGATTATGCACCCCCTCCGCACCCTCCGCCTCCACCGCCCGCGACCATGTCAGAGACGCTGAGTCAATTGAATGGGCAAGCTCGATCGCCCCCCTCCGCGAGTTTCTACAAGCGCAATGCATTTTCCACCATTTCACAATCAGCGTACGTCGAACCAGGATCCTATAGACCCGAGTATTCCAGCCATTCCCAAGAGCGCCGTCAAACCGTGGCTGGAGCGTCGGTCGTGGATTCCGAGGCCGCCAAAGCCGTCGCGGAATCGTCTGTGGGCTCGGTTGCAACCGTCATGGCGCCCCAGGATTCTGCCGTCGACCTCGAGACGCAGATGTCCGCCAAATCGAAAATTCTCAAAGACTTGGTCGAGCGGAAAAACATCCTCAAAGAGTTGTGTGATACCGAGTATTCGTATCAACAAGACATGATAATTCTGGAGGACATATATAAATCGACATCGACTGGGATCCTCAATGACGCCGACCGGAAAGTTTTGTTCGGGAATTCCGACCAGATCCGCCTCTTTGCTACGAAATTGCAAGACGCTTTGAAGCAAGCAGTTTCCTCAGTCTATATCATGCCGCGACAAAATCGTTGGAACGCGAAACGCGGCAGTTTCTCGACGTCAAGCAGTGCTACAAACGAGACATCACTGGATTCTGACGCCAGTCTGTCAAAGGACGATCGGATTGAAATAGACCAGCGTACTAGAGTCGGTAACGCGTTTCTCGCCAACATGGAGGAGATTGAGCGCGTCTACAATGTCTATTTGCGCAACCATACCGCGGCGAACAATAAATTGACCGAACTCAAGGCAGAACCCAATGTCGAGGCTTGGATGGAGGAGTGTCGAAAGATGGCTGCCGATTTGACGAGCGCGTGGAATCTGGATGCGCTGCTCGTCAAGCCAACGCAACGGATCACCAAGTATCCGCTCATCCTGCGGAACTTGCTGCAGGTCACAGTCAAGGAACACCCGGATTACGCCGACATTGAAAAGTCGCTCCTGCAGTTGGAGGAACTGCTTCACAAAATGAACGATTCGAAGAAACGGGCCGAGCTCGTGGACCAAGCGATGAGCCAGAACCGCAGGCGGAAGGAGTCCGATATTCGCCTCTTCCCCCAGAAGTTTGTCAATCGTCGCGCCGAGAAATTGAAGCAACAGGTGGGGCTTTCCAATTCTGCGATCGATGCGGACTACGACAAACTGTCTCAGCGCTTTGGCGGGCATTTCTTCCAGTTGCAGATTGTGATGAGGGATGTTGAGAACTACATCCGCGAAGTGCAAGCCTATGTTTCTCGATATGGCCATTTCCTCTCCGCGTCCGAACACTTCCTGGGCTTCGATATCCAAAATCAGCATCCCGAGGAGCAGAGTCACTTCGTCATCTTCGCTCGAACGGTCCGGGAGGTCATCGCCGTGGCACTCCCCGAACATACGGCGAAGATCCGCAAGTCCGTCATCGAGCCGATCCAGACCCTCTGGCAACTCCATGAAAACCCTCAGCAATTGATGCGAAAACGAAAGAAGCGCGTCGTGGACTATGCCAAATGGAATGCCATGGTTGAGAGGGGCGAGGCGCCCGATAAGAAGCTTCGGGATGCCGCAGACCAATTCAAAGCCATCAACGAGACGCTGAAAGATGAGTTGCCGAAGCTGTATGATTTGTCCAGCAAGCTTATGAAGGTATGCTTGGAAAATTTCATCGAGTTGCAGAAGCAATGGCAGGACACATGGATGAGGAAATTGGAACCGGCTGCTCGAGAGCCTCAGATCACCGATGATTACAGCTCCGACATGCTCGCACTTGAACGCGACTATAATGACAACTTCGCATACGTGGACGAGCGAATGCAAACTTTGGGAGTCCTGAATGGCAAGACTCTTGAAGAGGCTTCCCGCTTCCTATCCTCCACGCCGTCTTTGAACGAGGAAGGCTCATCCAAGCGACCATCGACCGTGGGGAGCTCAAAACGTACCATGTCCGTTGGCGGGGAGCAGTCTCCTGGCGCCCCCTCTAGCAAAGACCACCACCGTGTCAGCGGCACCTTTTCACCGCCCTTCTCACCTCCCGGGTCCGGCTACGTCATCCCCGACAGCTTTTCTCTCGGATCACCACCCGCGACCCGCACTCGAACCAGCTCGGCCCTCTCTAGCCGTGGGCCATCCACTCCCCGCTCTATGTCTGCCCAAACCCCAGGCAATGCGTTTTATTCGTCCAGCGCTTTGCACCGCTATACGGATCTGCCGAGCGCGCCGCCTCGCCTTAGTGTCGATCTCTCGTCCGAGCAACTACCATCACCACGCTTTGCCGCCTTCCATGGCTCGGTGTACGGCCAGCCTCCCGAGGTCGATAGACAGTCTCGGCAATCACAGGAGTCGGTGCTTGGCTGGCACAGTGGCATCTTCAACAGCGCGATGCCCATGTCTGAGTCTCCACTCGACGCCACGCATCCCAATCTCATGGGCGACGAGGATGAGGACCCGGAAGTCATCTTCGTGGCCGCCAGCCTTTTCGAGTTCCGCATCGACGACTCGAGGAGCTTCGTGGGGTTCCCGTACTTGCAGTACTCGATGGGCGAGATCTTCGATGTCATCGGGCAGCAGGGCGAGCTTTGGCTGGCACGGAATCAAGACGATCCGGACAAAAAGCACGGGTGGATCTGGGAGAAGCACTTCGCGAGGATCCTACCTGATGGATGAGTCAGGATCACATTTCTTTTCCTTCCTTTACTTTATGAAAGCTGGATGTCCACCTCTTGGTCCGACTTCCGCAGTTTTCCTTTCTTTCTCTTCTGTTCTTCAATTGGGCCTTCGAGGGGAGCATGAAAAGCGTCGTATAAATTGGGGCGTTTCTGGGCGTGAGGGAAGACGCCTCACGGCTTTTCATGGCTCATCAATATTGGTGGGCTTGGTTTGCAGGACCCCGTTCTTGTATTTGCATTGTTGAGTGGTGTAATTAATCACTGCATTGTCCGATTAGAGGGTTGAGACAGCCAATACAGTCTAACCGGGTCAGGAGGGCGCACGAGGCGGGTCTACGGATCAACTTCATGTTTAACGATATCACACCTCCTTTGTTATATGGAGGAACTGCGGAGGGTATATGGATAGTGCAGAAAATGGAACCATTGTTACTCCCGTCCAGCATCATGGCCATGTCTCTTGGTGTATTCCACGTACATACCTTCTATCGTTCCTCTACATTTCCCATCTGGCCAGCAAATGTCCACGCAATAAGCCTCGACTACAAAGGTCGGCCCCGTATGGAGATAGACCTGGGTAATATTTGGAGTAGACAGCGGCGATCTAGTATTAGATGAGAGCACCTAGACTATCACGAATTTAGAGGGTGATAAACAACCACACTTTTGAGCCATCCTAGTTTTAGTGATGGTGGTGATAGTCCTTTCGTCCAACATTCAAACCTACTCACAGAAGGCTAGTGAGTTTAAAGGCCATATAAAATCCATTTTGAGGCCAAGCTAGCGATCTAACCCACTGCAGTTTTCATCATCTCGTTCATTCCCCCAGTTCCAACATTCCGTCAGGATGAGTGTCAGCCTCCCTTTTCCGAAGCATAATCGCAAGACATTTAATCTTAGATCTCTAGACTCGCAGATTGCCAATCTCCAAATCCCGGTCATCGGCACGCTGGACGCCAGCTGTCGGCAGGTGATCCTCCCCCCCAATATGCTCATTGCCCTCTGGACATCGTGCTAGAGACATTGTCATGTCACATTCGCCGACTGTAAACGGATGGCCATTGAAGCAGTAGTACCAATACCCAGTAATGAATCTCATAGCAGCCAGAACTGCCCTCCACTCATCACTAGTTACTTCAGTATAAGTTGCGGCTTCGTTGAGCATTTTTACTGCCTTTTGGATGTCATCTTCGGCAGACTTAGTGACAGTGGGATGCTCTGCTCGGCATTTCTATGCTTCAGAGGTGAGATCAAACCCAACTATCTTAAGGTTAGCGATCCTTTCCGGGTCCGCTACTGCGGATTCTAAGGCGCAGATCTGTGCCAGCAGTGCAAGACTCTCGGCTTTTGAAGATATCGCTTTGACTTGTCAGTCGTTGCGATAATGGCGTCACACTCTTGTTTCAGGAGAGTCAGATCAAATACTCCGGTGCTAGCCTTCGCCGGAAATTCGATACGGGCAGGAAGTGACAGAAGGTCTTGAATGATGACCACGTCGCATCTCAATCGAAGGACTCCACCAAGCTGAATTCCGCTACTGTTAATGAGTTCAAAATGGAACTCGAAAATCTGATCATCTGCTCCATTAGAGTTCGCATCGCGAGCTAGGTCATAGACTTTCGAAAATGGAGCTTGATGCTTGCCCACAGAGTCGCAGTAACGGGAGATGCTGCGTCTCAACTCTGCAATCTCTTTTATAACGACCTTCAAAATGTACGCTGATCATTTGTACGGTTTTGGTCTTGAAACTACCCCTGAGCTTCGATTCCGGCATCTTTTGGCGCAAAAACTCGGACTCGAGCTCCCCGATTGGGTCCGCAAACTTATCGAGAGTAGCTAACAACTGTAGTGCAAGCTGCTTGTGGCCTTCGTAGATGATAGAGACAAACCGCCGAGTCGGTTTATCAAGTAGGGCTCGACGTACAATTCGGCCGTATCGACTGATATTGCGGAGTGGCCCTTGGAAATCCGGGAAGCCTTTCGTTTTTTGATTGAGATTGGTGCTGAAAACAGGTCATGATTGATACAGCGTTGCCAGCTTCTTCTAACTCGTAGTGGCTCGCTATATCAAGGTGACCGTCCAAAGACTGGAAGGTGAAGAAATGGCCACAATCTGGAAAGAGACAAGGGCTCTCATTCTGATTGATATCTTAGTATCTCTCGAATAGAACCAGATCCACCATTCATTCAAGGACAGCCTTTTCGGTACAAACACGACAGCATTTCTGGTCTGGACAATCGGCTCCGCAAACACAAGGACATACTAGCATTAACGAAGCTCATTATGCACAAAAGGTTGACTTACATTGATGTCCACAAGGAAGCTGTTTCTAGCAACGTCTCGAACAGGGCAAATAGGTACAAGGGACACCACATGGAAGCTCGCATTTCTTATTATCCAAGGCAGACGTTTTGACGTTTGGCTGCGAGGTGGTTTTTGCGTTCTCCGAGATACGGCGTTGAATGCTGCCCATAAGCTTCTTGCTGCGGTAGAAGTTGAACTCATTTTCATCTTGTATGTGCTGACCAACTGCTTTCATGAAGCTGCCGGCAGTCGACATGGCATCATTGCCCATAGTCGAGACTGATCAAGAGTTCAAGAGGTCACAGAAAATGAATAACATCATCTCGAAATCATCCTCGCGAAGAAAGTTTCCATCCACGGTATCCCCAACACGCCCAAGTAACCCGAAAATGAAACTGAAGAGCTTTGCCGCTCTAGATCCATTTGATCCGAAGTGGATTGCGGAAACATGACAGACGTGTTGCTTCAGCGTAGCAGACACCCGAACGGCTCGATGGGACGGGATGCTGAGCAGCGGGCGTACCTTACCCTCATAATTCGATTTGAATTTTTCCTTTGTTCCGCCCCCTGAGAGAGCTTAAACGACTTTCTTGACCCGGCAAAGCCCTGCGTCAGTTGCAAGTTTGGTAATCACTTCCTGCCTGCTTCCATCATCCAATTCGACAAGTTTCAGAGCGTCCGCGAGGAACCGTTCAAGCAGCCGGCCCAACGGATTTGTGAACGCACCAGTATATATTGGAACCATGGCTCTCCATTCTCTAAATTTCGCGAATCCTTCGTCTTCTCTGGGAGGGCCTTGGGTTCGGGCATTGCCATCGGAGAAACGGCAGTTTGAACGGTACCTGCATCTGCCGTGCTTCTGGAACTCGAAGCATGGTCTGCGTAAGTTAGCAAGAAAGGCCTTTATGGGATGATGGGTTGAACTTCACTTTTGCTTCGAGGCCATCATGGTGTATCTCGCTGTTGTGCTGCAAAGCAACAGAGACTGAGTAGTGCTGCGGTTGAAAAGCAGAAGGGTTGAATTGTATGTGAGTGCGTAAAGGAAACTAGTGGAGAGAAAATGAGAGATCAATAAACTTGAATTATCAGGATAAGGGAGTCGACCATGGTGTCTACGGAATGTGATATTTGGAATATGGTAGGTTAACTCCGGGAGATAGGAATTGGCTCAAATAAGGAATAGGTATGTCTTGTTCCCAGAAATTGATCAGCCCATAAACCAACCGCCTTGGAACCCTTCCAGAGACATCCCTGGTCTTTTGAAAGGCTTTTTCATCTTTGGTCTGGAGCTTTTGAGGCATCAGGCTATCGCGATTGATAACCTAACCTCCAAGCCTGTCGAACGGCACCCCAATATCGATCCGCATCCTCAAGGATAAGTCCCGCATGTGGGCTGCTCTGGAACATCTCGGCTTCTACTTTCCAATCCTTGCTCGCTTCTGCGACATGATCTTCCACGTCCGAAAACCACACCATTTGATCGGCCTTCGAATACAAATAGAGTCGTGACCCCCCATCTTGGAACCGCTGGGTATCCAGTAAGCTTTTCCGGAGTCGCTCGATCATATTTGGCTGATGAAAAACTTTGTCGAGGAGAAATTCCGCGACTATCACGATATGAACGATCATGAATCCAATGATGCGAACCACGGGGTTCGGCGGCATTGTTTGCATCATAGCAGCTAAGCTCCGTTTGTAGGAAGCGCGTCCAGGACTGCTATCTAACACCATGGTGGTGAGAGGTAGAGGGCGGTTATTTCCATTCGGAGTGAGACGATATTGGTCGGCAAGCTGTGTGGCAGCATAGGCTCCACCGTTTGAATAGAGGTGGAGAAGAATGCGAGGCGCCCTAGCTCCATCGGTCGTTTGGTGAAGTGAAGCAATTTTCGCCACGGCTTGCTCGATAGTCTTGTTATATTGTGCCTTGGTCCGGCATATCATGTCGGATAGGGATGTCGTTACAAGCACGATAGGACTCTCGGGGAATAATTTCTGATAGCCGGCCGTATGCTTTGCAATATTCTTGTAGGAAGCTCCCATCCAGGAACAAATGACGATTAGGTCTGGATTTGCGACATGGCCGCCATTATTCCTCTCGCTCTGCCGGCCAGAGGGTATGTAGTAGAATGTTGAAGGACTGAGGGATATAAACCCCCGAAACGCATGTGATGCCGACGACATAGCTGCAAATGAGTTGCGAATTCGAACAGACTTCTATAGCAGTTGAACGGATAGAATGACTCTTGAGAACAGAAACCAATGCCTTCCAATCGTCTATCATTATGTAAGGAGAGATTGGTGAACTTCGACTCGCTGAATCAATGTGGGCTCGAATTTGATTTAACCTCTTTCCACCCCAAAAGATCCACGACGGTGACATCAAGTCTTTCCCGCCATTCTTAATGTAGCGATAGTATCACAATAGGACTAAAACTAAACGCTTAAGATGCAAATAGATAATTATACGGTACGGAAGCAGGAATTGAGAGGTTGGAATCTCTCCCTCGGTCAGGACTCACGACTCGGAGGCGGAGGGAATTGGGATTGGCAGAAACCCGGCTCCGGACTCCAGATGCTTCATCTGCGGTATCCTAACCGTGAGTGCCATTATGGAACGAGATGGACCCGGAACGGACCGTATTCGGCACAAGTGTAATTACACCGAAGGGTTAAGCGATCGAGTGGCTGTTGGCACTTGGCAATTGGCATCCTGGCATGTGGGTGGAGGTTTGGATGGAAATCGGTCCACATCTGAAGTGGAGCGGGGAGGTCAATCACGTGAAAGTAATAAGTATGCCGTACATCACATGACTTTCCATGAGAATTGAGTATGGCCTCAGGCATTAAGGCATCTACACCACGTTGGAGGCGTTCGCTATTTGTGACTTCGTGAGCGTCCTGTTGACGGTTTATTACTTCAGATCTGGATCGTTCACATGCAGATGGATATGTATTTTATAGTCTGTACCGTTAAGGTATGTACCAGTACTGATATCTCATCCTCTCGAGTTTAGGACCGTCCGAATACCGCCGTCAACGACCAGATCATGTCCCTGGTTCTACCGTCATTCCCACTTCTTTCGAGTTCGGATTTCCAAGCCGTATGCTCAACAGCAATCCATGAGTTGCAGTCAGGGAAATGGTTAACTCCTGCGGATTGGAACATCTCCAGATTGGAAAGCAACGACGGTAGTGGCCAAGGATTAATCGGTCTGCGTATCATTCGGGCACTGGACAACCCCGATCAGTTTGGACAAGATGCGGATAAGGATGATGATGAGCTTCTCGAGGAACACGATACTGTGCGGTAACCCAGAAGCATAGCATGGCCGAGGACTAACAATATTCAGGAGAGACTTTCAATCTCAGTAGCAAGAGCACATCGATATCGGGTTTTTTATGATATTATGCTTTCGCCATCTATGCAAATGCCCGTGGTTTGGTTTAGCATCCACCGCGCGAATGGAACCGCAGTCCCGCTCCAACGAGACGTTATAATAGATTCTCTCGTTCCAACCAACGTCCGTAGCGAGCTCACAACCCAGGGTGCTGGTCCACTCGGTGGCATATCGCAAGCGGTATGTCGATATCAGTTCCTCTGCCATGGACCTCACCCTTCCCTAACACAACAGCTGCCCAGATCCACCCTAACACGGGTTTCCCGGCGTGGTACATCCATCCCTGCGAGACTGCGAACGCTTTGAGAGAAGTTCGTGGAGATGTTGGATCCGTTCATACAGACGAGTATCTGCGCCTTTGGATGGGAGTGGTTGGACCAGCAGTCGGGCTCTACTGGCCGCAGCCAAGATGACGCCGGTACCTGCCGTGCTTTCTGACCCCTATTTAGAGCTCGTGCTGCCAAACAGAGCATGTCGTTCGCCAAGAGTGAACTTGATATATTGGTGCTGTTGAAGGAGGCGGCCTCATACGAAGCCTTTTGGAGCGAAGGCTGCGGCAGAATGTGGAGTGATGCCAATGTCCTCTACGAGTCGTCCATTAATCTTCATCGCTCATCTCCATCTCGCTCTCCTCATCCTCCATGGGGGCATCGCCATCTTCCTCGCCTTCGCTCTCATCCCGCGGCCTCTTCGTCCCAATCGCTGCCGGCGAAGCTTCCTTTGCGGGAGCTGCACCTCCGGTGGTGGTACCTGCTGATGGGAGACCTATAGGAGCAGTGAAAATAGAGGGTTGCGCAGCAGCTCCAGGAACGGTCGAGCCGGAGGGACCGGTGGATGGGATATTGAATGTGCCGTCGAGCTTAGAGATGGTATTCGACTTGGATTTTGCGTAAGATATTTTCTGCAAAATAACACATTAGCCTCCATTACGGCCAAAACGAGATGTATGATCATAGCTTACTAGTTCCATGCCGAAGAATTCCATGCCTTGAAGAGCTCGCATGGCTTGTGTGCTTGATTGGATATCCTTGAAAACAACGTGTGCTTGCCCGCGCATCTTCATGGTCTTGAGCGCGACGACATCCAGAACCGATCCATATGTAGAGAAGAGGAGGTAGAGCGCCCGCCTGAGGTCCTGCTTTTGGATCTTGTTGGGCAGATTCCTGCAATAGAGCCTTGAGCACACAGCGCTTTAGTTTGAAGTCCAGACGATGCGATGGTTTCCTTACGTTTGATTGGGGACAATGGTTTGAGCCGACATGACGATTGCTGATAATTCGAGAAGGCTTGCCGACTGAGTATCGATATAGGCGAAGGCGAGAGGATGAATGGACTTATGACTGGAAAGCTTTCAATTTTCAGAGCTGTGTAATAATGGCAAGTTGGTGATTTGCAGTGACCAGTGCTGGAGCAAAACGATATCACTCCAGGCAGGGGTCCATTCCCTCCCTCGCTTCCAACCTCCCCGCCATCATCAAGACATCCGCCCTTCAACTCCCTCGATCTCCACGCTTCCAACCCACACTCCCACAACAACCAGACAGTAGTAGAGAGCTCCTCCTCTGTCTGCCGCATCTCACAATGGCCCCCGAAGTACATCATCTGTTCCACCGTCCCATCGCGGACCATTCCTTCTCCGCAGACCGTCAAACATTGGCCGTGACTCGGGACAGCGCCATCGAACTGTACCAACGGTCTGGAAACAAATACGTTCTTCAAGATGAGCTGAAGGGCCATGACAAGACCGTCACGGGTGTAGACATCGCGCCCAATAGCGGCCGGATTGTGACGTGTGCTCAAGGTTGGTTCTACGGTCTTGCTTACTTCGGACCTACGTCTAACCTGTCCCCAAAACAGACCGAAATGCCTACGTCTGGGAACCTTCGCCCACCGGCTGGACACCTACGCTTGTCCTCCTTCGCCTCCACCGTGCTGCCACCACCGTCCGATGGTCCCCAAGCGAGACCAAGTTCGCCGCCGGCTCCGGTGCCCGCATCATCGCCGTCTGCCACTTCGAAGCCGAGGACAACTGGTGGGTGTCGAAGCACCTCAAGAAGCCGATTCGCTCCACCGTCACCTCCGTTGCGTGGCATCCGAACAGCGTACTCTTGGCCGCCGGAAGTGCGGACGGGCATGCAAGGGTGTTTTCCGGGTTTGTGAAAGGCGTCGATGAGAGACCGGCGCCGGGAGTGTGGGGCGAGAGGCTGCCGTTTGGGACGGTCTGTGGGGAGTATCTGAACAATAGTGCAGGGTGGGTGCATGGCGTGTCGTTTAGCCCGAGCGGTGATGCATTGGCATTTGTTGCACACGATAGCACCGTGACGGTGGTCTATCCGAGTGGTCCGGATCAAGCCCCAAGGGCCGTCATTAGCTTGACTACCCAGTTGCTACCGTTCATGAGCCTCGTGTGGAAGACTGAGGATGAAATTCTTGCGGCTGGATATGTAAGGATATTCTTCTAGATCCGTTGTGATCATCGCTAATCAGAGCTGCAGGATTGCGAGGTGTATCGTCTTCAAGGATCGGAGTCAGGCTGGTCACTTGTGGGATCATTCGAGCAGAGTGGACGGCCCGGAATGCAGGCCCAGCCGGAAGAGTCGGCCCTCAATATGTTCCGACAGATGGACCTGAGAGGCAAAGTCAAGGATGATACCCAGCTCAAGACGGTTCACCAGAACACCATCACGATGATGAGACAGTATGATGGTGCCCCAGGCGCCTTAACGAAGTTTAGCAGTAAGTGACTTACATCGAGGTTCCAAATTTTGCCTCAAATATCTAACTGTCTTTCACAGCTAGCGGTGTGGATGGTCGGGTTGTAGTCTGGTCAGCATAGACGGCATCTGATGTAGACATACCCTCATCTGCCTGTATTTTGGTCCCAATAACGAATAAAGTATATTCCGATACCACTTCATGTCTTAATACGCCGAGTAATCCAATAAATGCGACCATACTGTGGATCCTGATTCTGGGCCGCTCCAGCGAACAATTGGGAACATCTGTGCTATCGAGGTGGTTGGCAACATTCCATGGTGAACCCAGCATGAATCGAACAATCCCCAAGCGAATGCCTCCGTGGAGAATTTGAAGTTATATTGAATGTCGTGAGTCAGTCTTAGAATCCATTCTTTGACCTTCCAATATTCTATCGCAGCCCTTAGAATCTTTACAGACCGTCCTCGGCTTGCATATGAACGACAGGAATCACCATGGTCGCATCAGGGTCCCCCGTTATCCCCCCGCTCACTCCTTCTACTGTGGGATGAAAGTAGGCGGGGAACTGGTCTCCGATGTGGATGCAGGGACTGGCGACGACATTACTGCGCCGGCAGCGATAGGCGAGGCGATGTATTGTGTCGAATTCGCCGTCGATGGACACGATGGGACGGCCCAGCTCGGCTCTGGCCGGTCGATCGGGAAGCACCCGCCATACCATCGGCCGCAGGAGTTAACGTAGTCGATACAGAGCGTGGCTGCCGTCGAGGAAATGGACAAAGGCGTAGTCGTAGGGGTCGGCGGACAGGTAGGGGTCGTCCACGATGGCTCTGGTTCAGTGGCCGGATAACATCCACCATATGTCCTACGACCTTCGCAGGCGAGACGGTCCACGCAAATCATTTCGTCAGCTCTTGGGGTCGTAGTGGTTGACGGGCAGGTAGGGATAGTCCACGATGGCTCCGGTTCAGTGGCCGGATAACATCCGCCGTAGGTC